TTTATTTTTTTCCTTTTTTGTGTGTTTTTTGTTTGGTTGTTGGACAATTCTTCTTGTTGTTTTTCTTTTTCTTCTTCTCCCCCCCCCCCCCCCCCCCCTTTTTTTTTTGGAGATACACCTAAAGAACGCCTCGTATTATCTGGTCGTCCATTGAGACATGGCGTTAGGGGCGTGATTTAAAGCATGATAATCTGCAGTTCCAATCGGATCTTTGATCGTAAATAATATAAGGTACCTATGCACCGATTATACATAACGTGGCATTAATCGACTCTATATCCATTGTAAGGTATACTTGTTTAAGCCCACTTCATATACGAAACTACAACCATAATGGCCATGCTCGGGCATTGATAGTTTTTAATCATCGGGCCACGAATGAAATTATTCTTCTAGTGTTAGTTAAATAGTATAGGGTAACAGTATCAGTAGTCTGCTATCCGAGATTAGGTAAGAGGCGAGAGTGATGGCAAATGTAGATATGGCTCTTTTATACGAAGGTTGCGCTACCTCATTTAAGCCTTATTTCATCTTTCTTTTCATGCCCCTTGCGTCATGGATTCTGTAGAATCCTTCCACGAGATTCATCTGCTACAACCATGCCGCAACCCTTACCACAAAAGGAGCTTTGCATGAGAGAGAACAATTCCCGCGTGAGTCTGTTTCATCAGCCAATGCCACAATAGGTTTCTCGCACAAACGATGGAGCTGCTTGGCTTCCCCTAGGTACATTCCAAATCCATCAAATCATATGGGGTCCTGATTGGAACAGCCCCGTCATAGCATAAAGTTAAACCGACTTCGGTCTACCGACATCTTTCTCGTTGCTGCTATTGTGAGAAGAACAATCCGCCCCGTCACAGTGGATATTAGGTATTAACAAGCGGGATTGTGCGAGACGAAATCCGGAGTGGGAAAACCCGCGGAGTTGGCGAATTGCTTCCTAAGCCCGTGTCTGAGATTTGCGTCTGCAACGCCTTGTGGCTGGCGCCTTGTCCGCTTCGGAGAGAAGACTTAATCATACCTACCTAGGTACTTAAGTACCTAACGTATAGCATATTTTACCTGGAATAAAAAGAGACCGTTTGCACATACTACCCCGCTGCTGCAGATAATGTCACCTTCTCGGAACATACCATTTTTGGTTATCATTGATGTTACCTATTCGTCGACTTACACAACGAGGTTTCATATAATAGAGCTACAGCTTCCTGTCGCATAGATTACATTTGGCTTGGGAACTAATATTGAGGAGAAGTAGAATATTTTCTCAAATACCATATTAGGCTACTTCTCAAGACTACTTAAACGAATAAGAGTTGTCCTTACAATGGTTGACAGGAAGTTTAGAGTTATTGTAGTGGGTGGTGGCCCCGTGGGCTTGACTATGGCCCACACGCTGTCGAAAGCCGGAATCGAATACGTCGTCCTTGAGCGTAGACCGACAGTCTTAGAGGAAGCCGGTGCCACTCTGGTTATCGCCCCTAACGGGATGCGTGCTTTCAAGCAGCTTGGACTGTACGAGCGTCTCCGCGAGATAAGCGTGGAGTGCCTCGCATTTCAAATGTGTACCGAAGACGGCCGCCAGTACAATACCTTGTCGGTTTTCGATGAGTTTACAGTCGAGTAAGTCAGACACTGCTTCCGCCCAGGCACAATTTATTTTCGGGGATATTGACGCGTAACTTCTTGATAATCAAGCTTTGGCTGCTCGAGTTCTATCTTCAACCGAGCCGAGCTGATCAAAGTCATTTACGAGGGCCTGAGCGAAGAGGACCAGGCTCGTGTCCTAACTAATAAGAAAGTAATCGAAGTTACATCCGACGACCAAGGCGTAACGGTTCGCTGCGCCGACGGGACGAGGTACGACGCATCTGTCGTTGTTGGTGCGGATGGCGTTCACAGTGCTGTCTGGGAGCACATGCGCAGTATCTCCTTGAAGGCTTCGCCAAAAATCAAGATCGACCAGGAGAAGCCGTTCGTAGCCGAGTACAGGATGCTATGGGCTTCATTCCCTTTGCAGGACGGCAAGCACGACGGCCCTCAGGGTTTATGTGGAAGTTCGCTGGGCCGTGACCATAGTCGTATGTATTCCATTTGACTCTTCTACTAATAAGGGGGAAGGGGAAGGGGGGCACCCCGAAGGTGGGACATGCTCAATGAGGTTGATTGGAAGTATTCTGCACCGCAAGGAACAAACACAGATCTCAAAGTATTTAACTTCAGCAAGCAATCACTAACTCTTACTAAAGTACAATATTTCCTTGGTAAAGGCCGGGGCTGGATTTTCGTCTACGAGCGTCTCCCGACACCTACTAGGGAGCCAACCAGGTACACGGAGGAAGACGTGATTGCGGTAGGCGAGCGGTGGGGCGATGTGGCCGTTGGCACGAAGTTGAAGGTCAAAGACGTATTCCCGAGGCGCATCGACGCCGGCATGACAAACCTCGAGGAAGGCGTCCTGAAGCGCTGGTTCTGGGAGCGGATCGTGCTCGTGGGCGACGCGGCGCACAAGTTCACGCCGAACCCCGGGCAAGGGTATATGAACGGCATGGAAGACGTGCTCACCCTCACCAACATCCTGCATGGCGTCTTGAAGCAGTATCACGACAACGACGAAGAAGCAGCAGCGAGCGAAGAGCATGTCGGCACCGGGCCGAGCACCAAGGTACTGTCGGCCGCGTTCCAGCGGTACCAGGACGGACGGCTGGCGGGCGCGCACCACGGGTGCAACCTGTCGGGCTACGAGATCCGGAAGGCGACACAGCGGACGATCCTGCTGTGGTTCTTCGAGACCTGGGTGATGCCGTGCTTCCCGAGGTGGATGGACTCGTTGATGCTGGAGATCGCGCTGAAGAAGAGCATACGCAACGGGCTGGTGCTTGACTTCGTGGACGGCGAGGAGTCGATCAAGGGGAGGGCCGCTTGGGTTCATCCCATGCCTAACCAGGCCGCGAGGGCGTTGGCTAGTAGGAAGAACCAGCGGAATGTGGTAGCCCCTTTTCTGAGCCTGGGGGGTATCTATCGTATGGGGTTGGCGACGTCGATGGCGATACTGATCGTTATAAGTTACCTATCTTGGAGGGAATATCTGCGTGGTAGTGCCACATTTCCCGTCGGGCATATAAAGATTGAATTGTGATGTGCTTTTGGAATAGTTTTCAGGGCCTGGTGGTTACAGGTGTATTGGGCAGTTCGTAATTTTGGGCAGCCATATTGTTAGAACAACTAATCGTAAATCACTCCACTATAAGGTTTGAAGCAATCTATACTTTTTTTTTAAAAAGAAAAAAAAAATAATTAAAATTCCTAAAGCGAATATTTTTGAACAAAACTAGATGTTTGTGGAATACCTCCTTCAGCGTTGCTATACCTACTTTAGGTTCTTTGCGAAATTGAAACAAAATCGTTTTACTGTTTGGCATTTCAGTGAGATTACCAAGTATGACTTAGATGTTTATGTGTTTATTGTGAGAATTGCTCTTGTCGTAGTAATTGCGTTAGCAATTCGGTATGTTGGGCGGCCAGTTGGTGTTTTGTAGAACATTTCAAGAGACTATCACATGCATTTTTATAGTCGTTCGAATTTACGAGGTGGTTAAGGTTATCGAGTAGATCGACAAGGTGGCACGTGCGTCGAAGCGAATAAGTTGAAGCTGCCGACATGGAACTTTAATGAACCCCTGTGGCTGTCCGGTTATGTGGCTGAAGAATGCTCCCAACACGCTGCCAAGCTGCATGTGGAGATTACGTATTGATGTATCCAAGTACCTAGGTAGGCTCCCGTAAGCTGGACTTTACCTTAGGTACATGTAGGTAAGTGCTGTAATTGCTGTATCTCTTGTATCTGTCCCGCTAAAACGTCAACTGCGCCAGGCATCCCGATTTCTCAAGGACCCCTTGCTTTGCTGCAAGCTCTTCCTGCACCTGGACATCGAATTTCACGAACGGCGACCCAATGACTTGCGCGAGATATTATTGAGCTTTTACCGTATTCCTTTCCTTTGCAGACTCCGCCATTATTATCGACATAACGCCCGAAAATGTCCACTACACCCGTTCCGCCTGAGGACCAGGCGAGATTGCTGGAAGATGCCTTGGTTGCCGTGCGCCAGCAGACCGCACTTATGCGCAAATGTCTCGATACTCCGGGCAAACTTATGGATGCTCTCAAATGCTGGTACGTCCGATCACGCTCCAATTGCTACAATACTTTATTCTGTTGCTTTCCTAGCTAGCTAACCGAACAATACAGCTCTACTCTGGTCGCCGAATTGCGGACGAGCAGTCTAGGTCCTAAGCAATACTACGAGCTATACATGGCCGTCTTCGATGCCTTGCGCTATCTTTCCGTCCATCTTCGCGAAAACCATCCTCACAACCACCTAGCCGACCTTTACGAGCTCGTCCAGTATGCCGGGAACATTATCCCTCGTCTGTATCTCATGATAACCGTCGGTACCGCATATATGTCTATACCCGAGGCGCCAGTTAAGGAGTTAATGAAAGATATGATGGATATGAGCCGTGGTGTCCAGCATCCCATCCGTGGTCTTTTCCTCCGCTATTACTTATCCGGCCAGGCTCGAGACTACCTGCCTACCGGCGACGGCGACGGTCCTGAAGGGAACCTCCAGGACTCTATCAACTTCATCTTAACGAACTTCGTCGAAATGAACAAGCTCTGGGTACGATTGCAGCATCAAGGCCATTCGCGGGAGCGAGAGCAGAGGACCAGGGAGCGGAAGGAGTTGCAGCTCCTCGTTGGCAGCAACATTGTACGGCTGAGCCAATTAGTGGATCTTGAGGCTTACAAGAACGGTATCCTGGCCCCGCTATTGGAACAGGTGGTACAATGCCGTGATGTTCTGGCTCAAGAGTATCTTTTAGAAATAATCACTCAGGTTTTCCCAGACGAGTTCCATTTACATACACTAGACCAATTCCTGGCTGCCGTCTCGAGGTTGAACCCTCACGTCAACGTCAAGGCTATCGTCATTGGCTTGATGGATAGATTATCCGCTTACGCTGAGCGGGAATCACAAGAAGGGGTTGTCGAAGACAGGGCGAAACTGGAAGAAGAAGCTCTGTCAAATCTCCTGGAAAAGGTGCGGCTAGGGAAGGAACAGCAGGAAGCAAAGCCAACACCAGATGCAGCGTCTACCGACACAAACGGAGAGCATGCTGATGGCGAACCCTCAGAGCCTGTCGAGGCTAATGCGCCGGCGGAACCGGAGCCTGCTCCATCAGTTGCAGAAACTGAGACGACAGCTGTCGACAACGAGCAAGACGGTTCCCCTCCAACCCCTAAGAAGGAACGTGCAATTCCTCCTAATATCAAACTGTACGAGGTCTTCTTTGAACAAGTGAACAATCTTGTCAACGCGCAGCATCTCCCTATCCAAGACACGATTGCGTTATTGGTCTCCCTCACCAACCTTTCCTTAAATATATACCCTAATCGACTAGACTACGTGGACCAGATTCTTGACTATGCGAACCAAAAAGTTAAAGAGCATGCCAATAGCGCTGACCTCCACTCTGCGCCAGCACAGCAGAGCTTACTCGCACTGCTGCAGGCCCCTCTCAAGAGATATATATCCATATTCACGGCTCTGTCGCTTCCCACATATGTACCTCTCTTTCAGTCCCAAACCTACCCGACGAGAAGGGCTGTTGCAGGTGAAGTTGCTAGGACCTTGTTAAGGAACCAAACCGCAATATCTACGGAAGCACAGCTTGAGAATGTTCTCGAGATCCTTAAGGTATTAATCAAGGAAGGTTCACAACCTCCAGCTGGGTACCCTGGCGGCCCTCAACGACGAGCTTTAGAAACAGACGAAACGATGGAAGAGCAGGGTTGGCTAGCTCGGATCGTGCACCTGCTTAACGGCGAAACTAACGATACACAGTTCCGTCTTCTTCAGATGGTTCGTAAGGCGTTCGCTGAAGGAAATGAGAGGATCCGCACAACAACTCCTCCACTAATCACGGCTGGTATGAAACTAGCACGCCGGTTTAAGGCTAGGGAGCACTATGACGACAATTGGGAAACGCAGCTAAGCGCCTTATATAAGTTCATGCACTCTGCCATCTCCGGTATCTACACAAGAGTCAATGGGTCTGGTGCTGCCGAACTGTCTCTTCGTTTATTCTGTGCTTGCGGTCAATCCGCCGACATGACAAGTTTTGAAGAGGTTTCATATGAGTTCTTCGCACAGGCTTTCACAGTTTACGAAGAGGCGATTTCCGATTCCAAGGCCCAATTCCAAGCAGTATGTATTATTGCCAATGCGCTACACCAGACCAGGAACTTCGGGAAAGAGAACTATGATACCCTCATCACAAAGTGCGCTCTCCATGGAAGTAAGCTGCTGCGCAAACCGGACCAATGTAGAGCGGTATATCTAGCGAGTCACCTATGGTGGGCAACGCCAATAACCGCCATTGATGAGTCGGATGAAGGTGTAAGTTGTTCTTTTCTTCCTCTTCCCCTTATGGTTCTTATCAAATTCCTTAAAGGGACCAAGCTGACTTTTATAGCTCTACCGAGATGGGAAGAGAGTACTAGAATGCTTGCAACGGGCTCTCCGTGTTGCAGACTCTTGCATGGAACAAGCGACTTCAATCGAACTGTTTGTTGAAATTTTGGATCGCTATGTATACTACTTCGATCAACAGAACGAATCGGTAAGTAACTTGTCCTACTACTCGAGCGAAGCTAACCACCTATCATACAGGTCACTACCAAATACATCAATGGCCTCATTGAGTTGATCCACTCGAACTTGAGCACGAACCAGCAGGATTCGGCCAGCGTTGAGAACAGTAGGCGACATTTTAAGCATACTTTGGAAAATATCGCATCGAGACAGTATGAAGGAGTGGTTTTGCACCCACAAAAATGATGATACCTAAGATGTAGGAGTATGGTCGAGGAAGACTCTGGGTTCGTATTCAAGCAATTGCATAGTGTCACGGAGACAGCTCACTACGGCATACGTACCTAAGGTTTGCGTAGCGAGGAAATTGTACCAAAGGAGTTGTTTTTTTTTTCTCTTTTTTTTTCTTTCTTTTTTTCGGGGAAAAAGAGAGCGTCGCCGCCGTCCTGTTTGTTGAAGATAACCGTGTACATATGTATAATTCTGACGGTTTGCAAGGATTCGTTGGGCTTCCCAGGCCTTTTCAAAGGAGTCTAGGCATGTGCATTTAAGAGCTACCTAAAATTAATTACCTAGTGCCAAGCATCCGATATTCTGCGCAAATGGCTTTAGATTTTAGATTTTTGAGTTTGTTTGTATCTTGTAAGGTTAATGACTTCATTTCATTTTGTCCATCTTACATAGTATGTACCTAAGGTAGGTAACAGCTGATGGGTAATTTATATCCGGTATTTCGTCCTACCAATAAATATAGAAAGCCTACCTAGGTACTAGGTAATGCATGTACATAATGCAGCTGTACAATAACATAATAATGTACTGGGCAATACCCCCTGAATGTGGCAGTGCTTTGATGACTAACCTGATGGATTCGTCGCCCGCGTGCTCCGCAACTGGTAACGAGAGAAAGAGACAGAGAGACCTAAGGTTGAATTGAATTCAGAACACTGTTTGAGACAAGCGGAATCCCAACTACTTTTTTTTTCTAATCTTTCGCCTCATGTTGTTTGATAATCTCTTAATAAATCATTTCTCCTAGTTTTACTCTCCAATGCCCACTACGGTGGCACTTGGTCTTATGCTTGCCTTATTTTCTTGATTTCAAATTCCTATTCCAATCAATTTCGCTCCTTTTATCGTGCACTCGGCTTTTAACCACTCGTTTTATTAATCACTGCGACAAGCAAGCAAATCCCCGTATCTACGCGTAACCTAACTCACCAGACACCAGACACCAGACACCAGACACCAGACGAACGTATCCTATTTTAGAAACTCCGACCTTTTACCTAACTTGTTCTTCTTCTTCTTACTTATTACCCGCGAGATATCAATGACGTTGTACCACCAAGATGCCTTCCGAAAAGTCTCAGTATATACCACCACCACCTATACCCACCTACGATGAAGCGACCGGTGGTAACAACCCTGGATCTTCTCGACCAAACTGGCCCCCGCCTTCTTCGCCTATAGATACAAGGCCCGATCACGAGACGGAAGCGCAGTCCCTACTTTCGCGTCCTAGGCAGACCGACTCGTCGAGGCGTGCGCCCCAGGGATACCAACCTCCATATGTGGAATCCGACGACGAAGGATCGCAATGGACCCTCGATGATGACGAAAGCGATGGGGAGGATGCGCAGGTTCGGCGCGAAATGCAGGAGCTGGAAATTGAGGACCCCTTAAACGATTCAAGCTCGAGATCGTCTTCTTCATCGTGGAGGAAACGGATAGCTTCTTCTTTACCGCAGTGGAAATGGCGATGGCGGCTCCCCAGGTTTACTGTTCGATTACCTCGACAGAGCGATGCTGCAAATAATCCCGATACCGAATCCGGCGAGACGAGGAGAAGGTTTAGGATGCCGAATATTAACAGCGCCGCCATTATACTTTTGATCGGTAGGTTGCTTGCGCTTTTCCTCGTCCTAGGTTTCCTATACCTCCTATTCGTAAGCGACATCTTTACAAACATGACGAGGCGTATCGGCGGCCACATGTTCGATCCCGAAGCTGTGCGTCAATATGTACAGGCCGAAGTCAATTCGGACATGTTGAGGAATAGGTTAAGGCACTTCACGGGATATGCGCACATCGCGGGGACCGAGGGTGACTACGCGCTCGCGATGGACGTGCGGAATGATTTCATAAAATTCGGCTTGGAGGACGTTACGGTAGACGATTACTACGTATATCTGAATTACCCCAAGGCCGACGGTAGAGCTGTTGAGATTATGTCCGAAGATGGGAAGCACGCTAAGTGGAAAGCCGCTCTCGAAGAGAAAGAGCTCGGTGAAAGGACGGCGGGCCGCCAGACGTTTGTGTTTCATGGTCATTCTAAATCAGGCGACGTGAGGGGCCCGTTAATATACGCCAACTACGGGTCGAGAGAGGATTTCAAGAGGCTTGCCGATAAGGGTATTGATACCAAGGGCGCGATCGCGCTCGTTCGCTATTATGGTACCCAGACTGATCGGGCTTTGAAGGTTAAGGCCGCCGAGCTGGCCGGGTTTGCCGGATGCATCATATATAGTGATCCGGCGGATGATGGTTTCTTGAAAGGGGAGCCGGCACCTCTTGGACGATATATGCCCAATGATGGTGTTCAACGAGGAGCGGTCAGCCTGATGAGCTGGGTAGTCGGAGACGTACTCACGCCTGGCTGGGGAAGCAAGAAGGGTCAACCGCGCATGACGACGGATCAGACGGCTGGCCTCGTTAAGATCCCGAGTCTTCCCCTCGCCTGGCGTGATGCCCAGGTGCTTTTGAAGCATATCCAAGGCTTCGGTGAACGATGTCCGGAAGACTGGCAGGGTGGCGTACCTGAAGTCGAGTGGTGGACAGGGAATTCTTCGTCGCCAATTGTGCGGCTGAAGAATGAACAAGACGAGGTGGAACGACAGGAGATCTGGAACGTCTACGGTAAAATTATTGGTGTCGAACAGAATGAAAAATCCATCATCATCGGTAATCATCGTGATTCCTGGGCCTTTGGCGCAACTGATCCAAATTCGGGTACGGCTGTCATGCTGGAGGTGGCGCGCATCTTTGGCGATCTTCTAGCTAGGGGCTGGCGGCCTCTTCGGACGATTGAGTTCATGAGTTGGGATGCCGAGGAGTACAACCTGATTGGAAGTACCGAGTTCGTTGAACAGAACCTTGAGACTCTCCAAAAGAACGCTTTCGCATATATCAACCTCGATACTGCTATTTCGGGCCAGGAATTCCACGCTGCCGCATCCCCGGTGTTCCGCAAAGTTGTCTACAAGGTAATTGATAGAGTTTTCGACCCTGTTCTGAATGCTACACTTCGCACGCTGTGGGATGAACGTAACGGGGAGCTCGAAAGCCTTGGTGCCGGTAGCGACTATGTGGCGTTCCAGGATATAGCAGGTACCAGCTCTATCGACATTCGATTCGGCGGGGCTGCTCATCCTTACCATTCTTCATACGATAACTTCGACTGGATGGACCGTGTTGGGGACCAAGGCTTCATATACCACAACCTACTTAGCCAAGTTCTTGGGCTTCTCATTCTAGAGCTGTCTGACAAGCCGATATTACCTTTTGATATGGGCAATTACGCCCTCGCTCTGGGCCGATATCTGGGAGACCTGTGGCAATGGGCCGAGGATAAAGGTCTTAACAAGCACTTCAATCTAGAGCCTATCAAGAATGCGATTCAGGAGGTTGAAAAGGCTGTTTTCGAATTTGAGAAGTGGGAAACGGACTGGCAGCAAAGCGTCGTATCGTCAAACGGCTGGGAGCCGGTAGGCCTAGGTCAACGGAGAGGTGACTACAATAGCCGCATGGCGAATTTCGAGACCGGACTTCTAGATTTGGAGCTCGGTGGCGGGGTGAGTTTGAATAACCTATATTTATTTATCCCGACCCCTTATATTGACAGTTTATTACAGATTCCGAACCGAACACAGTTCAAACATGTCATCTTCGGCCCGCAGCTGTGGTCCGGGTACGACGAGGCCTACTTCCCAGCTATACGAGATGCTGTCAACGCAGAAGATTGGCCGTTAGTCCAGAAGATTATCGACAAAACTGCGCGGATCATCACAGATGCTGCTAAGGCGCTGATAGAATAAAAGAAGTTTCGAAGCGCGTATTTTTTTTCCCGGGAGCTTCTTGTAAGTCATGGGAGTGGTGCATTGTTCGGCGTTGACGGGGAAATTTTGGAAGGCGAAAGGGGAAGGGAGCCACACCATTGTATTATATATATCTATAAGGTGGTTCCAGCCTCTTTTATACGTATAGGTACGTCTAGGTACTAAAGTAGATTACTTCAGGGTATATCATCATCATCATCGTCACCATCACATGAAAACTAACTCGAGGGCTTCGGCTGGGAACAAGACTCGAGGGTGTTACTTTTTTTCATTAGAGAAGAGAAAAAAATCAAAATAAAACAACAAAACAAAAGATGAATTTCGTGAAAGGAGGCCCCCTTGCGGGAATTGAACAAAATCTACCTAAACCTAACCGAACCTAGCTTATCTGCGAATCACCTTTTTTTCTTTTTTTTTACAAACTCTTTAATCCTTCTAACCTAACCTAGTACATGACTTTTTGTGAGATACATAGCTTATTCTCGAGAGTAACTTAGGTAGGTACCTAGTTGCAAAACAATATGGAAGTCTAGCCCGCAACGAGAATAGCGAAACATTGCTGGTAGGTAATGATCGAACTTTACCCAGCGCTCTAGACGAAGAAGAAAAAAAACCGAAAACCGTGCTAGGGGGAGACCGTGAGGCCGTTGGACCGTCAGCCGGCGTTCTGGTACAGCCGCTGCCCGTAACGATGGTTGACTTCCCGCTCGGACAGCTGGGTGTCGGTCCACTGGAAGAAGCCGCAGCGGCCGGTGGCGCACTTGTAGAAGACGGTGCGGCAGTGCCACACCTGCGCGTTCGAGAGCTCCTCGCGCGACGGGTAGCCGCCCGGGCACCAGCACGGCGAGTTCGAGGGAGAGATGCGCTCGGCGTCGGCCCAGCAGGTGAATTCGCTGCACTGTTGGTCGGGGTGGAAGGATTAGAAGAATGGTATGGGGTAGATAGAGAGGTTGGTGGGTGGGTGGTCTTGGTTTTGGTCTTGGCTCGGAAGGAGGTGACGGACTAGGTGTGATGTGATGTGCAAAGGATCTAGGCGTGCGGGAGAGAAAGGGGGAGAGAAAGGGGGAGAGGGGGAGAGACTAGAAAAGGGGATCAGGGGAACGTACCTCTTTGCAGCTGTAGAAGTATCTCCCGGGACTATGGGTCGTCCTCGAAATCATGACCTTGAAGCTGACAGCAGAGCTGTCGCCGCAATGGGAGCACTGAAGGGGCTTGCGGTCGGGGAAATGTGGGTGGTGGAAGGGCTCGCCGGGAGGCGGCGGGGTAGGCGGCTGCGAGTAAGACATCGGCGGGGCCAGGGAGGTGTGGAACGGGACCGCGGCAGCCAGGCGGGGACCCAGGTCGTAGTGGCGCCGGGCGCTAGGAGAGATGAAGTAGAGCTCGTCGTCGTGGCAGTGGTCTAGGTAACCGCAGGATGCCATCTGGTCGTACCGGTCCCTTTTGTCTTTCACGTCCTCGTCCTCGTCATCCTCTACTTCTTCCTCGTAATACAGGTCTTGCGGGTTCTCCGGGTATTCCACAAACCCCATGTTTTCGCGTTCCGCCTCGCGCCAGTCCGCCTCCTCGTCGAAATCTTCGAGCTCCGGGTATTCCGGGTATATCGCATTATCCATGTGCCCGACGGGGGAAGTCGGCGAGCGGACCCTCTTGTCGTGCTCGACGGGCTCGCGCTTAACAGGAGTCGCAGGCGGCGGGTTGCTCTGCTGGGAACGACTTTCCTGCTTCTTGCTAGGTGTTTCCATGCGACGCTTTCGGGGCGATGCGGTGTCGTCTTGGTCGTCGTCCGCGTCTGCGGCGGAGACGGGCCTGCTGCGCTTCGGGACCCGGGTCGGGGTAGACGGCAGATCAAGCTCTTCCACCTTGATCTTTGTCGGTGTCGCCACCGACTGATTCGAGCGACGAGGCGCCTTGTTCTTAGGCACCACTGGCGATGACGGTTCTGGAAGATCCGGGGTGGCGTCCGCCGCCAGGGTGTTAGGAGTCGGTGCGACTTCTCTCAAAGGACTCGAAGTCTCTTCGGATTTGGGAGCGACATTATCTCCTTCGGTATCTACCGAAGCGGATAACGACTGTCCCGTCCCGGGTGTCACTGATGGCTCCTGGGGTGATACCGCCGGTTTGGCAGCATCGCGCTCCCGAGCCATAGCCGCTGTGCCACTTCTAGTGGTAGGCGACCTATAATATTATTGTTGATCAGTAAATTTTTTTTACTTCTTTTTTTTCCTTATATCGAAGTCAATTCCAATTATTATTTGTTGACTTACATATTCTTGGAAGTTTCAAGAATAAATGATTATTAGGAAGATCCGGAACTCAGGAGGGGGAGGTTTTACAACGCTCCAAGGTTTGCAACACTCGAAGGTTTTTTGGCAGCACTCCAAGATTCGAGCCTCTTGTTTCAATAAACTGATTTGTGACACAAGGAAGAAAGAATTACGAATTCCCCCGTCTCTCAGGAAGAATTTCTACTCCTGCTCGAAGTGCCTAAAAGGGTACCAAACGGGTTGCCATGCAACTACGATTTCCTAACGCTGCTGGGCAGCTGGCTAGGTTACTTCCCGTTGCCATGGCCACGTTGCCCGCTATGTAGGTGCGGTACCTGCCTCCTTCTGCCTTTTATCTCTCTAACGCAGCCGGCGTAGCTGCCATCTGCCTACCTAGTTGTTACGTTGCCTTACGAACAGAACAAACGGAACGACGGGTACATACGTATACCTACTGTCAGATGACCGTCAAATTTCTGAGATCTCCTCTTCTTAGCTGTTTTCTTCCTACCAGAGAGATCTCGTCATGTATGTATGTCGTTCGTAGAGTGAATACTAGAGACAGAGATAGCAAGTGTTGTAGGCAGTACCTATGGTGATCTATGAGCGCGTGTCCCTTACATAGTACTAGTTGTAAGGTGATATATCTTATACCTTCATTCCTAGAAGATCACTCTATCCCTAATACGTCCCAGTGGCAATTTTGCACGTAGGTGCTTACCAAAGTCTTGGTGAATTGATAGGTATTGGGCGCCATGACTGAAAATTATACCTACCCCCTAGGTTGGGCTCGAGATGCTGCAGGTAGCCGGCCGGGGCTCGATTCGTGGTGGGCTATAGTTTCTACGCATGTTTAATGTTTACAAGAACTGTTCGTATGAGTTATTTAAATTGCACTAAGTAGCTTTCGCATTAATTAATTACTTTATTGATGTAGAGTATCAGAAGGCGGGCCGCTACTAAAGGTTTGATAGACGCCTTGACAGAGAAGTTTAAAGTTCTCTGGGAGATGGTTAGAACTGACCGATAGAAACTGGTAGAAGATCACAAGATGCTTGATGGCTAATCATAACGCCATCATGGCTTGCATGCGCCGACACTGCACGTTGGAGTCGCCATGCTGCAAGGTGTGATTATTCGGTAGCAACTAGCTGTTATCAGCTAGAAGCTAGTTCCCTGCGTGCAGGCAGTAGGTATGTCACCATGGACCGTCAAATACAATTCTTCCAATAATTTCTCCTCTTAAAGCCTGTTTTTGTTCCTGCTTTGTAGGTAGTTAATCGTACGTACGAATTGCTTGTTGACTGCAATAAATTGCAAAATCTATTATAGGTGTGGTACAGGTACCTAAGGTAAGTGATCTATTGAGGCTTAGCATTCCGGGTGTCTAGGAGGGTGCTGCCCTCCCGGAATTGGTCCCCGGCGCCTCCGGCCATCCTTTGGAGTAACCGGAACTGCCTCTCGGAGCTCCGCGATACGCTAGTCATGCATACATCCCGGACGCTTATATAATTGTATAAGTGCGTATGTCTCACAAAATTGACGGCCCGGGCTCAAACTCGGCGTAAACTTTTTTTTTCTTTTTTTTTTTTCGAAATCATATATTAAGTAATTTTGCTACTTGGAACGGTTTGGCGCTAGACCTATTGTCTCAGGCAGACTTGACTCTTTTGTGATAACTAATATGCCGATGTGACGATATTATATAACAGCCATCCGCGTTAGTGTCTAAACAGCACTACTCTATTATTATAGAATGAGAAATAGGTTATCTTCCATCCTTTCCTACGATTTATGTAGTTATTGGTTTTCTTTTTGAAAGGCATTTTATTCCACTGTTGCATTTGTACTTGTTCGTTCTCTGAATCAGGTAGTTGAAAGACTAGCCTAATATGTCTTTAGAACTTTCTCAAATCCAGGTTTCTTTTTTAGATAGGTACCCTAATCAGGGTTGATGTTGATACTACATGTACCCAGGCGTTTATTTCAGTAGTCACACCTTTCTTTAGAATTTTTTCTTATCTTAAGGTAGCCACCTACCCAACCTAAGGTAACTTAATTCCTACTTGCAGCGTTAACTCTATTCGTCATAGAAACTCGTTATTACCTAATAAGTCCAAGTCTATTTAGCAGACCCCCTTTAATAAGGTAAACAACTTGCTCTTTCAACTTGCTCCGCTGTCTTTTTTTTTCATCTTTTTCCTGTTGGTAGCTTATATTCCTAAGCATGATATTTATAGAACAAAGTTATTACTTGGTAACTTAGGTTATGATGAGTCATCAGAACTGCTACGTTATATTATAGGTGCGGTTGGCTTCGTAACGCAAAATTTTACTGACCCAGTTTCAGTCCATTGTAATTCGTGTACAGCTCTGAGACCGCTATTTGCACCATGGCGTACTATGTATATATACAGGCCCGTTTCACGATAAGGCTAGGTATCTACAGGGCTGCAGGACCAAAGGATATCTAAAAGTTTAGACGATAGCGTTGGATACGTATGTTGCTTGGTGGAGCTTCAACTAGGTTCGGAATCACGTCTTTTCCCTTATCACATGAAAGGAGATACTGTGTAATAGTACGTCGTGTTTATAATCCACCACGTTTCCGAGAGCTCCACCTGAACCCGCTCAATAACCTATTGCTTAAGAAGGCGGGTAGGTACGGAGAATCCGGAGAGTACGGAGAACATATTTGAGTTTATCTGGAGGTATGGGGAAGACTTGGATATTCTTTATCTAAGCCCCGGGTTTCTTAACGCCTAAACACACTATCCCGCATCATCTTACGACGAAATCTTCTTTTGTTGAGGCTTCATATGTTTCTTCCTGTTTACCTGGCGAAAACGAAACTTTAATGTGGGGTCTTGAGGCGGTCTACATATGATCGTGGTATGATTAGGAATATGCAAGCGTGCCAATCCGCGAATCCAATCCCATTATCGCCGATCTTTTTTTTAAAGGGTCCATGCAAGGTCCCAACTGCATGCACGGAAGAGAGAGGATCCAGAACAAACGTCTTTATCAGACCCCAGGGGGTGTTTCCGCTTTACGAGGCTAGCTTTTCCTAAGCTCGGGAATAGATGTGCGATTGGCTCGAGAGCTGACGTCTACGGCGATACGGAGGACCTTGTTGGTCCGGGAAATTGAGAACCCGGCTGGTCATTCGATGTTTTGATAAGAGGTCGGCCTGTAATATTATCGTTGTCGATGCTATATGCTATTATTATCTTTGTTTTCCTTTTTTCCGTGTATGTTATTGCTCTACAGCGTCGAGTATATATAGACATATTCCACCGTCGGGTAAAACTAATCAGATAGGATCGCATTAGGTACCTCCTATCAGACTAGATTCTTAATGATAACGGATTAGTGATCACGGAGGAAGGTTGAAGAACGACGAGACACCATGGAGGCACCCCCTTTAATGCGCATTCCAGCAGAGGTGCGGCTCATGATATTCGAATATCTCTTCGACGACGGCGGACACAAGCAGTTGCAAATTCGGAACGCAGAAGCTGGAAAGCTGCCGAAGACAGAAAACAGACGGCGAAAGAGATTCCATACATTAGACCGGAGCTTTCAGCGGCGGTGTTACGAGACGACCTACCGACTCCAAACCGAGGGCGTCAACTTCTGGACATCTATCATGAGAGTAAACAAGACGATATATGAAGAAACGACATACTTGTTGTACGGCAGACATACATTTGACTTCGGGGACGCGATCGAGGCAGTCGAGCCCTTTCTTTCGGACCTAACGCCCCAGAGCCGCGGGCTTATCCGCGAAATATCCCTGTACAAGCGGGGGCCCGTGCACCCCTACAACAACGACCGGGGCGAGTGGCAACGCGTGTGCCGGTTCCTTGAAAACAACGGGTCTGTCAGAAAGCTGCGGTTGGTCGTCCAGTGTGGCCGCCCCATTGCGACGTGGGAAGGGCCGAAAGAATTCACGGCTGCAGACCTGAAGCTTCTTTTCGACCTCAAGCACGAAAGCCTCGACTGGGTTGGCGAGCTCGCCCGCGTCAGGGGCATCGAGGAGCTCGAGATCCTCCCGGATGTCCAACACTGCCCCCCACCGTCGTCTACCAACATGATTATTTTCGCGGCTCTATCCGCTTCCATCGAGAGAGGCCTAACGGAGTTCCTGCGAACACAGTTATGCTTACCTCTATAATGTGCAAATTGCTTGTGTTAGTTCATCGTTACCGAGGATGGCGTAAGAAAAAGTGGTTATTACAAAGGGGAGAGTCATGGGTTAAATTAGATGGTACTTGGGAAGAGTTCTCTACCTCTTACAATGCTAGCCTTTACTAGGGTTATAATGAAAATTGTTCAAAATTCTGCTTATTCGGTTAGCTGACAACCTGGAGGAATGCAGCTGAATGCTGATGATATTTTGGAAAAACAACTTACGAATATGCATATATCCGTATTATCTATCTAAAGCGTAATAAATCCTACGATTGAATGCGGGTTGGGTAGCAAAAAAAAAAAAAAAAAAACCTGGAAGTACTTTAAAGTGAACCTCACCCAATAGGAGGCCGAGTCAACAGATGTCTTCATTGCTTCATAGAATAACTAACTATACTTACCTATCTAGATAGGCGCATGTAGTTAAAAGTGATTATACCATTGTGAGCTTTAAGGTGGGAGGGAGAGGCTTTAGTTCACAAAGCATTTGATCATAATAAAGCTTGCTTACCCAAGGAAGCAGAAGAAATCAAAAGATTGAAGTAAATTTCGAAGTAAATGAAGGTTGATTACCGGTTATGGGTGAGTTCAGGGTATCTTATTATAAATCGTTCACTAGAAATTCGAAGGGAAATAGCTTAGGTAGGTAGATTGGATGAAAAGAAAAGCACATGGAAAAGTTGGAATGCCCTCAGAAACTTCTGTCTTTCATGGCAGTTTCCTGCCCAGATAAGCCAATGCATGTTATTTCTGTTTATTATCATCACCGGGCAGAAAAAGATAGTATGAGCCAACAAGAAAGCTTAGTGCTAAAACAAATAAACCACTTGTCAGGAGTCTCACTTGAGACTCCTTGGAACAAAGGAGTTATTCTGTATATAGCTTTGGTCTCAAAGCAACTGTAGTTAGAGTTCCTTGAGGAACAACGAAGTTGTTTTACCTACTGCATGCTCTGCGACGTGACACCACTCGGTTGCATATGGCTGGCTCATCGGATATTAAAACTTGCTTTTTAAGTGTTCCTGGTAGTATTTAACAGAACTTGGTTGGCCAATTTGCAACTGCTTATCTATCTTGGACCCCTGAAACGAGTATCCCATCGTTGTACTTGCGTGAGCTGAAAAGGGGTCAGTTTGCTTTCATGATTTATTCGGTTCGATAATTAACCTCCTTCGAACAGCCCAGCGGGGAACTAGACTACTGTTGTGTAATGATCGATATAGAAACGAAAACCTCCAATTTAAAAATGTAAAGAGGGGAAGGTCTCGACAAAGCAGTGAGGCCAAGGGGCCAAGCTTATAAGTACCTACACAGAATTTCGATTAGGTAAGTTGCAGATCAGTTACGGGAAGCCAATCCCGTCACAATATCCTAGGTACTTGGACAGTTATCCTAGTATTGGTTACCAAATAGATATCAAATTGAGGCGCAGCGTTGGTTGTCTTCCCTTACCTCTACATCTCTACGTAGTACCTACGGGGCTGAAAACAGTGGCTTAAGGGGTTCGCAAGTGAAGTTGTGCTATCAACGTCTTACCCTTCACACGATTCTTGAGTACAGATAGTTGATCTAGTACCTAGGACCTTCTTGTAGATTTATAGCATTGGCTGGTAAAGGCGGCCCAAGGATGATGTCTAAGCACTTACTGAGATGTTTGCCTAGAACAACAAATTATAGGGCTGGCCGAGTCTAGGCTTGTCGACGATAATTGCCCGCTATCATCTAGGGGAATAGAGGAACCTTCGATCGTTTCTCATCGGCATAATTCAAGAGTCCTCAAGTGCTTCTTGATCGACTAGATGCCTAGTGCAAGGGTAATAGAAGATTAGGTTAGGTAGGAGGTAGCTGTCATGCTGCCACGCTAGGTACCTACCCAAAGGTAAAACGATGTCAACGCGTAGGCACGCACGCACACGGACAGCACCGTCACCCATGGTAATTCAGAATCACAGAAGTACGCGTTATATTTTATTATGAAAACGATTGAGACTGTACATTCAGACTCAAAAGTAAACAGTGTAAAGTTGTAAAAGATAACTAACAATAAGAGTTACACACTATCGCTCCCTAAAGCAAACCACAGCCAATGATAACATACCTCTTCGTTTTGCGGCTACCGGCCCAAGTTTCCCATTACCATTACCATTCCCGTTCCCGTTCCCGTTCCCGTTCCCGTTCCCTTTTCTTCTCATTCCAACCTTGGCAAGTATTCCGCGAAAGTCGTCTGATATACTCCAGCAGGCATCTCCCGCAAGCTCGAAAATGCCACTGCAATGATAATTAGGCGTGCCAGCGTGTAGAAAATAGTAACTATATATATAGAGCCAAGCAAGATCTTGTCACCCATCTTCCTGCTCCTCGATTTAGCTGTCTCGTGTGGAAAGGTGTCAGTTCTGTAGGCCTTTTCATCGTGACTGATGAGAATTTCTTGTTCAAAGTCACCTTTCCTGGTGAGGTAGTCATAGAGCCTTTCGAGATGAATTAAAAATCTGTCAGGAGGTCTGTTTGTCTCGGGCATATTCCAATTCTTGTTGAAAAAATCGATCATGGACTCCAAGACAGGGATTGTAAAGATGTCATGATAACTCTCCGGCTTGTCCGCGGGTTCTTTCAGCTTCTCCTGAATTTTATCCAACTTACCCATGAGGTTCTTAAGGCTCTGATCTGAATCTGGTCGCTGCGCTTCGAGCTTTACGAAGTCCAATGTCCAACGGCAGTGCTTCTTGAAGTCATCGGCTTTCTGCCGTATGTCGTGTTTCTTGGTCCCAAAACCACAGCATCTTTCCCAAATGAAAAGACGTGGGGCATAGGAACATATAAGAAGTAATAAAGGGATACCCGCCGATGCAACTGACGCAACTCTCCACATGATTGTCTCGACCTCGGACGGGAATGAGAAGTCCCATGCTATCAGATGTAGAGAACCGATTATAACCATGCAAATAATCAAGATGGGAAGGAAGAGTTTACTAATATGGTAAGGCCGTAGAGTGTCATTTCTGAAACAGGGTCCGCGATTCTTCCGAGGTCCATTTAGCGATTTCCGTTTCATGGTATCACGAAAGCGGTGCGGCTCGTAAAATTTCCTCAAGTCATAATGTTTGTTCGCAAGGTCAGTCCAAACTTCGACATTCTGCGGTTTATTCCAGCGTATTATGTACGTGGCAACTGCACAAGCAGCAAAAGCTACGGTCATAATTTCAAGCTGAGACATTGGACGGTGGAAACATCCTCGAGCTATGGCTGAGATTAGGATCCAAAAGATTTGTAGGAGGGCGATTGCCTTTGCTAAGGCTTCCCTCTTAACCAGACGGTCGATATGAGCCTCTGAAATTGGCGCTTTGACCGGTTCTGATGGTTCTGGTTCTCCTGGTGCTCCTGATCCTTCCGATGTTTTTGATGTTTCTGGTACTCCTGGTGAGTCTGATGCTTCCGATGCACCAACGGGCTTTAATATTTTTGACCACATTCTTGCCAGTACCGATGGTGGCTCGTAGGGGCCTGGGCCTTTTATGTTCAGATATCGTATTAGCTCTTTGCCAGTGAGAGGGAAGATTCTAGTTGGTTTGTTCTGGCTATCCGTGGCATCGCCCATGATGTTGATCCGAAAGCCACCCATGTTTGCATAGTAAAGGTGTTTCTTTTTCCAGTCATAGTTTTCTTCATATTCCAAAGCAAATGTGCAACACCTGCTACGCTTGCTACGCTTCGCATTGACTCGTTTCAACTCTTTCCAAGTGTTGCGGACCCAGAGATGCTCGTCGATCGCCAGGGCCAGGATAAACTCAGGGACCAGGACTGTTGCAGCCATCCACTTAAGATGGTGCAAGAATCTTCCCAGCCTGGTCGCTGGCTTTTTTTTAGGGATGTTTGGATGTTGGATAGTCCAAGTACAGGCCACGATGGTCAGGATACAACTCTCGAGGATGCTCGCAGTTCCGCGCTGGGTAGGGTTGGGCTGCCACCCGACCAAACCATTATTATCGTCGGGCTGAGAAGGCTGTGTGCGGTCCTGTGCTATAGCTACGGTCGATAGATAGAGAAGTAACGCGAGCTCAATTGGGAGCTTGAAGACGGTAGCCATCACGATTAAGAAATGATATAAGACTCAGGTCATCTGGAATAAGCTCGAGACTTTCAATGCCCCAACATGGGAGCTGAGAGAGAGGCCCATGAACTTGGTTTGTCTCCCGTTATTTAATAAGGTCATCCGTGTCTTTCTACGGATAAGAGTAAACTGCAGCCACAAGAATACGAGTGCAACCTAAACCGGCTTATTGGCCCTTGGCCAATATTTAGTAAACTGCCTCGAATAAGCGTGCGGATACTATTGGCCAAATTTTCATATTCAGCTGGGTAGGTAGTCATAAGGTACTTATCTCTATCTAACGTGGGTAGCTGGTATTGGACGTCGATATGGAGGTTACACATGGGCTTTGAAAATGTAACCGTCAGTCCCCCGCTCTGAGCTGACAATCACTCACCTCAATTACAATATCCAGTAACGCCATCTCGAAGACTTTCGTCGAATAAATCTATTCAATTCATCTCATCCGGTACATCGTTCTACTCCAAGGCCAGATCGCTTTGTTTTCTTTTTTCTTCTCTTTTCTTTTTCTTTCTTTTCTAGAAGAAAACGAAAAACAGAGGGAAAAAAAAATCATGCCTGCTGAAAATGAAACAGCCGTGGAATCGCCAGATGGGCTCAAAAATGATAGCCAATCTCACGACGAACAGGAGCTACTTAGATTGGCCGAGACAGGGGATGCGGACAAGATAGACTCGCTACTAGAAGGAAAAGAGCTAAACCTCGACGCTGAAGACAGCAAAGGCATGACTGCACTAGCAATTGCAGTTAAGAACGAGAGAGTAGAAGCAGTAAGCAAGTTGCTAAAGTACAGGCCAGGACTTTATATCCCAGACAAGAATGGAATGACTGCGTTTCACTGGGCAGCGAAAAACGGCGACTCCAACATGATGGGAACGCTTTTACAAGAGAACCATAAAATTACGACAAGCGAAACTACTACAGGAAGCAAATCGACCGACGGAGGAGAACCGAGTTCAGATGCGGGAAACGAGGCAGGCGGAAGCAACACTGGGGATCCGACGGCTGAAGATACACACGATGTTAAAAAGAAAAGGACTCAGGTGGGGTTGAATATCGACTTGTTAGATTTAGAGCACAAGACGCCCCTTTATCTGGCTTCTGAGAGCGGAAGCGTTGAAACGGTACGGAAGCTACTAGAACATGGTGCAGACGAACGTCTTCAAGATACGGGTATGAGGACACCGATCGATATAGCCGCCCTCGCCGGCAAACAAGACGTTATAGGAGAGCTATCGGCCGAAAAGTGGAATACAGGTGGACTGGGAGTGATGCCAGCCTATTGCCTCTTTCCAAATTTTGTCACTCTGCATAAGGAACTCAATTTTCCCACTCTGCATGAGGGAACCCTAGATCTCGGGGCGCTCGTAGCGGGCCCAAAAAGCATGAACCCTCTCCCCAAACAGATAAATAACCCCCTGTTCAATAAGGATCATATCTACGGCAGAAAGTTGTCCGGGTTTAAAGTGTCGCTGACCGAGGCCAAGACGGGGCGATACGGCCCGTGGGCAAAAGCTATGGCGAAGAGACTTGCACCTAAACTTAACCAGACAGGATACAACACCATCAAAGTTGACAACATAGAGACGAAGTTCTTTTACCCTTCCCAAGAATACAGAGACGAATGCATGAAAATGGCTCGAAAAGAAAACCCAGACTATTCCAGGTTCGCGTCGATTTACGTGGTAACGGGCATGAAGATAGCGCATGGCGCTTGCTTAACCAAATCACCCCTCACCAATACAGAACCGAAACGGGCGGAGAGGACTTTATCATTCAATCCTTTGTCGAAATCTGAAAAGAAGGCAGGAGATCAGAATGTGGAAGAGCAGGAGGTAAAGGTCGACGAAATACTTAAACCAGACTTTGTCCTAGCAGTCTGCCTGTGGAGGGTATCCAGCGGACTTTTTTTGTCAAGGATGAATGAAGCATATGGCTATCCGAAGTATATGATCAAACCCTCGAAGTGAATCCGCATTTCCTACAAGCCATGGTTATGAGTGGATGTTCTCTTCGCTTTAGAAACGTATTGGATGGGACGGTCTGTCATGTAATAGTGCTTTGGATCAAGGTGTTTGGTAATAGTTTAGGTCCTGAGATGGGCCTGTGGTACGGAAGACCCTTTCAAACGTTTTACCAACAGGGACACTACTGGCAAATTGTGTGAGGTATCTGAGAGCTTTGGATTTTATGTACATCCCCCCCCCCCCCCCCAACTCTTTTCACTATGTTAAGTAGGTACTTAGGTAGCCTTCCAATCAATTTAGGCGATGTCACAGATGAGGCATGATTGATCATATTGACAGGGATATGTGGACATAGCAGAGATACACTTGCTATATAAAGGGGGGGAGCCAGCTCCCTCGTAAGAAAGAATAGAAGGCCGGGCGTTACTAGATCACGCCTCAATATACCTACTGCATGTACGGCCCTGACACTCACTCTCTATCGATCATCATCAAGAGCATCAAACCTTCTTGACATGTATATGTCGGACATCTGTCAGGGGTATGGGGGGACTAGGACGTAATTGGGGATAGATCCACTAGGATAGTAGTATATAAAGAGCACACGCAGCTTCTTCGAAGGTGCTTCGAGGGGCAAGCGCTAATATATCACCAGTCTGCACACTTGCTACTGTCTCTAGTGGTCACTCTACGTACGACATGCATCACAGGATCTCTCGTGCAACACCGCAAAGATATCGTTTCCTTCACGTTTACCTACCGTAAAGGGTCAAATTTATCCGGGCCACCCACCATTTTATACCAAAACTTAGCCTTGTCACTCTGTGATAACTTTACCAATAAAAATGATAAAAATAATTTCTGAGCTTGCTGTTATAGGTATCTAAATAGGCTAAAATTAGCATTCACAAGTTCTTTATATACTCAAAATTGGTAAAGCTACCGTGGTTGAAAGCTGACTTAAGTTGACTTTTTTTTTAATTTTTTTTCTCATACCGAAAATCGGGATTTGTATGGGGAACTCTCCAAAACTTAACATGACTCAACTTCTAACCAAGGTAGCTTTACGAAATTTGAATGTATCGAAGACTCTTATATACAAAGAATATATCTAACTCAAATCTCTACAGAATAAAACTAAGATCTCAATTTTACCACTTTTATTGGTGAATATATAGCAGAGTGACAAAGTAGCAAATGGCCGATTTTGGTGCGAATTTCGAGGTGGGCCGGATATCTTTGGACCCTGACTGTATATTTTGGTCATGCACGTCTTTAGCCACTTGCGGGGATATAGGGCTGTCACAAGAAGAGCCTCGGGGAAAAGGGGGGAAGAGGGGGTTGCTAAGTCCAAGGCAAGCTGCAGACCCGATACTTAAATACTTGGGATCTATGGTCAATACTACTGATCCTTCTACTATCCTAGATATAATTAGTAGGGTTACACCTAGTTACTACAATATTATGTTGTGGAAAGGGGGGGGGGGGGGGGGGCGGGGGGGCATTGGTAGGACACCCTCAATAGACTGCTAAGATATCGGACGCACGTAACTTGACTACGATGATCACAGGTCTCAACGTGCTCTCCCAGAATGGGTATCTGGTATGGTTAGCTGCGAGCTTACCGCGTTCGTATGTGCCAGCGAGTCCCAATCGGAACAAGGTAACATAGAATCTGAGACAAGCAGTATGTATTAATGCCGTTCTGAATCAACCCCAATGTGACCTCAGAATACCAGCAACCAGATGCGACATCTATCGTTCGTCCTAATACTGCTTTTAGTCTCGAGCCAAAGTATAAAAGCTACAGAAAGAGGGGAGCTGCCAAACTCTAGAATGAATAATATACCTACCTCTGCATCAACTACCTAGCGCGCGTACGGGTCTCCTTCCTAGGAGCCTTTGATCTTATAACCATACACGTCGTACGCCAAGAGAGGACTAACAAAATGCAGTTCCTATATTGTCATACTCTCCAGCGTCACGCAAAGGTCTACATACAACACTTCGAATATCGTATTTGTACGCTGGTTGGCTACCTCGCGTACTTATGTCTATAAGATGGCGACCCCCCTCCCCCTTCCCTTCCCCGCGTGACACAATAGTCTGCGGTAAAATATACACTTATCTGCAAGTCAGACTTGATCTTTTACGCCTTATGTGTATACTATTATTAGCATTGCGAAGGGAACTTGATGCCATTCCAACAAACATGAATTGGACCTCAAACGGCCCGTGAAAGGTAAAAGGATATACAGCTACCTGTCTTATATAGGAACTCCTCACTAACGTAACGCAAACTAAAGATACTTCAAACATATTCGTTCGTGACTCGGATCCTCTTAGTCGGATCCTTCTCTTTAATGTATGACAGCTAAGTAGTCCTTCCAACTACGGAAGGCTCTAGACGCCGTGGCACACACCATTATCGGACGACCTGCAGTAAGATCTCGAGAGGGCCTAGTACGCATTTATACCTCAATATCTAGTAGCTAATGAGCAGCGCATCGCAGAGGACAGTCGGGTAAAGGTAATATAAGTCCATCTGTGTAGCTCCAGACATTGATAGGTAATTGCCATTGAAATGCATCAAAGAGGCTCTTTCTCTCTTTCTCTCTGCCCTTCTCCCCCAAACCTTTTCGGATTACCTTAAGTATAGGTAAAGATAGGTGTACATCTCCAGTTTATTATGAGACCCGTCGAGTCAGGTACGAACAAGCGTCACGCAAAAGGACTAGAAACATGAACGAAACCGACCTCTTCATATCCAAGGGCACGTGCTTCTTCGGGCCGGGCCAAGTCGCCGACCCGAAATACCTCCCCTGCGGGAACTCGGAGCTGCTCGGCCCTCAGCCCTGCTGCTACGCCGGGGACTTTTGCATGTCGAGCACGGCTTGCTTCGACAGCGACAGTACGCCTTCCTTCCTTCCTTCCTCCGCACAGGAAATATACCTACCTACCTACCTAACTAACATACTATAGCCGTCGTCACGTACCTCGCAGGCTGCACGGACTCGACCTTCACCTCGGCGAAATGCACCAACAAGTACGCGTACCCGGACCAGCAGTACGTGGCGATCGCGCGGTGCGAGGGCAGCCAGGTCGACATCTGGTCGGGGTGCGCCAAGCACCCGGACTGGGTCGCCATCCAGAAGGAGCCCGACTGCGCGTGCACCGCCTCCAAGGCCCTGATCCGCAACCCCAACGGCAAGTCCAGCCTCGACGAGATCGCCCGCCTGCCCACCGCCGGGAGCACCATCAGCTTCAACCCGACTGCCGTCCCCACGCTTACGTCCACGTCCACGTCCACGTCGACTTCTGCTACTGCTAGCCGGCAGGATGCCGACGCGGCGCCGACGTCTAGTAGTAGTAGTAGTATCTCAAACCCGCCGCGGGACCAATCCTCAGACACGAAAGTAATCGTCGGCGTGACCGTCGGCGTAGGCGTGCCGCTCCTCGCAGCGCTCATATTCCTCTCCTTCCTCTTTCTACGGCGGAAAAAGCTCTCGTCCGCAACCGCAACCGCACCAACTTCCTCCTCCCAGTCCCCTCCGCCTCCCGATACCAAAGCATCACCAGCACACCCGTCCCAGCAAGCCTTCGCCACCGCTCAAGGAATCCACGACGAACAATTATCGCCCGCCGGCATCGAGCCCACCCACTCCTCCCCCTCCCCCCCGCCGCCGCAGCACACCTCCGCCTGGTACGGCGGGTACAACAGCAAGCCCGAGCTAGAAGCGAACTCGGCGCAGAAACCCGAGCTCGCGGGCGACGAGCCGGGGGCCTTCACGACTTCCAGCTGGACCTCGGGCACCCTCGACAGCCGGCAGATATCGGAGCTTTCGGGCCACGACGCGGTGACGGGTGCGTCGCGGGAGAAGTATAATCAGGAATAGGCGAATTGTGCTGCGAATTTAAGGGGTATTACGTTAGGTTAGGTACCTAGGTTAAGTAGTTATTGGGTTATAAGCGGTAGAAGTTGCAAATACATACCTAGCGATACGGCTTATAACAATTTTTTTTTTGGCTTGGACGGAGCCATGGAAATAATATTAAGATAATAAGCTCTTTGAGGGTGCTATCAAGCTGACAGTCTTACGCGCTTTCCTATATTGTGATGTGTGTCATTTAGCTTGGCTTCTTATTGATCAGCTACCTATAGGAATTGTAAGCGTGGTCGCCCCAAAAAGGGGCTAATTTCAGTGTAGGTACCAGGTACTTTGGAGGCTAAATAATTTAATAATCTCGGGAAGTACCTCAGGTAAAGTATCGCAGGTCAAACTCAACTCTTAAAGCTAACACTATGGTAGTGAATAAACAATACGTTTATTGACTCGAAAATGTAACCCTTCGTACCTATTGAATTCGCATGTGAATAAATAAATCCCAGCAATTCTCTTGTGGTATATCCCTTTCAAATTGCTATAATGCTAATACCGGATGTTCTGACCAGCTCATTTGATAATAAGAAATATGTTGGAATGTTGACTCCTTCTAAACCGCGAAGGTCACTCTGGCGTTACGTTTCGATGGCCTCTCAAGGGTCTCAGCCTCGGTGTTTTCATCAAGTGGGTCGCTGACCGTCGACGACAGGTCATGAGTCCGTTTCAGGCCTTTATTCAATCGAAATAGGATGGGTACGGTTTTGCCTGTTGATATTGGTGCATCTGACCTTGTCTTCCCATCTGGGCTACCTGTGACCAATCCCTCATCCGGGTGAAGTTCGCGACCAAACCCTCTACCAAAGACATATTGGGGAGTCTCTAACATCGCGGTTTGTGCGACGCCATCTTCTTCGTCAGGCAAAGGTACTATTTTTGCATTCAAGATCCACCGATATATAAGTCTGTCGTCCAAGATTGACTTCACTTTGCTATGCTCGGCGTGCGTCATTTGCTTGCGACGATTCACAATAACTTCCTCGATACTGTTTCGCAAAACGAGCGTCTCAACAGACACCGGCTTTTGCTGGCTAATTCGTCGCGCTCTTCCGATAGCCTGCGCCTCGACCTGTGGGTTTAATACTGGACTGATGAAGTAGATCCGCGAGGCAGACCGCATATCGAGACCAAATGCGGCTTGGCTTATATCCATCAGAAGAACTCGAAACTTCTGGTTGTGTGTAAACGTAGCAACGTATTGCGCTCTTCTCTCTGCACTGAGACCAGCTCTTGCGTAGATTAAATAGTGAATTTGTAACTATAATTCTAGTTAGTAGATATACCAGTAGGTAGACGTAGATGTGACCTCTTACAATATCCAGCACACCGGCTAAGTAATATGCAACATTTTCGTTGTCATAGAAAACAATAATCTGCTCTTCGCCTTGATACTTGACGATGGAATCAATGAGATAGGAGAGCTTGGCCGAAACAGTCGAGATAATTGCCGTCTTGGCTAAAGGCTCCGCGACCTTAATATGGCCCGCTAGCCCCATTCCGACGCCTTGTGCGTCCTCGTTGAGCGGTTGCGTCTTCTTCCCTAGTGAACCTGATTTCGGTATCGCATGATAATCACCCCCAAGTGCGGTGTTTCCCGCTAACGCCGAAGCCTGGCTATGCTGCGTCGCAACATAACCGGAAGCATCCATTGCTGCCATCAAGGCTTGAGAACGCTCGGCCGCACCTTGCTGATCAAGTCGACCACTTTCTATCATCAGCTGCAGAGATGTCGGGGCGTCAATACAGGGATTCAAAAACTTCTGCAATGCATGTATCATCCCGGCATCAGTGCAAATTAGCTGGCCATCGGCCCCGGAATCATCAAGTGACCAGTTCTTTCCGCTGCCCCCAGGAAAGTTATTTATATAGAGAGGCATGGCGTGGAATTTGTTGCTTACGTCTTTCAACCGGTTCTTTACGGCAATTTTACCGAAGTCGATTGCTTGTGTCAGTAGGTCGACGTCCTCGTTACTGATAGGAATATCCTTCTTCTCAAGAAACTCTTCTGCAGTCTCCAATGCTTTCGCAATATCTTCAGCTGAGTAAAACACGCCGCCAAAGAAGCAGGCCTGTCTTAAGTTCCTAACGAGTTGGCCAAGACTCTTACGCTGCCTCTCGTGGAAGAAGTAATCCATGTCTGTCCGCTGCGACTGCACCGAGTTGAATATGATCATCATCGAAAACAGATTCAGGGATAGCTTGTCTTGATACGAGCCATCCAGTAGCACGATCTTTTCTTCGACTGGGGGAAGCAGTGTGCTAATATCTGAAAGCTGATGGCGAATTATCAGTGAGTTCAGAGCCGTCCTCAGACAATCTTTGCGATTGTGGCCCTTAGAGTGCTGCTTCTGATGCATTACGTATGTGTTCCAATCCGCTACACTATCACCGACCTCGTCCTTCGTGTTGGCCCACGGGCGAACCTTGAGGTACTTTGCCACAAGGTTACCAATTCTCTGTAGATCCTCCCGTTCTTGCCGTAAGGTGGACTGCATCCTCACCTTTGCACCCTCATTGCTAGCCGCAGTTCTTGTCTCAGAAGATTGTTGTTGTTCGACGCCGTAGAGACCTCTCGAAGGAGTTCCCGTGACGACCCATCGGGCAGCAATCTCAAGACGGTCGAGAACTCTCATAACATCATTCTTCCAGCTTCTACTATTATTTCCCAGCTTATGGCCTTCGTCGATAATGCACCGCTTGAATCGAATATAATTGAGGGGACAATAAAAATCCGAAATCGAACCCCCTATGACCATATTCTCTTTCTGGATCCACTCAAAACGACTCTCAGAAAAGAGGATCAAGTCATAATTTAACAGTGAGGTGAGCGGCGGGATTGCTTTCCTGTCTACGAGTACAAGAGTGTTTAAACCGGTTGTATGTTTCTTGATCTCATTCTGCCATTGTTTCACAAGGTTGTTAGGAACAATAAGGAGCGTAGCATGGCTCAGATACACTTCTTTAGGTGGCGTGATACGAGGCGCGGTTCTGTTACTTCTTCTTGGCTCAACTAAGGCATTCCGTATCTTATATATTGCACGGTTCTCTGGTCGAGTCAAGGCATCTATGCAGTTCTGGTACTCAAAACCAAACTGGGCAGCAGATGCCTCGAAATAGGGCTTCCATGCTACAGAATGCTTATTCGCTGTGGCTGCAGCCATGTCAAGCAAGCTTGCGATTTTCAGTCTGGGAGGCACTTCAGCAACAAATGGTTCTGGAACTTTTGTCGGTTCGCTTTTTGTACAGAGGATGAGGGCCAGGCAGATGAGAGTCTTTCCGGTGCCCACTATGACAATAGTTAGCGATCCCCGTTTATAGAAACTAATCGTTGCTAGATAGGTTACTGGGAGTTGCTCAGCCTGATCACGGGTGCTAAATGCGGAGAAAGCAAAAGCATGTGATGTCGCTGCTAGAAATAAGAGGCAGAGGGCCATGGATACATTCTGGAATTGACTCACTTTCTTCAGCTAGAATTCCACCCCGCACCCCATCATAGTATCTAGGTTCTCTCAAAACCATGCCCGAGACATCATCATAGTACCAAGGTCGTCCCTCTTGATCGAGTACCGATCGAAAGCGGGGGTCAATAATCCTGCCAGGACTTTCTTCGCGTTGGAGCATAAGTGCTGCCGATCTACCTTGATAAGGATAAAGCTTCGTGGTAAGCCCAGGAACCTGACTCTCTAGCAGACATTGCATCCCGTCGCGGGTGTCAAGGTAAGCTTCCAGCTCGGGGAGAGGATTTGGAGAAGGGACACTGTTGAACATGGTTAATAGGGACGTGTGCTCCACATCGAGTAGGTGGTCACTCTGGGGTCCTGGCTCTTCGTGATTATCTTCTTCGCCATTCCATGATTTTGATGAGAAATCCAGCTGTGATATGAGAAATGATATCACTTTCGAAAGATCATTTTTGAACTCGATAATACTTCTGTCAACATCTTGAGGGAGGATGTAAACTCGGATGCGACCGCTGCTAGTGAGATCGGAGGCGAGCCCAAAAGACATCTGGATCCAACGACTCTGCCATAATACTATGAATGGTTGTAATAGAGGTAGCCTGAGAAGTGCATCCTGTGCTTGGCCTGGAAGGCAGATAGGTTCCGGGATATCATCAAGGCCACGAGAGAAAAACTTCCATATCTGTGGTTTTAAGTCTCCCAAGAATTCAGGTGGTAGTATGATACCTGTACCATCTACGGATAGCTTGAGACATCCAGCAGGGATATATTTGTTGAGCCCTGGGATGTCTATTCCGGCTGCCATTGCAGCGCGTTACTAGGTGCTACCTAGTAGTACAAGAGCTGTGTTAGTGAAGGCGGGTCTCATCCGTGTGGTAAATAATTGTTTAACCCATGTTATGGTAGAAAATGACGTGAGCTATGTATGAAGATGTAAATGGAAACGCGGTATAGTGAGAGAGGTAAACGGTTGTCTGAAACGAAGTCACGGCCTTGATACTGGTAAGATTCATTAGTCAGAAGGAGCAGGGGATGTCAAACTGGAAGGCAGCCACATACCTCCAATATGCGCATTACATGCACTACCTCGGTTGGGTAAAAATATATTAATAGAAGGCGCCACTAAAAATTACTGCATAAAGTAAGTTAAACCGCTTAATGCACATAACATGTAGTGAAATTGATTATTCTTTGCACAGTACTAGGTACTTAGGTACACATTTCAATACCTAATCCCCCTACCTCAACTTTTTCATGTACTATCCATCTTCATATTTAGGATTCCTGGCTGGGAAGGATTTAAATTTAAACTAAACATATAAAACTGGTATAAAACCCAACAGACAGAAAAACCAAGTTATATTAACAGGTATGCGGCACAACTACAAAGTGAACACAAACCTATGTCATCAAACGTATTATCACAGCAACTTACTAGACAACACAGGACTTAACTACCTAGGTAATAAAAGTAAAAATGCCGCTTTAATTTAAAGCTTACCTATATACTGAATACAACAACTGAATAATAAGTACATGTGGAATGGCTATCTGTTCGGCCAATGGGTATCGAAGAATTATGCAATATAAAAAAAAGCCATCACTGCCGTGACCACCCCCCATGAGACTATACGGATGAAAAAAAGTGCTGTTAGTACAGAAAAGTTCCTCTTTTTTTCCTCATGATCGTAATCCATATGATAAGCTTCTCGGTATAAAGACATAAGGGTAAGAAAGCATTATGTCCTGGAGGGAAAAGGGGAAAGAAAAAGGCTTCCGTGGCCTCGCTCGGTAAACGCACGATACGCCGCCTATCAAATGGTATAATTCGCAAACGCCCGATTAAGCATGAATTAGGTATTACGCGGTTTCGTCCAAACTCTCTAAAGCTCGTCTCGCCATTTCTATTTGTCTCCGGTATGCTCGATACTCAACCGAGCCGCGGCCGGATTCGGCCAAACCAAGAACGCACCGGCCAAGACTAGCAACCAGACGCTCGACAAGTATTCGATCGTCTTTTTGCAACATCTCGATCGGCGTGGTTCTGCTATCTCCACTCTGACTGCTGGAAGTACTCTCGTTAAGAAGAACTTCCGAAATTTGCTTCAACTCCCGGTCCGGCGATTCTCGTGGCGTCAACATGCCACCATTAACCTTCGGCTTCTCAACCAAAAGAAGGCTCCTACGCGTGTTATTCGAATCTAATGACGATACTGAAGGACGATGGTTAAATGCGGCCGCGCTACTCTTGGGGCGCCAAATATCCGACTGTCTAAACCGACTCTTATCGGAACTAGAATCGCTCGACTCGGTGGAAAAGCCAGGTCGCCTCGCCGTGTCGGGAGTGTGTGTTCGGGCACGCTTTGGCACTATGACACCGTGCTCGTGGTAGACCTCCACGTATTCATTTTCTGCTCGTATGCTTCGACCCTCCGTAGCTGTTTCGAACGAGTCGAAAGACGAGATCGAGCCGGTACTGCCTCTACGAGAACGCCTTCCAATCCTACTGGAAGATGGTGCCGTAGTGGTAGATGCAACCGGCCCTCGGGTCGTCTCTACAGAGTCTTCGGAGCTGAAACTCTCACGGCTACCCTTGCTTCTCAACCGACTTCGGCTCATACTGCCCATCGCACTATGCAGGAAGAAATGCTCATAATCGAAAGCATCTTCGCGATCCTCATGGGAAACCTGGTTTTGGACGGTGTCGTAATACGAAGACGCGTCACTCTCGCTTGCACCGTCATCTATCAGGCCCTGTTCCTGATCCTCGTCTGTTTCAACTTGTTCCTGCTGCTCTTCTTTTTCTACTCCATCATTGTCGTCCTCGTAGCCATCCTCTGTCTTCATATCCAAGTCATCTTCTACTTGGTTGACCATTGGCGGGTGAGTATATCCAGGCGAGAGGGAGCCACCTTGGATGTCCTTTTGTGATAATATTACTGGGCTTTCACGCAAAACCCCCTTTGGAATCCGCTCTTCATCGGTCTCGGATGCCATATATTTCGCTGCCAAATGCCCCTCCCCAACGTCGATACTTGAGACATCGTCATTCGATTGGTGCGACTGATAGTCGCTATGAATAGAACTGGCGTCATCGTATTGCGCAGTGTCGGCATACCATTGATCAACCTGAGCATGGGTGAAAGGACTAGGGGTTCGCAGGCTTTGGATGCTTCGACGCTTTAGGCTATCCGCTCTGGCTTGGTCTCTTAATGAGGATAATCTTCCTTTGAGATCTTGCATGTGGTCCTTTAAGTCTCGCATCTGCGCTGTGGATGCAGACCGCCTCACCCCCTTGTCCATATAATTTGGATTCAAGAAATTAACCGATCTTGATCCCTCTAAGCTTGGTCTTGGCGAATCCACGTCTTGTGAAGCATCATCTTCGCTTAGCGGTCCAAGCATAGACTCCTTAGCATAAAAAGATCCTTTGGCACCCTCGTTGATGTAATCCGCGCTACGAGGGCTGTGGAGAGGTGGTCGATACCCACCTGCCGCACCAAGGGCACTCGAAGATCTCGGTACATATACTCCTGGCTTGACTACGTCAAGCGGAAGAGTAGGAATGTTGTTTTCGCTGGATATTCTCGTGTGATTATGACCGCTCTTCTGGAGGGTATGATCATGGTTGCGATGGATCGCAGTTGTAGGCCGAGACATGGTGGGTGAAGGTGTAGAGCCTGAATCAGGAGATAGAGTAGGGGAGTAGAGGGTTGTTCGTGCCCGGTTCAAGTTCCCTTCCATAGTCTGTTACGCGTTAGATATAACATCAAGGTCGGCCACATTTCGAGGATCCTCACCGTTAATCGTCGTTTGGCATTTGCTAAAATCTGCTCCGCTCTTCGACTCAATACAGTTGAGTACCGCTCCTCTCCAATCCTGGCCCGGACCTCACTATTCGGCAAAATATGTCCCTGTACGGATGCATCATCAATGTAAGTATCGGCAACGCTTTCCTCGTCGTCGCCTTGAAAATTACTATCGTCGACACTGACGGTATCGTCAAAATCGGCAAAGATTACGGCTTGCTCATTGGTCGTGATGGTACTTGTCGAGTCTATTGAGGCTCGCCTATCGCGAGAAAGTTTCGAATCCTTCTTCTTGAGTGCCCCATAATGCACCATCGACGACGCTGGCTGGATCGAATCGTCACTGCGCGTAGACCCGTACCTTCCTTTATTCGGGGGACAGGTACTCTCAACCTCTGTGACCTCACCAATGTCCGAAAGCATGGTCCCGTTACCATATATGATGGGAGTGGTCGGGGTGATGGGACCCGCGAAGGCCTGGGGAGTAAGATCAAAGCTCATATTGGCAACTTGTGTATTTTTCCACATGGAAAAAGGGGACTGCGATCTATCTGGGGAAGAATAGGAATCCTCGTAGTCTGGTAATATCATATCTGGGTTGGTCAACGTAGGCGACGCTGGCAGAGGCGGGTAGGAGGACATGGAGCCGGACCCCGATCCCGGCCCCGACCCTGAGGCCTGAGCCTGGGACTGGGCCGGCGGAGTAGTGGCCGTTCGTGTTGATGACATGAGACCGTTCAGTTATAGTTTTGGACGTCGTGGAGTTGGTTGTTCGCGCAGGGTAATAGTGTAGGGTAGAATATTCGCGATAACCACCTAGAGTCAAGCAGAAGTACCTAGGTCCTAGGTAGGTAACAAGTTAGGACAGTCTGCAGACTCCGGTGAACGGCACCACCTTTCGCAGGTAGATTCTTAACTTGATGCCCGTGTATCCAAAGCACCCCGAAGAGGTTGTGTAAATTCGTAACTTTGTAGTACTCGAGGACAAACGGTGATGGCGAAAAGCAGGGCGATCTTCGGCTGCGACAAGTGATGGAATCACATGTAAGTCAATTCGAAGTAAGATTCGTTCGGCTGAGCAACCGTGAAACCTTAAACTGAAGTTGAAATCGGCGCGGATCGTTGTAAAAGTTGTAGATAACCAGCAGAGTTTTGCCCAGGAAATTATTAGTACGAACTTCCAAACGGCCTTATTCCAAGACAGCGGGCTCAACGGTTTCCAAGAATTATCATGATGGAAATGATTGGGGGGAGAAAAAAAAGAGCCCAATATCAATATTCTTCCAAAGCCAACACCCGGAAGGATTAACTATTCCTTTTCTTTTTTTTTCCTGTTCTCAACCTCCGAGTTTGCTATACGCCGATGGTGGTGATGCCAATCAATTCCAGTAGGTATCAATTTTTCTGGTCGGATTGTAATCGCACCGGCGTTCTCATCGGGCTGTCCTTGGAGATAATGGAACGTGTGAGGCCGTTGGGGATCAACCTGGGAGGTAGTTACTTGGAGGTAGTTAGTAGGTACGGCACATTAGAGATTACAGCTTCACATATTCCGTATTCGCGCAAGTATTTTAATTGGATGCTTATTAGTGCTACTAGTGCTGCTAGTGCAATGCCGTACCTGACCTAGCTAGCTCCGGGGTGTTCCTAGGTACAATACCTAGTCGGTTAATTGGCTATTTGACCTGGTGGGGGCATACTTGAAATGACGATGCCTCCTTTTGGCTTCTTTGATCGCCTAGATCCTAAATTTTTGTTAGTGCACTTCCGGCGTTACACCTGCCGATTTACAGACCAGACGCTAAGAAGGTTTCTGTAACCTAACGAAAAGGTCGGGTAGGAATTCAACGAGAGAAAATTAAGTATCCACATTGCTTTTAGCGCAGTATTATCTACCCGAAAGTTTATAAAAAAGGGATAGAGGGTATGCTAAAAAAAATAAAAAATAAAAATAAAAAGTGCTTGGAAAAGGCTTGATGCATAGCAAAATGAATTAGCAAGGTAAATAATATATTCCATGCCATCGGCGCAAGGAACGAGTTCCCACATACATTCATGCATGTAGTGAAGCTGGGATCCTCAAAGTTTTGCATTGCAGGAATTCCGCGATGTTGTGGTGATCTATGTGACCATGAATAGGGGTTAGGAGGAAACAATTGTGCAATAGGACGACGAGGCCACAGCTAGACCCCTTGTCACATTTCAACGCGATATGTGAAGACGATAAGGTCCATCTTTAAATGTGTTTAGGTACGGGTAACCTAATGTAAGGACATGTATGCAGGTAATCTAGCACGTACAGAATTACCGTTTTCTTCATGTAAAGTGAGGGGATCGGTGGAGTATACAGGCTGACAGGGAACTGAATAATCACTTACTTTTTAGGTATGCAGGGAAAGAAGAAAAGAAAAAAAAGATCGTCAACCAACATTACAACTCGCAAGACATCAATCTATGAGATTATCAGTACCCATCTTGCATTGCTATTTTATCGATGGGGCATAAGAAAGAAAGAAAGAAAGAAAATGCAAGCATAAGAAATGAAGCTTAGAATGGAAACCAGCGGAACTCCCGACGCATTGGGATGGTCCGCTTGGACGCACTAATAATATTGTACGGGTGAAAGTCAAGATTAGTTCAAGGGCTCCTTTTGCCTTTTCGCGAACCGCGTTTCGATATTTCCATGGTTTCACGTTTTATAAGTGGAGATGCGAATCTATGTTAGGTACCTAGGTACGCTCTTCCATGTCGTTTTAAAAGAGGAGTTATATAATAAATTTCCGAGCTTCCTCATTGGCTCGTGGAACCACGCTACCAGCTAGTAACCCCATTTCTATTTGCCGTTGGAATTTTCACGATAATTTCCGCGTAACCCCAAATTCAAGCTTCTCTCACAAGTTTTTTGTGAACTTGAACTTGAACTTGTTGTTACCTACCTAAATCAACAATCGGTACTGAACACAAAGATGTGACAGAATAGTATATTACTGGTTTGACATTATTCCTGAGACGATATACGGTATCTTGTAATCCGTGTTGTAATTCGTCATTGACGAGTATCTCGACCTAACGTCCCCAACACCATTCACCGGCTCCTTTTCATAACAGGTCAGGTATGTAAGTAACACTACCAAAAGCCGTTTGCTTCCGCATCTTCTCCAACCCGCTACGTGATGAGCAATACCAAGAATTCTGCAATGCTGAATGGCGGCCTTTCGAGGCTTGCCAAACTGTGGATACATTCTTGCCTGATAGCGGTGCTTCAAGAATGGGCTTTTCATCCCTTAGATTCGGCAAGCTAACCATGATGATAGATATCTCTACAGACGCCAATCTATTTCAGGTCTAAGAATTAGGGATATACCTTTATTGTACAATATCTAATGTATGAGCACATTACGTGTCAGGTAGTTATCAAGATTCAGGAGGCATACATGCATAACCGACAGAAGTAAACCAGATAAAAATTCAAATGACATAAATACTACAACAGGTGCCTAAAGAGAGCCGAGTCCTCGTATCCAAAGTTCCGTTCTGCTCGTATTTGAATACGCAAGGGCAAACATACTTACACGTTGACTATCAGTATAATCTCCTTGGGTTCGTCAGATATGTAGCTGTCATTATATATATAGTCTATACAATGTACAAATACTTGACAGCGATGATGAAGTGGCATTTGGCATTTTACCTGGACCTGGTGCTACAATAACAAAACTCAACATGCCCTCAACAGCAATGCCCATCCATCCATCCAGGTTCTATCCTTGCGAGTCTAGGTGTTAGTAGGGACGTGATCCGGGTACCTATTACCACTCGCCGTAAACCCCGCAATAACCCCGTCGATAAACGCCATCTCCTCGTCGGATATCTCCACGACCCTCGCGTTCTCGCGGACGCGGGCGGCCGTCGTAGCGCCGGGGATTGGGATGATAGTCTCGGGCACGCCCCCGCGCCGCCAGGAGGCCACCCGGCACGCCCAGTTGATGGCGAGCTGGGCCGGCGCGACGCCCTTCCTCACGGCCAGCTCCTCGACTCGCCGCGCCAGCCGCAGGTTCGCCTCGAAGTGGCCCGGCTGGAACCACGGCCAGCTGCGCAGCGCCGGCTTCACGTCCTCGATCGTCTGGTACCGGCCCGCGAGGAACCCCCGCCCCACCGGCGAGTACGCGATCACCGGGATGCCGTGCTGCGCGCACGCCGCGGCTACGCCGTTCTCGAGGATTTCCCTGCTGAATCTTTACGGGGGCTGTTAGCGTGGCTGTCTATCTAGGCTAGGTACCTACCTAGTCTATATTGCGCCTTGGAGGAAGGGGGGGGACAATATTTCTGGCGCTGTTGTACGTACAGTGAGAGTTCAACCTCGACGCTCACGATCTTGGTTATCTTCACGGCCTCGTGGATCGTCTCCGCCCTGACTTCGGAGAGCGAAATGCCTCCGATCTTGCCAGTCTGGACGTCTATAAAGTGTCAGTCTGTTCTTCGTAGGAATCCGAGAGGCAGAAAAAGAAAAGGGGGGGTTCAAAGACTTACACTCCTTCTCGATAATCCCAAAAGTCACGCTTAGCGGGACCCTCTCGTCGCGGCGCCCAAACTCAAAGATATCGATCTTCTTGCGGCCCTTGAGCTGGGCGATGCACTGGTCGAGCGACCGGCGGGTGTTCTCGGGGGAGCCGTCGGCGACGTGCGCGTGCTCGCCGACGTCGACGCCGCCCTTGATGCTCAGCACCACCTGGTCCGCGTCCTCCGGGTACCGGGCGAAGTACCGCTCCAGCAGCACGAGCGAGTTCCGCTCGGGGGGCCCGTAGAACTCCCCGCCGTTCCAGAAGTTCATCCCGTTGGCTAGCGCCGCCTTCAGCGTCGCGAACGCCTGCTCCTCCGGCACCGGCTCCGCCGCCCACGTTAGCCCCATCATGCCGAACCCGATGGGCCCGACTTCCCTTCCCGCGAGTATAGGCATGCTCGGCTATTCTTTTTGTCTGTTCTCTCTCTCTCTCTCTCTCCCTCTCCCAACAGGTGTCGATGAGTCAAGTCACACGAGGACTCGTAAGCTAACTGCTATGACTGGGTGGCTTGATAGACTTCGAGCCTCGCTGAGACATTGCGGCGACAAGGGCTTTTATATCATTTGCAGGTCGTAGTCATTGTGAACATTGAATAGTTGCATGTCCATATGGTAAAATGGGAATACGAGTAGTAGGTTGGTATTACGACAATGGTATGGTACGGTGTTTTTCGGAACGGCGTTAGCATCTCGGCTTTGGAGTATCTCTATACGCATAATCCCGATCTGGTCACGTAGCAGTTACCCCGTGCTATTCCCCTCCCCGATGGACCTCGGATTTCTTAGAGGACCAGGTTGTCTAGCACTAACTATCTAGAACTTTTATTGACTTTTCGTCTTTCCGGCGCCAAAGGTATAGTACCTAAGGTATATAAATTTAAGTCTAATAGCTCAAATCCTGGAATAATAAACGCAACTTTTAATTCGCTCGAGTTTAAGTCCCAGCAACGGGTGGAAGCTGTTATTGGTCTACAGATATCGCATAGTCTAGCCATTAAGCAACCATTGATGTAGGCATTTTACGTGAGTCTTTATAATACGCTTATCGTCAGGATGTCGGATACCTGGTCGTAAATATATTCTTGTAGCATCGGGATATGTTCTTGTTGGTTGAAAACGATTGTATGCTTTTACGTCGAATTTTGAAACCCAAATAACTGAGCCTCTACGGGTAACTTTACATCCTACCCAAATGTGGTAACCACACGAAGCCGGCGTGTGCCGATATCTATCTTAAGCCCGATAGCTGCTAAATTTTACAATATCGACAGATTTCCGAGATCCACATCTATGCTGGACCGTCGGAAGACAGCCGCCGCTCATTTCTTCTGCATCCCGTGTAGATACTCCTGCCAGCCCAAAGATTGGATCTTCTCGTCTTTGGCCAGCACCTCATTCTTCATCTTCTCCTGATATCGTACCATACGTTCTGCGTATTCGGGATATGCGTCACCTAAAATCCGGATCGCGAGTAGCGCGGCGTTGGTCGAGTTGCCGATTCCGACTGTAGCACAGGGAATGCCTCTTGGCATTTGCACGATGCTGTGCAAACTATCGACGCCATCGAGCACCGACGCCTTCACAGGCACACCTATCACGGGAATATGTACTTCAGACGCGAGCATACCCGGTAAATGCGCGGCGCCCCCTATTTGTCTGTGTTAGCAAAACCCTCCTCTGATTGTTTCGGTTGGCAATTGGGGCTGGTGAATATGCGGGCTGTACTCATCGAAGTTTGCCAACCCGGCGAAATTCACAGATAATGTATGACTTATGATAGCACGAGAAATAATCCGGATTGGGTACTAACCTGCCGCTGCAATGATAACCTTACAGCATGATTTTTTCATTTCTGCTGCGAATTGCATCATGTGATGCGGCGTTCGGTGCGCCGACGTGATACGGACTTCGTATGGCACGTTGAACTCGTCTAAAACCTTTAGACCGGCTGCCAAAGTGGTCAGATCCGAATCAGAGCCCATGGTTACAGCAACCAGAGGCACGGGTTTTACTCGTCCTGCTTGCTTCTGCACAGGAATCTTCAAACCAATGCGTTCGGCTCGGATCTCATCCATAACATCGATGAGAGGTGTTATGGTCTCAGCGAGACGTTCAACGGAAGAGAACCCTGTGGCGGTTATGTGACCAATTTTCCGTCCCGGCTTCGATTCCTTCCCGTATAGATGTACGTATATATCCGTAAATTCATCATATGTGCTCTCTGCAAGTTCCACCAATCTAATGTGAGAAGATGGGAGGGCGCCGCCGAGAATGTTGAGCATAATTGCGGAAGGCACTCGCGCATTGAGATTTACACCTTTCTGTGGGATAAGATCCAGAATGGAGTATAGTTGAGCCTTATATTGTGACATTTGTGGCACGGCCTCGACTATAAGGTTCCTGTTAGTAAACAATAGCGGCCCAAGAAAGTCCTGAAGGAGAGTGAAGCTGGTGCCACTTCAAAGGCCCTCGTAGCTTGTAACTGAGGAGGTAACTAGCGAATGGGAAATACATACTGGTAAAATGACCGGAGTTGTGCGGGCGAGGAGCAACTTCGTTGACCAGAATCTGGCCATCGGCGAGCAAGAACATCTCTACAGCGAAGACTCCCCGACCCCAAAGGCTAGCTACAACATCGCTAGCTACCTTTTGCGCTCGCCTCTTGACATCTTCTGGTATGTTTCGAGGTGGATAGAACACCTTGGTACATATGCTGTCTTCGTGTATAGTCTCGACAACCGGGTAAGGGTAGACGTGCTTCAAGCAGCCATCATCATCCTCCGTCCGTAAGACCATGACTGAGAGTTCCATTTCGAAAGGCACCCACTTTTCCGCATATAAAGGCTGGTCCCCCATCTGCTGTATGGCAATAGCCAAGTCCTCCGGACCGTTAACCTTGAAGTTTCCACGACCGTCGTAGGAACCTTTACTTCCCTTCAGCATAAAAGGGAATCCGTACTTCCAAGCTGCTTCGTCCAGCGAATCGGCCCTGCTCTCGCCAGATTCTATAGCCATCTGTTCAGCAACAGGAATGCCATTATTACCGAAGTATTCCTTTTGCTGGAATTTGTCTTGGATTAGGCGTATCGTCTGCCACGATGGATGCACGGGGACCTTCTTTAAGACTGTACCCCTCCCATCAGGTAAGGGAATTTCTACACCTCTTGTTGCGATCTCTTCGAGCACCTCGGTCTCCACATGCTCGATCTCAACCGTGAGGAAGTCCACACGGGAAGCGAGAATCTTGATCTTCTCGGGATCTTTGAAAGATCCAGTAACGTGCAAGCTGCTTTGATTAGCCTGCTTCGCGGGACAATCTTCAGTGTCGAGGACGGCAATTGGTATTCCTAAGGGCCCGGCCGCTTCGCAGAGCATACGCCCGAGCTGGCCACCCCCTAATAACCCAATTACGGGCTTCTTTGCTGCCATGGTAAGAGAGAAAAAGAAAAGTACGAGGAATTGGAATAATTAGGAATGACGTATAAGTCGCGAATTGGAAAACCCCTCCAAGAAAGTAGTAGATTTTATTGATAATAGCGGGGCCAAGGTCTGCGTTATAGAGATCGTCACAAGGGTTTACAAGGACTTACATCATTTCACAAGGGTTTAATTACATATTTCTTTTTTTATTTAGCTTGCTACCCCTCCATCCCACCATCCACGACCCCACTAAGATCGCATCTCTATTTTTGACTTCTACACATCTAGGCAAGCCGCAATATATGAATCATATCCAAAGTAAACGGCCATGGTGTAATTTACTAGTTCATTATACATAATCCAAAGGCGCATTGGGTACCTATCTAGAGTATAACACTCATTAACTGGGCTCATACGTAAAATATAACCTGTCGCAATATGTTCCACCTCACATCTCATCGCATACCCAGGTGACGACCCAAGATGGACTCAGCAGAAGAGAACGGAGCTCAGCTCCCCCAGCCCCAAATCCAGTACGCCCTTACTCCATTCCCACTTGACCTCACCCTGCACGACTTTTCTCTCTTCTAACACTCCGCCTCTCTCTCCAGCCCCCTCAAGCTCTTCGACATCGCCCGATCCGAACAGCGCCTGCTCTACGCCTGCGCGCCCATGGTGCGCTACAGCAAGCTCGCCTTCCGGCAGACGGTGCACCGCTTCGGCACGGACCTGTGCTGGACGCCCATGATCCTCGCCAAGGAGTTCAACCGCAGCGCCGTCGCGCGCGACAGCGACCTCACCGTCGAGGGGCAAAGGGGGAACGAGGTCCCGACCATAGCCCAGTTCGGTGCCAACGACCCCGTCGAGCTCTCCCGCGCCGCCTCCCTCGCCGCCCCCTTCGTCAACGGCGTCGACCTCAACTGCGGCTGCCCCCAGAGCTGGGCCTGCGCCGAGACCCTGGGCGCCGCGCTCATGAACCGCCGCGAGCTGGTGCGCGATATGGTGGTCGCGACGCGGGAGCGGTTGGCGCGCGATGGCTGGGACGTACGCTTAGATAGTAGTTTCACCCGCGACCACAATAACGACAACGGTGGTGGTGGTGATGATGATGATAGTGGTGATAGGCGCAAGGTGGGGCGCAGCGTCAGCGTCAAAATCCGCGTGCACAAGGACCTGCGGCAGACGGTCGACTTCATCACGGCCGTCCTGGGCGACGAGCACCGCCGCAACATCGACTGGCTGACGATCCACCCGCGCACGCGGAACACACCCAGCAGCGTCCCCATCAATGTCGAGGCCCTCGAGCTGCTCACGTCTATGTTCGGCAAGAAGCTGCCCGTCCTTGTGTCGGGGGATGTGTTCACCTTGTCCACGCTGCCGTATACCTCGCACCTCTTGGATCCTCAGCCTACATTCACCACCACCACCGATTCCAACTCCAACCCTAACTCCAACCTTACCAACGGCTCTCCAGCCAAGCAGCCCAAGATCAACATCCCCAACCTCTCAGGCCTCATGTCGGCGCGCGCGCTCCTCGCAAACCCGGCGCTCTTCGCCGGGCACGACTCCTGCCCCTGGGAGGCCGTCGACGTGTTTATGAACAACGTGGCGCGCGCTCCCCTGCCCCTAAAGCTAGCGGTCCACCACCTGAACGAGATGTGCGGGCCCGGCTTCGGCCCCGACCGCAACGCCGCCCTGCTGACGAAGAAGGAGCGCATACGCCTCAACGAGATTGGGAATTGGATCGACGTCGTCGATTACATGGATGAGATCAGGAGGAATCGGGTGGGAGGTGGAAGTGGTGTTGTGCGGTTTGCTTGAGAGGAAAAGAAAAAGGAAAAAAAAAAGGAAAAGAATATTGAAATATTGGGATGGACGGTATATATAAGATAGGTAACGGGATAGATGCGTGTGTACATTTTCCGGGAAGACATACATAGGAGGTAGGTAGATACCCAAAATACGGCAGGCATTTCTGTATAAGAACCCAAATGATGATAGAGATAGCAGCAATAGCAGCAACAAGCACAAGCAGGCTGACAGACACGAGAACCAACAGCGGTAATTATGATTTATGCATTCCATAGCTCGATACCTCTTATCAAAAAAAGTCTGGTATCACAATAGACCGATCCCCTTTTCCCTCACCCCTTCCAAAAAAGGAGATAAGATACCTCTGCTACACACCCCTTCTCATAATGCAATGCACCTATGCGTCCATTCTACTGTACAACACACATCGAATGTAGAACGTAATGTAACAGAGGCATCGGCAGACCCTGACCTATGCAAAAGGAAAAAAAAAAAGAATTAGTAACGCGCCTCCCACTCTTCCTCTCCCTCGCCTCGAGAGATGTCAGAATGTGCCGCGATCAAACTCCGGTGTTGCCCTTGAGCCAAGAACGCCTCATGCAGCCTTGAGGCTCTTGTGGGAAACAAGACAAAAAATAACGTCAAAAATCAAAATCAGGCATATCCGAATGTATTTGCCTTTAGCCTCCTTAGCCCGGGATAAACCGTAACCGCGCCTCCTATAACCTTGAAACGTTTGCTTGAATCATATTACAGGTTTGATAGTAGAGGTCGAGGCAAGCGCCGGCTATCCAATATGTATAGATCAGAACCAGAATAAGTAGTCCTGTTTCGTAATATAGAGACTCGTAAAATAGTCGGGCTCGACAATACTCGAAAGCGTAAAAAGCGCTTTAAACGTTACTCTCTTCTGATGCTTCATATCCTGTGTCGGATTCACCTAAACCATAACCCTCCATGCCTGATCCATTGCTTCCTTTTTCGTAGATATTGTCCTCCGGCTCATCGTCCTGGGATGATGCAGCTTCCTATTCATACACCTCACCCTCATCGTCATCTGAGCTAAGACGTTGTCGTTTCGGCTCCCGGCTCTCCGATGAGAGTGATTCGACTTCTCTCCGCTTGGTGCCGTTAGCTCCTGGGTGTATACCTGGGTTATTAGCAGCTTCTTTTAAGACGGCATCTGAATCCCCAGGAGCGGCCTGAGAAGCAGACTCGGCCGCAGCGGTATCGACCTCTCTTTCCGCTGCTGCTTCGTCGGCACTGCTAACTTTGCCCTTGGGGCTCTGGGTAGCACTGTCGGTTCTAGGGGTGCCGTTAGTTGAACGCATATCGATGTCCTCGGGTCTTGTTCGAGTACTATCGAGGTTAAAGACAGGAGACTGCGAATACGGATTCTCCTGCTTGCGTAAGGGGTTTTCAATGTAGAAGTCCTTGAGGACAAGTATTGCCTTGGCACAATTTTCCTCGTTTCCATTTAGCGCCTTCCACCATGGCTCGCCGTTCACGTCTTCTATTCGCTCCCCGGTGAAGCAGCTGGAGAAGAAGATGGCAGCGATGGCAATGTCGCGTGCATCCATAAGAAGTGGCAACGTAGTCAAGCACGAGTCGTTCAAGAACGCCCATGCTGCATGTCGCAGGTTCTTGTTGTGGATTGACTGTAACTGGCCGAGGAGGTCATATAGTTTAAAGTGTGGGCTCTCAACCATGAGATCGAAGGTCAGGTTCTCCAGCATAACTTCCTCAAACATAAGGATGCTGTCGCGCCATCTCCAGTATTCCTTAGATTGCTCATCTACAACGAGCTTAACGTTTTTTTGGGCGACTTTTGCAACCGCGATGATGATATCTTTAGTCTTGCGGCAATTCTCCTCCGTCTTATTTGCCAAGAAGAGCGCAGTAGCAGCGATGTTCTATAGCAGATGCGGCGGTCAGTTCCATCTTCTTTGTTGGGGAGGAGGAGGGTCTGCAGAGATTTGATGTTTGGTAAACTTACGTAGTGGTGTATTCCGTGTTTTTCCTCCACCATGCTACGTCTCATGAAAAATCGGTGGAAGAACACGCCAGCAACGTAGAGGGTTGTCTGAGGAAGTTCCAGTAGTATGCCAGCCTGGTATATGAAGTTGACGCCCTTTGCTCGCCTTAGCCTCTCTTCTTGCGGCGACAATCCATCTATAATACTAGGGCTACTGAGGACCTCGTCCTGGGTAAAATACCATTGATTCGTCATGGTGAGCGGTGTTCTGGTTGGTGTGGGGTCGGGTGATGGCGCGCTTCGTCGCGACTGTGGTCTCGGGGGTGATGTGCGCGACGAGTTCGTAGGTGGTGAAGGGACTGGGGGAGGTATGTCACGTCTCCTAGATGGCGACTTGGAAGAACTTTTAAGGCTACTTTTGCTAGAAGGTGCAGGTGGAAATTGGTACGGTTCTCGTTGAGGAGGTCGGTATCTGTCGATACTCGCCATTTCGTTGTGGCCCGTGGCCCTTGTGGGGAGGTAAGAGAAGCAATTGCAAAGTTCCTGCGGCGGCTCCAGACCTTAGGTAAGTCGCCAGGAGGAACCCTTTTTTTTTAAGTAGCGTTAATTAGTTGGATCATCCCTTCTGAAGTTTTTTTTGTAGTATTGTAAATGTTGAGATTATTTTGAAGTTAGAGTAAAAAGTAACTTAAAAGAAAAGAAAATTACAAAGAAATTATTTGGATGGTAGGTAGGTAAAGCAGGTAGGCAGGTAGGATGGAAAGATGGAGAGATGGGTAGGTATGGATGGTAATCTGATCGCCCTTGCTTCTTCTCTATCGGATTCGTCACTGAATTCATAGGCGTGGGTTTAATTGACCTTGATTGAGTTTAGGTACCTTACCTTATGTACCTAGCATGGTACATTATCTTATGTAACTACTTAATGATGGAGCGTGTAACAGGTACCGAATACATTTAGGTACAATGCAGGGCCCGGTTAGGTTTGGCCACTTGCACGTTGCAACCGGGCGGCCGCTTGTAGGTATGGTAGGTACCTAGGTAGGTAATACAAGAAACAGTGATAATACACTTCTCATACAGTCTAAGTATACTACCTATAACTAGTTAATATATGTAATAGGTATATAGGTAGCTCGCGTATGTCACGCCTTCACCATCTCTAAGAAGTATATCTTTTCGACACAGCAATGTCAATTCTATTGGGTATCTTCCGAGCTCGCTTGTACGTCCCCTTCCATCTTCAATAATGTCTGAATGTCCCTGGTACAATTTGCTAAATACCCTCTCCATCATTGCGACCCCACAGCTTAACTGTTCTATCGTGACCACCGCTGACAATCCATCTTGCATCTCTGCTAATATCTACACTCGCAACCGGCCCGGTATGTCCTTCCAAAGTCTGTATGAGAGTCCAGTCATCGGCAGAGAAAACGTTAACCTTACGGTCAAAGCCGCTGGATACAAAAAACGTGCTCGACTTTTTAGGGAGCTGGTTCCCCTTCTCATCGAGGCCTGGGGGAGTACCTAGAATAGGATCATCTAACCCCTTATACCATCTGAGGTCTGAAACTGCGCTGGTATGGGCACCAATACCACCGGTCCTCTGGACTTTTCTTACATCCCAGCATTTGATCCAGCCGTCTGCCGACCCGGTTAACACTCGATAGCCGTCCGAACCCCAATCGATGCCGTGGATAGGTTTAATATGTCCGTCTCCGTGTCCATCCAGAATCATGACAGTTCTTCCTGACCTCAAGTCCCATATTCTTCCAATGCTATCCAAACCTGCACTGGCTAGTAGTGACCCGTCAGAGTTGAAGCTTATAGCGAAGACGCCCCGCGAGTGACCTTCTTGTAGTAGTAACTCCGTCGTCGACTCGACATCCCATAGACGCCATGTAGTGTCTTCTGATGCTGAGGCAAGATACCGTCCTGAGGGGTGGAACTCAACTCGGCATACTCGCTGACCATGCCCTTCCAGTGTCGAGAGCGGTGTGTCCTTATTTAATGACCAAAGGTTTACCTGGCCCTCAGCTCCTCCCGAAGCTAGATTGACCGCTTCTGGAGAAACGTTGCCCTCGGGAAGAGTTGCGCCGGGAAACCACGAGATGCCACTAACTCTGTTAGTATGTCCTCGTAATGTCGTCTTCTCTTCCAACGACGGTATTCCAATCAGTTTGATGGATCCTCCCCAGTTCCCTGCAGCGACGAGCTCCCCGTTAGGTGATATTCTTGTCATGCTGACGTTCCTATCTCCCGCGGTCTGGCTGCCTTGCAATTCGAATGCTTGCAGGCGCTCCTTGATCTCTTTACGGAATTTGACATGGGTTCGTAGAGGTATAGACGCTTCTTGTTTTTGGAATGACAGCCTTTGTTTCGCTCGGGGCAGGGAGAAGCGGGCGATGTCCTGCCGCGCTCGTAATAATTCGTCGCTACCAGTGGTGTAGAACTCCTCTTCCTGATCTTCCTGGTCTTCTTCTGGCGCATCTTCCATAGCAACATCTGGTGATTCTGTCGGTGCTTGTTCCGCTTGTAGAGTCAAAAGTTCCCTTAATCTGTCTCGTCGATCTGCTGGGCCTTCGCCAAAAAGTGTAATCGGTTCTCCAAGCTCTCGTAGTTTGGCACGCACTCGACCATCATCCGTAGGCACTGCCATGGTTGCCGCTCGCCTCTTCCGCTCGAATTGCGATAATATAGCTGACGCTTTCTCCGGCGCAATGCCGGCAGCTGCTGAGGGAATATCATAGTCGCGATCTACGGGAATTTCGTCTAAAGACATTCCACGCTCCTAAGGAAGGCAAGTCGTTAATAAAAACAACACAAAAGAGGTTCGAGATATGTAAACTTACCTCTTCCGCTTCCTCTACATACGCCTGTCGCGCCGGGTGCATCATGATGGGCAATAGGTATCGGTCAAATTCTCGAGGTTTGGATAGTATTAGACCGGATTATAATATTGAAGTCTTCAAGTTGACATACGCCTCGGAAACAAAGGCAAGCAACTTGAGGGAGAACGTGTCTGGCTATGTAAGGCACGTGTAGATTGGATATCTTTTTGCGAGTTCTTCTTCAAAGCCGCGTTGAAGGTTGAAAAGTGGAGAAACACGCTTTTAGTGGTCAAAGCGCTAAACTTTTAGCTTTTAAGCTTCCAGTGTAATCCGTAATACGTATTGTACCTCAACTCATATAGATACACCTGCACGTTTTGTTGTAAGGTCAGAAGAAACGGCAGTTTCCATGCTTCTGAATTTCTACCTAAGGTACTACCTAGGTAAATTCTATAGAGTTGGGTACCTGTGTACTCAAGATTTATAGAGTACATAATAGTTTTACTATTGTTCAGGAATTAAACAAAGTGATTCGTACATTAAATTTTAGATAGTGAATTGTTCAACTGATGTTCTTTATGTTGGAAACGTCCATACTATTGCATCTCCAGATTGCTGGACCCAGACTACATAGTACCTACATAGTAGATCTCTTTGTTTGATTTGATACTAGTTATACCTACTAGTATTATTCGTTTTAAGGTTTATGAATTGTACGGTCCAAGTACGAATTTCCTGCAGGTGCCCTGCCAGAAAAAAAGCCAACATGCATTCCAACATAGGAGTATGCTGAAGTTTACGAGTTCGGATTCCCGAAGTCCCTACCCTACCTGGTATGCAGGTGCTTTGACAAGTATTTAATGTAATGTAGGTACCTATTCCGTGCGTGTTTCTCGATTCAGTTCCCAATTGGCTGTAACCAATGTGTTGTACCTGGTGGTCAGCTTATACCTAACGGCTAATCGCGGGATCGCGGTACAATATATGGATTAATTGGAGGTACCTTAGGTAGGTAGCATGCATGACACCTGCTAATGGTACGTAGTACCTGCGGTGGATTAATGGTTGGGGCACCAGGGCACCAGGGCACCTGAACAGCCTGAAGGAATCGTGTTAGGGCGTGCCGGGGTCTGGTGTCCGCTTAGCCTGACAGGTACCCCTGGATGTCTAGCTGAAAATAGAAAGAAAACGTTTGGTTGACGTGTGAAAATTAAGGTCCGCTCGCTACACCCCGCCCGTTTAAAAAAAAAGATTGTAAGCATTTAGCAGAGAAATTGTATTTTATGTCTTAGGTGGGCGGCCCTTATTAACGCCTGCCATGTCCGGTTTTTGCTTCCTCCCTTTTCAATCTTTAACTTTTCAATCACCACCACCACCATACGGTGAACCAGTTTTTGACCCAAAACAGATCCAACACGCCTCAGAGCGATTAACCATTCGACTGCCAATGCATCAGCAAAACGATTCCGACAGTTTCTCTTCGTCTTTAGTCCGCAACCAGATGCTCACTCCAACCCTTCAGCCTGCACATCCCGATTACCTTTGCGAAGCACGTGCTGACGCCGAGCGACGACGTGGCTCCCGCCTACCTTGAATTGGGGCGGGTTGAGAGAGTCACATCGACGGACGACTCAATATTTACTATTACTTAATTCCATTATATAGATATTATCAACAAATAAATATTCCAGGATGTTACCACCTCCTGCTCCGGCACTTACCACCATTCGCGGCTTCGCGCAAACCCCAACAATGTCCGCCGACGACGACGACGACGACCAGTGCAAGTCGCCGCCCTTGTCTGCGCGACGTGGTCGCACCCCTCGCCTTGACGATGTCATCAGCGCTAATTGTAGCCCCGTGCTTCGCGGTCACAACTCTCCCGCTATTAGCGGCATCGCTAAGCTGCGCGCGCAACTAGAGCCTCTTAGCTTAGGCGGCTCCCGCTCCAGTTCTATGGCCCGAACTCGAAGCAATAGTCGCCTCAGCTGTATGAGCGGAGCTACCAGCCAAATGGGTCGCAGTGACGACGAAATCTCGGAGGGTGGATCGACCAGTTACGAAGTCCAGTTAGAACACGACTTTGTAAGCGAGAGCGTGCAAGAGAAGAGGTATGGTGCGATTGCAGGAGGGCTCGTACCCCGGAAGATACAGGCCGACGACTTCGAGACATTGCGCTGTCTTGGAAAGGGCACGTACGGGACCGTCCTACTAGTTAAGCAGCGCTCTACAGGTCGGCTCTACGCGCAGAAGCAGTTCAAAAAGGCTTCTGTTGTCGTGCACAAGAAGCTTATCGAGCAAACAAAGACAGAAAGACAAATCCTCGAGTCCGTTAACAGGCACCCTTTCGTTGTCAAGCTATTCTATGCTTTCCAGGACCAAGAGAGGCTATACCTCATCCTCGAGTACGGACAAGGTGGAGAACTTTTCACCCATCTCAACACCGAGAAGATGTTCCCCGAGCCTGTCGCTGCCTTCTACATGGCAGAGATGGTTCTAGCTCTATCCCATCTTCACGATACGCTTGGTGTTGTGTACAGGGATTTGAAGCCAGAGAACTGCCTCTTAGATGCCCAGGGTCATCTTCTGCTAACGGACTTTGGCTTATCCAAGGTAGCTGTAGATGATGATGATAGCTGCAAATCCATACTCGGAACGGTCGAGTACATGGCTCCTGAGGTTGTTTTGGGCCAGAAATATGGCAAGGCCGTTGATTGGTGGTCCTTTGGAGCGCTGGGCTACGACCTTATGACGGGTAACCCACCGTTTCGAGGCGGCAACCATGCGAAGATCCAAAGCAACATCGTCAAGCAGAAGCTTGTCTTGCCTTACTTCCTGTCAGCCGACTCTAAGGATATATTGACGAGATTCTTGAAGAAGGACCCTGCGAAGCGCCTTGGCTCGAACATGCCCAGAGACCTCCAGATCATCAAGAAGCACAGGTTCTTCCGAAAGATCGATTGGAAGAAGCTTGCGGCCAGAGAAATAGAGCCGCCGATTCAGCCGATGATCACAGACCCTGAACTCGCAGAGAATTTCGCCCCTGAGTTCACCGAGTTGCCCCTGAGTCCTATTTTGGCCAAGACCCCTTGGGATGAGGTGCCACCAGAGGAGAGCTTTAAGGAAGATCCCTTTGGCGGGTTCAGCTATGTAGCTTCAAGCAGCCTGTTAGACAACCACGGGTTCATGTTTGGCGAAGCATAGACATTCTCAACAAGGCGCATAACATCGAGAACGGAATAGAGCAGGGGGCATTATGAGACAGATTGCGATTTTAGAGCCAGCGTATATGTGGCTTGACTAACCGAACGGGCAAAGAATTGGAGTTTTGGGAAGCGAGGGTTTAGCATCACAGTTCTAGACAGAAGGTGGTGTTTGAATTTGAAATGGGAATGGCGTTCAGGAGGCTTCAGGCAGGATGAACTGCAATTGATCCTTGCCCTGCTTACCACGCGTGACAGGATATACGTGATATTTCAACTGACCGAAAATACTGCTACAGACCGATCGAAATGCTACAAGCTATAATTATACTGATATTTATTTGCCTGCATAAAGATTTGAGTACTGACATCGTCCAGTCTAGGTTAGTATTACCAAATGAGCTGGATCTATTCCAGAGGCACGCAAACGAATGGCTCCGAATATCATATTGCTACAATATATATACAGCAGATTGTGCCACCTTAAGCGCCCCTGAGAAAGGTAAGACCAATTGTTAAATAACCCGATTTGCATAGGTACCTATCTATCTATAATACATTTGATCACACGAATGGACTATTTATGTTAAGGTTAAGATTAGGATATACATAACAGTTAAATATAATCAACGTGCAAGCTTGCAAGCCTATATCCCACGCAGTTACGATTCCTCGGTGAGTTAGACTCCTAGGTATGGTCTGTAAAGGGCGCATATATCTTCATCCATACCTACCTCTAGCTACCTAAGGTACATAGGTCTTAGCTCATGGTATTGAATTTACTCAGCATGATACCGCGTCTATAGGTCGAGGCTGTAAATGGGAGGATCGCCAATAACCCTCCTCCCCCCTGCTGTTCGAAAACGGCGATAAATACTGCTTCAGAGACAGATGCGCTTACTATAGGTTAGGTGCCTACCTATGTATGCACTTTATGGTTTGATTAACATACGGAGTTAAAGGAGCTATACGTGTTTCTCTGGCACGTAAGCAGTTGTATCGAGTAGTAATACCTCGTACCACATAAACCAGCGTCGTCTTGGGACTGCTTTAGGCGGCCGTTTAGACTTTGATGCGGCACATGTCATGAAGTTTAATGCACCTATTGACGTGGTGGTGTATAGGACCATAGCTCCTATATATATACCCACCTAGGCTAGGTACCTATGTAGATGAGTGGAATATGTCCATATTTAAATCTAGATATATCATAGCTACCCCATCCTGCCTGCCGGAAAGCAGAGGGTTGGTCTAAGATCCAGCCTTAGGTTAGGTACCTTATATGAACTAGCGCAGAGACGAATGAAGACCTAATGCTTGTTGAGCGGGATAGAGATAGGTACCTAGGTACGTGGATGCTTTGCTAAGCATTACCGGAGAGGCTAGATTCAAGTTCGTATGCCTGTTTCACCATCTTTTAGTAAGGAAAAGAAGCCTTTATGGGAATCCTCTTTTGCGGGAGAGTAAATACCTGAGGGTTGAGAGTTCGGAATTGGGGGGGGGGGGGGGTTCTGTGTGGCGGCGTGAGATACAAAATACACCTGACAGGCACTTAGCTCTACCTAGGTAGGTATTGTAGGCATTTATACTTGGGTTTGGTTTAACTATGATGAGCCCTGACATAGATGGAAATAGGTTCCTTGGGGAAAGCCTTCGAGGCCATCTACCTTTCTCACTTGTCAGATTCTCCTTTACGCCATCTCCATGTCGAGCCTCACTCTCTCACTATTCATTGGGGGGGGATAGGTATCTCGAGGCCGTGGGATACGAGTAAAGGAACCGCCAGCCCTATCATTGAACGCGTACATACCTGTCTTCTTATCGTTTCTTTCTTAGACGAAGCGAGACCACCAGTGCTCTTAGATCATAAGGTACCTACATATACGTACGTAGACACGGTGGCGTGGCTTTGATCTTATGGCCTAGCGTGAACCCAGAGGACGACAAAACTGCCCACTCCGTCGGAAGCATAAATGCCCCAAGTTGCCAAAAGACATGGTGTAAGCACGTACCTACGTATCCTTGGTACAGTAAGGTTGATCAGCGGGAGGTATGTTCCACGATTCACGTACGGTGATAATATACATACAGGGCGAGAACGACTATGTAAACATCCCCCCCTTTTGGTCACAATTTGAATATACTTCAAAACGTCAAGAGCTGACTGCCTAGCCACGTCTATCCTCTTCACTGGAGTACAATGTAGGTGATATACATATCATTCTCCCAAAAGACTCACCTAACACCTCCTACTTCCCTCTCCTCCGTTGGTTCGTATCGAGAGTAAAAGGTAGCTAACTTAACCTTAGGTACATACTACCTAAGGCACCTCTTATTTGTAAATTACCTAGGTAGGTAGGTAGCTCATACGTCCAAATACATATACCGGTATCTCAGTCTCGAAGGACCCGGCATATTTAACTTCAGCAAAAGCACCCGCCCCCTAAACGTTAAAAAGGAATTACGACAGCGCCTCCGACGCCGAGGTACGCGTAGGTCCAGCGCAGCGCACGAGCTGATTACATCGCTTATGCGTCTCAAGGCATTTAAAAAGGGCAAGATACGAGAGAGGGGGCCTTCGCACGGATTTATTGCCTACTGCTCAAACTTCAAAACTTGTATATAAAAAAGCACATTGCCAGAGAAGCACAAGTGTTGAAGTCCGTCCATTTGGACCTGTTGATCCTAGAATTACTTCTTTGACAAATACCAAATTGACCGCGAGATAGGTATAATATCAATTATACGGCAATACATACCTAACCTAGGGGATGACTTTCGGGATGGTGAAGATATCGTTTTCCACCGTCGTCGCGGCGTTTTGTAAGTTGGCAACTACCAGCGAGTTCGATTCGATATATTATTCTGTGATGTTCAATTGCGACCCATCACTGTGCCCTTTAAAACATCAAGGCAGGATAGAGACGAGTTAGGCACTAACTTATTTTACGTTACCAAGATACGCTCGTATGCACGGCCTCCGCGACCCCCACGCCAGTACAATTCTGCCCAGTCCAATGGGTATGCTACCAAGTGGGGATACCGCGGGCTTCTGCAGGCAGGAATGACAGCAGCATGTACCTGCAGCTACGAGCGCCGATATCGTACTCGTGGGTGGCCTTCGGTACGGGAGAGTATATGAAAGATTCGAGAATATATGTGATGTACCAGGACGGCAACGGCAACGTGACGGTATCCGCACGCGCCGGAACTGAACATACTAGTAAGTGAGGCTAGGACTGATATCATCTTTCCCACCTACCTCCTTTTGGACCATCCTATACCTAAATTATTAGAGCCTCTTTTCTTCAGATGATAGTTGCCCCCTTAGCACAGTAAGTACTAACGGCTATTCAACACAGTGCCACGCCGGGACCCATCCATACAGTTAGAACTCCTCGGCGGTAGCGGAGTCGTGGATGGGAAAAGTGGACAAAAGATGGTCGCTAACGTCCGGTGCGGAAACTGCGGCACATGGCCGGGGAACACGACGGGCCAGGACGCGAGCGGGACGCCGTGGATCGCGGCGTGGAAGAAGGGCGACGCGGTCCACAGCGCGGACCCGGACGCGAAGATCCAGTACCACGAGGGGCACGACACGTGGGAGTTCGACTTGACGGAAGCCACTATCGACGACGACGACGTGAACCCATTCGACCACGTGGAGCAGGATGACGATGACGACCGCGGCACGAGCATCAGCCTTAACAACAAGAACACTGTGATCGCTTGTCATGGTGTGTTAATGTCCATCGTGATGGTCCTATTTTACCCGGTGGGCGCGGCGCTCATGCCCCTCGCCGGCAACTGGTTTCCACATACGATGGTGCAGCTCGCCAGCTACATACTGATGTGGATTGCTTTTAGCTTCGGAGTGACCGCGGCGGGCCTTCTAGGCTACGTAAGTCCTGCGTACCACCTGATTTACCTTAGATGTCTCCTCCTGAGCGAAGGAAAGTTGACGACAGCTGACGGTCTATGAACAACAGGACTTCTACTCGCCACATTTGCTCCTCGGCACTATCGTGGTAGGCCTGATGGGGCTGCAACCCGTTCTGGGCTGTCTTCACCACATTCACTACCAGAGACATCAGACGCGAAATTTTCTGTCGCACGCCCATCGGTGGTACGGCCGTGTCTTGATGCTCCTGGGCATAGTTAACGGCGGGCTGGGCCTGATGCTCGCGAGGGAGACTACGGAACCCATAGTGCTGTACTGCGTTTTTGCCGTGCTGACGTCCCTCTTTTATATTGTTGCCTGTATGTGGAGTGAGTGGCGCCGCCACATAGCTGAAGGTTCTGAGAATCAGAGTTAGTGACCTTTTCCCTTGAGGTGGGATTGGGAAGAAAAGGAAGGGGAAGGGGAAGGGTTTATTGAGAAAGGTTTAGTTATATGCTTTGGGTATTTTACTTTTAGCGCTTTCGATAAAGAATGCGGAAGTGTGAGTTTGAATATGGTATGGTATGGTAGGGTGATGAGTTGCAAGAGAGTGAATGCTATATAATAGCGACAGCAACTAATACGGAATGTTCTATAATACTTTGATGGTGGAGAGAGTACCTGTTAGACCCAGATTGAAACGATATAAGCTAATTAATACAAGTTAAGAACTTTCTGATAATGCTTCTTGGTTAAAAAAAAAAAAAAAAAAAAAAAAGCGATTGAGTTCTTGAGTTATGTATAGATGTAAATAAGGCGAAAGGAGTTGAAGTGCTATAAGTTTACCTACTATGTAAGCTGCTAAGGTCCCTAGTTACATAAGCAAGATATGTCATGGCAGCATGGTGGGGTTATTGGTCGAGGGCATCACGTGATTGACCAATCGGAAGCTCTGATAACTCCACCTTCAGCCACTTCGGCGCTAAGAATTTTGGGAGGAGGGACCTCAAATGGCCAAGCGGCGAAGGAAAAACCTCAATTCGCAACTCTCTTTTCCCTCCAAAAGATCCCCGTCTTCCCGTCCTGCATCACCATCATACCACTACCACCACCACCACCACCACTCACAAACCGCCAATTGAGCAATTCCCCATAACAGACGGACATCATGCTCGTGCAATTAAGAGCTTCGGTAAGTCACCTCTTTTTTTTATACAAGTATTTTTAATTGTTGTTCTTTTTTGAAGCATTTGAAAAAGGTGTCGTCATTTGTGAGGAGCTATCGGCTAACTTTTTTGTCTTTTTTTTTAACGCTCAGACTGCTCGATCGGCCGTTTCGGCTATCACCCGCGTGGCGAGGGTCAACGCCGTCAGAGGATTCATTGCTCCTACCGTTTCGCGAAGAGGTAAGACTCGAGAAAGTTCATTTTATCGTATAAACCAAGCCAAGTGGATTGTAATAAAGAAATTGAGAGGTGCGCCGTGCTGCCGTGCTGCTGGGTGGCGGCCGGATTCGGAAAAAGAGGAGTTGGAGAAATATGCAGCGGGATGGAACATAACATTATCACGGTTGGCAGTATTCTAGAGAGCCACAAAGCTGAGGAATATCTCCTTCATATAAATTGCTCTCTTGCGCAACTTGGAATTCGCACTCATTTTCAATTCGAACTCTCAACATCTTCTATACATTTACGGAAGGGGAAAAAAAAAAGAAACAAAGAACAAAAAAAGGATATACTAACAAGAGACCCCAGCCGATTTCGTCCAAGAGCTCTACCTCAAGGAGCTCAAGGCTTACAAGCCACCCCCTGGCAAGGACACTGACGCCGCCAGCCAGGTCCAAACCTTCTCGCTTCCCAAGACCCCTAAGTCTCCCGAGGAGACCGACTTAGCTAGCAGCCTGAAGGAGTACGAGAACATGGCCGTCGAGGTGGAAGGAAACGAAGGTGCCGCCGCCAACTCGTCAACGCCCGCCGTCGTAGAAGACTGGCTGGTGGATGAGGAGGAAGACGAGGAACATGCCGCTCACCATTAAAAAAAAAAGAGGTGGCTTGCCGTGCTAAGAGAACTTAATCTATTTAACGTAGGAAAGATGAGGATGAGGAGAGGCTGAGCCGAGGAGGAGAAAAAAGTTTACCCAAGCATTATAGAGCGAGAGCAGAGAAGAGAAGAGCAGAGAGGCATATGCACATTACCCCCCCGGTGCTTTGCAAGTCGTCCAAGAGGTGGTTGTGGAGAGGAGGAAACCCCTAACGTCACATGTACATTTATTCCTAGGATCGCTGGTGCCAAAACACGATTTGATCCTTCATATCAAAGAGCTTACGTTTATTCTACCCTACTCAGTAAACGCTATATACGTCCTGACTTGAGTGTTTGCTGTGTAGATTTATGTCCACTTCGACCTGTTAGATAACCAGATAGATTCGTTTTACCTTGACCATCTATGGACTATGCATGTCACTCTTCTATATACATCAAGACTCTTACTACGAGCAGAGACGATCTCGATAAATACATTGTCAAGTAAGTATCATGTTCACACCGTATCTTGGACCTTCGTCAACTATCCAGACCACGTCGATACTCCCAAATATCCCTCCCCGCTCCCCTGATGTTGGATTCACAGAATTACAGCCCAACATTAGTCTACCACAAGACATCGGCGCATTTTACAGACACTCCTATCTTTTTAGTTATCCTACCTAGGTAGTTATGCTCTGCTCGTTTCCAAGATCTCCATCCACCTGCTGTACGAGAGCGGATGGAGCACTATCCTTGCTTGTTAGATCATAGCTACCTACATGCGTACTCGCCTACTTGCTTTGACCTAGTTAGGTAGAACAAGAATAAGTAGTAGCTGGAGACTTGTTAGTCTACCGATCGCCATAGCTGACGAGATACTCGACAAACGTATCTCCCTCTCCTTTTTTTTCTGTTCCGGCTGGTATCCCCATGCCATCACACCGACTACGTAGGGAGCGTTCTCCGATCCTGCTACAACCCAAGGGGTCTTTCTACAGAACATGAGGGTATTCACATGATATCATGCACAACGTCGATCGATCCAAGCCCCAGCGCGTCAAGACACACATACACACACCGCCGCCGCCGGTCTTTTCGGGATCCCTTTTCTCTCTCACGAGCTAAGTTGAGAAATTATCTACCCAAGGCTTCTCGCCACCGATTAGCTACCGAGGGAGCATTCATGACGTCTCGAGCGTTGCAGCGAGATCTCTAGCTGCGTCCGCGAAGGCGGGAAAACAAGGGAAGAGGACGAAAAAGAATTCGAGGGACAGGAAAGAAAAATAAAATAAAAAATCCCTCGCTCTAGAAATGGGTAGTAAATCAAAATAGATATATTAGGTACATACATACATACATACATACATACATACATAGGTAGGAGGTAGGTAGTAGTTATATCGCAATGTACAACACCAGAAATGCCCCTCGGGCCAGTTCACCACCGATCCAGGAGCAACAAACGCCTACGAGTTATAAGCACCCGGCCCAATATCCGGGTTTATCCACAGGCCAGGGCGCCGGACACGATCCCGAAGCACCCCCGGGGGGGACCCTCCTACTTTCTAGTCACACGTCGCACGCGCGCGCGCGAACATTTTCTACATTTTCTTCATTCTCTAGCGCCTTGTCCCGTGCCGTGTCTTAGTGCATACGTACATTATATACCTCTATCCCCCTTGTCTTGTCTCCTCTTCCCTCTCCGTTATTCTCCTATTCGACCTTTCATACCTAGGTAGGTAGGTAGGTAGGTACATATCCATACACGCCGTTTTCCTTAAACGCTCACCTACATGCGCGAAAATAGCGAGTGAGGTGGACTCGAGAAAAAAAAACCAAAAAAACCCTTGCCTCTTCCATCATCATGACAGCTTCTGCCAAACCCTCCCTGCATATCGACCGACCTACATGAAAGGCTGGCTACCCGCAGACATCATCATAATCGTCTTATATACCACCTACCACCCTTACCCAAAGAAAAAAAGAAAAAAAGTATATATGTCGTGCTACCCGCATTTGTGCTTCCCAGAAAGAACAGACAGTTATGCTAGCTAGCTACCAGGTAGCTAGTTAGTTGCTAGTTTAACTCCCTCCCTCCCCTTCCCCCTCCCCCTCCCCTCCTCTCCTTGGAACCGTGCAACATAGCACGAGAGAAACCCTTCGACATGACAATGCCCGCATATGTTCTTCTACCTATGTCATCACGCCTGCAGCCGCTTGACACAAATGCAAGCCTACGGGGCCAAATTACCTGTTTACTTACTTACCTCTTACCAACCTAGAGCTAGTTTTGGTACTGTAACTCTTATCAGGCATCTATCTATCTGACGAGAAAGAAAAATTCAATCTATGACCCCATATAAATAAAAGGGGGAGGGGGGGACGGACTACTATGGGAATTCGTCGGAGCTTTGTCAGACCCATCCATCCTACGGAGAGTTACGCGGTGTTTATAATCCTGAGTTAGACATCTTTGACGTTGGCCCGAATGTAACGGTTTAACCTAGGGAAGAAAGGGGCCCCGGATATAAGATAATATTTTTTTTTTTTTTTAAAAAAAAAAAAGCATTCGATTCCTCATTATGATTATGACTACCTAATAAGGCACTCGCGTTAACTAAAAAAGAAAAAAGCACGACGGTAAAGAGACAATAAAGGCAAGTTTCACATCGCAATTTTGCATCATGCATCGCATCGCATCGTATCATATCGTATCATAAAAGCAACCTATGTAGTATTATTCCACTTTCGGACCTCTTTTTCTCCGTACTGGAAAGGAAAAAGTAAGCCTTTGAAAATTAGTACGATATGTACTTGTATGTTTTTGTGTCTGTGTGCGTTGTCTGCATGTCAGCCCTGCTGCTTACGTGCCTCCTCCCGAGTTCGTCATCAAGAGAACTCACACAGGGGCAGCAAGCCGCAAGAGCTCAAGCGAACCAGGGAGATGGCCGCGAGAACCTCAGCTTTAATTCAAACGCCCACATTTGCTCGCTCGCTTCGGCAAAAGCATCGTTAGCATACTAGTAGCCACCTGTCATCCCGAACAACCAAGCAAGAACTGCCAATCCCCTTTTTTTGCTCTAGATTCTAACTGAGTACTTGGCGTGACCGCCAAAGTAGCTCAACAATCTTAAGAACCCTTCACTATCAACCCTATAGCTGGCATCCAAGCCCGCAAAAATTCCAAACCGAAGTGACAAAGGAGTAGGATCATAGTGATCTGTACCGGTCCCTCGTGACCTGAATGGGTGATTTTAGATAGGTATTTCCGAAACTATCCCGCGATTTTTCGTGTACGTATGTGCCATGATTCCAGACTATTTGCAAATGCCAAACGCCCTACCACTCCGTAGTGACTTAAGTAACCTCTGCCAACCGCCATCTCATGCAGAATGCCGCCCTATGCATGATGCCATAGTGAGAATTTTTAAAGAGTAATAGACGAAACCGCTGTAAATGCTGAGGACGAGCGGGTGAGTCATCTTTGTGTAAGAAGAGTACATGTAGAAAAAAAGGAAATGAAATGTTCGTGTCATAAGTCAAAGTGGGAATTGCCGAACGGTTCATCGTTATTGCCCGTTTTCACGATTCCACTCATCCTATTTGATTTTCGGAGATCAATGTCATCAAGGTCATCCCAGTCGTTATCTCGGCGATCTACGTCGTCCATATCTTCATCATATCTTCCTCTCATGTGGTCGTCTAATGCGCTCTCGTCGACAAACGTGAAGCCTTGGAAATTCGCCTGCGTGGTCGGAGAAAGGGGTGTTGATGTGGCAAAGCCCGTGGATAGCTGCTGTGCACGTTCGTTCAATGATCCATTCGCGTTCAGAGCGTTTGTGAACTCCGGGTCAAAGTAAGAGACGTCCGTCTCAGACTTCAACTTAGGCTTGAAAGGAGGGGTTATGAGCTTCTTGGTCAAGAGATCCCAGTTTACATCGGCAAAGAACGGATGGCGCTTCAATTCCTCGGCGTCATCAACAGCGCCTAGCCGGTGTTTCGGGTTCCTGTTAAGCAACCCCTTGACAAAATTCCTGCCTTCCTGCGAGAGCGTATCACGAGGAAATCGGACTTTGCCAAATGCGATGTTTTTGTACATCTGCTGGGTATCTTCAGCGTAGAAAGGGCTCCACCCACAGCACATTTCGAAAACCAGAACACCAAGAGACCAGAAATCTACCATCTTTGTGTATCCAGCTTCATCCAGTAACACTTCCGGGGCTAGGTACTCGGTAGTTCCGCAAAACGTGTTGGTGGTGTCGTTTTGCGTTAGGTTAGCTTTGGACAAACCGAAATCGCACAAGGCTATGTGGCCATTCGCATCGAGCAGAATATTCTCGGGCTTCAAGTCTCGGTAAACGATGTCGTTATTGTGAAGATGTTGAATGGCAAGGATGAGCTCCGCAATGTAGAATTTGGCGCGCTTCTCGTCAAACCGCCCTTCCTTCTGAAGATGCCAGAAGAGTTCGCCACCAGACATATAATCTGTGACGAGGAAAAGATCATTCTGGGTCTGGAAGGAAAACTTCAAGCCTACGATGAATGGCGACTCTGACATAGCCGTTCGAACCAGGATATTTCGCTCTCCAACTGTATGTGCCACCTCTTTCTTCTGTACAATGACCTTCTTTGATAAGACTTTCATGGCGTAGATTCGGCCTGTGTCCTTCTTTCGCACCTGATAAACCTGGCCAAATGTACCTTTCCCAATCAATCGTAGAATTTGGAAATCGTCCGGTCCGTAATGCTTCTTTTCTGTCCTCTGGTAGATGGCTTCAACAAATATCTCGCCTGTGGGTGCCTTGTCCGGTGTTGTGTCAGCGTTTCCTCTTAAAGGGAACCAACCTCGTACGGGTTCATCTTTTCCGGGAACAGCTGCTTGGAAGTCCACGTGGCCGAGAAACTCTTCGCCCTGCGTGCTATGGTCGTAAATCGAGATATCCACTAGCATGTCTGAATCAACAACGTCACTATTGAAGTTAGTGGATGTGCCTCCTAAGGACCCAGTCAATCTATAATACTCACAATACTGCCTCAGCATCCCACTTCGGGCTTGTAAATGATCGTCCTGGACGATTTCTGAAAGTATTATAATCCGAAATGCTGGTGTTGCTGCTCTGGCGACTTCTCATGGGAATTGATATCGCACGACCAGGGTCACTACCTTGGCGTTGTATAGGAATTCCACCTGTCGCAGGTGGCTGAGGTGATGATTCATCTTCGTCCTCGAACGTTCGCGGTCCGGGAGATATCAGTTCGCTTCTTTGGAATACGGCAACGACGTAGGGGTCACGGCTCTTTCTTAGTCCCCTTGCTTCTAGAATCTTAATAGTAAGCTTGCCCCTCTGAGGTGGAGCTGCAACGCCGCCACTCGAGGAGGAGACCGGTGTCTGCCTGCCACCCGCTTCCGAGCCATCTCCGCTATGCTTTGAGGGTGACCTCTCCTCACGTTGGGACGAATGGGTAGCTGAGAGCGTTCGGGTAGGTGTTGAGGGACCGCTCTTTTTCGATCCATCAGTTAGCTTCTTGAGTCGATCAACCGAAGCAGACTTAGAGAAAAAACTGCCAGCATCGCCTGCAGGGGGTTGGGCATCCGTGGGAGAACTTGGTGTAGTTTCAGAAGTGCGGTCGCTAGGGATAGAGAGGTGGCTAGCGAAAGCATTGGATGTGGTGACAATGCTCGTAAGAGGGGATGCCAATGTGGCCCTCCGAACTTTGAGCTGCGAGAGATCCGTGGCACTCTTGTTGTTCAGTGAAGAACGATTCGATGAGCCGCTAGCGGCTGCGTCGGAATCGCCACTTGCATCTGACAACTTGCCCCCCCTTTCTGACGGCGTCTGTGAACTAGGAGGCGTAGGGTAGGGATGAACATCGGAAGCTGATTGCTGCGAGGACTGCACTTTTGCCAGAGGTTCGATCCTCTCATGTGGAAGGAGAGGCGAAATGTCTGGCGTGAGGTCCTTGCTGCTCAAATCCGAACCAGGGCTCGGTAGCTGTTCAGGTACGGTGCGCGCATCCTTCTCTTCCTGGGGACATGAAGGGTGGGTCGACTCAGTCTCATGTGTTTGGGAGGAAGACGAGCGGCCGAGGGAAAAAGGTAGAGGGGCAGAACGAACCTGGCCAAAGTAACTCATAATACCCGGTAATCGTTTGTCGTGGAGGTCAGGCTGAGGCGTAGCGATGCCAGAGCGCGGGGTATCATAACCGATCTGATCAGACGCATCATCCTCTGTGTTTGAGGTCCTACCCGGCATGTTAATAACGGTCGCCCACAATTTCTAAAACTATGAAACAAGAAGCTTTTCAAGCTGAAGGGTGAGGTGAGGGTCAAGCGAGGGGGTTAAAAGGATAAGAGGTTGACAAGACATGAGAACAGTATCAGAGTGAAGGGTGATTTAAGGAGGAATATCTTGGGGAGTGAACATCTCGAAGAACGAAGCGATCCAATGGCGACAGCGGTGAGGAAGTTGCAATGATCCCGTAGCATAACCAGATATCCATGGATGCAAGATTACAAGCGACTCGGAAGATGGGCGGGCAGGTGGTAAAAAAAGAGCGAAATTTTCACGAGCCATTTCGTCGAACCGAGCCCCATGGTACTGTCTTCGAAGCAACCACCCATGACACTCGCCATGTGGTAACCTTGAAGGGGAGTTGAGGTGGGGGTGCGGTTGGAGATGGATCGACACCAGGTGGGGTGGATGCAGAAGAGAGATCAGACCAGCAGGGAACCGAAGAGGGGGTTGGTAGGACTGGCATAAGTGACATAGCGACATATCGACATTGGGCTCCTCTGCGGTTTTATTGCACTGGCGAGTAAGGAGTCAGGAGTCAGGCTTCAATATGATAATAATTATAAGCCTCGTCCAGACCCCGCGCTCAGATTCGCCGCAGAACGGAGCTAGCTAGAGCGAGCCAGGACAATATGGGGACCTGTTCGCTGCGAATATCGGTGACCAGCCACGACTGCACAACGCAGATAAGCCAAGGGAGGTCTCATCTAAAAATAAGCGCTGAGTTGTATACATCTGGTAGCCTTCTCGGGAAGAGGGCCGATGACCGACTTGGACCTAACTGGCTGAGCCCTTCTCATCCAAATCTTCACTTGCGAAGCCGAGCTGATGTGGATGATGAATGATGTATAATGAATCTGGAGTAACCTCGTATAGCCGACTTGTTTTGGATATGAGAGAGTATGAGAGCTGAATGAAGTAGGATAAGACCCAAACTCGAGTACTTCGAAGTATACTTGGCGACAGTGGTGGTAGCAGTAGTGGCAGTAATGGCAGTAGTAGTACGAGTTAAAGCCGTCGGCGACGACTTATCAAGCCCGGCGCCATTGCGGTCAAAGTTAGGGTACTTCGGGCCAGGGATTGTCGTATGGCCAACTTTGGAATATCCTTGGGCAGTGATCCGTAATCCGAAGGCAAATACTGGCTAAACGGAAAAGAGAACCTTGTAGGGGATTTCAAAGGTTCCCAAGTCTCCAGAAGTCGCAGCTTGCGTAATTGGCGTACCGGCGAGATTGATAAATGAGGTATAAGGTAAATGGGGTAAGGGCTAATTCAATATTTCTTTGAAACGGTGAATGAACCCAATTGATGGTGGTTAAAGAGGCAGTGAAAACGGGAGGAGAGCATGAATGAGAAATTGGGGGGGGGGGTGTTCCGAGCTTGGTGATCTGGTGATCTAAGGAGAATAGACGCAACATAACATATGATGAACCCTTTTTTTTCTCCTTTTTCTCGTTCTGTAGAAATATTGTTTACTTACTTTGACATCATCGCTTGCGTTGCCCGCCGGAGCAGGTCGAATCCTCCCTCCGAACCTGACATGATGATGGATCAAATTCGTAAGCCTTGATCGCTCACTCAATGTCAGGTTCCTATCCAAATAAACTTCCTCTAAACTCTGCTGTTCAAACCACCAGCAGTTAGTTAAGATTTAGTTGTAAGGTGCGGGTGTGGGTGCGGGTGCGTGTACCCCTTTGACGGTGAATATAAAATAAAAGATCAATTACCAGAGGAACCTTCGTTTGGTTGGAGATTTGAGGTTTGACGCGGGACGTGGGGGTTGAAAGGAAAGAGACGGAGAAGAAGAGATGATTTGCGTGAGGGGAAAGTATTTTTTTTCTGGCGTCAGTGGTTTTGGTAGCTGGTAAAATGATGTCGCGAAAGAGACGTTGCGGTTGAATGAATATGTTTCTGCTGAAAAAGGCGGGCTTCTGATTTGAGCCTGATGGACCTGATGGGCCTAATGGCGGGGCAATTCGTTCCAAGAAACGTTAGTACATGATGTTAGGACGTACATGTACCTAATACGCTACCTACTATGTAATAGGTACATATTTACCTAAAGTACCTTAAGGTACTATGTATACCTACCTACCTATGCCTACCTAGGTACCTAAGGAGGTACTGGGTATGGTGTGTGATTCTGGAACTGTGGCCCACTATATGTGGTACATACAAGCGGTACACGCGGTACATATACTGGCCCCAGGGTTAACTCAAGGGTCCTCTTAATGGATAATGGACAGCACCAAAAATGGGAGCTAAAATTTGAATTGGGACAACCAGGACAACCTGCTAAAAAAGGCCCGGGAACGCCTAGTGGCTGACCAATTTCTAAGCTAGACTCCGCCGTCGCCCGGAATAACGCGAACGGTAAGAAGCCGGGTAGAAGGCGCGTACACCAATATATAATTCAAAGAAGGAAGGTACTTATAGGGTACTTACATGTTGTCTTTTATCAATTTTCTAAGAGGGTCCCTTTTTGCGGCGGGGTTCCTTTCTCGTGTACAATTTCAATAGGTGGGAAAGGTGCGAAAGGTACGAGAGGTGAGGTAATTCACCATTTTCGATTAGATAGTGGTTTTTGTCGTCAGGGTCCAAGACTCCAAGGACCAGATCTACGGTACACTCCTATATACTGTATTGTACGTGGCGACGTTACCTAGCTACACCGGTATTCGTGTTGTTTTTCGCATGCGTCCACGTACTCTCGTCAATATAATACTGTATAAGTGGTACAATACAGGCATACGATTAGGTACCCTTTATTTAAGGGGGTAATTGTCGCTTAAATTTCAGCTCTTAGGCGGAGAGACATATCAGTAGCGTCGCGCCAGTTACGTTAGGTTGCTAGTTGATGATGCCAACTAGGTAGTGTAGTTCGTTGCAAGTAGTAATATCAATACCGATACAGGTACTGATACCGAAATCAGCCAACTGTCACAAGTTCCTGATGTGATTCGGTGTACCTTCTTGGAGAAGCCGGCGAGGTTCGGGTGCTAATTTTGAGATGGAAAGAAATATTCTCTATCTTTATGCCTCTCTCCAGACGTTATTCTTTTTTTTCTTGGCACTGAAGAAGAACAAAAAAAAACTATGCTGTCGTAATTTGATACCATGCCCATATACCTAACACAGCGGAATGCCTGATGGGGAAGGCGATCGTAACTAGGCCTGGCTAGCCGGTTAAGTCGAGCGAGATCTACCTACCTAGATATGTCGCAATTCTAAAAAATCTAACTACCATGTCAATGCTAACTTTTAGCGAGAGGGGGGATTAAAAGTAACTTGGGTGATCTGAGAGTAGGTAGGTATGTAATAAAAAGTATATTACAAAGGCATGATGAATTATCTAGAATATTGTAGGAAACACGACACCGGTAAGTTGGGGATATCTCCCCATTCCAAATAGCTACCGCTCAGCCGCTTTTAACGAAGAGAAGAAAATAAAAGGAAATAAAAGGGGCGGCACAAAGCTGACAAGCCTATTTCGACGAAAAAATGCAGGAAATACTAGACCAAAGGGGTGGAGAATATCTCTCTACTAAGACCCTGTCAACGAATATTCGCCGGAGCGGGCAAGATCTGAGACCATGCTGATCTATTATATCTTCGTGCAAGACCATAACTACAGAGATCATACCTATCATACTGTTCCATCCACTACTATATGTATCATGACAGTTTATCACAAGCCCATATGGGCCACCTTTATTACGTCCGTTGCATTCTTAAAACAAGTTTCCCAGGTTTCATATCCAAGATACCAGGTACCTAACCTACCCAGGTACGCGACATGTGCCAGTTTAGGTATTATATGTGACATATGTGACATATGCGAATCCGGGAAGAATTTCCCATGTTGACGATTGGGTGACATGACTAGTGACCACCCCGACCTGAATAATATAATTTCTAAGTATGTAAGAAGCGTAAGAGCCCAGAAGAAGCCTGTTACTACCATTATTGTTACTATCATTGGTTCGATTGGGCTTTTCTCGATATTACCTAAGATGATACCCAAGATGGAAATATGTACGGCTATGCCCCGTAGCCCTTGGGACGTTTTTTTTTTTTTTTTTTTTTACGGGGGTGGCAGGGTGGCTTGGTTCTTCTAGAAGTCTCAAAGTTGCGGTGTCAAGGTTCATTCCTATATTGTAGGTAATTCAGCACGAGATGTCATCAACGTATTGTTCAAGTATCCATAACGGCAATCCTTCAACCATGTCACGGCAACATGGAGGAGGTACCTCTTACACCAGTTTTACAAGTCACCATCTCAGCAATGTGGAGACGACCTGATAGGACGGCCTGTAACTTGTACATAACCTGTTCCTGTTTTGAAATGGCGGCGGCGTCTAACCAACCAGCCCTAATGCGGAATCCAGCGTTTTAGGTATTATCGATGAATCCCTGTGTTCCCTGTCCTCTCGACGCTTGCGTTGCCAACCACAATGAAAAGAAATCAATGGCGCTAAATCTTGAACTATCTCCAGCTACTAGACCGGCTTATCACTTCGCATTCTTTTCTCGAGCTTGGAATAGCATCATCTTGCAGCCCCGGAGCTTTAGTCTCTTTTTCGTCAATCCCCCCCTTTCCTTCCGCGGATTGGCCGCCCCTTTCTAATAACCGTCGTGGCCAATCTACATAGTAACTAGGTAGGGAGCCAGTAAGTCAGTAAGCCGCTGAATTATTATGGTTTATTGGGTCCGCGACTTATCCACTACCGGGCCCGGGCAAGATGATGTGTACTATGTAAGTGGCCAGCGCATCGCCATCTCCTTATGTATATTAATATATCGTGGAGTGATCTAAGTGTAGAATACCTAGGTACTTGCATAATAGCCCTTAGCATAGATACGTTAAGGACAAGACAGGTACATATCCACCAAAATTTCATATGCGCCTGCGGCAGGTAGATTAATAAGTGATTAGACTCTATTAGACTCTATATACAATGCAATATCTCTCTATACGACTATTCTCAGGTGGCGACAAAAACATGCAGGACAATGTCTAAGGGATTACATTACCTATGCCAACTGTTGGTGCGTTGGGCAAGGGATAGGGATGTACGTATGCTGCATCATGTCGACGCTGACTGACCGAAGAGGCTGCTGCGGTGAAAGGGCATGATCTGCTGCCCTGTTACCAACCCCAAGGCGCATGTCCGCGCGCTGTCCCTAGGTAGTACGTAGGGGCGGCAAAGACATTTTGAATAATAATATATATAAAAAAAAGCTGTGTTTCCCAAGTAATTGTCACCGACCCAGAGCATGACCTTGCATAGCATATCAAGCATGGTGTTCACATATGCCCGTGTCTCAAAAGGACATTTCAGAATACCGATGAATGCAGCCGAGCTGTCACGCATGCGCAAGCCACTTGATCGTAATCATGGGACTAGATGTGGGAAGAGCGGGATGGGGATCGGGGGGTGGTGGTGGTATGAGAACATGCGAGTCATGACTTGTCTTTGTTCCCTTTTTTTCCTCTTTTTTTTTCAGAACCATCATCGCCGCTTTCTATCTATATCCGGGGTTTCATTTACGGAATAGGTAGCAATCTTTAATACTGTACTCTTTCTGTCTCTCTCACCCGTGGGTGGTAGCTGTGTGGTATTGCACATAACCAGCCAAGTCGGCCCAGATCGTGCTACCCTTTCTAGGTCCCCTCCGCCTATGCTCAGGCAACGCAAGAGTGATCTTATAAATTAAGTTGTCAAAGCTTAGCAAATCCAAGAGTTCGGATGCCAAGCCGTTGAGCGTTTCCCCATTTACGGATATCCGGACTTATCAATATTCTTTTCTTCCTTTTACCTACTTTCTCAACCCGACCATTCCATCCTTTCTTTTGGGATCCCGGGCCATACGATACTCGCGTGTCCTCCTTAGGGCTATACTTTACATATGGTAGTCGTAGTACATTGGATGGAAAAGAAAGAAAAACGCTGAGCTACCATCTCTTTAACCTCGTAGCGCGCCGGAGGGTCCCACCCATCCTAATCCGAGCCGACGGATCCCATACCACCAAACCCGCGCGCGCGGCCCCATTCCATTTGCGAATAATCCTCCGCCACTTCGGGCGGCGAAGGAACTAAAAGAAAGAAGAAAAAACTACTCCTACCTTGGTACTTACTTTAACCCCGAAGGGTGCCAATATGAATTTAGCAACAGTAAGCAACCCTTGATGATGCTAGGTGATGCTACCCAGATTGCTCGGTTTGAGCCTTTCGGAAATTATCAGGCAGAATAGGAAGACGGCTCAGCCCAGAAGGGGGAGAGAAAGGATGAAAACGGGACCCCTGTCGCCATGTGGTAGCCGATCAACCTCCAAAATCGAACGGACGGCACAGTCCCGTTTCTAGAGCAGAGACGGGGATATCGGGTATCGAGTACCATCCCCCGCCAAAAGCTTGTCACCCAGGTAAGGTTCCAAGTTGGAGATATATGTATGTATAGATGGATGGATGGATGTACGTATCTGTGTATAATAAACGTACCCTACCGCGGTTTTTACCAAGCATTGCAAGGTAGGTAGGTAGGTAGGGTAGGTAGGGTACCTCTAATGTAAAAGAACACAATGAAACCGTGATGAGCAAAGTCTAGAATTCAAATCCAATCTCATACACGAACACATCCACAAGCTTATCTAGTTTGCGATCACCACCCCATGTCCCAGTATCCTTCCCCTTAGAGATTACCTCAGATAGGCCCGTTTCCCCTTATTCATATGCAAGCCGCATCAAAACGAAGAACCCTAATTGCTCTACCGTCGAACACGTAATCCCTTCTACAGGCGGGACTAATCCGCATCGACCAAGCATATGTAAGTATGTATATCATGAATACGTGCGAGACCTGAGTTACCTGCTGAAGTAGGTAGGTAGCATGTATGCTCGTACATACCTAGTATCACGTACGTACGCACGCACAACCGAGACCCCACGGATTTATCGAGGGTAGCACTGTCTCCCGGTAATAAACGTTGCTCCAATTACTCAGATAACACGTGTGGCAATCGAACAGGTAGGTATAGGATAAATATAGCCAGGTCACCATCGAGTTTTCTCCAACAGGTACGTAGTGAAGAGAAGATTTATAATGATTGGGATGCCGAAAAAAAAAAGTACAATACGACCAGCCCAAAGTGATACTAATGCAAGGATCCAACCACTTTAAAGTACCTAACTTTAGCCTGACCACCACTCCGTTATACTTCAGCAAGAACGGCTTAGACAGGGGTATCTTGTTCGTAGTAGATGGGCTGGGCCAAGTACCTACCTACCGTCCCAGAAATGCGGTCCGATGTATCCCATTTAGCAATTACCAATCCGCCATAAGCGTCGCAAGCAAGCATGATAGTACGCGTCTTTCACGACAGGCTGTGCAACAATAAATACCCCGGGAGCTTATGAAGCGGGAGTCATCCTTCATTGTCGAAGGGTTTTGCTGTGGCGACGGCGTCTTCATCCGTGCTGACTCTGAGGCTGAACAGATGCTATGATAAGGGGTATTCGGCGGAGTGTACAGTAGCATACCTAACCCAAGCATCTGATACGACAACCTACCTGGCAATATCAGAACATGGACGAGATACTATGGCACCTAGAAGTAGCTGAACAGAAAACCCATGCCGATATTACTCTGCTCGGCGTCAATACCTGCCTAGATATCAAGGCAAGGAGGGTGTGATGAGAAATCAGACGATCATAAATTTAAATGCGCGAGAGTACCTAGATAGGCATCTATCTATATAGCTATGTGCTCGAGGCACCAGTATCTCTCAGAGACATCTCGTCGTCAGCAACTAGCACTGCGATCCATATATGTAGATCGCGCCGCCTCAAATTCCCTATGACGCCTAACGGCAGGCAGTCATACCTTATCCGTTTCCATGCTATCGAAGAACCATATCGTGACTCTTCCATCGTAACGACCCTATCTGTCGTCCCCTTGTCCAACTGGATAGTCGGTCCTAGACGTATTTACTCCCCAAACCACCTCATCCTATGCCCTTCCCTTACTTTCAATATTAACGTACCTAGGTAAGTACCAGTTAACCACCCTTCGAAAACCACGAGATCTCATAGTCATCTCGTTACCTATGTATATAACCGAACCGTAACTCCACACCCCTCTGCTTACTTGGTATCCCTAACTCGAAAAGAAAAGAAGAATAAAAGTGACATTGATCACTGTCGTGTAGTTCGGCGCCTCTTCCTGCCCTTGGCGTTCTGCACATCAGGCCCGCTGCTCTCCGGTTCGAAGTCCGCATCCGGATCCGCTTTGCGCTTGCGGCCGCGGCTGGGCTTGGGTAAAGATGCTGAGCTTGGAGGCGAGGTAGAGGCTTGCGAGGAAGCTTGAACGGTAGCCGAGTTGAGAGTCATGCTACTCGAGGTACTAGGGCCGATAGTCTCCTGGGAGGTATGAACGGCTAAGGCATCTTCGTCTGCAGCGACTGCCTTGGGTCTGGCGACTAACTTAAAACGGATAGGGCGGCGAGGAGGGGAAGGAGCTTCCTCCTCCTCCTCCTCCTCATCATCATCATCATTATCATTATCAGCATCCTCGCCACTATCGACGCTTCTATCGTAGACCCCATCGGCCTTTCCAGTCGCAGCAGCATGCTCATTCCCAGCATCGTAAGCGCTCGAAAAGGTAGCCGCAAAGCTATCGTGGCTGCCGTGCATCTCCTCCCACCGCTCCCGCCTTCGCCTGATCGCAGCTTCGAGTCTCTCGTGGTTCTCGCGCATGATAAGCACGTAGTCGAGCGCTTCCTGGTCGGGGATGCCCTCGTCGCCAATCTGGGGCTGGTACACCTCTCTCCACGTCTCGTCGTCTTCCGGCTCGTAGTAAGGGTCGTCGTTGTCCCAGCCGAACTCGTGTGCGCTGTTTCTGAACCAGGTCTCGTAGTCGCCGTCCTCCTCGAAGCCGCGGTAGTGAGGGTGTGGCCAGACGTTGTTGACTTCGTGATTGGAGGGCCACATCGCGGTTATTCCGGCAAGTATGGTGTTCTGACGCTGTACCGGGTCCTCGATGGAGGCTAGGTATCTGTCGATACCGGGCTGGTCGCCGTTGCCGTTAACCGAGTTGCTATTATCCATGCTGGAGAGCTCGTCTTGGTCTTGATCCTCCCAGGCGTCGGATTGGTTTGATGCCTCGGGATATTCTTCGTCAGCGACAGCTATGCTCTGATTTTCGTCGTGGCTATCGTAACTAGAATTTGCCTCCTCTAGCTCAGCGAGGGGGGCAAGTGGGTGCTTCGCACTCGCAAGATCGGTCCAGACGCGCTCTTGGTCTAAGTTATGAATAACTAGGTGGCTGCCGTAATAGTTTCTCTTGGCAGGAAGGATGATAGCGACGGGTTGCTTTAGGGTATTGGCAAGGCGCTTTAGTTGACGGCGTTGTCGGATGGTCAGTTGCTCGTGGAAATTCGGGTAAGTGCACCGCGGTGACTTGCCGGGTTGATGATAGTCTATGGCAATATCCAAATCCCCCAGAGAAAAAGGCGGCTGCGGCTGACGCACGGGAGGAGGTGCCGCCGGTTGCTCTGGGGGGGATGGCACGGCGTTGCCATCCCTATCGATACTTCAACAATAGGTTAGTGTTTGCTAGGAATAAATAATATATCCTAAGAATAATATATTATCTCCCAAGTATAAACTCGTCCATTAGGTACTTCGACTCGAAACCACCGATTCCCAAGACAAATCACCAAGCAAGAAAAGCAAATTCTAGGGTATTACTCACTAGTACTCCCACGGATTATGGTTTGGCCACCGATCTGTAATCGGCGAGACCGGTCTTATATCTTCGGAGATTTCCCTCGGGAAATCTCTATCAAACTCGGAATCCCTAGTGGGAGGACCGGAACTCTGCAGTTCCGAGCTCTCTTCCGACTCAGAACTCGCTAGCGACGATTCTGAAGATAGCAGCATCTTAAAATTGTTAGTTGATCGATTGTTAGGTTGGGAGTAATATGTGGTTGATTGTAGTCGTGTGGTGAGGGTTCAGGAATATATAGCCTTTTTGGCTTGCGGCATTTCAATCAAGTGTGATAAATATTTGCAGCGTGTAGGAAAATAAGATGAATCGTGTGTGTCATGTGGTGAATATTGAAGTTGTGATGTGTTGAAGTACGTTACTTGCCTCGTAGCACTCAGGTTCTTCCCTGGGAAGTGTACTTGTAGTTGCAGGGTCTTGGACTGGTTTAGGAAGTAGAAGTAGAAATAAAGGTAGGAATAGAAGAAATAGAAGGAGGAAAATAGAAGTAGGAATAGAAGTAGGGAAAAAAAATTTCAAGTTTTCTGTTGTAATTTGTGTTGTAATAATTTGTCCTCGTACTTTCTTCAAACTCTGGTGGTTAGATGAGGCTGGTTAAGTACCTAGGTAGGTAGGCTTCGTTACCGGTCCTAATATTGAACTTTAAGAGGAGGCCACTTTCCAACACGAGGCACCAAAGGTTTATCTATAGTGTTATTTTGCCCTAAATGCCCTCCAGGCACCACCTAATTAATACACATTAAAGATTTGATTCTCCCTGAAGCGCATATATGTGGTAAGTTTGGTAGGTATTATGCAAGATACCTAAGAGATCCCTATAGCGTGGCAACATGTCACTATAGAAATAAAAAAGATGGCGTTATTCATAGGTCGCATTCTATTTAAGAGATATATATTATATCGTTCAGCACAATAAGTTCGGCCGTTTTGTAGAATCTATTCCGAAGTCCCAACGAAATCCCAACAGAGTTGAAAAGGATAAATGCGTTGCTATATCTGACGCGTCAGGGATATGCGGGGATACGAGGCTTTACTGTCTATACAAACGGTAGCCAGCTCCTTGAAATAGGGGAGGGAGGGTAAGGCTTTCCTAGTTCAATCCGATATATTATATGTATGACCCTGGGACTCATTCTATACACGATATGTAAAAGTCCCAAACACAATCAAAGAATTCGCAAATACGGTTATACTGACGGGCAAAAAGAGAGTATATTCCCTGGGACTAGACAAGTAGTATAAATTCTAGCGTATACTTCCTTCCCCATAAGTCGACGTACACCCCAGGCTCACAAGAATCAACTAGAGGAGCCTGTAAGTTCAGCAACAAGTTTCAGCAGTTCAGCCTCTATTTCAGCCGTTACGCCTTTCGGATAGTAATGAGACTGTGGGTGCTGGCGAGGTAGGAGGGGATCTTCATAGTCTCCTATAACGGCATCGTTAGTAAGCAAGCCAGAATAAAAACATAAGTATAAACCGGGAGTACGGAAACAAACTCATGTTGAATTTTTGATCAGTAAGCCTGGCTCGCGCGAGATCTAGCTCTTCCCTAGACCGCTTGTCGTTCCAGGTGCCTCCTCGGACATCGGAGGATTCTGGGGTAAAGGCAGCTTCACTAAAAGAGTGAGTGGGTGTGTGAAGCTGGCCGGGCACACGGGAGGTGAGCGGCCGAGATGAGCTAGGCGTGTTGCTCTGCATAGCTTCTTCCGAGTACGTATCTTCTAATTTGTGTACCTAGGTAGGTAACTAAAGCACGGCACCTAAGGCACTTAACAGAATCAAGGTATTTAAGTTACTATAGCCTTACGTTAGCCATAATACTATATTAGTCTCTTTAGTGAGGGTGAGGGTGTCGGGGGATTTACTAGAATTTTGGCGAGTATATTAATATGGACAGTTGAGCTTGCGATATCCTAGAAAACGTTAAGGCTGCCGTATTGCGTAAACAGAAATAAAGAGGTACAAGGGTGCTATATGTTACTGAGCAAATTGCTCCTTGAATACATTAACAAAATAACAATAGTATAAGAGGAAAAGAAGCGTTGATGTCTGCTATGTGATATAATACTTTAGATGTTGGCCGATAATGGATCTGATGAGGTACGGTTTTAGGTACAGTTGTAGTTCAAAGTTCGGGCGGCAACAGCCGAGCCCACTTAATAATCTTGACGATCGTTATCGTGATTGGCTTCGTTTCCTTGGTCAGGCTGTCAGGTCATGGGTCATGCTGCACTGTAATGTAACGCAAGGACAGCAGCCCCAGATTAGGTAAGCTCTACATAGATACCTAGGTACTAGTATTGTACCTAGCCGGCCTAGGTACCTTTCCTGCTGTTACCGAGTCCAACTCCCCAAGGTCAAAACATCGGTGTGGAACTTGACCGACGTAAGGGGGCCCTTTATGGGGTAAACTTAATTACAGGTACACTGCACTCACTGCACTTACCTAAAAACCCAGTAAATAAAATAAACTCCGTTTTCGCGAAAAGCGAAAAATCTCCCCGCCTGTCTTCCCCCTCCCAATCGACGGAGCAGATAATAATTACAATCTTATATATACCATTGCGTATAGAAGCCAAAGAGAAGACATAAATCATTTCTCATTCTTAGATTTAATTTCTAGTCACGAACACCCACGTCCTTTAGATTCGTGTCAGCGGTCCTTCCTGCGTTCTAATATTATAGCTTACCCTACCAACCTACCAACCTACTTAGCTACGATGGCTAAGAGGATGACGAGCAAGGTCCCCGATGCCTGGGAAGACGACGATTGGGAGGCCCAAGCAGATAAGGCTGCCACAACCAAAGACGAATCGACGTCGACGTCGCAGTCGCAGTCGCAACCCCAACCGCGACTAAGCAAAGCCGAACGTCTGGCGCAACACGCCGAGTCCAACAAGAAGCTCTGGGAATCAGCGTATGTCCCCTCATATATATACCTATACCTATACCTATACCTATATATATACCTATATATATATATATCCCTACCCAGGTACCTACGATATCTACACAGACAGACAAACTAATCCACCCCCCTTCCCACCCCACAGCGAAGCCCCCCCCGGAACATTCCACTACCTCGCAGCGCGCTCCGACCCGCCCCTCGCAACAGGCTTCAAGCCCGCGGTCAAAGTCCTCAGCCGGAAACCCACGCCGTCGTCGGGGGACCCCCACAACCGCGACGGCGACGACGAAGACGACGAAGACGGGAAGAAGACGCCCCAGCTCACGCCCCAGGAGATCCAGCTCAAGCAGCAGCGGGAGCGCGAGGAGAAGCAGCGGCGGTACAACGAGGCGCGCGCCAAGATCTTCGGCACCAGCACTACACAGAACACCAATTCCAACGCTAGCGCCGGCGTGGGAAGCTCGAATCCGTCCTCGGGCGCTTCGACGCCTGGCGCCGTGACGCCGCCTCGATCGGCTGAAGGACGGGGCCCGCGGGGTAGAGGGCGAGGTGGAAGAGGAGGAGGAGGAGGGGGACATCGGCATAATGAGAGCCGAGGTGAACGGGATAGGGGCGATAGGGGGGACAGGGACAGGGATAACAACATCCAACGACCTGGTAGTCAAGCTAGTGGTGGACGGGAACTTTACGACCCGAATTACTCGCCCAAGCCGGGCTTCCAACTAGAGCGCCGAGCCAACAGCAACAGCAACAACAACAACAACAACAGCGACGGCGGAGCACCGCTATACCGGCGTTCGACGCCGCGGGACGAAGAACAAGTCATACGTGCGCCGCGGGGACCGGACGGGAGCGGAAGGGGAGGATTCGGGTTTGCGAAGCGTGGCGCCAAAGGCAGCTGATTTGATGTAGGATTTAATACTACTACTTATACGCTGCGTCTAGGTACTACAAAAATGATGATAGCTACCTAGGTACCTAAGCTACCAGCCGCCGCCGATCTTGCCCGCTAATTGGACGACTCTCTCCGTGCTGCTCGCCGCCTTGTCCTTGCCCACCTCGCTTACCACCTCGCGATAGCTCGTATATACCAACCTATCGACGCCTATGCCCGTCGTGCCCGCCCAATGCGCCAGGGTATCCCGAATATATGACGGGGAAATGCCGTCGACCGTATCACTTGGCGCCCGACCTCCCCCGTTTTCTATGCCCGTGTTCACGTTCTCAGCCTCCAGATCCGAGTCGGGGTCTTCAGCCGAAAAGTATGCCTCGTCCACTTGTGCCAACCACTGCTTCTGCTCCTGAGGCCCAGGCTTCGCTTCCAGGCCTCTCCTCTCGATTACGATCGGATCGTCGACTTTGATCTGCCCGCCACCGTTGGTGCAACCTCCGGGACATGCCATGACCTCAACATAGGCATATTCCAGTCCCGCCTGCTTGCCCGCTGGTCTCCGAGACCCGGTGACTTTTGCGCCCGGCATCCGCGACAGTTTCGGCGGCTTCAGCCTCCGCACTAAATTTTGAATATTCCGGAAGCCGTAATATCTCGCAGCCTTGAATATCGGCTCGCCGGCCGCCGAGGTCACCGTATACTCCACAACATCGGCATTCCGGCCACGTACCGTCTCGATTTTCGATCCCGGATACCGCGCGGAGACGTATTTCAGTGTATAATATAAATTGCCCCCCGAAGTCCCCGCCAGCGGGCTCCCTTGACCTGTCCGCGACCGCGGAGGAAAGAGGAAGCGTCTTATCGTGGGATCAGGAAAGGGGGTTTGAAGTGTGGTCGAAATAGGGGCCTTGGGTAATCCGAAGAAATCAATGTTCCTCGACTCTGTCAACATCAGAATCTCTTTGCTCGTGATGACACAATCCACATCCCTCACGCCCCTACCAGGCTGCCCGTTTTCATTCCACACAGCGTCGGTAAGCTCCTCGCGGCTCGCCTCCAGCTTCTTGTCGAAGCACGGCATTACAGCCAGGTGCCATATCCGATCGGGAGAGATCCCCAACGTCCGGCTTAACGTGGTTTTTAGCAGCGTGCCCATGAGCGCCTGCGGCGACTTCACCCTTGAGATGTATGGCAGGACGTGCGGATGCGTCTTCTCGGCATAACATACCCACCCGGGACAACTCGACGTCAAAATGGGCTTCGAGACTGTGCCCTTGTCGCTTAGCGCCTCCTCCGCACCTAGTACTAAACACGCCTCCCGCGCCGTGTTCGTGTCGACGACCCATTCGAACCCGTTATTCCACTTGCCGCCCGCGCGCAACCCTTCCGACCCGATCAGCAGCTGCGATATCATGCGCCCGGCGTCCCGCTCGCTCACATCCCGCCCCGCGACCGCCGCCAGGCTGGCGCGCGTCTGCGGCGACACGCTCGCCACAAATATCTTGCTGTCCGGGTTCTCGAGGCCTTCGACCCCGAAGCCTCCATCCCCGCGCCGCGTTATGCGCAGGCTCGGCGCGCCGTCTAAAACGCTAAGCAGCTCCGAGTGGCTCTGCAGGCTGACGAGCACGGCCTCGGCCGAGGTCACGCACCCGGAGCAGGCTAAGCAGTCGGTCAGCGAGATCTGCGCGGGCCCCGCGGCGCCAGCGCCGGCATTCTGCGGGTGCTGGCCGTCGAGAATGACTTCGTGCTCGAGGTCGCTGGAGGTAGGGGCGGGGGCCGCGGGGAGGGTCTCGACGGGTTTGATGCAGGCTACGCCGGGGGATATGAAGTCGTTTAGGTCGTCTGCCGAGAGGATCGCCGACATTGTGGGCGGGTATTATTGGAGGAAAAGGAGTGAGAGGCGTTGAGAAGTTTGGTTTGGGGGGGACAAGTCCCCTGGTTTATTTATATGGCTCCGGCGGTTGGGTTTATTTAATAAGAGGTTAAATTGCCTATTTCTCGAACTTTGGGTCGGGGAGATGTAACTTTTGATACGAAGCGGCGCGACTGGAAGACAACCCGGCGCGGGGGGAGACGGGACGAGTCGAATCGATGGAATGAATAGATGGATGGATGGATGGATGGATGATCGATCAAAAGGATGACGATGGGGATGTTAAGTCGTCGTCGTAGTTAAGAATCTACTTGATTTATTCTCTCTCTCAATTCTAAAACTCGTTGTATGAACGAATAATAAATAACAAAAAGTAAGTACCTAACCTAAAGTAATTGGAGATTTGTCGCATGCCAGAAGTTGTAGGTAAGTTGCTTTGAAATCGGCGAATTTTTGTTAATGCGAAATCGGCTCCCTGGCATTGGATGCTGCGGGTCCGGGTGGCGGTTTTAACCCCCCCTTCCCCTCCAAACTAGTGTACCTAGGTATTGTACCTATCACTCATGTAAGCAAGCATATGTTTTCCGCGGGGTTACCCTGGGCCTTACTGCCTTATTTATAAACACCGTGTGAAGTCTAGATATGCCGTACTGTACCAAGAAGATTGTATCTACCTAACGCTAAGAAGCCGATTGGTGAAAGTAATATCGCCAAACGACTTGATAGTTGTACTAACTATAGCTATAGCTATAGCTAGGAATAGGCTGATAAGTTAGATAGTTGTGACCTTGAACTATTTCTAATGTGGCTCTTTAGTGATTAAATAATACCTAAGTTTAACAGGTAGTTAATTGGTTTTGAACTTCGACTTACTTATAGGTAACTAGGTACGTAAGTTATCTTTTGTCATGCTTTGTCTTTGGACATAGGTATACTTCTATACTCCTATATCATCAACTACCTGTTAAAACCAAGTTGTTTTTACCCATTGATATTATGACAGCTATAGGTTTAAACACCAAGTATGTCTTGTGTATGAGGGTAATTTGTATTTCATGTGAATTATATTCACTATAACACAAGTCCCAACTATACTGTCTCAAGGACTGGGAGACTATTTCTTCTTATAAATCGTTACGTTATAGCAGAGGGGGAACAGGGGCATCTAATATATATACCTAAGGTACCTTATATAGTCTCTGGTTCCACGTTTATAGGATGAAGCTACCCGTTAGGCTGAATAAGACATCCGACGCTACGGTTCAACTGAGTCCAGGTTGTTACGATTTCACGATAAGCTATTCTCTGCTACTCTGAGCACGATTCTTAAATTAGAGTAAACATTCATGTAATAAAACTTATCGATTTCACAAACTGCAGTAGTACTGATATGCGAATGCTACTTCCAGTTACAGAAGAGAATTTTATGATGGGAAAAGGCGAGGAAGGCCTATATTCCATTTCCTATTGTCATAACATGAAAGCAAAAGCCGGTCCAATACCATTATATAACTTGATTTTTGGTAGGTATCTGGATCTGTTCATAAACTGAAAAAGAAAAAAAACGAAAAAAAGTAGTCGAGTTCGCGGGAAAGCATCCGCCATAAAAGCGTTGAGATAATCTCATTGCACCCAACATCTGCAAAAGACCGATTTACCCTATCGAATTTCTATTCATTCCTGGATGTCGAAGTTGATACCGTCGAGGTAGCATTTTTTGCGTGCGCAACTATTATTCGACAACTTCATCTCAAAAAAGCAAACTCCTCCTCCTAGGGCAGCCGATCCGCCATCTCATTTCGTTAGGGTTGTTCGTTGTCGTATCGGCTTAAATAGGCATCACCCTTAACTTAACACATCTCGAAACAGCATTCGCAGCACTCGGCGCAGCACTCGCATCCCTCTTCACAGACGAAGCAACAGCACAGCGCTGCCAGACAGCCTTGGAGACAGCCACCACCACCCGACTTCCTCTCTTGAGGGGGTTGCTGCTGGTACTGCATCGGCGGTTGGCCCGGGGGTGCGTTGTAGTACTGGCCTTGAGGAGGGCCATACGCCTACAATTCGATCGAGTTAGCTTTCGAATCTTACAATTTTTATTCAGCTTGTCACAAAATGGGTCGCTATTAATATATAGCGACCAAGGTGACATCTAAGCTGATATTGCGTGCTAACCCAACAGTTTGGAGACCGCGGGGTGCAGCGCAAGCTTAAGACGTTGTCTTGGCAGGTGTGTCTCGATGTCTCAATGAAATTGTGACACGCCTATTCTTAAAAAAACATTCAGGTAATTTACTAAATTGCGACGTACCTGCGGAGGAGCTTGCGGCGGGTAGCCTTGAGGTGCGTAACCCTGATGAGGGCCTTGGTAATAATCTTGACTAGCCATCTTTGATGATTTTTGATTGACGGATGGATGGATGTAAGTCGTGTATGGGATTCTGCAACGACAAGATTAAGGTTAGCCAAGAACTATAGCGGTGCGGTCAAGGTCAGGGAAAATCCGCCAAGATCATAAGCTGGAAAGCCTCAATCGAATCATCATCATCATATCATCATTAGCTGAATGCGCCGTACGTACCTTGATTGGATTCGAGGATGTTTTGCTCGCGTCTAGGCGCCGACGACAATGAGATAGGTTGGACTGTTTCAAAAGAAACAAAACGAAGGGGAAAAAATTGATGATGACGACGAAAAAGGTTGATAATAATTAAGATCAAGAAGTTCTGGAAGTTGTAAATGAATAAATGAATGGGAAGAAGGCGGTGGGTCGAATATGTAATGCCAAAGTACCGAACCTAAGATCGAATTTAGGTACCTACAATTATTGAATGTATTCCTAAGGTACCAGATACATTCATACCTGAAAAAGACCTGAAAAAGACCTGTAACTGCAGATGAATTAAGATCGGATGGTCATGCATTCCTTCTTTGGAAGAAGTTTCAAGGGATACGCATGTACCTTGGCTGTAAATAATTGGAATTGCTAGGTACTACTTTCCGGCGCTTTCTTTTACTGTCTCGGGTGGTTACTACATGTACCTATTGCCGCCGTTGTAGCGCAGCGCGGCTATACGGCACGCAACTCTGTGTGGCTCAGCCTTTATCAACGTTAGCAGACTAGCTGGCAGATTACGTGTTGTATGTAGAAACTTGTACCTAGGTACGTGGTTCTTTTGCCTCCTAACGCCTTCGCAACGCGTCATATCTGAAACTCATAGCCCCCCTATCCGGGCAGCTACCTAAGGTGGTCAAACACCCAAGTACGTGCGTACCATAAAATTATGGTGGTGCAGACTCCCTCGCGCAACAGCATCATCTCTTACATACTAATAAGTAACCAGTTACGTGTAACAAAGAACGAGCTAACCCGCCGTACCGTTGTCGCGTGCAACTACCTACACACAGACCGCCGCTTAACTCCTTGATGCTAAAAGCTTTCGAGAGATGGTGTACCTAGAGGCCTCCCACCTTTCATCAGCCACGTACGGGTAGCATGTTACGTTGGCTTAAGTGGCAGTGATAGTGACAGCGGTATTATACAATAGGTACATCAGAGAGAGAATGTAATTATTCCAGGTTGTTTTTTACTGCCCAAATGCCCACTGGGTTTTACTCATTTAAGCTCGTACCTCTAATGGAAATAGTACCTAACCTAAATCGCTGAGAAAGGTTAAGAATGACCCGGAATAGTTACGAAAAAGCCATCTCGTTTTTGCGCTAAAGGCCGAGATATCCGTTCTATACGTGGTTTAGGTATGGGTATATCCTAATATGAGTACCTAGTAGTTAGGTACCTGATCTAATAATAAGTGTTACCTAGTACCTCTACACATATTCTTTGTTACCTAGTACATACTAGTATATGACCTGGATCTATCTGCCTGTGCATATAATTGGAAGATAATCGGTCCAACGACTTGCCAACGTTACTACTTTACTGCATTTAAGAGAAACTAACGTAAGGCACCGCTCAAATCCGGCGCATCTTATTTCTCCAAACTTCTAGTAGGACCCTGAATGATGTATACCTTGTACGAACAAGGTACCTAATCTAGAATGGAACATCGAAAAGCAGGTCCAATCACACGTAGGGCTGAAATATGGATACCAACCTACATCTAGTACCCGTCTTTGATCTGAACACGCTGAATACGGAATACTTTTCTTGAATTCTCGTATATATAAAAGCGTAGTTTCTTTTTTTTTTTTTTCTTATTCAGCTAACTACGAAAAAAAAGTAACAAAGAAATAAAATGAACTCTTCTCGACGGAAGTTTTCGGTAAGTTGTTCTCAACTGCTTCTTGTTTAGGTAACTCTCCAAATCAACGGTTGCTGTCATACTCGTCGTGACATCGTTTTGTCGGCGAAGATAATAAGTAGTAAATAAATTACTGATCTAGCTGCACATAATTGGCAGGGAACAGACCAGAGTTTCCCTTGTAGTGACCGAACCACCAGTCCTCATCGGGGAACTCAAGATTGGTAATCTTAGCTCCCTCAGGGAAGCTCAGTTCTATCATGCTTGTCAGTTATGCACGTCTTATCGATAAATAATTAGATGATGGTTGCTTACCATTGTCCTCGGCAGCCTCGTAATCGAACTGGGCTGTAGCGGTGTGTCCACCGCCCGCTGCTGGCTCGGGTTCAGCCTCGGCGGCAGGTACAGGCGGAGGCGCTTGATGGCTGGCTGTAGGGGCCGCAGCTGCTTCTTCCGCTTCGTCGTCGACCAGTTCGACGTAATTGCTAGGGAATAAGCCAGTCTCGCCTCGAGCGTTGGTACCCATCCACCAGTCCTCGTCCACCATTTCTATGTTAGTGACGTATTCGCCTTCGCGAAGCTCTAATTCGTTATCCTCGGCCTTCTCGTAGTCATATTGGATTAGGGCACGTTTGCCTCCGCTAGAAGCCGCAGGTGCTTCTGCCACTTGCTCGTGACCAAATTGAGCTTCTGCAACAGCTGCAGCAGCTGCGCGAGGATCGTGGGCATCCTCTTCAGCAGGTAGCTCTTCCTCCCTGGGGAGTTCTTGCTCGATCGGTCGAACGGGAAGCGAACGGGGAGGTTCATGCACCGGCTCAATCTCAGGCTCAGGCCCACGCGGGACAGGCACAGCCACGCGAACAGGAGACGGTTCTCGTTGGTATTCCTGCTCCTGTTCTCGTTCGGCCTCTTCTTCCTGATCTGTAACTGGAGGAGGGCGTGGGGGCATACCGGGAAGCGCGACACCGCCCGGAGGGGCACCATCCGAAGGCCGGGAGGCTAAGGGCGGCGGAGGCGGTGCTCGCTCATTATCCTCGGCAGGGGATGGAACCTTTGGCGCTGCCGGGGCGGGCGAGATGACTTGAGTTGCCTCCTTGAAACGGTCTCGTATGGCACCAACGCTTCCCGCTGGAGACGTCGGTGCCTCTTGGCTAGTCTCCGTCTCGCCAGTCTTCTGCCCCGGGATGCCGCGGCTGAATGTTCCCGTCTGAACAGGTGCCCAGCTCTTTCCTTTATAACCGCTCTGCCACCCTGCTCCTCCGCTATTTTGCTGTACGACGGGTGCCGCTGGAGGGTTGCTGATTCCAGAAACAGAGCCTTGTTTAGCCTTCTTTTCGGCCCAAATCTGGGCAGGCGTTTTGCCTCCTTGATCAGCGAATGTTCGACTGGCCGATCCAACTGGAGGTGTGGCAGGTGTTGGGGAAGGGCCTCCCAAACCCAATGCGCCAGGAGTAGGTGCCTTTGTGCCTGTGAATGTAGATGCGCCACCCCATTTCTTTGCCACCTTAGGCTTGGGGAGTTCTGTGATACGCTCGGCTTGGCTAAACACTGCACTTCGTTCTGCTAGGGGCTTTGGCGGTTCATCGGCTTCAGCTGCAGGCTCAGATTCTGCAGGCTTCTGTGCCTTTGCTCGGATTGCTGCAATGTCAACCTTGCCCACGGGCTCATAAGCGCCCTTAACTGGTACTGGTCGGTCGTCTTGCTTGTTCTTTGCTGCAGCCCGAATAGCAGCGATATCCACCTTTCCAACAGGTTGGTATCCGCCTCCGATTACATCCCTAGGCCTATCGTCTTGTTGGCTCGTGCCGTTGAATCTTGAGGGCTCTTGCTTCTGGCTTGTCAACTCGGCTAAGTTAACCTTGGTTGGCTTATAGGCCGGCTCCACCTTTTCAAGCTCGGTCCGCGAAACTTGTGGTGCGTCCCCCCAGCCGTCGTCATCCTTCTTTCGTAGACTCGCGTTTCGTGCAGCGACTATTGGGTTACTGGACGAGCTGGAAGTTGTAGAGAAGACAGGCTTCGACTTTACTGGAGGGGGACCTCCTCCAGTCTGCACAGGTGCACTTCCACCGGCTGTATACTTGGCACCGGACGCATCGGCGACTTTCTGAAGAATGTTCGCAGGTTCGAGGTCGGTCTCGGAGCGAGCTGTGATTTGTACGTGGTATCCCTGGTTTTAGTCAGTATTATATCTGGAAGACTACGAGAATTCGGTTTACGTACGTGAAGAACTTTAGAAACAGCATTTAAATGACTCGTGAAGTAACCTTTCGTCCTCTCGGGAACACCTCCACCGCACTGCAAAAAAATATTTAGCTAATTCACTTTGAATTCTCGACTAAAAAGAGTGAGGGTAGACAAACCCATGCGATTAAGGCATACTTAGGCAGACCTGTGTTTGGGTCTTTAACCTTAAGGAAGGCGAATTGGATACGACCTTCGCTGAAGTCCTCAATAAGATCCTCTAGCTCACCAGAGCCGGTTGACTGAACCTTCAAAATACTTTCTTTGTTTCCGGTATCTTGGAAAGCATTGGCTAAGGGGGCTTGTACGTAGAATAGAGCCCATTGACCGTATGTAGAAGAACTACCAGAAGGCGGAGGAGGGGCGTTAACAACACCCTGGTAACTACTCTTGATCGAGGGGCCGTTTATAGAAAGATTTAACGAAGCCATTTTCAGGGGGAGGAAAGGTGTTGTAGAGCAGTCGGTTCCGTTTATCTTCGACGTCGAACTTCAACGGGAATATTTGAATACTAGTTAGGTGCCCAAATAAAATACTAGAATAGTAAAAGTGGTTGAATAGTTGAATAGTTGAAAAGGTGAATAGTGTCACAAGGAGTAAAGTTGAATGAGTGGGGGTGATGTCACAGCAACCGTAAGAAGAAGGCCAGGGGGTGAGGGAAGAATCGAATAAAGTCGTCGACTAAGGATAGTTGACACCTATTCTCGATGGCCGGGTTTTTGTAACATTAACATCAATATGCTAGAAAAGAAAGAAGAGAGAGGAAGTTCTTCGCCAGTTCCAATTTATCGATAGTTTTCAATTCGTGCCTGGCAGCAATTGCTGCTTATTACATAGTACGAAAGTGGAAGTGGGCTGTGTTTGGTTTTTGGTGCCCGGTCCTCGGGGTCACCTTCAAGCCGCCATTATGTAGACGGGTACCTTACGTAGGTGTATGCGGCCAGACCAATACAACGAATACCTACCTGTATTCAATGGTGAATTAGGTACAGTTCATTCATTAGGTACCTACCCCTGCTGCTCTGATACCTAACGGCCAGGCAGCTCAATTACATGGTAGTACAATACATCCTTCATAACTCATAATTTGCACTAAATTATTCTAACGTTGTTATCCACCTTCTATTCGCACTAGGTATTCGCATCGTGCATACCTAATCTCTAGTGTTACTAGCTAGCCTCTTATCGCAAACAAACGCGGCCGCCAATGCCAATGCCTATGCGCGCGAGAAAACATCCCATCACTGGAAATAATTTGGAGATTGCATATTGATTGTTGGCTTGTCTCAGCTCATCAGCCTTTTTTTCTTCTTTTCCTTTCGTTGTCTTCTCCTTCACCACTACGATTTGTTTAACCCTCCTTTATTATTCAACCATCCTACTTCATACGCCAATTAAAGTCACATTACCATCGGCGTTTAATTCCTCTTACCTGAAAATACTCAAATCCTGAATATTGGCAATCGTGGGAAGTTGCGCCTAAAGCTCAATCGTTGTCCGTTCTCGCTCCAGCGCGGGTTCGCCCCTGTTTACGCCGCCCAACTTTTTTAATTCTTGATCTTGACATTTGAATGTTAAGTGCGATTCAAGATGGTGTTGTTATCGGATTCGTCTTCAATTAGCTCGTTATCGTCCGACTCACCTGAAGCCGACAATGATTTCGATGATACCGGTGTGGTTGACGAACCAGCGCCTCCTCCATTTAAGCGACAGAAACTAGGCGACGGATCGAGGGCCTCTTCTTCTGTTCATGTAGAGCCCGAGCCCGAACAAGAATCAGATCACGATCTCGACGGCGACATTTCGTCAGACACTTCGGGCGACATACCCAATTCCCCAATTAATGCTAAGCTTGATGAGGACGAATTCCAGGAACAAGTAACAGTATGTGCCTGGGACGGATGCAGAGTAGGCGACCTGGGAAATATGGACAAACTAGTCGAGCACATACACAATGACCACATAGAGAGCCGTCAGAAGAAGTATACTTGCGAATGGATCGGTTGTCCTAGGAAAAGCTTGCCCCATGCTAGCGGTTATGCATTAAAGGCCCATATGAGAAGCCATACGAGGGAGAAGCCGTTCTATTGTTATTTGCCTGGTAAGATTATCAAACTTCACCTTAAGAGAGACAGCGACTGACAACAGTAGAATGTGACCGTGCGTTTACAAGATCCGATGCATTGGCGAAACATATGCGGACAGTCCACGAGACTGAAGCTTTGCGACCATCCGATCCCGTACCCAAGTCTATGCAGACCCAGTCTGGTCCTAAGTCTGGAAAGCTCAAAATCATCATCAAGACGCCGCAGTCCCACTCGGCGGGCCACGACGATGCTGTGGACGATGGCGATACCGGGTCCGATATGACGGACTTCTTGACACCGTTGACGGAGCAACAGGGGTTCTCTAGCAAGGAGCTTACCATGGATACGAAGTCTCTTTACAAAGTATGCGTAGCAAATCTTAGGTGGGTAACGAAAGATAGCGAGGCTCTGAAGCGACAATGCAAAGAAATGGAGGAGATATACAGGCAAGAGTGGCTAGAGAAAGAGGCTCTGTTGGACCAAGTCATACAGATCGAGGAAGACTGGTGGCAAAGACGTGAATTGGTTCTTGAGGCAGAGGCACAGGCTCGGATAGCTAAGAAAGGAGAGGAGAGCGCGGCGTTGGAAGATGCTCAGGATAACGCCAACGGTTCGCAGGTAACCGCGGCTAGTTTGGGTCAGTTTACGGATTAAGGGTTTCTAGAAGATGCCCCTTTTTAAACAATTAAGCAGGTAATGCCACACAGCCTCCACGTCTATCCATGGATTAGGTATAGGGGTAGGTATAGGGGAATATGGAACTCAGGAATAGTAGTGCAGGGGAGCACAAGGTCTTAGGAATTGCTCTTAGGAATTGCCACGGGTGCGTCCTCGAGCCCCCATGGGGATATAATAATACATCTGATAGCGATGGCGTTATCAGTTTAGCGAAGTATACTGAATTTCAGCTTCATTCTATCAATGCCCATACATTAGGTACCTGGCACAAACCTGCCAAGGTTAGGTACATACTTGGGTGCTATACTACCTACCTAGGTTATTCTGAGTTAACTCCATGGGCAACAGTTGAGGTGATAATCCGAGACAAACTATGAAGTTCTTTTCGTAACTTGTATTTATTTGTACCTAATCGTAAGACTAAAAGTCTTGTGTTGTTTGCTATAAATATTCGAATATGTGCTTAATACCCTTATGGCACGGCTTGTAGTTATTCATTCAATAATACTAGAAAACTAAGAAGCAAACAAAAATGCAATTCCCACATATATCTTAGGTAAGGTTATTAATTATATTAACTACCTGAGTAATTATATTAACAGCTGCAACAAATCAAGTGACCGCCTAATGTTAAGGGATAACAAAGGCTGTAAGGGATATTATATAACTGTCTTTGAAAAGAGCCCATATATAAAAAGCACCCAAAATGACGCAATCGTTCTCGGAGAACTTGGAAGTTCGAACGGCGCTAGTTAATAAGACGTGCTAAGTAAAAAAGGTAATCAACTGCCCCTCCATTGGACAATAATCCACTTTCAACCTCTAAACTTCTTAGCCGGCGAATCCATCGGAGGGGCAAACTTATTAAAGTGCTTTCCCCAAAACACCACCACCAACATTATCTAAGGTTAGGTACAACTTATTAGCATCGGCGCCTGCCTCTCTCCTCTTTTCTTATTTTTCGTACTCGACATATACCTAAACGCGACACAAAAACCAGATCCCTACAACTTTCCAGTAGAAACATATAATCGCCAACAAACGACAAAGATGGGGTTGGTGAAGGAGATCACGGCCCAGCACGAATGGGAGACCTTCGTCGGATCGCTCCCCAAGTCCACCCTCCTTGTCATCTTCTTCCACGCGCCCTGGGCCGCGCCGTGCGCGCAGATGGCCAAGGTCATCGAGACCCTAGCCAGCGACTACTCCGCGAAGGACTCCCCACCCACGAGCTGGGTGTCCATCAACGCCGAGGAGCTCAGCGACATCTCCGAGATCTACGACGTCGTCGCCGTCCCGTACGTCGTCCTCCAGCGCAACGACCAGGTCCTCGAGGCCGTCAGCGGTAGCAACGCCGCCGCCCTGCGAAAGGCCATCGAAACGCACGCTCCCCTGAATTCCTCTACCACCACGACGGCGGCGGCGGTGGCGACTAACGGCAACAATTCGGCGGATGCCGCGGTGGAAGGAGGATCGGTTGAGAAGAGCGAGGAGGTGCTGTCCCCCGAGGAGGAGCTGAACAAGAGGCTTACGGGCCTGGTCAACGCGGCGCCCGTGATGCTGTTCATGAAGGGCACGCCGAGCGAGCCCAAGTGCGGGTTCTCGCGGCAGCTGGTGAGCATCCTGCGGGAGCGCAGCGTCAAGTACGGGTTCTTCAACATCCTCGCCGACGACGACGTCCGGCAGGGCCTCAAGAAGTTCGCCGACTGGCCCACGTACCCGCAGCTGTGGGTTTCGGGCGAACTGGTTGGCGGTCTGGATATCGTGAGTTCTGCCTCAGTACCTACCTAACCTATTCTATCCTATGCTATTCCCTAAAGGAGGAGGAGGAGGGACATTAGAGTGTTGGCTAACTTTGGTTTTGTCTTGCAGGTCAAGGAGGAGCTAGATAAGGACCCCGATTTCTTTAAGAACTTCAGCGTTCCGAGCCAGAATGGCGCTGCCGCCACTGCTGCTTGAGTATCACAGCAGGAGGATAAAGGTACTGCGTAGCCGGGTGGTAGCCCTAGGTACATATGTACTACCTTTGATCTGAGTATACGCTGGGCATTTTATGCCACAAATGATTCCGAGAAACTCTTATGATGTAAAGCATCGAACGGGTGGATTCCCTACCTAGGTAACTAGGCTGCGCCTTGGCGGCTTTTGAAGTCCGAAAGCTTCCTTTGGAGGTTTGCAAAGTCTATATTTCGCGATATATTCTCAAGGTTCTCTCTCCTATGCTGAACGTGGAGGTCGAGAAGGTCGGTAGATCCGCGACATACTACGATGACGAGTGGATATCACAGGGAGCCAGAGTTAGTTCCTCGACCTAAATACCCTAATATGAATGAATTAAGCCAGTAATCGTATCCGTTGCATGGGTTTGCTAGCCCCGAATTATAATTATGCACTTTTTCTGTAGGCTACTTAGGGAAGAAGCACTGTAATGTTTCTTTAGGGGTGTAGAGGTGATAGGAGACAGAATCTACACTGTTATGCAAAAATTATTACAACGGGCTCCGAAGGCATGCTAGAAATTACATTTAAACTCCAGAAACCGATGTGCCACATAACATATATGATCATCACTTTCAAACCAAGATGGGGAGGGATAAGTCGACTATGAGGACAAATCTGATTTTCTTACGATGCCATATTTTACTAGAATATAAATCGCGAATACCCACCTAGTAGGTCTGCTTCGTTGTAATCTCTTGTAAATAGAATGGTTTGATATTGGAAACTTGGAAAAGATTCTGATTAGGTACATTAGGTACCTGGTATATATAATAGAATATGTAAAGCAAGGTATATATACCTTATACTATAGGGGGTATCGTAGGTATCTAAATGGTCCTTTTAAGCTTTCGAAACATCCCTGTCGTATATTTCAAGTAGGTTAGGTTAGGAGGTAGACTTCCTCACCCCTCTCCGTCATTCTCCAACCCGAGGAAAAAACACCTCATCCTTCGGCGGAGCCCCCTTCCTCAGCTCCTCGTCCGGGAACTCGCACAGCCTCCTCGCGTCCTCGGGCAACTCCCAGCGCCTCATGACATCCGCGCGGGCGAGGAACTGCATCGCCATCCCGGCCTCCGAGTGCCAGACGACGTGGCAGTGGAACAGCCAGACGCCCGGGTTGTCCGCGACGAACCGCAGCAGCGCCCACCCGAAACCCTCGACCGCCACCGTGTCGCGCTTCAGCGGGTTATCGACGACGACGGCGGCGGCGCTCGAGTTCGCAGGGTCGAGAAGCCCCTTCCCCTCGGGCCGGAGCCCGAGAGCCGCGTACCCCGGGAAGTAGCCGTGGCCGGCGCCGAGGACCCAGGTCTGCGCGCCGTGCAGGTGGAACGGGTGGCTGTTCTCGTCCATGTTCTGCAGAATGATATCGACGACGTCGGCTCCGGCGCCGCCGTTGTGGGAGATGACGAGCTCGGAGGCCGGGTCGAACGCGGTGTCGAGGATGCCGGTTCGCGCGAAGGACTCGTTGTTTTGCGCGAGGCCGTCGAGGATGCGGTGGAGCGTTGGGGATGTCGGGTCCGGGCGGAACGAGGACGAGTTCATGACGCCGCGTTGTAAGCGCCAGTCTCCGATGGCGAGATTAACGCGCAAGTACCACGAGTGGTCGGCGGACATGGGGGCTGGTTGTGCTGGGGAGGGAGAAAAGGAGGTTGTGGAGCTCATGTCTTTACATATTGGGAGGTATTCAAGGTGTGAAGCCGTAGTTGGCAGGGGAGGAGGGGACGTGTGGTCATCATCCCTCTTTTTATCAGCATGGTAGCGTACAATGGCTTTCGCCTCGTCAATGCCATTCTCTGGAAGCGTATGACTGGCAAAGCAGGAAGTTATCATCCTGGCTCGAAGCCAGAATGCTTCGCTTCCGGGCCGATCTGCCGTCAAGACTGTACTGTACCGTTGCCCTGGGGCGATTACTAGCGAGGACCCAGCTACAGGCTCGACAGTAGTACCGTCTACTTCGATAATCGGTAGGGAATCGTGCCCATCTACTGCAACCTGGAGCCAGGCGAACCCCCCAACGTTCAGAAATCGTAGTCTATGGCCCTCGCCAGAGGCTAGATCCAAGCTGGGAAGAGGCCTCTGCAGTTCTGAACACTTTCTATTGGGATGATCCGAGCAGTCAGCTTGGTTCACGCCGTTAATCAAAGCCGTATTGGGTATCGGCGCATCCTCGACGCCCGGAGATAGCACGTCTCGCATGAGTCCACTATCTAAATCGTAGTACCAGTCCTGGAGTAAGACTACGCGGTCTGACGAATAGGGGACAGGCTTATCATGCGTTGCTTCGTCTCGACCATGGATCACGAGAGGTCCCACGAGTCCACTTAAGGCCTGGACGCCCTGGTGGCCATGATAGAAATCTGCGTGCTGAATCAGTACCTCGCTCGTGACATGAATACTACGTAAAGAGACCCGCGAGGTCTCGCGTCTGTTGGTGAGACTATACGTACAAGTGCCAGATTGCCCGGTAACGTTGAACCTATAACGATACGAAGCGCCAGGAACAATGGGACATTGAGTAACGCCCGCAGCTCCGTCCATCCAGTTCGTACCGTTCTGAAAGATTCCGTGCCAGTGAATAGCAGTGGCGTTGGAGGCATTGTTGTGAACGTTAACTTCGATAACGTCGCCCTCGTTGACCTCGACTAGCGGCCCGGGGAACTGGCCGTCTATAGTTATCATTGGCTTTAAAACTCCATCTGGTTCACCATCCTTGTCGATGATAAGCCAGTCATATTTCCGCACTTGGTTCGGGGCTTCAAAGTCCCAGTTGGGATCCAATATGTAGTCTTCGTCCGGACGGCGAAGAGGAATGCTTTGTGCTACTGCTAGAGGAGACGGTTTCTCGGGATGGGGAATATCCAGTGATAGCGTTACCCATGCCAAAGATAAAATACTGCCGATACAAGCGAGAGTAAAGGCAATGACCGACCATCGTGATCGACGTTGGCCAACTGCTTGTGCTTTTTCTGTCACATCTACGCTATCGTGACTAGATGTGAGTAGTCTGTCTTGTTCTTCCGTTTCTCCTTCCTCGCAGTAAGCGACGTTGTCACTTTCGCCTTGCTCGATACCAGAAAGCCGATTTCTTGCCTCGTCGCGATGGATTTTCTTCGGCGATAGGGACTGTAATATGCGATGGCCGACCATTCTCTACCGTAGCATTGGAAAAAAAAATCGAACTCAACACCGAGGCTTAGGGATCTAAGCTACTAGTTTATTTTTTATTCTTATTTTTTTTAAACTCAAGTAGCATTATGAATCATCGCCCGAAGTATTTGAATATCGCTGATTCACCACTTGAGCTGACCGAACCCAATTTGACTTCAGGGCTTATCTGTATTAGTAGCAAGCCAATTCATATGTATCCGCTAAAGGTATTAGTATAACGCAATTTTGTTGGCAAGTCTTCATCTTTACTCTATTGCTTGTATGTGTAATGTTTTGTAGTGTTGTGCGACGAGGCGAGAGCGCAGTACATACTATATCTAGAAAACTAGGCTGAAGATCCCATGTGCCGATTGCTGCCATATGATTGGATCTCGACATATACAAATGTAACCTAACCTCATCCACTTACGCTCATTAGTCCTCGCCGCTCGAAGGCGCAACGGACCGGTACACTAATCGCCGAAAGTACCATGTCTTCGGCGCGCTGATGAGGTGATAAAATCAGTAGCATATAGTAGATGCTATAGACAAGTTCGGATGTCGTGTGCTTGGCTCTTATTTATTTTTACCATAGTCCATAAGCGTCTCCGCTTCTTTCGTCTTCCGTGCTCACTGCTTCATCCACACTATATGGACTGGTTGATGGAAGGATGTTTAGAAATTTACGTATATCGAGAAAGTTGTATACCACTAGGTACTTAGGTGATTGTGAATAACTAAAATCGTATTTGCAATTGATAGAGTTTGCGATTCTAGGTTACCTAACCTTAGGTACATGTAGGTACCCACCTAGGTAGATGTTAAGAAAGTGCCTACCTGGTATTTTTAGACACGGCTACCTAGTTCATCCAAACATCATGCTTAAATAATAAGCTTTAACGGTACCTAATGCTTTTTACATAATAATTTTATACACGTCTTTACGTGGAAGCAGAGAGAATAGGCAACCCACTAACATACGTACCGCGGTGCCCGATATGGCTAAGCGCATACAGATTACCTGCCTGTATTTGCTGACGGCTTTGAGGAAGGATGACTCACTACTATCGAATTCAGAAATTAAGAACGGTAGCCTTGCATTAACGACTCGCATATCGTGGGTAATGCCGGGTATGCCAGACTTTATGCATTAACATCTCAGGTCAAATTAATTTCTGATTGGCCGAGAGCTTTCGGCCGGGTTTTTTAGGTGGATGTAACTAATTGTAACATTTCTTCCTTATTTCTTCCTTTACCCCCCACTACCCATCTTTGGCTTAGCTTGAAGCGTAATTCGTCCCGCACCTCTTCCATCACTCTTTACCATCGCAACCCTCACTATCCCATTCCCATCTCACCTACACCCAATCACTTACACCTAAAACAACAACAACAACCTTTCTCCTTCTCTCGACCTCTTCCCGTTCTTGATTCTAGCCTTATTCTTCTCAATTTATTTTCTTTTTTGGTAGAGAAGAAGCAGGGTAAAATAACTGCAGATTAAGGCAAATAGTACTTTGCCACTCCCATGTGCAAACCGTTGTATTGTATGCGACGATTGTACTCTCTCTCTTATTTGCAGCAATATTATAAATCACCAAATGTAACTACCTAGCGTACCACAAACTAGCTGTGGCGAAAATCTTCTCTACTGCTGTACGTCGACCCGGATTCTCTCGTATATCGTCGTCGAATCGACTATGAGTTAGTAGCTTGTTCGCTTACCAGAAAAAATAGAGCATTATCAATAACTGCCCACTTTACGAATCGTTTGTACGTCGTGACCGCTCTATCCGAACCAGCTTTACCAACGTCTTACGAGAAGAACCCAACCGTACTCCAAGTCGAAACTTTTCTAGTAGGAAGATTGTACTTCAGATTTGAGCAACTCAAAACACTATACAAGAAGATAGCAGTGGTCGTATCTAAGTTGAGGTCTATTGCTCAATCGACTCTAGCTTATTAATAGAAGGGTTACGCGGCTTATAATCTTCTAAGATACTTCGCCGGTGGTTTCTTTTGCGACATTATCTCGATTACATTAGGATATTGTCGATATCAGATCTGCATCGGCCCGTCACTGCTCCACTTCGAGCATAACGATCACCTTGGTTTAAACTAGACCGGAAGGTTTACGTTCGCGATATCATTTAGTCGCGAACATCGTATTTCCACGTCTTACGTACCGAGATTCTGTGTTTCATTGGTTATTATCACTGGCGAAAGCTGTGATATAGCGGATACCACATTACTCTTGGCAGCATCGTGATCATTATACCCTTGAACTTCCTGCAAGAGGTTCTTTATCTCCGAACTATTGGGATCCTGAACGTCAGCTTCCCATCTCCCAGTAGCTCTCGACGCTTACTCAGTGGCCTCATATCCTTCAATCCCTGATGCTCAGGCTGTCATTTTGAAGATTGGCTTACGTAGATTGAAGAAGAGGCTGGACCCCCTTATAGCATTCAAACTTCCTAAGTCCGGCATACACTCGACACAAGAGCGAGCACCCCGAAAAGAGTTTCTAGTTGTCTATCTTACTCAAGTTATTTCAAAATGACCCCCACGCCTCCGTCTGCGACGACATCATCCTCGGGCTATTCGCCTGAGGAACATTTCAGGGTGGTCCGTCGCCGAAACAGGGTGCCGCTCAGCTGCTATCCGTGCCGGACGAGAAAGTGAGTAATCCTGTTCCTTGAAAATGCTAGCCTAATTCCCTAATCCAACACTCAGCAGTTTCCCTATATAAGACGGCATCGCTGACCTGCTTAACAGGTTGAAATGCAACAGGGGAACTCCGACTTGTGAGAATTGCATCAAACGCGGTGACACGCAGTCCTGCGTCTATGCTACTCCAACCAATCGGAGGAAAAATCAAAGTAGTGCTGGAGCTTCCGCAAATCCTGATGATATGCAGAATCGTATTGACCGTCTAGAAGGTTTAGTTCTAAGTCTGATGCATGGCGGTGCGAATGTCGAAATCTCCAATTCTTCGAGTACCGCACCCCCTGCCCCTTCTACAGCTGATAGCTCTTCTCCGAATGCCGACCATGATGATGAAGGTGCCATGAGAGACGATGATGCCGATGGCGATGGTCCCGATAGCGACGCTGATGATGGGTTGTCCACATCCTTAGGCATGCTTAAAGTCGACGCAGATAAGGGGAAGTCTATGTATATTGGACAAGACCACTGGCATCTACTCCTGCTTGATATTGCTGAAGTGAAGAATTTCTTTGCCTCCCACAAGAAAGAACTCGAAAACAGTTATCAGAAAGTTATGTCTTCAAAACCAGCAACCGCTCGGGATTCTCCCATCTTTTTACTTTCTGCTCCACCAGCAGTCGAAGTCGAGCTAAGAGCGGAGCTACCCTCGAGGACAGCTATAATGACGTTAATATCGCGGTATTTTAACTCGTTGGATACTGCTGCTAGTATAGTCCACGCGCCTACTTTTCAGGCACAATTGCGGACGCACTGGCAAGATCCATCTAAGTCTACTATAACATGGATAGGCTTGCTCTATTCCATGCTATGCCTTGCGATGCTCAGCTATCATAAAGTTGGAGACGAGCCCCCAGAGTGGAAAGGTAGGTCCCTGGAGCTCGCAGCAGAATACCGATTGCGAACGGTACAATGCCTGGTAGTCGCGGATTATACCAAACCGGTTGAGTATACGGTGGAAACACTGATTCTTTATTTATTTGGAGAATACTCTTCTCGCTGGGACGCCGACTTTTCGTTATGGATCATATCAGGTATCATTGCAAAGTTAGCTTTTCGAATGGGTTATCATCGGGACGCGGATTGGTTTCCATCAATCACGCCATTCCAAGGGGTACGGATAGAATATCTTCTAAGTTCGATATCCGATCTCATAGAACAATATATCACTAATACTTTTAATATAGGAAATGCGACGGCGAACGTGGGCTTTGATACGCATGTCCGATATTATATTCTCATATCAAGTAAGCTACCTATATATATCTATATATATCCTACATTCCATGCCGGTCATCATCATTCACCTATTCATGGTCACTAACAAACTTCTAAAGATTTGTTTGCCGGCGAGTATCCACGAACACGACACAGATACGAAGCTTCCGCATAATATTTTCGATGAAGAATTTGGACCCAACAGCAAAACTCTGCCTCCTTCTAGGCCGTTGACAGAGCCGAGTCCAATCGCTTACATGATAAGTAAAACGAAATTATGCATCGAATTGGGAAATGTACTCCAATCTGTCTCACGAGTAGGCAAGCCAGTGAGCTACGATGATATCCTACAACACGACAAGAAACTCCGAGAAATCAAGAATGAGTTCCCACCGCACCTAAAGATTCGTCCCCTCGAAGGATCGCACGACCCTGTAACACTTATTATTGCGAGGTTCAATCTAGACATCCTATATCAGAAGATAATATGCATGTTACATAGGAAGCACATGTTACGCGCGCGACAGAATCCACGATACGCTCATTCCCGTCGTAGTGCAATTGAAGCTTCGCTGGAAATCTTGGGGCATCTGAGAATGATATATCGCGAGTGTCAACCAAATGGCCGACTTCGTTCTATGAAATGGTATGTGTCAGCTACATCTAAAGACACATTGCTTCCAACAATGCTCGTCATCCTTGATCTTCACCATGATCACATTGCTGCCACATCCGGAAAGCGAAAGGATACACAGGCCATCTACTTTTGGACACCGGAACAACGGCAGAAAATGTTGAGTTCCCTCGAAGCGGTCGCAGAAATTTGGAAGTCGCTATCCAACGAATCGGTGGAGGCATACAAGGCTGCGAACATCCTTGAGATTATGCTAGGAAAGCTCAGGAACCCGCCTCCCACGCCTTCCAACACTTCAGGACCACCGACGCAATCCGAGAATCCCTTCACCTTTGGTAATGAAATGCTTCCCGATAATTCCGCGGCCTCAGCTCTTGGAATGCTCTCGGAGGCCTCGACGTCAACAACCATTCAGTCACCCGGTGGAACAACATACCCAAATATGGACCTTAATCTAGGAAGTTTGGGAGGTTTAGGAGGCAGTGGACTTAGAACGGGACTTACCCCTGAATTCCAACCTGACAATCTCGGTGCAATTAACAATGCAGCCTCACCATTCTCTATGTTCACAACCCTAGGCGGAGGGGGCAATATGGCTGTCGACCATAATTTCGACTGGGTATGTCCCCAAAACATAAATATGTTTAATACTGAAGACATCGAACTAACAATGATTGCATAGGACGCATTTGAGAATTACGCGCAAACAGCAACGTGGGGTCCAGACCAGACATCCTTCCAATTCTTCGCGGGCAATCCCGAGCAACAGTCCCAGCAAGGATCCTCAGATGGATCTTTCACATTTCTGAACCCAGAGACGCCCAGCACATAGCGTCGGGTAATTAGCCTCTCACCGGCTTTGGGGATTATGTAGATTATCGAAGGTGGCGCTCGGCTGCGATGGATTGGAACGAAAGTCAGATAGATACCCGGTAAGGAAGCCTTTTTGGAAATATCGGTAACTATACCTAAGTTTAGGTACGTTTAAATTGGTGGCACGTTGTTTGTCTTATCTAGGTATATTCTATATTTGGGGGACTACACAAAAGAAAAATAATATCGCCAAGGAGGGAGGATGTACGTTATGTATAAGCTTTTTGGGATTTAGAAAGAAAAGAAAAACTCTTCTCTGGGCGCGCGTATCAATGCCCCAAATAAACTAGGCTTCCTATCCTTCTCGGCTGAAGCCGCTTGCAGATCGTCACGTCTGTTGTTGCGATGAGATGCCAAGCGGTGGTGGCGTTTATCTTGCAAGCCTACCTTAAGTAAACTTGAAGTAGCGTTTTGGTCATAAAATTCGAAGCCTATAAAAAAAGGGGAAAAAAAAAAAAAAGAAATCTTGTCTGTATACGCGTCCTACGCTTGCCTAAGTCTTGAATTAAGAAGCCACCGTCAACGCCTGAAGCTATATTTAACTTATATTCCCTTTTCTTTTTCTTTTTTTTTTTTTCGCCGTCTCGTCGAGCTAGGATCATTCCCTCCAGGAGTCAGGGGTAAAAAAACGGGGACAAGAAGGGAAGGTAAGTTAGATTCGTATAAAGTTCTACGCCGCTCGCGCGCATAGCCGATGTAAATGCTACCTAGGTACAGACCTATTATGTAGGTACCTAGGTAGGTAGGCATTCCAGCTTCCTTGTAGGTGCAGCACTCATTATTGTGCTCGTCAGCAACGGATTCGAAAAAGAAAAAAAAAGTGAGAGTGTGGAAGTGGTTAAGGGGTAGTAAACAGGTATACAATAGCTGTGCTCGTGTAATCTAGTTGCGCTCTCGATACTAATATGGATTCATGGTAATTGTGATAATAGAACTCTATATATTAGGGGGGATAAAGAAATTCTCATCCCATGTTTACACGGGATCAAACACAACAAGAGCGAATATTAAATATCCCTATAGTTGCCTAGGTAAGTACCTCCCAAGATAAAGTAAGCAGTGTAGCGGAATCTCTCCATGTAAACAAGTCCACATGGGTATTTAAAAATAGAACGTACGCTCCTGGAAGGGCTTTTCTATATTTCAAATTATACACGTATCAGGTCACACAAATCTCAGTGGCTTTCAACTTCCAAGTTGGGTTGACTTTATTAGGGATTCCTTTGCAATTTATAATTCATATGGCGTAAACATAACTACGAATTTCCGAGTTAAGCAAAACAGCTGGTATTATAAACTCATGTCATAAAGACGAGGGAAAAAAAGATGAATTATGGAATACCAGCGAATATCATCAGACCACGTAGATTTTTATATAAATACCTATGTATCAAATATTGAATATACATGAGAATCGAATAAGTGCAAACCCTATAAAATAGCAACCTTCGCTAAGATATCCCCCCACTAGATGCTATGATGATCATGTTGATGATGCAATAAAGCAATACCTAAAAAAACGCCTGTATGATCTGACAACTTCCGTGCCTCGTACATCGTCCCTTACATGCATAGTATCCAAAAAAAATATATAAAAAACGGTTTTTACATGAGGCCGAAAGCCTTCCTGGCGGCGTCCCAGTAGCCCTGGCGGCCAGAGTCGATAGTGACACCGACGCAGCGCATGTAGGCGGCAAAACCAGCATCATCGCCTGCCTTGAGGGCCTCCTTGACGTCAGCGCCGCACTGGGTGCTGAAGTACCAGGGGCCGCTGCCGAAGTTGTACTTGTTGTCGTTGACGAGCGAGAGGACCTCGTTCTTCTTGTCATCAGGGGCATCCTCTGTGATGCCGGCAACCTTGTCCTTGAGCTCGGGGATGGACTGCGCGTACTTGAGGTTGAAGTTGAACATCTGCATGTTCGAGGTACCCTGGCCGGGGCGGCCGGGGGACACGTTGTGCTTGAACGTGTACTCGACGGACTCGAAGGCCGTCAGGGCGATGATGCCGGCCATCTGAGCCGGGTTGTAGATGCCGTACTGCTGCATGTGGGAGACCAGTAGGGGTCCGATGACGTCGGCAGTGACACACTCACCGCCAGCAGCGCAGTCTCGGGTAGAGGGGGCGACTTCGGCAATGATAGAGGCCGCGGTCTTCACGTCACGGACTTCGTGAACGAGGCGGGGGGCGGCAAGAGCTTGGCCAGCCAAGAGGAGACCAGCAGCGGAAGCGACTTGAACCTTCATGATGATGGTGTTGGATGTTTTGAGGTTGATAAAGTGGTTTTTTGTGTATTTGCGAAAATAGAAATTGATCGACGTCTTTTTCAACCGGTGAAAAAAGAAGGAGCTCTAGATTTTATAGGAACCGAGTCGATTCTTCGTTTTGGTCCAAGTATTCTTCGTCTCAATGGCTTTGAATTGAAGGTAGGACTTTGTAATTCGGCAACGAGAATAGAAGCGAACGAATGAAACCGCTGGGGTTGTGTTTAAAAGAAAGTGATTGTGTGTAGAAAGCAAAGGGATCAATGCCCGTTTATTCAATTCAAAAGAGTAAAAAAGAAAAGAGTGAAATGTTGCCAGAACCGAACAAGACTTATCAGATTGGTAGTGAACAAAAAAGGGAGAGAGAGCAAAGGGGTGAGGGATCAGCGGCAACATATATACTTACCTAGGTTCCTACCTCTGACGTGACTTACATTGTTCAGCCTGCCAGGCTCTCTCTCCCGTTCAGGCCTTCCGGGAGTAAGACAAAGAGACCTACCTGGGGAAAGACAACAACTACCTAAGGTAGGTAGGCGCCTGCTGGGTGTAACCGATGTATCTCGTGTAACTCAATGGGTCGGTGGCATATTCCGTACAATCTAGCAGGTGCCATCATAACCCCCTGTCTGGAAGTGCTATAACCTATCACAACGATGGGAAGGTTAGGAAGGCTGCCTTGAACCTTCCCATCCAGCCCATCCAGCCCGTATCTTGCAAGTATGAGAAGGGTGGCGATATGCAAGCGAGACCAGGGGCAAGCAAGGGATAGAAGTGACAGCCAATCATGGAAACTCAAAGGTTTTGGAGGCCGCAGGTTAAAACAAAAAGACCTGACAAGGATTAGTATGTTTCAAAACCAGATGCTTCCAATTGATTGGCTATTGGGTTCGGAACCTGCCTAAAGGCTATGATGTAAAAAGGACGCCAAGCTTTCGCTGTTCTAGAACAGAGGCAGGGCACAGCTTTTTAAGCTTACAAGTCGTGAAACTTCGTTAAAAAGATTCCTTTGGGAGCTTAGCATACGCCCTCGTATTTATTGAGGGGGGATTCCGTGGTGAAAATTAAGGGCTCTTAAAGTATAAGCAAATTGCCTTATGAGGAAGCTCACCAATTTCTGAAGAGGATTTCTTTTTCTTTTTTACGGATGTCGGCTGCTTCGGACTTTGAAAGCAATTAACTAGTCCGCCAGGCTAAGTATAGCACTTTTCTACACTATGCAATTATGTAAGAAGCCGAGGAAGCACATGTACATACCTAGCTTAAGCTTTTATCCCTTGTACATAATACGCATCTGTTATCGCGCTTAAATTTTAGTAAATACATGTTTTGTGGCTCCAGTGGCTTGAGCTTCGTTGGAGAGAGCTCCAAATCGAAGTGCCACTTTTGAAGCTGCCTGACGGATAGACGCATCAAATCTCAAATCTACAACACTTTTTACCTAACATAGCATATCACCAATACTTTTATTCTACACCCCGCAATCTCTAAAGCGCACAGATAACCACCTAATTCAGCTACCCGACTCACCTCGTGGTCCTGTCGCCTGCAAGATTTGTCCGTGATCCTACCAGCTGTTGTAATATCTTCACCATGTCCAACCTCGGCGGTTATATCAATAGTAAGATCATACCTAACCCATATAGATACACCCCCTGTTAGCCTTGTTTATGTTCTCGAGCATCGAGCAAAGCTTACAGCCCGAGGAATCTAACAGTCGCGCAGAGAAGGTCCTGATAATTACAGCCGATTCCCGAACTTTGGTGGGGAACCTCTTGAGTTGTGACCAGATGACCAACTTGGTAAGGGCGGATCGCATTACTAGTATTTTTAGATGTCGGACCTGCGGCTGATCTGATCCTACGTATCCAGGTTCTTGGGCAAACGATCGAACGAGTAATCCGAACACCCGACGATACGGAGCTCTCTACTGAGGTTCCCCTGGGTCTCTACCTGGTAAGGGGAGACAATGTTTGCGCAGTGGGCTTGGTAGACGAGGCCCTTGACGATAGTATCAATTGGCAGCAGGTGAAGGGTTCGGCTATTGGTGGGATTAAACACATATAGAAGGAGGCGGCGGCGGCGGCGGAAAGCAACAGCAGCAGCAGCAGCAGAAACGGAGCATGACCTGAAACACAATGCTCTTGATACCTTGAGATTTCATTTCTGGCGTTTGGGGAGAAATAACAATTGCATTTACGAGAGAGAAAGGAATCTGGAAGTTTTATTCACAGGGTACGGGGTACGCTCTTGTCTAATGATACCCACACTGGCGTCCTACTGACATCTCTATTGTCCTCGCCTCGTCAGGATATACATGTGACCAACATGCTCAATTCTTTTATATTGACTGCCCTTTTCATCCGAACAGGCGCTCCATTAGGTACGGCGCAAATGTCATCTCACCTGGACTGCTAACATATCTGTTTATCCTATTACCCCTCAGCAAGCTAAGCCAACCGTCATCATCCCCAGGGACCTCGAAGGTATTCACACCGTCGGGTCGTGTTCTGCCGCGGCGGTCCGAAACATGCATTCCGTGAGTCCATTGTCCTGATGTCTCGATACGGATATCTTCTGGCGCGTTCTGGGCCAGCTTCCATGCTGGGTCAGATCCCGTGAGCATGTACCAGATGGTGAGAGGATCATGAAGCGATAGGCCTGGCTCTACCTCGTTACCGATCATAGATGTGATTTGACGGAATATACCGGCCATAAAGGTGTTAACCCATACCCCTAATGGACTACCACTGGCGAGTTGCGGCTCAATGTTCTCCAGAAAGAAGCCTAGGTTTAGGAGATGCGGCGTAGTAATATCAAGTGGGAACAGACTCAAATTCAGCGTTCGCGAGAGTTTTTCAGGGTAGGGAGGCAGGGTCGCCTTGTCCTTGGGTATGGGGGGCATGGTGGAAGCCGGGTTTGGCGACGTCAGAGCGAACACTCGAGCGGCGGCGACGGCATCAGCGTAGGTGTTGAATTCCGCAACTGGCGTCACATTACCCACGCACTCGACAGCTCCACCCATGACAGCTATCTCCTTAACCTTGAGGAACGTTTCGGGGTCTTCCGAAGCAGCTAGAGCTAGATTAGTTAATGGACCCAGTGCACAGATTGAAACCGTATCAGCTGGCTCCTCCCTCAGGATCCGCAGGATTTCTTTGTGAGCGGGCGTCTTTGACGGCGTGAAATATTTTAGGTATGAGGGCTCCTCAGTATCCACCGGAACTCCGTCTTTAAAGAGGGCTTTCCAAGTATCAGCCGGTGATAAGTGAGGGTGCTGTTAAGAATACGTTAGTTGAAATCTTGCACCTATGAGTCCTGTGTTGTTTTTTCTCCTACATACAGCTTCATGAACGCCGTGTAAGCCATCAGCTCCATCTGCCACGAGTTGACTTGTCAGCATTTTTCATCTAGTGCAGACTCAACACACATCCACCTCTCTCGACTTACGAAAATTATCTGCCATTAGCATCTCGTCTTCCAGAGCATGCTCGGGGCCGACAGCAACAATCGGCTTGTAAGTCCGCAAGACCTCGTAACCTAGCGGTTTCCCTTGGGACTTGCGCCACTCCATCTCCTGGTCGAGAACGTGGAACATTCCGACTACATTTCGCAAGCAGGCCTCTAGGGCCACGTTTCCGTAAGTCACTGAGATCATCAGCACCTCTAGCTCCTCGGGAGAGGAAGCTAGAGCGAGAAGCATGGCTATGACATCGTCGGCGCCTACGTAATTCGTTAGGATCTAAGTTCGTTTTTCATCTTTGCTCTCTCACTTACCTGGATCGGTGTCTATGATGATTTTTCTCGGGGCCATGATTGCTATAATGAAGGATGAAAACCAAAAGCTCTAATGCAAGACTATGTAATTTTGAAGCAAGACTCTAGTGAATACAATCTAAAAATATCTATAAGATACCGTGCATGTGACTTAAGAGAGAGGAGGTCATTTCTTCTATTTATCGATAAGATGTGGCTATAAGTGGGAAGTTGGGCACCGTACCTCAGATACTCAGAATACCTAAAGCCCGCTGTGTGACGTGACCCCCCTCCCCCAACGTTCCTACCGTCGGTGACCTGCGGGGAAGCCGATCCCGCTAGTCTCCGGCTACCGGAAAGCGGAGATCACATATATATTCACCCCGTGAGCTCCCGCGCACTCCTATACCGTGCGAAGTTGCTAATGATGTCAAAATTGTTTGCAGTGTGCCACAAACTGCTTGATATGTTTAACCTTTTGTTATTTGGGGTCAGAGTGAATTGGAAGGGAATGGCTAACTATATTATATATACCTCTTATAACAACTTCTAATGAGAATTGATTAATTCCTTTAGCTACCTACGTAACTATATAGTAAATACGGTGCATTGAAAACTTATATAAATACATCGCTACCACGCATCATCTGGCGTCACTATCTTATGAGTTCCTACGGACTTTTGTTCTCTTAAAAAACTACTTGATTGACATCGCAAAAACCTACCTAAATATCCCGTTCGGAGATAAGTGCTCACGGGAAGTAGACCACCTAAAGGTCAATTTAGGCAAATAGCTGTCCAATTCACTTATTTAGATTGGAGATCACATCTGAATACAATATTGATGAGGCTTAAATACCAAAACCGACGTCGGGAAATATTAAATAAGAATAGAGCTAAGAGTGCATAAACCACCTAAGTACCTACCTAAGGTACGTACATTTTTCATAATACCTATGGAAGTTACGAAAAGCTTGTGACTGACTGACAGGTAGGCAAATTTTTTAAATTTTAAATATTGGCAGCTGCATCACCGGAGTTTTTTGAGTAACCGAACTCTCACACTTCACTTCGTTTGGCTCGTATGGAATTCGTCACTGCGCTCATTACGAAGTTGTAGAATTGCGCTAACTTGGCTAACCCAAAGTTGTAAGTTCGCTCAGCAACTTTCGAGATTTAAGCAAATTAGAAGGTCCAATTCGCCAATTTTTAAGGGGCTCTCCAAGTCTACAAGTCGAATTTGGTGAGACGCTAATACAGTAATGGGACAAAGGCGATACCACGATACAGGCGCAAAGCTCAGATACCTACCTCTAGCGTACCTATGAGGTTCGATGCTTTAGGCGGGGGACCCACTGTCCCAGTTCTCTACTATCCAGTGTACCTAGGTACTTGGTATTGGACAGCTGTTCAACACTGAATTTACAGATCTAAACGTCCTACATACCTGACCTAACCTACGTACCTAGTACGTAACATCTTCTAGGTTGCCATTGGATATCTCCAGGGCTGCTTCCTCATAGGAAATATATACTTAGGTACGTATGTACGTACAGATCGGTACCTTTGAAGGTGCTTTACGCCGATTGGTCAACAGTCGTTAATGACAGCTTATCCCCAAATCCCAAAATCCCTTACTCCATCAGCCATCAGCCATCCACCATCTACCATCTGCCGTCTATCATCAGTTCTTCCCAACCCATTGAATGAAACCGGAGCAGACAACCTCTCGGGCCTCTTCCGTACAATTCACCTTCACTTCGTGCCCTTTCTTATTGTGTCAAATTCCGTAACAAGTTTTTGTTTTTCGCATTGAGGAAAGATAAATCTTGTTGTCCAATAAGCACAGCTCCAAACTTGTCATTTCCCTGATTGAGTTCAGCTTGCACGCGTCGTTCAATGTTCCTCTGTCCTCAGTTACGTTATTTCAACACTCTTTCTTAATTGGTATTATAAATATATGGTGGCGCCACTCGACATAATCGGCGCATTACCTTCTGAGATCTACGTCCAATGAGTGTTTTACGAAGCACAACTGTGTACAATTGAGCATCATTGAGACACCTTTCGCATCGAGGCACTTGGTGCTGCCATAAACTCCCCTTTATTGCCATTGTTTCTTCAACATAGCCGGCCAATCTTACATAGAGACGCCTGCTATATTTTCGGTTCACGGTTCACTGTTTTAAAGATGGATATTTCCAGTAGCCACTCGACCCTCACCACTATTGGTGGATGGGCGGTCATTTTGGCGATCAGCGGAGTTATCTGGTACCGCAACCAGCAAAAGAAGGCCCAGAGGACCGATCGTCGTGGCTCCTTTACCAAACAATCGGGAAAGCAAAACGATGCCGACTCGATTAGCGAGACCAAGAAGAAGGCCGAGAAAGCTGCGAAACCCAAACCAAAGCTGAAAGCTCCCGCAACCACGTCGAACGAGACCACTACACCTGCCGTAGATTTCAACCGAGAAGAGGATGAAGTTGCCGGAAAGAAAGCTGATCGGGAATTTGCTCGTCAATTGTCCAATGCTCATGCAGGAACCAAATTCAACAACAAGAAGTCTGATGAGAAGAAGCAGAAGTCTGTCAAACAGTCCAAAGCTCAAGAAATCCCGGATGCATCGGCTGGAAAGGCGTCTGCCCCTTCCTCCCACGCAGGTGATGCTGATGATGACCTATCGTCTCAAGCCTCTCCTGTCGTTGGAGCTGTTGACAGCCGTGATGTATCCGACATGCTTGAGCCTGCCGCACCTGGCCCTTCCGTCCTCCGTCTTACCAATGTCGATGCTGTGAAACCTAAGGAGCGAAAGCAAAAGGCACCCGAAGTTGTGGAGACCAAGAAGCAACGCCAGAACCGAAAGAAGGCTGAGGCTGCGAAGGCTGCTCGTGAAGCAGAAGAAAAAGAGCGAAAGGTTAAGCTGGAGCAACAAAGACGAACTGCTCGCATTGCTGAGGGACGACCCGCTAAGGACGGCTCGAGCTTCACAGCTAATGCCCAAAACGCGTGGAATGAAAAATCCACCAGCAACAGCAGCACGGTCCAGCCCCTTGACACATTTGAGCAACCTGCCAAGGCTCAACCCACAAAGACGAGCGCTGTGAGTGCCGGAACCACTAAGGAAAAGTCCGACCCCTGGCTGTCTGGCATGCCTTCTGAGGAAGAACAAATGGAGCTACTTCTCCAAGAAGATTCATGGAGCGAGGTCAAGACCAAAAAGAAGGGAAAGAAGAAGGATGCCTCCGCTGAGGCGTCGGCTCCCTCTGGTCCGGCCACCAACGGCGGTAGTGCAACAAGCACCCCTACCGTTAAGGCTCCGGTCAATGGTACCAAGAAGCCACTTCTTACCAGCAGCAACTCTTCTTTTGCTGCCTTGACTCCCGAGGAGACGGATGATAATGAGGAAGAAGAGAAAGAGTGGGATGTATGAAATATCAGAATCACGTCATTGGCGTCTCAGGGGCGTCATTCTTCACTTCTTTATACATTTTGTCTGCTGTGAATATTGCATAGACTCGGCCAACATCATCCACCCTTCTTCCACGCTGACCGTCAACATTCTTGTTGTACAGTATTCTCGACACATCATCAAACCGTATCAAATCCCCTACATGGACATCGAGCATTGCTTCTAAAAAAATGGGCTTGGACTTGGATTGCACGAATGGACGTTTCCTCCTGCCGTTTCCCCTGAGAGACGCAGGATTGGCCGTCCTTGCTTTGTATGAGTGACTTATGATTTTCTCTTTTTACTGCAAATTTGCAGCTGATTCACCATGCAGAAAGAAGTACAGCATTAACCCCGCTACCTGACGACGACAACAACGACGACGACTGGTAAGCCGGAGAGACTGTACCAAAGTATTTTTTTCAAGCCCGGTTATAGGAGGGAGGACATATACTGTGCGTGGTTATTTCTTAGTTGTAATAGCTATAGACCCAAGTAGCTCAATGAATGCACATCTTTTCTTTTCCTTTTTCTCCGCGCCTATGTTGTCTTACTGGTCGATGTGATGACTGAGTTCTGTAATTAGCATGTTATCTTCTTAGAGGCTTTATCAACAAGTGTGAATTGTATCTTGAGATTGTGTGTATTATAGACTATCGATAAGTTGAGGCTATAGCAAGCAAGCATCAAGTAATCACAACCACATATCAATGGGCTTTCCCAAGGGTTGTTCGTACCTGTCCCGTTAATGATTAGCTTTTATAAACATGAATGCAGTTAAAAGCCAGCTTGACATTTCTTCTCCAAGGGGGTATTGACTGTTAACCTCAGTTTGTGATAAAAATAAGTTAGCCAAGGTAGACGGACATGTAAGCTATCTACCCCAGATACACTCACTGGTCATCATAGGTTCGTCCACCTATCTTTCTACCAACTAACATAGCCTCGGATGCTGAATATTCCATTGAAAGCATGGCATTTCATGATAATATGGACAAGTTGGCATCTGAAGTAGAAAACCCCAAGAGTTTTCTAGTCCCTTGCTTTGCTCGTTTGGACCAATGATACTTCCTGAAGATGGATGTAGGGTTTGCTAGATGTCTGTTTGTGGTTTTATTCCAACATGGATTGTTATACCTCTAGGCAGGTAGGTAGTTTACCTGCTTTAAGTTATTCATAGGGACGGGAGTTGGATTTATACCTTTCTCATCGAAATACAAAAGGATAACATTTTGGGTATACATGATGTTCTGCCAGGAAACCTCTCGAAGTAAGGCCCAACTGTATCTTTCTCGTTGCCCTTGCTATTATCAGGTTGGTATTTATTCCAGGTACTATTTACTATTTCAAAACTTACATTGTGAGATAACTATTTCGATGTAGTTGTACACATAGCCGACCTTTGTTTTGCGCTTGTTACGTAGCTAGTACACGTGGTTGTCTAAAAACTGTACATACTTGACTTTAATTTCTCTGAACGATGATTATGATTATCGAGGCAGTTCAAAGGGACTATTAGTTAGAGTTCCATGCGGAACAACGAAGTTATTGCCTTACTCTTTCCCTACCTTGTGACAGTCAGTAGGTAAGTATAAATGTTGTATTTAGCCAATAAGATTAAGCTATTCGATGTACGTGTGCTCTTATACTTTACTCTGCCACCGTAGGTGGGTAGACAGTGTTTAACATTATGTACTTGAACTATTCTGTTCTGTTTAGTCATATGGCTCAAATGTACGATCTCCTGCTACGTGGCACTGAGAGAAAATGTTTGATATATGAGTATATGTCTCGGCGTCCCGCGGGAAAGCGCATCGTCACATATCTGGTAATTTACAAAGATGGCCACCCATCGAAGTAGGTTAGACAATCTTCACATCGGTTGTAGAGAGCGGCAATCCCGGATCACACCTCTTATTAGTTTTCGATGTGCGGTCATCATAGCTCGCTATATCGTGGCTATGCCGAGATTATTCAACCAGACAGACAGCCAATTTCACTTTGCACGTGTGTACGTGTAAGTCAAGGATAGGTGAATACTCTCACTCCACACCCTCCCCGCAACAGACAGCCTAAGTTATTATGTAAGGAGAAAAAAATAAAGAGCCACGAAGTTGAGGTAGACAGAATCGAGATGCATTTTTAGATCATGCATTTCGGTTGATTATCAGATGCGGGAGTTTGCGGGAGTTGCATCATTCCTGGAGATGGGTTATCAGCTTTTGTGCGGGGAGAGTTATTTTATTATTTTTTTTTATTCTTTTTTATGCACAGGTAGAGAACCCGAGGGGGAGAGCACAGGGCAAGCGAAGTACATACTACCTATATAAGCTGCCAAGGACCAAGGGTAAAACGTGAGATTGTGCAGGCATTAAGGTATTGTACATTAGGCGAGAGATTAATGCCAATTCTAATTCGAAGATCAAAAGAAAAACGAGGGGCTGAACGCCTTGGCCTGAAAGGGGCTCTGGGGCTCTGGGGGGCTCTGAACTTTTTAAAAGGGAAAGCGAAGCGTCAGCCACTAAGCAGGGACGAATGCGCGACGTTATCCAGCGTATGCGCAAATGAATGTGCCCACGCTGGTGGATCGTTGGCTGCATGGATTAACGTGGATCAGCGGATGATGCGGAGACTTATTAGACCATAGAAACCCCACCTTCTGTGGTTCAACGTGGTTGGTAGGGGTTTTGAGTTTAGCGGTATGCCCATAGGTAGTATCATGGATGCTTATGTATGCTTACCTTAGATATGAATTGTACCTATTGTATTGTACAATACAACACTTACAATGCAATACAATGCAGAGGCAAAAGATAGGTAATACAAGGGATGGAGGGGGTTACACGGGTTACACTACATTACCTGGATATGCTAGGTACACTTAATAGAGTGGCATTTACACAATAGGAAAGGTATCACCACGATCCTTGGTACGGAGCCAAAGCTGTGGCGTTGAAACAGATGAGCGTAATTAAGCAAACCCCCATTTTCAAAACTCATACGATTGGTCAGTTTTAATCTGCTGTACCTTTTACAGAGGTACATAGGATGCAGGTAAATGCAGTAGAGCGTGGGATCGTCCACACCATCTCCCATCGCCAACTGCAGTTTACTCAGTTTACATCGAATCCTGAATTCACCTTCCCAAATTCTCTCCACTCATTTACTTCATTTTTTTTTTCGTTAGTTATTCCCGTTCGTTGCCGGCGGCGGCTTCAAGTCTTGTTTCTCTATTGACATTATTGTTGAAAAAAAATCAAGATCTTTCGTGTGCCGACCGAGCTTATTATTATTCATTATCATTGTTGGTCCTTTTTACTGACAAAATCACAACTTTTTCTACCGACAGATCACCTGTTTGCTCTGTTATTATTTCACTCAACTAGTTCCCACATTCGTTTCTACTTGAGTAACTCAAGTGTCAACTTGTCTAACCTGCGATTTTGAAACCTCATGGTCCAATTGAGCGATTTTTAGATCTTACGGAACCCTTTAGCAATCATCTCTGCCCCCTTTCCCCTTGTACAAGTTATCTTTACGAGTTACCGCATCTTGGAAGTCGACACGACCACGTACATGTTTAGTCCATACACATACCAATACTCCTCAGCTCGGCATATCAACATAGTCGAGTTTGTGTTCTGATTAGTTTAGGCTCGACGATACATACAAAAGTCTTATTTTCGTCTGGTCTTCTCGGCCCAACTCAGATTGGTGTAGCGTCGCTTCCTCTGCGAAACCTTCTCCCGTTTATTAAACTTAAACTTTCGAGACGAATCTGAATTACACCGACAAAGTAACCTTAAATTACTCTCGCCAATGCCGCTACGAAGGGTCGATTTCTTGTTTTCGATATAAGCCTCTACGGGCATCCGCACGTTCGAGTCTTATCGAGGAGACATCTCGTACTTATCATGTCGTTCGGCGTCGCAGTTCAATCCGCCATATTCTATGTCGTATCTTGTGCGCCATGTCTTCAGGCAAGACATCACCAACAATCCAAGGCGCTGGCCAAGAAGGAGCGTGAGATAAAAGCACGCATCCAGGCCGAGAACCCCGGGTCATACCGCCACCCGGACCCCTTCAATACAAACCCGTACTGGTCGGAGGAGATAATGATGGGACCCAGCCTACAGTCAAAAAAGTATGCAGGTGGTAATAAGAATAATAGCCAGAAGCGCCTGAATAGTTCTGGCAAGGAAAGTGCAAGCGTTGCCGAAAGCACCACGCAAGTCGACAGCATGAGTCCGGTGAGCAGCCACACCGCCGTGGCAGAAGATGGCAAGCTTAGTTTCTCAACAACTTTGTCCGACGATTGGAACCGAAAACGTTACCAGAGGGAGGATGAAGAGTTATGGGGTCATGAACTGTCTCGTACAGGTCATAAACTGATGGACGCGATTAAGCACGCGGGTTCATCAGCTGGTCGACTTTTAGAAACAAGATTGGGGATGGAGCCGAAGCCTGTTACTGAGGAAGACAGACATAACTTCTATTTCGCGCCGAGGAATCCTCCCGTTAACGAGTATCACCCCCCGATTGTGTGTCAGAAGCCCACGCACAGAACCGCCAACATGTGGATGTTGCAGCCACCGCCGCCTGCAAAGGTCATGGAGGGCAAGGTGCCAGTTAGTAGGAGTGGAAGCATGGCTAGTCACCTCAGTCGTAAGACGACGGCGGCAAGCGAGTCAGCTAGCTTGAGCCGGCTGGTTCACGAAAGGACGGTAGAAGCTAAACTCAAGAGCGGTGAGTTGCCGACGGATTTCGAATCTACCTCGACACTTCAAAAGACCGTTTCGAGGAAAAATACATCGAGCCGAAGACAACGCAGCCGTCGAAGCACAAGGAGTAGGAGCTTATCAATAGAATCAACCGACACTTCGGACGAAGCCACACCGCGGAGAAAGCACCGAGTGCGCCCAATAGCCATCGTTGATTCCTCCGAGTCCTCTTCTTCGGACGACGAAGAATTTTTCTTGAGGAGCTCGAATTCTTTTGGACGTGGGAAGAGAGCCGCTCGACGACCAACACTACGATCCATACCGAGCACGCAGGAAAACGAGAAGAACTCGAAAGAGAACGTGTCAACGAAAACTAAAGGCGATCAGAAGCTCACCCGGTCCGCAAGCTCTGCACTTGCTACTGTAACTAGCGCGTCGCAACTGAACCGGGTCTCGTCGACTTCTAAGCCCAGTGAAAGGACTGTACAAAAAGATACGCCAGAGAAGCCTTCGTCGATGGCGCTAGGACCGCCGCTGGAGGCCGCTTCATAGAGTCGTTGGAACAGACAGCTAGTTGAATCAGACAGCGGCGCGGTGGTATACGCGTCGCGAGCTACACGGTGCTGGTAAGTCGACATCTCGTCGGCCGGACAATACCGGTTGGTTAGATGATTGTAACAAACATAGTAGGGGGATTCATTGCAGGTGCAAAATGCATGGCAAATTTGGGTTAGGGAGGGTCACATCAACAGGCATGCAAGGCGTACGGTTGGGATCACGTTCGATGTAAAACTTGAACGTCTTCGGTTTTGGGCGTATTGTATATCGTATCTTAGCATCAGATCGGGCATTCATTAGCATTAAGTTTCTCGAGATATCGACCGTTTTGAATATTGCCTTTTTACATGATTTATTCCTCCCAAGATAGTTACGTTTATATGTATATACTGTAATGCGCATATTCATGGGGATTATGTGTTAGCTGTCTGCTTAAGCTAGGTATCTTATAGTTGTTAATTAAGGGGAGAATCACTATTTGGCTATTGTTTATTATTACCTACTGTTACTATCCCAGATATACTACGTCCACTTCACATATACGCCTCTCATCTGCTTTCAGGTACTTTGATATTATCGAGAGCATATGTAAGAGAATAAATTCTCTTACGTTTGAGCAATATTGGTTTGATACTTGTATGATTTCTAAGAGTTTGACGAGAGTTTCAAAAGCTAAGCCTACCTGCAAGGGCAAATAGAAGTAGTCAACTATTAGAAGCCATAATATATATGGCTATGTGGAGCTGGTTTGACAGCGGTTTACCTTAAGTACCTAGGTAGGTAGGTACCTAAAGTAAATCGCCTATGATAAGTACTTCAAGGGAAACTCCTTAAGGTAGTACAATACAATATAATATGCTACTAAGGATTTGAATAAGTTTTAGGCTGCAGCTTTGGGAAAGGGAACAGCAATGGTTATGTCACTTTGAGCAGGCGTGATGGCTAGCAATTTTGTGCAACTGCGAGATAGCCTTAGGTGGTAGGCACCAATGTACAAATGGCAGCTTCCAAAGAATACAAGAACGTGCTAAGGCAACCAAACTTTTGAGAGAAAGAGCGAAAAACCTAAATGTGAGTCAACATTAAAATTTTAAAGTTCATCTTGCTTTCCCATCTGCAGACTTCTTCTTTTTATTCTTCCCATCAAACTTCGTCCCCTCAATAGATCCCAAACAATAAATCCCAAATTATTATTTCAACTTTTTATTCTTCCCAATTTTTATCAGACACAACACAACCACTTATTTCTACTCAACTCAACCTCCCCTTCATGCCACCACCCAATCGGATGCACTAGTATTCTGGTGTCTAAACTCCTGGCCTCCAGTCGTCGCCAATGGGAAATATTTATTTTAATCCATAAGCGAGATGGAGTCAGTCATCTCGGATATGATACGAAATATTCGTCAGTTAGCAATTGGAGCTGGCTATGCACGAATACTATATTCTGGGCGGCTTATCGAAGATGGCCATATCTTCGAAAGCTAGCCTCCGAGGAGTCTAGTGGCGGCAAAGAACCTCACTAGTGACCAAGGACGTCTCTATCCTTCATAGGTGTACGGCCGAAATTATTCATCGACGTGCTATCTTCCAGATCATAGTGGTTGGACGTACATTTCGGCACGTACAAGTTACCGAATCCACACACGTACCCGTTCTGAACATAGGTCATACCTTACTCAGATCCCTACATGAGCTACCCGCCTAACCAGAAACCCAACCCATCCTAACCCCAATCGACTCAAAACTAGAACCTAACATGTGGGTTGAAAAACTCGGGTTCTCTCATGCGCTCATCAATCAAGACCTCCGGCTAACCCCTACCCTAGTCAGCTGGGTGCACACCGGCCATCCAATCAAGCGGTTTAAGGATCACTTACTTAATCTCTGCTTAACAGTAAAAAATATCTTGGCCCTTTATCGAATCGACACCTAAAAAAATGGGAAAACTTTTTTGTGGATTTCGAGGGCGACTTGAAAGAATCCAAGTTCTGCCAGCGTATTCTATTGAAGCAGAACACATTCACGCCTGTGTTGACCGGATCCTACTTATACACGCCTCCGCAAACGAGGCGAAGGAACATAGCACGTCGCCGAGTCCCTCCATCTTCGGGTGGAGGAGTCTCTCTGCTGCACGTTGAAACCTTATACTCCACAGAATAATCTGACTACCTAGCTCATCAGACAACGTCATGACGATCCAGTACTAGATGGAAATCAGAAGTTCCACGTGAGGAAACTATTAGAGAAGATCGGTCTAGCTTCTCAAGTAGTTGTCTCAATAACACATAGGAGTAAGGACACGCCGGCCAAAAAGTTCAATCAGGATCTAGCCAAGATGAGCAACGCTAGAAAAAGCTAGTTGTATAGGCAGCAATGGCGAACATGATCGCACATTTCCGGCATGGATCTCTCGGTCCTGTTTCTGCAACCCAGGTCAGACCCGTGGAGTTGTCGGTACGCGACCCTCAGGGAGCGGCACACCAAAGTTGGAAATACCATGTGCACCTAGGGACGTTTACTGTAGGATGCTCGAAGTGTTGCCGAAGGTATTCGCTCGGGAAGCTCATGAAGATCAACACGCCGGAGCTGATGAGAAAGGTGTACGAGGACGAGCTGCAGGAGCCGCACCTTTGCCACGTCGCGTTCTGCTGCAACCCCCGCCATATAGCTCTGGAGACACAGGCATAGAAAATATGCGGACTTGAGAGGAATAGGAGGATGCATGACGTACCTGTCTTGGGTTGATCTGCAGTCAAACGCTTCACCCCCTTCTTCGCCCCCTATAGACAAGGTGTACAAACTGCTATCTGAGAGCCCCGCGATGCTCGGTCCAGTACAGTGGCAGGTTAACGGCGTTTATTACATGGTAATTGACGAAAATAGCATGCTAGGCTTGCGGGTGCTAGGCTGGGCCGACAGACGCTAGCACAAGATGTTGATGTTGAATTGGCAGACAAAAGAAACTATCATGACAATAAACTGATTATTTCTGACTTTTATCGAGGTTATGTCCTCTAAACAAACGGAACTTTGCACTATCATCATACTTACAATAACCTATTACCTCAAAAGCTGACCCCTTACTTCATTTACAAACTATGCGACATTGACGGATCCGATTCCTATCTGGATCTCAACCACTCCAGACCTCCATTATATTTACATATGCTACACTAATAGCATTGATGACAACCTCGACGTCAAGTATAAATGGTACCTGTTTCTTTAAATACTACTAGGGTCCATGCTGTAGCTTCGTCCTCCGTATTATTGAAAAAAGAAATCATGAGACCGGTGTTTCGTATGACTCCACCAGAACGACCCGGCGATGCAAAATTATTACTGTCCTGACAACGAGTTATATACTCGAAGTACGAACAACGGATATACTATCACTTCAAGGTGATATATAGAGACAATAGTCTGAATCAGCGGGCCCACAAGAATGCCAATTGATGGCATATGTGCTAGATCACGGGTATGGCTCGAAATGAGCAATAGTACATACTACTGTCAAACCGAGGCAAGGAAATCCCTACGGATGGCTGCCCCAAATTAAAAAAAAAAAAACAACCTGAACCTCTCACCCATCCACCACCCAATAGGAATTTCATATTCCTTTCCTTATCGCAGGCATTGGGAGGCTTCGTTTCTTAACATCAATTACTTTACCAAATACCGCCTTCCATCATGTCTTCGCCCGCGAAGCCCTCTACGCCCACTCGCGTAGACCAGCTCGGTCGAGCCTTTGACGGTACCGGACTGGACATTACGTTTGTCGCGACGGTGGAGATGATCGAACGCCGCTACAAGGGTAGCTCGATAGGAAAGAGTCAGACCCAGTTTTTGCCTGTACAGCAGCCACAAACTGGAAATCTCATTCCTACCCCCACCCACTCAGACCACTAACTATTATGGAATCTTCATATGATCATCTTGATGTTATATTAGAACCCAAGTAATACAACATCAAGATGATCATATGAAGATTCCATAATAATTAGTAGCTCCACTCCGTTTTTACAGTCGTTTTTTTCGTTTTTGATTTCGGACCCAAACACAAAACCCCGACGTCTGAACATTGAGAGTAAACATCATCATCACGCGGCCACCCCTAGTCCGGTGCCTATACCTACCTATCGGATTTATATTCCCGCTGAGCATCCGATATGCACAGAGATTCTGCGAGAGTATCACGATGGTGTCACTGCAGGGCACCATGGCGTTTATAAGACCATACATCGTATAAAGCAAGCTTTCTTTTGGAATAGTCTTCGCCGAGATGTCAAGGCTTACGTCAGTACCTGCACGGTTTGTCGGAAAACGAAGCCAAGACATCACCTATCTTATGGTGAACTAGCTTCGTTGCCAGTGCCACAAGGTCCAGGTTCACAATTGTTTATGGATTTTATTACTGGGCTGCCTAAGGCTAGAACTCCTTCTAACAGACAAGTTGATAGCATATTGGTCGTAGTGGATAGGTTTTCCAAATATGCCTATTATATTCTAACAACCAAGGACCTTGCGGCCCAAGGGTTGGCGGATATCTTTTTTTCACAAGGTGTTTCCTCCCTAACCTAACTTAACTCGAGTTTGAAGCCTATGAGTTGATGGCTGGAATTACTGGACGGCCGGACAGCCGTCGGACAAAGGCCAGCGAACGCTACATATGACAATAATCAACAAGGTCACCAACAAGGCCAGCATGGCAAAAGCTCTTCGTCGTTAGAGATACCAAAGCTTGTGATCTTCCTCTGTTTAACCAGTTACTACACGCCTTCAACGCATTTGATGCCCATATTCAATTACACTTGCAACGACCCACAATCGCGACAACCATAGGTCAGTTTTTGGGCCAGTCATTGGTGACACGCGGGCCGAGATGACCCAGAAATAGCGAATCGAAGAATTTGTAAGGGGAGTTATAGTTTCCGTTAAACAAGGAGTCTAGTTTCTCTTCGTTCTTAATTGATCTAGACCTCGCGATGTACCCGGCCACCCCTAAGGACATTCGTAACATTCTCTAATCCAACAATGAGATTGATTCATACAAATATACCCTTACACCATGGCAAGCAATCCAAAACGACGCTCAGAATCAACAAACTGATAAAAATCAATATGCTCAACACGGACATTGCGTCAGGAGTCTCACTTGAGACTCCTTGGAACAAAGGACTTATTCTGTATATAGCTTTGGCTTCAAAGCAACTGTAGTTAGAGTTCCTTGCGGAACAACGAAGTTGTTTTACCTACTGCATGCTCTGCGATGTGACACATTGTCGTCGTTGGAACAACCACCCATACTATCGTCTCCCATGGTATGGCAAAGGGCGATACAGATACAACAACTACTGGAACCGTCAACAGGAGCTTGATGATAGGGATATGAGCATATGTGGGTATACACTGGCTAGTATGGAGCTCTACTATTTATACAAAAGGCTGCCAGCTCCCTCGCAAGAGGATGAAGTGTAGGCGTTACTAGATCTAGACTGCATACTAGGCTCTGACACTCACTCTGTATATGACATCCATCACTGGGCACATCTGACACTTGATGACCGCAAAGATTTATACGCAAGACTGGTCAGCCCAACCGTACACAGATTTAGCAACACAGATTAGCAAGGTCAGAAGAGTCACTGCTACGACAATCCGAAAGACCTCATCGTAGCAATACCCGCGACACCAGCACCCCGTCTTTCACAAAAGACATATCTATTGTCTATGACGGATTATCATTTCACACCGTCACCCAACCCCTTCGAATCCCTATCATTACACCGCGACTCAGACATCATCAATACACCAGTCTCACCTACTTTGTTTACTTGTTATTTGTTTTACTGTTATTTATTCCTACGTACGTACCTACCAACAGTATGGTCAGAAAGACGCCGGTGGATATCTATGTTTTTGGGCAGACAAACGAAAGGGACATCCAAAGATGTGACCGAATCGCGAAATTCTTCCCCACAGAATACAACCTGGATGCATTACATATAATCTGTGATACATTGGTGGCGATGCACCTATCTAGTCAGCAGAAGTTTCGACATTCTTTATTAATCAAAATTCATTCATCTTAGATGCTACCAAGTTTCGAGAGGCAGAAATCGTGACGACCGTCTCGCCCAGCCTCTACCCTAGCCTCTGTACCTACCTAGGTAGGTAGTCCGATCGATCTCTTGCGGAAACAAGTAGATAGTGGACTACTTGGATATCATATTCCATGACATTGGCGAGACATTACAGATTGTGGCAACATCGTGGAATGAAATATGTCAGGAATCTCACTTGAGACTCCTTGGGAATAAAGGAGTTGTTTTGCATATAGCTTTGGCTTCAAAGCTATCGTAATCAGAGTTCCTTGCGGAACAACGAAGTTGTTACCCTATCTCATGTTCTGCGACGTGACAAAATGGGGACTGGGCAGAAAATGTTATTAACATTGCAACAGGACTCCAAGCGAAAATACAGACAATTGGTAACATACTTCAAAAGGACAACACCGGCGTGGCGCTGCTATACAACAAGATTGATGAAATTATGGGCATAGCGCAGGCAAGTAACAAGGAGCACACAAGGCATTTGCTTAAACACGAGGCACGAGATATAACGGCGTCGTTGTGTGGCCCTTAGGTACTTCTTTAACATGTACTTGAGATGACAGTGCCATTTTCAAATTTCATCAACTTCAACTACGCGTTGACCTCACAAGTTGGTAGCTGGGTACCTACCTAGGTAGATACTTGAAATAGGTACTCGTTGAGGAACTAAATGGTTGGCTTCGTCGTGAAGTTATCTAGAGAAAAAAGAGTCTCCGCGCACATCCTGTCTTTTGATTGAGGGATTGAATATTACATACTACTAGTATATTGTATAATACCCTCTTGTACGTAGACTAAAATAATATGAAACGGATTGATTAACTTAACTAATTCATCCTTCAAACTAGATTTGGGATCTTCCGGATGAGGTTTTGAATCTCGACGGTCTAGAACGGGCTGGAATGGGTCCTGGTCCTGGCTTGGCTTGGAAAGTCGCTAGGTTAGGTTACGTTTAGGTTAGTTTCCGGTCCACGATAGTATACATTAGGTACCTACCTACACTACTACTAGGGCGAAGAATGGGGTGAGACTCAATAAGGGGGTCCTACGGTGGTGGAGCACACTACATAGTACACTCGAAATATAGGAAAATTTTGAGAATTCAGATTTTCATCCAGGAACGGTCTGGAATACACAGCATCAGTGGTTTAGTGGTAAAATCCATCGTTGCCATCGATGGGCCCCGCGTTCGATTCGCGGCTGATGCATCGTTAACTTTTTTTGCTCGTTTCTCGTGCGGGAGTTCAAGCTAGAATAGCTCAAGCTGGAGTAGCGAGCGAGATGAGTATTTTTTTTTCTTTGGTGACATTTCACGATATAAGTTCACTGGATCACCTAATTACTCCGTGAAGTGAAAGATGATATTTACTGAACTTTAATCAATTCATTGTACAAGAACTTTATTCTATTCAGCTAAGTATGCGAAGTAATATTGGCTATTAGGTATAATGCTTAGGAGGGATGGGGCTATCATGCGTCAAAAGGGGGGTGTGAAAAATTGGTGGTGATGCTGAAAGCTCTAACTCCCTCGAAACTGCCTTCACGTCCCCTTGAGCAACACTCTAATCAATTCATCAGAACCATAAACCCCCTTTAGTTGATGGGCATCCCTCCGGGAAGCTCCTTGAGCCAGCCGTCGAGGTTCTCGGTGACGGTCCTGGGCTTCGTGCACTTGTTGGCCTGGTCGAGGGACTGGGTCTGGAGGGTGGGGCAGTTGATCTTGTTGGCGAAGAGGTCGCTGTTGCAATTGGCGTCCATGGCGCGCTGGAGGGCGTCCCCCTTCCAGCCGAAGACGTAGTCTCCGTGGATGCCGTAGCCCGTCTTGTCGCCGAAGGACCAGACGAAAGGCTGCGAGCCGTCTGCAGGCCACTCGGCCTGGTTGTTGAACGGCCGCGTGTCCCAGTAAGTCTCGTAGAAGACCTGCGGGATCGTGACTGGGTGCGTCGACGGACACGCGTTCCCGTTCGGGTAGGCTACGTGGCTCTGGTGGTCGGGGCTGTCGAGGTTCTTGCCATCCCAGCAGCTGTGAAAGGGGGGGAGTTGTTGGTTAACAAGTGGCTATCGCTACATGCAGGAGAAGGAATTATTAAGCAAGGTAGGTAAGGTATGTACTTACGTCGGGAAGCGGATGCTGACCATGATGCCGGCTGCACATGGCTTCTTAGGGAAGTACAAGGTCTGGCCGCCTCGGGTCATGGACGAGGCGAGGCAGGTGAAGTCCATATACTTGTACCTGCGGTTGAGCTCCTCGGCCGTGCGGATGTTAGGGTCACCGACTGTCATGCGGAAGCCGGGCTTGAACGCCGTTACCTTGCCCGACGAGAGGTAGTACACCGTCTGGCCACCCTTGGCGCCCGTAAAGCCGAGCTCGTTGCCGAAAGTGTTGACTCGGTGGAGTGTTCCGTTCCTTGCCCTGAGATGAGAGGGGAAAAGGGTTAGTATGAGATTACGACAGTCCGAATTTACGCCACACAAGAAAATAAAAAATAAAAAATGAAAGGGTTCATCATACTTGAAGAAGAGAACGGCAGTCCAGTAGTTGGAGAAGTCCTCCACCGGTGTGCAGGAAGTACATGTCGCCGTCGAAGGCAAGTCATGCACGTTGGGGTCCATGCTGACGTTAAAGGCATTTCCTCCGACAACCTGGTGAAGATGAGGAGATGGGTTCTCTCCAGGGTTGACGAGGCTAAGAAGAAGGTTGTTAGGTACTCGCTACTCAGTGGTTCTAATAAATTTCAGGTCTGAGGGCTAGCATGCTTACGGATCAAGACGTTCCACAACAAGTTGCGAGCATGAGAAACGCAGAGTTGCAGCTGCGTTGACGCTGGGCGCGATGCCCGCGGCGGCAAGGAGCACCAGATTTGTTAGCTGCATTTTTGACCTTGTCTGATGAAGGAATACGGCGACTTTCGATCCCAAGTTTACTTAGAAAACGCCTCGATCGAAACCGGAACGACTCTGGGAGGCTTAAACTAAGGAGGATAATGGGGGAGATTTATGTCGCATCCCAAGTCGACGGGCTCGCCTTCTGAACACCGCAAGCCACACAATTGCCGACGATCGCGTATGTCTCCCAGCTATGTGCTCGCTCGGCCTCTGGGGTGCATGGGCAGGGGGAATAAATAAGTCCTCTAGCCCGACTCAGTTATAAATATGTTGTCGAATGGTTAACAATTCCAAGATTAAGTGTGGAACGTAGGTAGGTTAGCTGGCTATTTAGCCAGATTGAATTTTGCCGGGAGGTTGGCCGTTTCCTGGTCCGCGTAGAGGTTTTAGGAAGCTGGGAACGATCGTATTGGGATCACGGTAGATTGATTTCCCTAATGCTTTCCACCTTCGCTGCTGGTACCTACCTAGGTGGAAAAGACTTGAGAAACGTCGAGGGGGAGATTCTGGAATACCAGGTACGATTAGCGAAGTCGTTGATGCCAAAATACTTCTATACGGAACTGTTTACTACCTATGTACCTATCTAAGCTATACTGTATTGCTGCTTTTAAGTTCAATACTACCTAACATAACCTGACCCGAGAATGCCTTTCCTAAATAGTATCAATCCAACTCCGAAGCTTATGGTTGATTGGCTGCCATTTCAAGCAGGAACGTTCAAATGTAGCATCTGGTAGGGGAGCAGTACAGAATCAGTATAAGTTGCCTTGGTAGTATATAATTGGTAGCTGCACCATTTGATCCCGGTAGATGAACTTCGGCGTTGGTTGTGTCCATGTGACAATAGGTCCAGAGACAGAAACACGGGATTGTCTACAAAGGTCACATCCAGCCGGAAATTTTACCCACCACCATTTTCCGAAGGAAGAAATTGAATTGATGTCGTTTGGGCTATGAGGGAAGTGAAAACTTTCAAACAGAGACCTGGTTAAGAATTCCAAATCCCTCTTAGCATGCGTAAGGAATAATATTACATGCATCTCGGACACTACGCAAGCGAAGAAGGCACCACACTTTATATGAAAGCTAAAGGAGTACATTTATACCACATATATGCTTCCGAAGAGCCGCCGTGATCCTGCCACGGATGGTGTGATGATATATAGTATATCAATACACCGTATAGAGCTCTAGGATCTTTACGGAGACGTGGTCAAACTTGAGTGAGTATTCGCATAGCATATGGGACACATGGGACACGAGACTCGGTAAGTAATACTCAAAGTACATAGGCATGGACTTAGTAGTTAACTGGGATGAACCCCTATATAAATGCGATAGGCTGGGTGAGGTAAAATGTATTACTACGGGTGTGACATTGCTGGTTCATCCGTCTATGTACATAATATGAAACCAAATAACCGCGATAGCATCTTTAGGTAGATGGACCCTTTGAGGGATCGTAGTTCGACGAACTAGTGTCGCCCTTGGCGATTGATCTGAATGAAGACCCTCCGGCCTTCGGGTTGTCGCCGCCTGCAGGCGGCTTACTGTTGAGGGTATTCTGCTTTGTAGTGTCTTCATTATTATTAGTAAATATTGTAGGTTCAGTAAGAGATTGGGAAATACTATACCGTCAACAGCAGCTCTGGTTTTCTCAACACCGCCCATGAATTTCTGCTTTGCGGATTCGGTACCAGAAGGCATATTGAGTTCTTATTGTTGGTAACTACCTGCCCTTCAACTGGAATAATATTCTTTAAGTGTATGATTTGTCCAGGTTGAAAATGTCTTTTAACAACCTGTATTTCGACTCTTATTATAGGGGTAGCTGTGTTCCTCTAAGTCGTCATGCTGACGCTTTAACGTCGATGATATCATCGTTAACCCTGGACTAACCAAAGTTTCACATGCCGTCTATTATGCTGCATAGTGATGGATCAGAAAAGATCAATGCAACGTCAATAATTTCACTATGAAGAAATCAAAAGAGAGCGGCTTCAAATACATATTCCGTAGAGTGCCCCGGTAATTCGTTAATATCTATCAATACGGTGTTAGCGGAGGAGTTAATATGATTTTAAAAGGGTAAAGTGGAATTAGGTTATGTATAACCCGGAAAAACAACGGCAATGTTGTCGCATGCAATATTTTCTTAGCCAGCACGGGATTTCTATAAGAAAATAATCTCACCAAGGAAAATGTCGCCAAGTTCATCTTGAGCTTCCCAGCAGCGTCATGTCGGATCCTGCAGCACCGCACTCATTTATAAACCTCAATGCGCTGCTTGACAACCCCGTTTTCGCCGGAGGCTTCGGCCTCGCCTCTCTTGGCGCTGTTTTGGCCTTCGCCCGCCGAGGCGCATTGGCTACAGCCGGCATGATTCGACGTCGTATGCTTGTAAACGTCGAAATTAGTAGGCAAGACCCGTCCTACCCTTGGATTCTTGCCTGGTTATCGCAGCCTCGCGAACAAACTTCTTTCTTGGCAAAGAAGTTGACGCGCATTAACAAATTGTCTGTCACTACGTCTACTAGCTCTACTCCCAACGGCGCCACTAGAGCCAGCTTCTTTCTACAGCCTGGATATGGCCGCCATATTGTGAAATACAAGCATGCGTATATTGCCGTAAACAGAGAGAAACAGGCAACGGCGAGGACAAATACCGGTGAACCTCACGAAACAGTGGAACTTACTACTCTGTATGCACATCGGCACATTTTTGAAGATGTTTTCTCGGAGGCTCGGGCTCTTGCTCTCCAGGCAAATGAAGGAAAAACTGTAGTGTATTCGGTACGGAGCTTTGACTGGGTCCCACTTGGCGAGCCTCGGAGAAAGCGACCCTTGGGCAGCGTCATCTTGGATAAAGGCATTAAGGAAGATATTGTCAATGATGCTAAGGACTTTCTCGCGAGACGGCAATGGTACGTGGACCGCGGAATCCCGTATCGTAGGGGATATCTCTTATACGGCCCTCCGGGAAGCGGGAAAAGCTCGTTTATCCAGGCTCTGGCTGGTGAACTCGACTTCAGCGTGGCCATGGTTAATCTTAGCGAAATCGGTGTGACGGATGACAAGCTCGCTTTTCTCCTTACCAAGCTTCCCGAGCGAACGATTCTCTTGCTCGAGGATGCTGATTCCGCATTTCTCAACCGTAGGAAGCGGGATGCGGATGGGTATAGTGGCGGCACGGTGACATTCTCCGGGTTATTGAATGCTCTAGATGGGCTTTCAGCAGGGGAGGAGCGGATTGCGTTCCTTACTACCAATCATGTCGAACTCTTGGATCCAGCGCTGATTAGGCCGGGTCGAGTAGACATGATGGTCCGAATAGGCGAAGCCACCAGATACCAGGCCGCCCAGATGTGGGATAGATTTTATGGGGACGTGGATGTCGATGGTACCCACCGGGAAAGGTTCTTGAAGCGACTTGACGACTTGGGGCTCTTTCGAGAGGCGAAGGATAACGAGTCTCACCCTCGAACTAGCACTGCTGCCATCCAAGGCCTCTTCCTCTTCAACAAGAATGACATGGAGGGCGCTATTAACATGGCCGAACACCTTATTCCACCAAAGTTAGAAGCTGAGAAATAAGCCTATGACTCGCACACTAGACTAAGTGCGAGGGCATACTTCTACCACCACATCTTCCACGACTGGTCCGACGAGCAGTGTCTGCTAATACTGGAGCGGGTGAAGGAAGACATGAAGCCCGGATGCTCCAAGCGGTGGCCTCGAATTGCCTAAATGGGACTGGCTTGCATAAAATCCTGATTTTAGAGCAGTAGGTCTAGGTAGGTATGGGATTATCGTTTTCAATAAGTGCCCGCCGCTTGATGCGGCGTACAGTGTTTTAAATAAACCATTTTTAACACAGATGTGGCTATTAGATGTCAGGTGATAGACCTAGGATAGAAGACTCTTCTTAAGGGTAGTGCATATAAGATACCTTGACTTTGCGAGACCTAATAATAGCCAAGGTGGGAAGCTTTCTGAGCGCCATGCTCATCGAGTGCATCAGACCGGTATGGAATTTGGAACGCCATCAGAACGTCAAGGCTTGGAGTGATCATTTCCGCGATGCATTAGGTATTCGGTATAAGTACCCCTCTAAAGAAGATAGCAAGAAATACGGGACTGCGTATATCACATTGTGTGATGGCGAAAGTCCCATCTAACTACTTTAATCACCTATACTCGTATCCCTTCGACTTCTCCATGCTGTCCAGCTGGAAACTTGGGTTGAAGAGCAACAACCATGACAAATTAAAGCAATCATATGCATTCGACCCTGCGACTACTAAAGTGCCTAAATTAGATTGAGTACTTGTAACTACTACAGAAAGCTGGAGCTTAAATGCACAAAAGAAAAAACAGGTTGCAAGAGATGCCAGAAATCCTCGAGGCAATGCATCTATCAAAAGATACCGGATAAGACGAAGATAGCTCTGGAAATAATGTCACCACGGGAGCAGGCGACTTGTCCATCTACAAAAACGAATGCACCAGACCGATTGGAGGGGCGTTATGTGTTTAACCACATGAATTTTGTACCAAGGGAGACGAGTCGTTCTATCACTTCAAGTTTAGGAGATCAAGATTTACACGATACCATACCGGAGTTGGCCCAAACAACAGGTTCGGACCAGTATAAGGCGTTGGATCCTTACTAGTTCCCAACACCGAACCGAATACTTGTAACTTGAACATAGAAGCAGGAAGAGAATTTATTGGATACTCAGAATCTACACGGCCTCCCGGAGAATTTCAATGCGTTATGGGCATTGACACGAATCGGGCTACGTGCTATGACCAGTGCTTTCACCTCTATAGGACGATACTCCTTATTTGTGATCTTGATGACGTCGCTACGGGGTGCGAGAACGTGGACAATGCCCTCAACGCCAGTAAAACGGCCATTCACCATGGAAATGATATGATCAATTGCAAAGTCTGCATGGCTAACTTCGAGGACATGACCATCCTCACATACCTGATAGGGAAACCGGGGAAGAAATGTCAAGATATCTCAGGCGCCTATTCACAGCTGCCTTCGACGTTGGGTTTCAGGGGTAATTCCCAGACAACAGTTCCAAAGCTAGGGTTAGGAAGCTATGTTGTAGATTCCCCAGATGAATTCGAAACACTGGTAAAGGGGCTACTAAGGTTACAGATCCAAAGTATTCAGAGTGTGAGTATCTTGAAAAAGTCTTCAAATGCCGTTCTCCCAACTCAAAGATATAACCATATCTCTCTACCCCCAACCCCCTCCCACAAAAAGAAAAAAAAAACTATAGTACGATAGCCGCCTCCTTATGAAGAACAGGAACTGACTTTCAGACTTATAGATGATAGACCGTCTAGATCGTATATTTTCGACAAGTGGCCCGAGAGTTATAATACAGCGCTTGGCAACGACGAAGCAGATGCTAGCCCAATTATCAGGAAACAGCAGCGCAATGGGTGATTAAGGGGCGGATTTCGAATCTTTCACATAAAATTGCCCACTTGCACGTCTGCAATCTCAAGTGTTGCCATCTACCAGCCTAAACTTATTCCCTCAAACCATGCGCCAGAAAAGATGGGATTGATTATATTAACAAACTCTACCTAAGGTTGTATTGCACATGCAGTTCGTGTTCCACGACAGCGCAGCAAGATCCAATGCAGGACAGATAAGTGCGGGTCCATGGCATGTGGCTCATTAAATCGATTTGAGCATTTCCGAACCTTTGCGGAACTACAGTAGTTAAATAGGAAGAATTCAGTCGTTAGGTAGCTACTGGTAGGTATCTGTATCTATAGTGACGATGAACACAATACAAGCCTTGATACCAGGTAATCAAAGGAAACCGGTATACGCATAAGGGACAAAGCCTCGTGGGAGTTTAGTGCATCTACCTGTGCATGGCAAGATGGAGGTATTACGTCAATATATTACTGTCTGTGACGTGACTTTCTGCAGCCGCGTTCTATCACCAAGCCTGCTGCATGCAGGTAATGCAACCGACCGGAGCCACAAACGCCAACGCACGTAGACTTGGAAATGATAAGCAAGTTGAATACCCTCCCAGGCATAGAATTTATCTTTCTGGTATCATACTGTTTAGACTATTATGTCGGGGAACCCCATGAACGAGGTACTGTAATAGGGGCTTGAGAACGTAACGCCGGGCCTAATTTCTTTTTTTCACATTTCATCATCGAACCTTGGAACTAACTATGTGCTTGTCGCGAACCGTTCCCTTCTCGATCAGACTTTTATATATCGCTGAACTCAAACCTGACCAACAACGCACACTTGGTCTCTCGGCCCTTCAGATCCAGCATACGAATGAAGCTCCAGCCGGGGACCGCGTACATGAGTCTTAGCGCCGCCACTGCGAAGACGGGGTTTTCCGCAAAGCTGGCGTCGTTCTTGATTAGGATGCGCAGGAAGACGAGCTCGTTGTCTTCGTATTCCCACTCGAGCGTCTCGTCCCAGATCGGATCTGTTGGCGGCGGGTTCTCGCCCCTGTGCAGGAATCCTAACCTGTGGTGCTTGTACGGTCTCGTCTTACGCTTGGGATGGTTGTCTTCTAATTCATCTGTGTGCACGAGCGTGCAGGTCACATATGGCTTCACATCATCTTCTTCCATGTCTTCTAGTAGGGGTATATCTGATGCTCCCGCGACGTGCAGAACTAGCCTCTTCCTCCTGCCAGTGTTGAGGTTCATACTACCGCCTGCGCGCAGAGCTGCTGGCTTTAGGACATAACCGTCGGTACCGCTGAATAAGGCCTCGTTGATCTGCATGCTGGCGTTGAAAGTTTGCCAGTTCATCGCGCAGATCTGTGCGCCAACGCCCCAGAATGGGACTTGTTTTAAATTCTTTGAGGTAATGCGCGTACCCTTTGGAAAGACACGCATTAGATGCTTAGAATTATGTCGCGCAATCAGTTGATTTGCTTCCGGCATGTGTGACGCCAGTCCGGTTTCTGATACGTTGATCAAATGGTTACGAGGACCATCCTTGAGGACACCTTCAAACCAAGAGTTATCTCTCGGTTTCACGGATTGGGCGTAAACACCCAGCTCTGCGAGTTCTGGAACAATGATCTTGGAGTCTGTTTCTTTCTTCTTGGCACGGTAAGCCTCTTGTGCCCGTCTCTCCTCATCATCGTTAGCGTCGGGGTTGCTGTCATCATCACTGGAGTCTGCTTCCTCGGGTAAATGATATTCGACGATGAGAACTATTTTAGATCCTAGTTCCGCCAGGGTAACTGGATCACTGTTCCCTTCCTGCTCCCGATGGCCTTTTATTCGGATAGCTTTGTCCAGCAGACGATGGCCGAATATTTCTTTCATGATTTCAACGAGTCTCTGCTGTCCATACGCGCTACAGTGATTCTCTAGGGAGAGCATGATTGGTGCCGCCCGATACCCATCCGTATTACTGGACTGCATCGCTTCCCGGTCAACGACACTACGAATTGTCTCACATACTTGGCGAAATGGAATATTGGAAACGAGGGTATACCCGTGAGTGACTTTAGGCTCTTCTTTATCGTCCTCGTTATCCCAGGCGTCGATCTCGACACACCGAGATCCGGCGTTGAGTGCGGTCTCATAGGCGACAGCGGAAGACTTGCCAATGAGCTGGTGACCTAGAAGATATGTATTATGGCTAGAGCTTATGAAATACTCTGGGAGCGGATGAGACCTGTCCGTCACTGCGGGAGGCACGTGGATGTGTGGCTTGTCAAGTAGTTCTAGCAGCGCAGCACCAGGCTGTTCCGACTCCAGGCCTACTCCTTCCTCGGAGAGTACATTATTCTTAACGAGAAATGATTTTAGCGCGTGGCTGACTCGCAACTGGGATTTGGTAATAGCCGTCTGTCGCGCACCGTGGCCTCCTCCCGCGATGGTGGTTTCGTCAATTTCTTCTCCCACGTCCTCGTCGTATACCCCGGCGGAAAATTTGGAGAGGGGGGTTAACTTGGCGAGTTTGGATACGAGAAAATCAGCCATTTTGGAAAGATATTTATTTACCTAAGGGTGATAGGACCGGCGTGAAAAGAAGTATCTTGGATTAGGATATCTGAGGAAGAGGAGACGAAGACGGAAAAGACGGCAGAACGGCTTCTGAATTATTTGCCCTTGTAGGGGAAAGGATGAGCTTACGTAACTTTGAGATTTGGGGGTTTGACAAGTTCAGCTGAGATCAGCGAACCCCTTGTCTCATGTCTCAGCCCTACGACTTGTGGAGCAGGGGACTTACACGTACAATACACTAAAAGGTACCTGCCCTTTGCATGTAGGTATAGAAGACATAAAGCATCTCGAGTTACACAGGTTACACAGAAGTAGCAAACATTTTATCCCTGTAACTTGTGCTGATATATAAGATACCTATGTACTTATGATTGTGCAATCTACTTCTTATACAATTAGTCGCACTTTCAATTTGTCGCCTTTGACAATCTCGTCTTTCTTTTCCACCAACTCCGGCAAATCCCAAGTAACGTTGATATATCTACCAGCAAGCCAATCTCGCCTTTCCGATGTCAGATACACCAAAGAATCCGCGCTTAATTCTGGCGTTTCGGTAAACACTACCAAGGGAAAACATGCATTAGCTCAGAATTCCCACCTAGGTATTGAAGTGTTATGACTTACCTTTCTTAAGCTCGGGAGTCATGACGCCGGCGACCATATCCGTTAAAATATTTCCCGGGTGTATGGCGTACGCCACTATACCCCTGTCGCCGTACTCCGCCGAGATAAATTCGGAAAGACGCAGCACCGCTAGCTTGGAGGACTGGTATGCGCTAAGCCCCGGTCCTACCAAATGAGCTCCGACGCTGCTAAACGTGACTATCGTCCTGATGCTGCTCTGGGATAGCAGCGGGAGGAACGAGCGCGTGGTGTTAAACGGGCCCATAACGTTTACCCTCCATATATTCCACCACGCTTCGGGATCAGTATCTAGGATCTTGGATGCGTCGAAAATGCCAGCGTTGTTAATCACGACGTCTAAGCGTCCAAAGCTCTCTTTGACTTTGGTGGCCGCATCGTCGACGTTCTTCGGGTCGGCCACGTCGAGCTCGAGAGCTAAAACTTTCGGCTCCGGTTTTCCCACCCTCTGAGCCGCCGCTTTAACCTCGTCGACCGTAGCGGAGAGATCGGACCGAGCCCCGACCGCGATCATCGACGCCCCGGCCTTGGCGAACGAGATGGCGATTGCCCTGCCCAAGCCTCTGGAAGCGCCGGTGATAAGAACCGCTTTCCCGCTGAAATCCGCTTTAGTGGGATCAATTGCGGGATACGTGTCACTGTGCACGACGGAGGTCACGTCATAGTCACCTAAAGCTACAATTAGCACTCACCATGACAATGCAACCCCTCACTTACCTGGACCCTCCAGAGGGTTTGGAGTTCCTTTTGGAGGAGGCATCTTTATTTTATACCTATTTTGCTTCTTTTAAGGGGAAGAAAAATGTCAAAATGCTTATCGGGTAGACGCCGGAGGTAGACTTGAGAATGTAAGTCGACTCGCTGCTGTCGAACACGAAGGAGACTCTCACCTACCTAGCTACCTAGCTACCTGCTACCTGCCTAATATAATACTTCGATGCTTTGAAATCAGACTTATTACGTCGCGGCGATTACTATCGGCGTTTATCTTCTTTAGGTTAGATATGCTAATTCAGTAGACTGCTGGATTGAGAGCCGACACTTTTCAAACTATTCGACCAATAGATCAATGCAATAAATCGAGATGTTGGTGTTCGATTACACGATAGGAAACAACCTGGTTATAATCGGGGTTACGAGCGGGATCGGAATACGATGAGCTCGGAGTTAAAGGAGATACAGCATGCCTCGAGTGCGAAAGCTATAACCATTATAAATCGACTGTTATGAATCAGACATAGATATATGTCTTGCTAGGCAGCGTCAAGTGAAATTGACATATATCAAATATTCGCAATATAATACCGACCGTGAAACCAGGTAGTGAAGACGATTCACTCGATGTTATGTTTGGATACCAGGTAGGTAGATAACAAAGTATAATAAGTCGTCAGAATCAACTAACCATCATATGTCTATTTAGTGCAATCATCACCTGGGGTCATACTAAGTAGGTAGATTTTATTTCGCGGCATTATAAGTTTCTTAGGAAGCTTAATAGGAAGCTTAATAGGATCATTGAGAGTAGCAATACCATACAAGTTGATTCCTTTTCTAGTCGGAAGACATCCCGTACTTACTTCATTGCTCCGGAGCGTATAGCCCGGCTTTTGTGATGCTGAAGTGTGGGCATAGATAACAATGCAGATTCAGGCGGTGGATTGCCCTGTATGTAATGCTGTGAGCGGTGACATGACATAGCTGATTCTGGAGTACGAAATTATGACCTCATAGATCAACCTTCGTCGCGTCAGGGGTCCGACTAGATTCTAGTCACATTTTGCCTCCTTTAAAAACATAGTTAAACCCCAACTATCATAATTCTAATAAGAGACGTTGACATAATTATTTGCTTGTTATTCATCTCATCTTCAACAATACCGAAAGACTCAATTTACACATCTTAGGATCTACCCTCCTAGAAAAAGAACAAGAAGAAGAAAAGGCATACCTTATATAAAATGTCATCACACGAAAGCTCCAACACCGGCTCAAAGACATCCACGGGGACGGCTTCACAAGTCGAGACACCCGCCAATGCTGGAATTGGCGAAAATAAGCCAAAGGCGTTCGACTCCCAAGGCTCCATTGGCAAGCAGTTTACCGGTAAGGACTGTTATTCTATTTTCTATTTTCTCTGTCGCCGAAGACTAACCCTTGTTGCGTAGAAAACGGAGCGCTCGGTGGTGCTGCACAGAAGATCGGTGGCCCTTTGGATAAAGAGGGCATGGTTGGGAAGCAATTTACTCCGGAGGGAAGTATTGGTGGAACTGTGCAATCAAATCTCGGGGGTCAAAAGGGGAGGAGTAATTAGATGAAGGATGACACATTTGTGTATATGTATTATTATAGAACGGCTTGGTTTGGTAACATATAATCGGATTCAACTCTGACAAGCTTTCGATGCAGCCACTGACGAACAGAGAATGGCTAAGTCAACCATGACAATTAAATGAGTTTTACCTTCCGGTATTCATTATATTCGGACTTTCCCAAATATTCCCACCAAGTACCATACTCTTTAACAAGATCTACCGAGCCTTTGGACCTCCTTGCCCCCATTTAAAGCATTTATCGCCAGTACAAGCGAGATCAAACCATTCCATAACGGTAGCCTCTTGATTCTGAATATTATGCGACACGCCCGCAGCGCTATACGCTTCCAACCAATCATTGCGCCCATACACGTACTTCGTCCACCCCCTAACGGGCGTGTCCGGCGTCGCGCTCGCGGGCGCGTCGCTAATCCCCAACACCGCAGCCCACTCCTTGATCTCCTCCTCGAAGTTCGCGTAGCTGAGCACCTCGTCGCCGGTCCCGTGGAAGATCTGCACCCGGGGCCGCCACCTCGCGTACCCGGGGTACCCGGCCTTCACCAGCGCGGCCCACTCGGCGCCCGTCTTCCGCACCTTGCCCGCCGCGCAGGCCTCGCTCCACACCCCGTACCCGTCGCCGGCGAAGCACCCGTACGGCACGCCCGCGAACGCCGACCCCGCCGCGAACACGTCCGGGTACGCGCCCAGCAGCACGCTCGTCATCATGGCGCCCGACGAGATCCCCGTGGCGAACACCCGGCTCGGGTCGCCGCCGTACTTCTCGAGCGTCCACCGCACCATGCTCACGACGCCCAGGCTGTCGCCCCCGCCGCCGTGCGTCAGCGTCGCGTTCGACGACACGTCCCAGCACTTGTCCGCCGCGTTCGGGCTGTCCGGGTAGATCACGATGAACCCGTATCGGCGGGCCAGCGACGCGTAGCGCGACCCCGCGTAGCTCGCCTGCGCGTCGCCGTGGCACCAGTGCGGGTTGACGAGGATCGGCGGCCGCGCGGCTAGTTTGTCCGGCACGAAGAGGAAGAAGCCGACGTTCCGCGGGTTGGGGCCGAAGTCGGACGTGATTTTCTGGAGGGACGCGCAATGGGAGAATATGGGGGCGGAAGCTAGGAGCCAGTTTAGGGCCGGGCGTAGTGGGAAGTGCATGGTGTTCTTCTCATAGCGGCATGGGATGATGCCTCAGAGAACGATAGGTAGGTAGAGCACAAGACATTAGATACCTATCAACGTATGCGGTATGAGCATTTCGAGCTATTTATATCCCACGACGGCGAGCGCTCCGAAGGTTTCGTTGCTACCTGCTTATCTTTATTAAAGCATCTAGATCCATCGGACGATGGAAGGTGTTGCACGAGCTGCGGAGCGCAACGCTCCGAGACCCTGGAGGGTTAGAGTGGAGCTTTGTGATGGGAAAGGGGTAGCACTTTTCCACCGGGCAGCTCTACGTTACCACATCACGTCCGATCCGATGGTATAAAAAATGAATTGACATTTAAGAGAGAAATTAGTTGTTCTATCTTTTCCGTAGTCGCAATACTCAAGATTAATAATTTTAAAGCTAACATTATCATAAATATGTCCGGTACCTAGGTATATACAGACGCAAAAACAATGTGAAATGTATACCTCCTAGGCAGATTCGGGGAAACGACGTTCCCAGCGAATATTCGCCGGTTGAACGGGGCGCGAGAACATAGACGTGTAATCCGTCGGGGGCACCCAGGACTTGCCGTCGACAGTCGTGAACTTGAAGTTCCGAACAAGCGTAGAGACTATCGTCACTAGGTTCAGAAACGCGAACTTCTCCCCAATGCACCGATGTCTTCCCGCGCCAAAGGGCAAATACGGGCTCCTTGTCCCCTTCGATATCGCGCCGTATCCGTAGTCGACCATGTCTTCTTTGTTTTCCACCTCGACCACGTCGTCCCAGCGGTGCGGGTCCCAGACCAGCGGGTTGGCGAAGTGCTCTTCGTTCAGGTGCGTCATGATGGGCGAGGCGAGAAGCACCTTGTCGGGAGTTATCACGAATTCGGTGTTGGGGACCGGCATCGGGTTCTTGACTTTCCGCATGAGCGAGTGGATGGAGGAGTGGACGCGAAGTGTTTCCTTGACGACGTTCTGTAGTAAGGGGAGCTTGTTTAGGTCGGAGTATTGGAGCGGCTGGCTAGGAGAGCCGATATTGTTGATTTGCTCCTGATATAGCTCCTCGACGATGTCCGGTCGTGATGCTAGCCGAAGCATGATCCATGCGCTCGAGGATGAAGATGAGTGTTGTCCAGCCATCAGAAGGGTGATCATCAGATGGGCGATATTCGTGTCGGAAAGAACCTGGCCATCTTTGTAGACGGAACCCATGAGGTTGAGGATCATGTCTGTACCATCGTTCTGGGTGCCGGTCTCTTTACTGTCCTTAGTGGCACGACGCTTGTTTATAAGTTCCAAATAGGTTTCCGTCATCTTGGCATGTGCCGCATCTCTGCGTCGATTCTGCGGAAGAGGCGCCCACGGCATGATGAAATTAATCGGCTGAAAACCTAGGTCAAGGTCGTGATATAGTTCGGCGAATTCAGCCGTCAACTTCTTTCGTACTTCGGCTCCCTGAAGGGCGCGGCTAGCTGTAAAAAGGGTGATCTCTGCCATGGCGGCTGGTATATCGACTGTGCCGGAAGATCCTTTGAACTTCGGGGAGGTTTTGATGTATTCGAGAACCTCCTGTTCGATCAACGGTACGTATGACTCGAGGGCTTTCTGAGTAAGACCGAACTTGATAAACTTCTTTTGTTCCATCAGCTTTTCGTTAGGGCAGTCGTAGATGATGTCTTTTCCGAACACAGGCGTGGTGAGCGCGCCGTAGACATCTTCGGCGTTAACATCTCGTAGCTTTCCATTGAGGATAAATTCGTTGCCGTCGATACCAAGGTAGACTGTGACTTTCTTCCCAAGGAGTACGAAGGTAAAGATGTCGCCATGTTGTTTCCGACAATTCGTGAAGAATTCGAAAGGATTCAGCCCGTATGAGATAGCACTGCCGATGAATGGGATCCAGTGGAATACCAACGGCGGCTCAGATTTTTTGCGAGGCAGTAATTGCCAGAGCACGTTTATGGCGAATGTAAGTATCAAGACGGTGATGGCATAGACAACCACGTTACGTATAGGGGTGTTGGGATCTATCATGGCGTAAAGGGTATCGAATTCAACGACAGTTGATCTAAAGTCAATAATGAGAAATGATTAACTTAAGCAAGGACAATGGAATTGCTATATATATCCCACATCTTACTTTCTCCATATACCTGTTATCTCGGTGTAAGTCAACAGCAGTAGTAATATAATGCCAAGAAATTCTCGTATTCGAGTTCGGTAAATTCCTGCCTTGGGTACGTACCCACCGCCGCTCCCATTCCAGCACTAGGAAAATCCAGGGGTGAGGTCGACATTGGTCTGCATTACCTATGGCGATTGGTTATTGGATAGGGAACCAGTTTAATATATCATTCGGTTTTGGATACTTGGTCATAAATCATACGTGATGGTCTGGGAAGAAAACCTCTTTGAGATTTAGTACAAAGAATATACCGCTGCAAAGTCTCATTTCCGCTTTGAAAGTTCCACTTTATACAATAGGTCATAAGTCTTAGAAACCATTTATCTTACCTTACCTTACCTGGTACCTAGGTAGGTAGCGATACCCGAGTTAATTGACTTATTACACACCACTAAGAGAAAGTAGCGGAACTGGAGCAAGGTCGAAAGTCCACACGGCTAGTCACTTAAGAATACCGTAGGCAGAAGATCATTGTAGGGTATATTCACGGGGTTGAGCAGTCAGTTTTGCATCTAAGTCTTCTTGGAAACATATTCAATTCCTTTATTGACCCTTCCCCAACCTACCTCTAATAGGGACGAAGTATTTGGAGTCCACTGTTATAGATATGTAAGAAAAAGTACGTTCATTCGTGGCTATAGCAAAAGTACCATGGGAAACTATGGACTTACAAGGATGTATGTCAACGGTCTATGCATCCGATGTTCTAGGCAGGTGCTTTCTTATTCTCTACAGCCAATAAATGTTCAGGTGGCCGTTAGGTACAGGTGCTATACATGGGGCCTACTGTCTATATAAAGGGTAGTCAGCTCCCTCGAGGGAGGGAAGTTAGAAGGCGAGGCGTTACTAGATCTCTACAGTAGACTGCATAATAGTATGCACTGATACTCACTCTGTATATGACATTCATCGCCGAGTATACCTAACAGTTGCTTGTTAATTATCAAGTTGACTTATAAAACACAAGTGTTATTTTCTTGTGAGGTGTCAGGATGTGTGGGAGGTAGGTATACGGAATATACTGCCTCGAGAAGATAGCCTGAACTCCTTGGAGGAGAATAGAAGGCCGGGCCTTACTAGAGTGTCTATCTCATGCCCTATTGACGTTTATTCTATATACGATTCCCATTAATGTCATCTATTTCATCCTATCTACATTGATTTGTCAACAGATTGGTATTCCTTATGTCTAATACGATTCATGCAATTGTCGTGATTTACTGCCTTAGATAGGTACCTCGTTAGTCGAAATCGCGTACCTACTTCACGTTCGCAACGTCACATTCTAATTATAAACACAACTATTTAAACGCGAACATGCAATGGCTGTAGAATCCTACTAAGCTAGTGCTGGGATATTGGTCACATTTCTGTAAGGCGAATAGGAAAGTTGGTCGATTACTTGACCAATGAAATGTCTCTTCAAGCGCCCGAGCTTGACCAACGTCCGGTCCGAGCTGCGGCCCAAGAAACATAAATGTGATTGGCGACCAGTTGAATCGAACTGAAACACTGTTGGTTTTTTTTGTCTTTCTTTTAAATGCATCGCGGTAACCCATCTGAGATATCTTAGACGCTGTAGTCTATAGTTTTCCCGCTTTACCGGCATATCGGAATACTTACCTGGGTACTTTGGTATACAACATTTTTACAACAAAGCCGCCTATCATCTTTTCAGCTGTCCAAATTGAGCTATGATGGCTTGCCAAGTCAGTAGATATAAAAGCAAAGTAGCACACCCGAATCTAAGAGGCCCACGTAGTTGCTCATAGTGCGAACATACTGTCGTTTTCCCTCCAAAACATGATATAACCTTTCTTTTCTCGTCTGTAATGGTTGTCGGTTCTTCAACAGCTTAATTCTTGCGATGGAAACCATTTCTTTAGATTCGGCTGCCCTCGAGCAGCTTCACGGCGAACAAAAAGCTCTCCTAGATGCTATCGATGACCTTCGCAAGCATGGCATCGGTCGCTTCGTTGACCTTCCCCAGATCATCGTGGTTGGAGACCAGTCATCAGGGAAAAGCTCTGTGCTTGAAGCTATTTCTAGAGTACGCTTCCCCGTCAAAGACGGCCTATGCACAAGGTTTGCAACAGAACTCGTTCTTCGTACCGACAGCCAAACCAAAGTCGATGTGCGCATACTGCCAATTTCGGGTTCCAATGGGGAAACCAAACAATTCGATGAGAAGTCCTTCAACAAAGAGGATCTACCTCGTATTGTGGAAGAGGCTAAGAAAAATATGGTCTCGGGCGATGCTGGCTTCTCCGAAGATGTTCTTAGAATTGAAATAAGCAGCCCCGACGTCCCTCATCTGACCATGGTTGATCTCCCCGGCTTTTATCACTCGGAGGACGAAAATCAATCTGCCGCCGGTCGAGAGATTGTCGATCGCTTAGCGGAGAGGTATATGCATCGCAAGAACAGCATTATTCTTGCCGTCATCTCAGCGCGCAATCAGGTCATATTGCAGAAAGTTTTATCCAAAGTCAAGGAGCACGACAAAGATAAGGAGCGTACCCTTGGCATTATCACGAAACCAGATATTCTTATACCTGATACTCAAGACGAAGCAAACTTCGTCAGGTTGGCCAAAAATCTTGATAATTCGCATAAGCTGTCATTAGGATGGCACGTTCTCCGGAACCGAGGCGAAATGGAAGCCTCTGACACTGACGAAGAGAGAGACGAGAAAGAGGCTAAGTTCTTCGAGACGGGTCTTTGGTCTAGTGTCCCTTCGAAGAATAGGGGCGTGGCAGCTCTTCGAAAGAAACTCAGTGGCATCCTTCTTCAGCACATCAAGAAGAATTTGCAAGGGTTGATCGATAGTATCGAAGAGAATCTCAACGATCGTAAAGCTCAACTCCAGCGCCTAGGCGAGCCAAGGTCTACTCCAAGGGAGCTAAGGAGGCACCTAGACAAAATCGCCTCTCAATTCCATGTCCTGTGTTTAAACGCAGTAGAAGGAAACTATGCGGATGAGTTCTTCGGCGGCTTATACTCCGTAACTAGTTCGGGAAAAATAAATAAGAACAGGATTAGAAAGCTTCGGGGACTTGTACGTGATTTAAACCGCGCGTTTGCCTACGTATTAGAAACCAAAGGCTCGAGGCGCATCATCCTCCCCAAGGATCTTACGAACCGGGACAATTCATCGAAACCCGACGATTCGACCCCAGATGGGTTATTTGGAAAAATCACTGAAAAGTTCACATTGCCGACGTTTCTTCAGGCATTGGCTGATCAATACCACTTCGTGGATCCAGAAAAGGTCACATTCCAAAAGATAGCCTCCGAGCTAGAAGCTCTCTCCTCCGCCAACCAGGGCAATGAGTTTCCTGGTACCTCAAACGACCGCTTAGCCGTGAAGCTTTTTCAAGACCAAGCTAAACCTTGGGAAAATATTACACGTCGCCATTTACAACTTGTATTAGGGATAACAAAGGCATTCGTTGAAAAGCTCATTGGCCATCTCGTCAATCCAGACAAAAGGACCTTCTCGGCAATCCTCGTTGAGATAGTAGATCCATTCTTCGAAGAAAAGTCCACCATACTTGAAAACAAACTCCAAGAGCTTCTCCGTCACTACAAGAGCGGGAATCCCCAGCCTTTAGACGCAGAGTTTAGGATGCTCCTTGCCAAGAGGCGCCAGAAGGACGTTGGGGTTGATGTCGTCCGAGATCTGATGGCAAGCCGACCCGAGTTCTTTACGGAAGCAGCACGGAAGGAACTCGCAAAGCTAAGCCCGTTTAAAAATACCAGTGAATTTGGAGTGGACAGCTTGATTGACAAGTCCGAAACTTATTATGAGGTAAGCCATTCATTTGAGGCCAAAGTCTATGCGCATCTGGCATACCTACCTTAGGTAAGGTACCTATACTCACTTATATCTAGATGTCGCTTCGTACCTTCGTCGATAATGTAGTCGTTTTGGCCGTTGAGAACTGTCTTATTAGTGATCTTCCTTCGATCTTGACTACAGCAAAGATAAATGAAATGGAAGACAGCGAACTTGAGCGACTTGCCTCAGAGTCGCCGGAAGTTGAGACCGAGCGTAATGAGCTACAATCGGAATATGAAGCTCTCCAAAAGGGATTGCGGATCTGCAACAAGTTCAAGGAGCGGAAAACAACGGGTGAGTACCTAATGATCTTGCCTTCAACATGAACCCCTCTAATATTTTGGTCTTCAGCTATGCATTCGATATTAGTCAAATCGGAGGTGCCTGCGAAAACCACCAATGCACCGAATACTCCCTCTAATCCTCAAGCGGCACCAGCTAGCTACCCACAGCAAACCCCCCCAGTATTATTTAGGGGATTTGGGGAACAGAATCTTGCCAGCCAACCCCAAAGTTCTTTCCCGTCATCCATGACCTTTGGGGGTGCTTTTGGTACTAGTCTATTCGGAAACAGTTCCACAACAGCCGTTTCCCCAGGATCATCTACGCTCGCGAACCCATCCTCGTCTACGTCTCAAAGCCCGGCATTCGGCACGACCAACGGGTTAACTTCGATAACCTCATTGTTCAGCCCTGCAAGCACGACATCACCATTGTTCGGCTCCAAGAACACGTCGGGGTTTGGGTCCTCCCAAACCTCTTCAACCGCATCCACAACACCGGAGAAATGTAAGTTCACACACCAAAACAGCAGTCGTCGATCATGGCTAACGGCAATCACCTAGGAATAGACTGGAGCTACCTCCCGTCCGGAGAGACTCCATTTGTGGAACCTTTATTAACTAGTATTGGTTGCTGGTCTGGCCAAAAAGACCTCATGAAGCACATATGTGCTCAACCTCCATATGAAAGGTTCTCAGCGGAGGAACTGAGATGTTTTTCATTGGACATCAAGCCGTAGTCATATCTAGGTATAGATAAAGACAGAAGCCAACTGCCTAGGTCCTTACAGTTGTATTCTTCGAATGTCGGAGGTTTAATGTTGAAGTGTGTTGTGTACCTTTATATATTTACCGCTATTTTCCTCTACGCGATAAGATACTAGAAGATAATCATACACGTACTAGCACTTGATACCTATGTCAATAGAAAGGAGCAGCGATCATATCGCTAAACCGCATCATCTCCTCGCTATGACCCAAAGAAACGAGGCGTCAACCACATCGGTCCTTACGTCACTAACTACGGCCTCCAATCCACTCTCAGCTATTATCTTCAAAGTCTCGTCTTTACCCCAGCCGCTCCAAAACATCCAGTCATTCTCACCCAGCCACTTCTCCTTGACGATCGCTTCTTCCCCGCGTTCGGCAAAATTGGCCACCAGGTACCCGCCGGGCTTCAACCACCGCGCGATCTTCCCAAGCATGTCCGTCTGCTCGGCGCGCGGCAGGTGTATCAAGCTGTACAATGCGAGCACGGCGTCGAAGGACGCGGCGGGAAACACCAGCTCCGTCATGTCACCCTCGACAAGCGTCAACCGCTCTGAGGTTCCGGCATCGGCATCGGCATCCCCTCCTCCCTCGGTTACTCCGAGGAGGAGATTGCTCCGGGCGAGCTCGATCTGCGTGCCGGATATGTCGTTCGCGGTGACGCGGGCTTCCGGGTAGGGAGATGACAAGAGTAGCTTCTGCGTGATGGGGAGCCCGGCGCCGCAGCCGAGCTCAAGGAAGTGGGGTTGTGATGCAGGAACGGGACTTGGACCTGGACCTGGGGTAGGGGTAGTGGATAGAAGTTCAAAGAGCTTTTCTACGTACTCTAGCCGTAGAGGGGTGTGTAGCTGTGTCCATCGATTGTATTTCTGTGCGATGGCGTCGTAAGACGCTTTGATGCGTTCTTTGACGTCTTTGGGGATGGTTGTTGGGCTCATGTTTTGGATTTGAGTAAGATTCTTTTCTTAATACTTGAAGAGCTGTTCAAACTTGAAACTCCAAATTTTGAAGTTATGGATGTTACAATAGTACAGCTCGGCCTTGGAGACGCCGGTGAGTCACAATGGGATGGGGTGCAGAATTGGAGAATGTATTCCATAGGTAAGACAAGGGGAATTGTATTTATGGTATTACATATTACAACGTATTGGCCAAAAGTTGCCCTCTTCATTTAGTCCAACTATTCCACCAAGTCCTTTTTGAGTGTTAAAAGGTTGTTTTGAAAAGCAGCGGAGGGATATGAGCTGAATATAAGCACATTGAGTAGGATATACAAAGTATAGAGTTAAGCTTATATGTTGTAAGTCGCTGGAAACGTGGATTTTTGAGTACCAGTGCTGTCTTAGGTATGTAAACTCGACGCTGCACCCCTAAAGGGATGATGCGCTTTAATGAGGAAAACGAGCAGTAATAAGCTACCTCCTATAGTCTACCAAGTTTGAAATGCAAATAGGAGGTTATTCCGACACTTGTCGCATGCTAGAAAAGGAAAAGAAATGATGAAATATCATGAATGTTGGAAGATACTTTAAAACGCGTAGAATAACATCTATTTCGGAGTACTTCGAATCGTGTGCTTACCTATCTTGCCATTTCCTTAAATTAAAGCGCAGCACCCCTTTAAGGGTGCGTCGTCGAGATTATATAGATAGCACTAGGATGAAATAAAAGCTTCAATTGAAGCCATGTTCAATTTAATCTATCGTCATATAGCGAACGTAATACGGCATAAACTTCATCCCCGTAGCGAATAAGCATTACAGTTTCAACTCAGGTGGTTAACAAATTGAGAGAGCGTACATAACGAAGGGAGGTAGCCAGGAACAGTGGTTTGTATCACCTTACCTTCTGCAAGTAAGTTTTATTGAGAGTCTAGACTCAATACCCCTATAATGCAACATATAAATAATACAACCTTCCTTATGTACGCTCTCGTAAAAAGGCTTGGCGGACTTAAATGGTATATTCTCAGCTTCAGCTGCTTTCCTGGGATTTGGAACTCGTCTATATATTATACTATACCACGACCCGAACGAAGCAAGGAGAGAAGATTGGGATATAGTAATTAACCCGCGGTCTGCTTGGCTCAAAATTCAAGATGATGCGGCTTACTCTTATTCTGACATCTGCTGCCACCATTATGGCATGCACCATCCCTACAAGCCCACTTTCGAACAACATCGCCGAGGGCTTCTCAATCCAGGTACAGAATGCGTCGTTTCCAAACATCCATAACCACTTCTTGAATATCTGGGACTGGGGCGGCGGCGACCAACACCTCTTCGTCAGCCCCGCCGGAAATTCTACAAGCGAGCTCACGCTCGTCGACGGCGTGATCACTTTACTTTGGGACCCGCCTCGTCGCGCGGTCATAAATGGCGAGGTAAGTTGAACAGAACCCAAAATCTTTTCTTCTTGGCCTACCTACCTACCTAGGTTATGTATCAGGCATCAGGTAACTAACGAACTGCAAACGTACCTATATAGTACGAGGTGAAAGACAACACAACCAAGATGTTCATGACCGAACGCGGAGATCCGCGCGCTATCTTTGACGTCGTGTACGGCTGCAATCCGGACACGGATGCCTTGCAGACCGAGCTATCGTTCAAGTCTCGCGGAGACATAGAGGCCGGGGGGGATATCGGCGTCAGGCCGTTTAATGGCAATTACGACTTCCGATGGACGCCTGCGGGGACCACTGGTAGGTTTCTGAACGCTTAACAACCTAACCTACCTAATCTAAGTTATTCGTGCTAATGATCTCAAGCTTATGACCCTGATCGTCCATGGACGAAGGTGACTTTGGCTATCGTTTACCCTTAAAACGCTTGGTCAAGCCCCTGGTGCTAGGTAGATGGTTGGGAGGTATGTTTCGGACAAAGCTGGATCGACTTTGGGAACTTGAGAAACGTGACGTGAGGTAAGGGGGTGTAACTTGACAGTGAGCAAGTTGAGATAGTTTATAACAATCAAATTTGGCTGCATGCTTTATCCATATGTCAATAACAGCGGCTTGCTATCTATATAATGCCTCGTAAAGTAAATCGTACAATCAATATCTCATAATAGTTCCTGGGATTAACCCAATTAATCCGATCGTAGTGCTTATATATGAATACAATCTTGGTAGTTACCTTAAAACGCAAAGCTAGTACATAAGCTATTAACAAAAAAAAATATCGGTTAGGTACCTCTACTTCATACCCATTGGCGTTGCCTACGAAGTCCTTTCGGGGTTTTCTTCCTGGGTGAGTCTAAGTCTACGCGCGTAAGTGATGCTGCGAGTAAGGGGTCGATTACACCATAGCCCGCGCGCGACCGGAAACTATCATTTGTATAAGGTAAGTTATCGTCGTGCTTTGGGAGAGATGATTTGAATGAGTTAGTTACTGACCTCTGGAGACTCGTTAATTCATGAGTCCCTATCGGGTGATATAGAGACTTGTGATTCTTGCAAAACCGCGTACCCCCTACGCTCTTCAACCTACAATTCGGTCTACCGCATTTATGCTCGATGCAATAGTCACTTCCGATTTCTGCTTGCCCGGTACAGGACTTAGATGCCTGGCAGGAATGGTCGGAGCAGTACGACCCTCCTGGGACTCGCGAAAAGCCACAGCCCATCTCCCCGCAAGTGTGGTCTTCGCAGTAACTACTTCTCTTCCAGCGAGGCTTGAGGCAGACGGATGAATTCCACGAACAAGCGTGGTGGCGGCACAGACTCCCCTCGACCAAACTCGCCCTGCTACACCCTTTGTGGATACATGAGTGATCGTGGCAGTATTCACCGGAGAGTATGGGTTCGTTCACACACGACGCACTCCACCGACACGCATGTATGGAGCAAAGACCCTGAGCCCCTTTGCATTTCTGTTGGCAGCCCTGTTGTGTGCACGTGTGCGATTCGCAGTAATCCTGTTCCGGACCTCCACGACCGCGCAGACAGCCCGCTTCCCACGCACACACGTGGTCGCTGCAGAAAGAACTACTCGGGATACACGGGTTCCGGCACGAATCCTCGCGGCATCTATGCCCCTCGCAGCACTCCAGGTCGAGAACTCTAGGCAGCATGCAGCCCGCCGCGTACGAGCACACATGCCGCTCGCAGAACACCCTGTTCCGCATCGTAGACGCGTAGCAAGTCTCCCGGGCGCACGTGTGGTTCCTGCAGCACTCGTGCTCGCCCTCGTCGCTCTCGTCCCCCCAGAACCGCGACTTGGCACACCCGCGCCGCGGACACTCGTGTCGGGCGCAGTACGCGACCCTCGAAACCTCCTGCAGACACCCCTGCTGCGCGCAGGTGTGGCTCCGACACCGCAGCCCGACGCCCTGCTCCCCGCGGACCACGCCCCCCGCGCAGTCCCCTGTCGAGCACGTGTGGTCGCCGCAGTACCCGTCGCGCTGGAACGCGGGCTCCGCGCACCCGGCCCACTGGCACACGTGCCGCGCGCACCACGTCGACCCGCCCGCCGCCCGCGCCTGCGCGCACCGCGGCTCCCGGCACTTGTGCCGCCGGCAGTAGCCGCTGTCGGGGGGGACGATGATGATGCACGGGCGCTCGCACTCGCGCTCGCGGCACTTGTGGCGCGCGCAGTGCCGGAAGCCGGAGATCGGGACCGCCGCGCACCCTTTCGTCACGCACTTGTGCGCCGCGCAGAACGGGCTCTTCTCGAACCGTCGCCCGGGGCAGTCTTCGACCGCGCACTCGTGCCGCGCGCACAAGCCGCTCCCGCTCCCGCTGCGCCGCGCCGCGCCGCACCGCTCCACCTCGCACCGGTGGTCCGCGCAGTACTCGCTCGACTTGGAGAACGCGCGCGCGCAGTTGCCCGCGCGGCACCGGTGCTTGGGGCAGTACCGCGAGGGGGCGTCGCGTCTGCCGGCGCAGCGCTGCGCGCGGCACGTGTGCGCGGCGCAGTAGCGGTACGACTCCTCCGGGCTGGGCTCGTGGCACCCGTCCGTCTGGCAGGTGTGGTGGTTGCAGTAGTTCGACAGGCCGACTCGGGGGCTGTAGCACCCCCGCAGGAAACACTCGTGCGCGGTGCAGTACCGCCTCCCGCGCCCCTTTTCCCGGCGGCCGGCGCAGCTGGGGGCACTGCATTGGTGCTTCCGGCAGAAGTGGCTTGTCGTCCCTGTTGCTGCCCTGTAGCAGAAGGTCGATTGGCAGCGGGGACCAGATGCAGTCGCGGTCTCGGTTGCGGTGGCAGTGGCAGTGGCAGTGGCAGTGGGCTGCGGTGGTGAATCCGGTGCGTGGTACTCTAGCTCGCGCTCAAGCGGGCCCGGGATATATTGGTACTGCTGGTGCTGGTGCTGCTGCTCGTAAGGAGCCAGAGCTAGAGCTAGAGCTAGCTGACTGGCTTCGTGCATGTCGTCGTATTCAGAATAAGCCGGTGGTGGGGTCTCGGGCCGACGTGCGCGACGGCGTGAAGGCACCAATATAAGCCGGTGAGAAGGCATTAAGCGAATGGGTAAGTGAGCTTGCTGATTACTAGCTAGCTCACTAGCTACCTATAGGGGAACGTTTTTGGGGGAGGAGGAATGATTTCGGGTTTGGGAATTATCTATCTAGAAGAAAGCTAAGGATTTGGGGTTGCCTATCAGTAGAGCCCGATACGACAGGATACGGTTGTTCGGGAATCTCCTGATGAAGAGGCGAGTTTCTCGGGCGGCAGAAAGAACAGAATCCATCATTCAGGGATCCCAGAGCTATCTATTCGTTCGATCTGGGGGAGGCGGCTTTCTTTGATAGGCCAGCTGCTGCAGGCCGTTCTTGTGTCGTGGGGTTGCCTTGGAATGGAACCCCCGAATCCGGTTGGTTCGTGGTGTTTGTTGTGAGGCGCGTGCGTCCTGGCCTATAAGGGCCTCCGATTGCATAGCCATTCAGCAATGCCGATCATATCGTGAACTTTAGCTAGCTTAAAACGTCGCCAGTTTGCTATTTAGGTCCCTAGTTAGTTGCAATGTCTTGTCTTATATTCATAATGAATCAACCGTCGTCGGCTACGTATCAGGAAGCCATCCTCTAAAGAAAGATTGGTCAACTGGAAAAAAGCCTAATGTTACCTGATTTCGGATCCGGTTTTATTTAAGCGGAACTGACTTGGATATATCCATGCATTTGTCTTGTCTACCTCCTATGTACTCCTGAAGATTTCTTTTATCCAAGACCATATACTAAAGATAGCTTACAGAGATCTACAATTCTTAAATCACACTATACCCGCGGAAGCCTAGCTGTGGCATACAAGTCATCGGCGTTCAACCGGTCTACACCCAGAGCGGCGAGAGATTCCCAGAGATAATCGCCCGGTAAGTTATCTACGAGATATGTCAGTTTATAATCCTAATCCGAAGCGTAGTAGAGTGGAAAACTTACAGTATCGAACTTTAAGCCCCGCAGAGTGAGCATTCTGGACCTGCGACGAGACAGCGCTCTTCTGGTCCTGGCTGAAATCGTTCACGCTCCCCGGGTTCCCGACGGCGTCTTGGAAATCGGCCGAGGCGTAGTACGAATTCTTGGTGGTATACTTGCTGTCCCAGTGGTCTACGTAGGCGTCGAAGAAGACGTCTCGGTTGGGAACGCCGTCGCCTGAGTTAATCCGGTCGAACGGAGCGCTCCCGCTCGCAACGACTGTGATCTGTCTCTCGACGAACCTGTCGCCGTCAAGATGGCTGAGATAGCCGCCCTCTCGGAGGGGTTGGAGTGCCTGGACGACCGCGTCTAGGGTCCTGGAATCGGTGGTTTTGAAATCGATAAGCAGCGTGACGCTCTGTTCAGGTTTGGCCTTGTACAGGCCAACATTTCCAGGCGAACCGCCGTTGTTGTGGTCCAAGATCGCTTTCAGCGGCTGGACATACTGCACTGACAGAGTTCTTCCAGGAGTTGGAAGAATATGGCCAATGATAACATCCCCACTGGCGTAGAACACGTCGGCCTCGATTCCGATGCAGCCCGCACTCAAAGCCGAGTAAACGGGGATTTCCTGGGTATAGTCGTTATGGCTGTGGCAGTTCGTAGGCTTGACGCTGTTTATCGAGTCTAGTGGCCAGGGGTTCAGGGGTGGGCCAGATCCTTTGTTCACCGTCTGCGTTTCCAAAGCAGAGCCAGCAAACAATTTGTTGATGGCGTCTTGTTTCGGCGGTATCTCATTACCCAGAGCGTGGTAAGAGACGCCATTGTTCCCAACCTGCCAGGTGCCACCTTTCGTATCGTGGTTCTGCTCTCCGGAACATTGGCCGCCGTCGGCGCTAAGTGCCAAGAGATACTTCTTACAATCCTCAGCTAAGCTAGTGTTAGTATTCGACCTCATCCCGCATACTTCCGTTGTATTACTAACTTGAAATAGTATGATCCGAGCTCTCTTTGTTGTGAACCTCGACTACACACGAATAGATAAGCTTTAGATTCCAATGTACACAGCTATTCGATGAACTTACAGTAAACAAATCCCAGGACACCGTAAGTAGCGGGACTCTTCCCGTCGTTTAGGAAGACCTCCGTCGCGAGGGAGAGGTATCCACCAGGCTTCACCGTCTGCCCATTCGCTGCGCTACAAAAGGTCTGCACCGCAGTGCTGTATCCCCTGCGCTTGTCCGTTCCTTGCGCGATCGAGACATCATCCCTGGGTATCCACGCATTCCCACAGCTAGATATCCCATCTTTAACCTGCTTCTCACCCTGGGCAAGCGGGATAGACTGTGTCTTTGTTAGTTATAATCGTGAAACGGAGCCATCGAGAACTTAACGGCTAATCCAGCGACTGCAATAGCAAGCAATTTGAGCTCCATATCGCAGCGACTTTGGAAGAAAGCGAGACGGTCAAAATATGAAGATGCTTTGGGAAAGCAAAAATCTCAGAGTCCGCTGCAAACTTCGTAAAAGTCTACCTAATGGTCTAGCATGTGGTTTTATATAATACCTAACCTCAGCTACGGAGAAACCTCCGGGGGACAGCTAAATAGATTCATTCTTTTCCATGCCATAGGAACCAATAAAGGGGCGGATCTTCAGCCCGTGTGGCCATTAGGAGATCCTAGTAAAAAATAACACCTTCTAAAAGTAGATTACCGCGTGTTCCTCCCCGGTCAGCCTTCCCCCCACATACACATACACATACACGTCCATAACTGAGATTCGAGATGGGCGCATGCGTATTGGTCGGATATACCGACTTGGCATCCAATTGTATCTTTACATGTAAACACGATTCTTATAAGTATAAAGATTTGGTATAAATCTATTTCAATAAGTTGAAGAGATGTAACGTAGTTATATGAGATTATCACGATTGACTTACACGAATAGCGCGCATACGGTGGATCTTTGGCACGTGGATACATAATCAGGGGTTATATGGACGAGAGTATCTTAACAAGGAAGTTCGGCGAGAAAAATCCGGTACTAGTATGTGAAATGTCTTTTCCAAACATATACATTAGGTATCTTCAACTATAATCCTTCCTTAAAACTCAAATGTCCTAGTTCTGTACGCTGGCTTAATATGCTTAAGTGCCACAGAAAGGCCGAAGGATCCCGGATCTGCAGCTTCGGACTAAAAAGCTTAGCTCAGATCTGCGGTAACTGCCGCAGGGCGCCGAGGCTAGAAAGCTATTGCAAGTGGTGATATTGGCGTTGTAGCCTTAATTCCTGATCATGAGTGAAGCTTCTAAGAACCCAAGTCCCAGCACGGTGATGCGATAAGCGTCACTACGGCGTCGTGCACGTGCTACTGGACAAGAATATCCGATTCGGCGTATATACCTTATTCATTAACCTTGTGTCGCGCCGCTAAGACACGGATGACAGGACCCGACTTAGCGCCGCTGCCTGATTTATGATCAGATGACATGATCATTCTAAAATCATATTAAGACTGATTTCGGAAAGGCATCAAAGCGCAGTCTGATATACCAACTCAAAGTCATTTTAGTGTTGGTCTGATTGTAGGTAGATATTCAAACGGATGCCATGCAGTTCTAATAGTTTAGAAGCAAGCCAAACGTGACGACCCTGAAAACCCCAATCACCACGGTAAGAAATTTCAAAGTGGCCAAACACCGTAACAAATGCTTCCAAGAATTTCCTCGGTAACCCAGCCGTCATAAACCGTTGTGAACGCAGCGTAGGTAGGTATCAAATAAAATGTCCTTAATCCCGAAGCCCAAAAGCCAGCGGGCACGAGTTGCTCGACCCACGCGGACCAGCCCCCATGATGGCTCCAGATCGGCGCTCTCACAAAGACCTCGAGGGCTCGCAGGCCGTTGAGCAGCACGCGCCAGGACGCCGTGTCGAGCGCCGCCGCGCGGAAGAAGTGCCAAGGCTTGTCGTCGTCGGGCTAGGCGAAGTAGTAGGAGTAGTACGCAGTCAGGAAGGTAAGGCGCAGATTCGCCTCGCCGACGGCGTCGAAGGACCGCAGAAACTTGGACCGGCTCTCGAAGCTGACGTGGAACAAGTTGCGGGCGTACAGCACCTCGAGCGCCTCGTCGCTCAGCTAGCGGCACGTCTGCAAGATACCTGTTAGCGGGCAGAGTTGCTTGTCGTAGTGCGCGCATGCGTAAATCTTGCCGCATCAACCGGGCGCCGTTTCCTTTGCAAGCCGCCGAAGATGCCCAGCCGCTGTCATGGACCATACATGCGCACAGTAAATGGGTATTGTCTAGGCAAACAGGTGCGCATGGGTTTCATTTCGAAGTTCCAGGGGAAGGTTGACTATAGATCTAAAAGCGCTGTTATCACTACTAGAGTCATCTCCAGGCGTTAGACCTCCCACTACCTACTGTTTCTGACGTGATGTTAATTTTAGAGTGCCAATTTCATATACTCCGTGTTAGACATCCGCTTGAGGATACGAATGCCGTACATTTGGAGTAGGTTTGACTTGACGTCCGGAATGGCTTGAATAGAGTTTATAGATGAAGACGTCTGGCTTTGATTCGAATCGGTAAGGTACCTGCGGCGAATTGACTAACGGTCTCGAGCCCGTGATATGCGTCTACAATATGTGTAAAATAGTGTACTGAGATATGATCCAAGAGCAACGAGAGAGGTAACTTGAGTAATGTCATAAATCGTTCTGAAAATTACTTCACGCTATACCTGGTGTTCGAATCCGCTGTCTTCTCATCTGCTCGACCGCCTCGTCTCCGAACAGAGCCTGCACATCTCTGACATGCTCCTTCGCCAACTTGGCCGGCTTCAAGTCCTCGAAAGCCATGCTCCATACGCGCTTGGCCTCGTCGTTACTCGTGTCGATGGCGCTCACTCTACCCGCGTGCTGCGCCAACATCGGATACGCACTAATTCTCGCGAAGCCGTGGTTGTAAGCGAACTTCTTCGGAAGCATGTCGCTCCTACCGGGGACTGCGCGTCCGGAAGCCGTCATCAAGAAGTCCGATAACTCTTCGACGTGCTCCCGGTTGTAGACCAACGCCTGGTTGCAACAACCGAAAAACTCCTCGCGAACCCCTGGTGGCGAACCAATGAGAGAGGCTTTACCGGAGGCGTAGAATAGCCATAATATTAGCGGTACGGCGAGGCCGCATATCACTAGTAACGTCCACCCATCCAGGTGTCGAGCCAAGTGACGGGGCATCTTTCTACGTACTAGTAGTAGAACTAGGAGGAGCGGAATGGACACGGCGATGGATATAATGTGAAGCTTATTGCTTCTGAATCCAGGCCCGCCCGACCATCCAAAGCTTCGTTCTTGGTTAAAAAGACGTAGGTATAGCCACGTATTTGGCACGCCTGGATCGATTTTGCCCTTCTTAGGTTCGCGTCGCCTTGGGTCCTTCATCATCTCCTCAATAATTTGTAGGTTCCGTAGGGTCCTCGCTGCCCAACCGTCTGCGAGGAGAATATCTTCCTCGAATAGCGCAATGTAAGGGGCTTCGGTAGTCAGAAGACAACGATCGAGTGCGTAGGCGTAGTCATATACCGTTTTCTTCTCGAGCTTATGCTTATTCTGACGATCCTTTGTATACTCCATAAACTCGCGAATCTTGGCGTCTTTTTCTTCCGGGGGTAAGGTGGAGTTATAAGTGAATATTTCGTCGGCGATGCCAGCTGCCGATAGAGAGGCGTAGCTCTTGTGTTGGGTGTTGGGGTCCGGCACGTCGGCAAAGAAGATCTTCAGGTGAACGGTCTCCCTCTCGGCACGGGACATGTTGGCCAAGAACGAGCCCACAGCGCTATCGATGTACTGCCGACCATCCATAATTCTTCCCACGGTTATGAAGACGGCACAAATCTTGGGGGTGGGACCGGAATTGCCTAGTTCGGATTGCGCCAAGTCGGGGTCGGCCATGACGGCGTCGAGGAATTGCTCGGCTTCGGCCTGGCGCGTGGCCGAGTAGAAGCGGTCGAATCCATGCCTTTCCGAGAAGAATATGGAGAGGGGATCGCGGTAAAAGTAGAGCGAACCGTATATCGAGTATAGCGAAGCGATGGTTAGGAGCAGAAGCAAGGCGCGAATGCCAGGCTGGCCGAGAGCATCGCTCGCGATACGAGGTCGACAGATCATTGAGCAAGACACACCTTGCTGCTTACCTTGATGCTTCAATCATCTCGCTTTTATATTAGGTAAATATAAAATTGAATTCGATATTTTAAGACGGTTGGCTTGGCGATGGTGATGGTCGCTTACGATGTGAAGTTTGTAAATGCATTGTTTATGTTTTTAGTTTTAAACGGACGCTCTAAACCGTCGTGTTTTAACGAGATGATTACTGCTACCTTAGCTGTTAGGTGCTATTCTAGGTGCTATTCTAGGTATGAGCAGCACTAAAATTAACCTACCTAGGTACAATACAATACAATACAATTATACCAAAACCAATAACCCTACTTCAGTCAGTCAGTAATTCTACAACCAAAACAACAGTAGGTAGATAATACAAAATATATCAAAATAATTTTAAAAGTCTATACTACTTAATTGATATTTCTTATTCTTTTCTTACTTTTCTACCAACTTTTACAATTTTTGAATTCAAATTGGCCAATACCTATTGTATGTGGTGTTGGTTTTCGTTGGGTCAGCTGCTCGTATCATTTTCGTGACCGCCAGCCAGCCAGCTTGCATAACCTCGCAGATCCCTGCAAATCTAGAGCCTTAGAGATGGGAATAGGTACACGTTATGCCATAGGTACCTAGGTACTCTATAAGTTGCGCGTACTCGTATTATTCCCTACCTACCTGTAATTACTTCCTCAAGTGCGAACTAGGCACAATACATTGCTGGTTTGGTGTGCTGATATAAATGGAGTATGTACCCGTGCTTGGTTCGCACTTGAGGACATACCTTTACATTTACACCTCAATTATTTCGACTCTTTCATATGAACGCACCCCGGAAATCCAGGGTGGCGATGGGTTGAACGCATATGGCATGGGGCATGGGGTTTAGGAAGGGAATCGTTCAATCGTGCCTACGTCAGATATCGTAGCGTTGGCTTGGACGTGTTAGACAACTTCCTATGTCGAGCTCAATAACATGGCTTTTTCGAAAGCGTTTGAGTTGGGATTGGCATAAGGGGTTATCTGATCCGTTAGGCAAACCATCATCAGTATTAGCGATAGCATAGTAGTTCTCGTCCTCAGCAGATTCACTACATCAGTAGCACTAGACCCGATGCTTATAAACTATTAGCGTAGTACTAAGGCAAATATTCTAGGAGATGGTTTCGTTTAGTAATCTCCTGGAGCGTTGCGTTGGTATAGAGGAAACCGGCGAAGCCGCCGAGGCCACCGAAACAAGTCTTCTTAATCCTATTATATGCCTCCCTACCTGTTTCACGTACTTAACTACCGGAGATCTAGTACGTTTTCCACGCTTATAGAAGACATAGGGAAGCCCTCCTTTCATCATCCTAAGTTTCAGAAAATTTGTTGAAGTGGCTCGCGGACGGTCTTACCATGCTAGCTAAAGCCTCCCAACCCCTTATTTGGCAAGGGCGAAGTTATTACGTTCCCTTAAATCGCCGAAGTCTAATCACACGGAGAGCATCTCGTGGATAGAGTGTACCTAGGTAAGTTCGAGGGTATAGATCAAAGTCAGAAAGCTGCGACGACAGAATATAGTTGGTCGCGGCTGACATACAGCTCATAGTCCCCACTGGCACAACAAGAACGACCTGGTATGAAAGATTGGACATGCCCAGTCGAAACAAAAAAAAATAATATTTCGAGTCAGCGGGCATCCCGAGTATTTTCTTGAAATTACTTTGCAGACCTCTTACTCAAACCATTTACTACAGCTTCAAAGGTCCCGTCGGTTTTTGTTCATCAACTTAGAGTATCAGAGTACCCAGTCATTACATCAAACATACCAGCATACTCAAGAATACATCTTTGAAAAATGGCGTCGAACAAAAGAAAGGCGTCGGACTTACTCGAACGGATCCTGGACAGGTCTGGGCAACACGACTAGCTTTCGTGTGACTCCATTCTCAAGGAAAGGCTACCTGCAGACATTGTCTACTTCTGGAGGCCGACGGAGCAGGACTACGGATTCCTGTCGATGTGGTACCCGTCGCCGTTCCGCGACAGCTACTTCCCGAACAAGGTGTACCCGACGGCCGAGCACTACCTGCTGCACCACAAGGCGCTGGTGTTCGGGAACCAGGCAGTCGCCGACGAGGTCCTTGAGATCAACAGCCCGCATGAGGCGCGACAGCTCATAAATGAGAAGCTTGAGAATTTCGACCAGGCCGTGTGGGCGGAGCACCGCGAGCGCATCGTGTACGACGCCAACTGGCACAAGTTCACGGCGCCGCACCTGCAGCGGGACAGACTTGGGCAGGCCTGCAAGGTGTGGCTATCCATCTCGGACGAGGCGTTGCGGCACGAGACACGGTTGAGACAGGCTCTACTGGAGACGGGTGACAGGCAGATTGTCGAAGCGTCACCGGTTGATTTCTTCTGGGGCAACGGGTATTATATGGGGTCATCGTGCCAGAACCGCCAGAGATGGGGTCTCAATCTTCTAGGGGTGATCCTCATGAAGGTGCGACAACGTATCCGGGATGAGGAGAAACTGAGAAAGGCAATAGCGATCGAAGAGGACAAAGACTAGGAGTCCTTGAAGGCCCGCAAGAAGGCTTCCATTCGATTTAAGTTAGGCTGGCGACATCGTGTTTAATTAGAATTCTGGCTTAATGGGGGGAGAGGGGTGGTTGCGAGGTAAATAGATCGGGTTAGGACCGAGAATACTCAAGTTAGGGCTTGACTGGTTTTTTTTTTTAATGTATGTATCGTTGCATGATTACTGCTTTATAGTTAGTGTATTGCAGTTTTCCATGCGCGTCCGTATATGCACCTTTTTGTCTATCATACATTTGATCGTGCTGTCCCCGAACGCCTTGCCCGCCTTATTCCAAGGCCGCCAACTTGGAGTGGTGTGATGAGACCGCCTTTTACGGCCTCTATTCCGTCGTCTCTAATGGATATTGTACAATATTATATCACAGAGTTGAGGGGTATCTGCGTGTAGATAAGACAAAATATATGGTTTTATATGTAGTCCCTTCCGCTCTTTTGCATTTCAATCAATCTCCAGCCCCTGGTCTCTGGGTTGTTGACATCCTCGGGTGTCCTGGTAATGCCAATCGCATAGGTAACGAGTTGTACCTTGTCTTCCATGCCTGCAGCAAGCTCATTCGTCTTGGCGTTTCGATAGACGTGGACCTCCTGTGTCCGGCAGGTAATGATAAAGACAGGTATCTCACCCGGCTCGAGCATACGGGCCTTTAGGATATCGACATGCCTGATATCAAGAATCCGACCATCTGATTTCAAGCCAGCTTGGAGGTACTGCTTGGTCAAAGCTTCGTACACTGAATACTGGGCAGCCGAGAGCCAAATCTTCAGCGTCTCGGTATCACCTTTGACGTAAGCATCGAGCACCTCAGGTAAGATGTACTCTCTCAACTCCTGAAGGAACGGCTCGATCTGGAAATTAGGGTCCATAGAACGGAATTTTCGAATGACCATAGCTGTTTCGTTCTCCGCAAAGAATCCAGCGACACGATCAGTGATGCTCCGCGCCGTTGATATTAGGGGGTTTTCAGATTCGTTGTAGACGCTCTTCATGTTGAAAAGTCCTTGAACAAACTTATTCTGGTCTCGGAAATCTCGCCACGCCTCCTTCCAAGCTGCATCTTTATGCAGTGTAATATTTGTACCGGCACTAGACGTCGTTAGTATCAATTGCAATTGATTAATTACCTTAGTTATTAGACTTACTTGGGATCTTCGACCATTTCTTCGGCTTTGCCATGGATGGAACGAGCCTGCTTCTCTCGTAGTTCCCTGGCTTTTCTCCTCTCCTCCTTTTCGACCCAGCCACCATATCTTGAACTACTACCGTCGTCGATAACATCCTTGACATTCTTGTATGCCTCGGTCTCTCTTATCGGCTTGGTTGCTTTGTCCAATATATCGCCAGTTATGTTAGCACCTTTCCGAACGCCTTTCATGACCGGCGTCTCCCATGTCCACGCAGCACCCTTTCCAACCACTGTAGCCGAAGTCTTTAGCACTTTTCCTGCCGTTGATGTAACAGCACCTGTGGTACTTTCGTAAGCCTGTCTAGCGCGCCGGACGGATTCGCTTTCGGTGAAGGAGTGAGCCGAGTCAGCTAGCTGCTTAGTTGACTCGTTCCATTCTTTCGAAGCCTTAAACTCGCTTTGCATTGTTTCCATGAACACTTGCCATGGCGTCTTATCACCGTGGGGAGGTGGCGGCGGCAGATCTTCTTTTTTCTCCTCCTTTTTGTCATTCTCCTTCTGTTCGTCCTTCTTCTCTTCTGAGTTGGCCTTTGCTTCCGATTCGGCGTCTGAAGCTTTCTGCTCGGCTTCTTCCTTAGATTCTGCAGACTTGGGGTCTGATTTTGTGGATTGCGGGGCTTCTTGCGCCTGTCCCTGGGACCATTTCGACGTTTGGTGGAAAGAACGGGACTGTAAGGTAGCTATAGTTTCGGGGATGAAGGGCGATTGTAGCTGAGAAAGAGGCGAAAAAAGTAATCGAGAAGAGGTGAGTGGTGTTACATTATTGCTTGCGGATTTGAAGGTGTCGGCGCTCGACAGTAACCGCTTATACGCTGGAGCTCTATTACAAGAGTGTGCAGCGAACGAAGGCGCCCTCAGGAAGGCCGGCGGGGGTGCGCTCCTTGTAATTTGTCTTAGCGAACTCATTTCGCACTATTAGAAGGCGTCACAAAAAAAAAAGGAACCTCCAATCTGAGGAAAAGTGGAAGAGTATAAAAAAACCAGCTAGGAATTTCTTCGCAGCTGATGTATATGAAGGCGGGCGAAGCCGGCAAATAGAAAAATTACCTTAGGTAAAACTAAGGGACCTGAGGTACTTGGGTACTTCCAAATTGTACATCACCTAAGGTACGAAGAGGTACCTAGCAATTTAGGTAACATGACCAATCATATTCCAAGCCCAATTATGACCAAGTCCCACAGTTTTGAGAATTCGATTCGCCCGGTCCGAGATGCAATTCAATTCTCTTATCCCGTGCCGTCAAAATTTCTAGATTTCTATTAGCCGCGAGCCACGGCACACGCATACGGCGACAATCTCAACGTTGGTCAATTGACGCCGGTCTTGCCCCCTGAAGCAATACTTGAGGGCTTCTAGACATTACGTAGCCGGTCTATTTAACTTAATGCTTCTGCGATGAGCCGATTACAATGTCGCCTTTTGGCGGCCACCCGCACTCCCGTATCCTACTCCCCACCTACCCACCAATATGTACGCTCATTCTCCCAAACATGTTCGAAGCGGGACGAACCCAAACGAACCCCTTCGCTCCTTAGTATGCTGCCGCGAAGTATCCAGTCAACACAACCGAGAGGCCCTCCTCGTCTGGGAGCATCGGGCGGCGGCGATATGAGCGCGCTACAGAGAATATTGGCGCAAGACTCCATCGCGAAAGCGCGAAACCAGCCTACGTCGACCGAACAGATCCTAAGCAACGAGGACGAGAAAAAGGAGGATTGGGGACCACCGAATGAGCCCTTTCACTTCCACATATACTCGCACAAACACAATTGCCACATCACCGTAACGAAGCCGAACCGCGGTGCCATTATCAGCATGTCGACTGGTAATCTTGCCTTCAAGAAGGCTAAGCGTGGCACTTACGACGCTGCCTACCAGCTCACGGCATACGTTATAGATAAACTTCACCAGGGGAATTGGCACAAGAACATTACGGCCATGGAGGTTGTTCTACGGGGTTTTGGTCAAGGGCGGGAGGCTGCTACCAAAGTCCTCCTAGGCACTGAAGGTCGCATGTTGAGAGATAAGATAGTGAAAGTGTCAGATGCTACGAGGCTCAAGTTCGGTGGCACGAGGAGCCCCAAACCAAGAAGATTAGGCTAAAACAAAATAACGAAACAAAAAAAAAAAGTAGGAGTGGACAAGTTAAAACTATGGGGCCAGATCAGTTTATCATCACGTCAGTGCCAATGTGCATTTGTGTACAATATCATCCAGCAAATTTCATTGAGTATATGAATGGTTTAAAAGAGCGCGAAATGCGCCCTATGTAAACGACGGAGTGTGCCTTTGGTATCAATCAAAATTCATGTAACGCCGCCCTACCAAATTGCCGTGGCACCCCAACCTAACGCCTCGGAATGCAGACCAGTGTAATCCAGTGTTTTGTCACCTCTGTCACCTCTGTCACCTCCCCTATTCAAGAGATGCTCGGTCTACCAGATGACGGAGCTCGCTCGGCAGGTGGTAATATTCGTCCGCTCGAATCCTTTGCTCGACCTTTTCCTTTGCCGCTCTTGCTATGACGACTCAATTCTTCGCTAGCCCGGCTCGAATATCCTCCATCGTCATCGCTCTCTTGCGTTGCTAGTCTTCTTGCACTCTCTTCCCGAAGCATTCTTGTTCTTTCGTGGTCGTCAAGGCCCTCTTCATCCAACAGCTCACCATCTGCCGTCTCGAAATCAGGCGGTTCGATCCAGTCTCGGGGCACTACGCAGGGAAAAGCGACACCGATACTTGCCGCGCGGTTAAGCCATCCAGGCCCAGGCCGACCAGTGAGCTTCTTGCAGAGGTAACTGGTGAAGTGATTGCAATTTCTCGTGAGTAGATTATAAGAGGTGCCTAGGAACTCGTCGGAAGCATGGCGAATGATGGCGTCGATTTCGGCTTGAGTTGCGAAAGAGAACCCGTGCAGGATTTCGGTCCTAAAAGTACCCCCAGGCGGTTCGGTCTTGGGCTGTGTCCAGTAAACACCGGTTAAGCCGGGTTGGTCGTGACCACCGTAAGCATACTCCTTCCCATTTATCACGACGCCCGAATGTAGTAGAGAGGCGCCAACTGTCCAGAGGACTGAAGAGAGACGGCTAGGCTGTTGATGGTGGATATTTTGTCAGTAGTTACTCCACAGTATTATTTTTATCTGGGGTAATTGCTTACAGGTAATAGATCATATACATTGATCACGATTTCTGTCCTCGATAACGACAGAGTTGAACGATGGGATTGCCTTGATGTCCTGTGGGACGATGACTTCTTGGAAGACATATTTTGTATGTTTGGTTTGAGTGTCGACAAACGGAAGTATAGCGTGGTCGAGTACCTAACGTATTGGAGAGGAGGAGGAGGTACTTAAGTCTTAGGGTAGGGTATCTTATAATGTTGGCGGGGAGGATGATCTACATCCAAAGATAGTTTGCTGTAGTTATTGGTTTTTCTAGACGTTTTCTACTAGTCAAGTAAAGTGAATCGAACGAGAATATTCCTACGTTTACTATATGACGGAGGTTCGGAGAATCATCGTGAATAAAACAAAAAAGAAAAGGTTCACAAATAAAAGTTACGGTACAAATAAGCAGATTACGTTTACCCTCGAGGCAACCGCGAAAGACAATGCAATTGATACAGCTAATGTACCAGACATGCATGAATTTAGGTGAGGGAGTAGCCAACGGGGGCTGAGAGCTTTAAGCCCTTTAAGCCACATCCAGCTGACACTTAGACCAATAGTGTGACGAATCCGGCCGGGAAACCATTGCTCAACCGCCCGATTCTCGCTACGACGAGCGCTTGTCGAAGGCAAGCTGACGGCACAAGTGGCAGTCTACTGTTCGCAGCCGTCAGGCGAAAAGGTACCTCGGATTATGTACCTAGGTATTTTTACTTATACGGAAGGTGGGGTTTAAACCCAAGTTCCGGTATAACACGACTTCCGGATTCCGATGTAATATTCAAATTTCAATTTTGATTGGGAATCCACAAGAGCAAAGCTTTTTTTTCTTCTCAACCCTTTTCCTCTCCAACTGCCCCTCCAAAAGAGGAGAGGAAAAAAAAGGACAGGACAAGCTGTGCCAAACCGCGCGACAAAAAAAAATAATCACTGACGAGGTCAGCCGTCCAGCGCCAGTAATACCTTAAATAGATGGTTGTCAGGAGTTAAACAAATATTATAATATTTGTTTAACCTGATACTGAGGCTGAATCTTTCAGCCGAAAATCTATCACCGTGTCTTCCACCATTTCCTTTACACTTCCCTTCACTTCTCTACTCCATACTTTTCGATCTGTCGCAGCTAGCTCTGCCTTTCTTCCCTCCCGCGTGCCTAGTTGCACCACAGTATACATCTCCACTCGTACATACGCCAAGCGACGAAAAGCAATGCCTCCCAAGAAGCAAGCTGTAGAGGAGAAGGTCCTCCTCGGTCGTCCGGGAAACAACTTGAAAAGTGGTATCGTCGGTCTTGCCAACGTCGGCAAGTCGACCCTGTTCCAGGCTATCACCAAGTGCAGTCTTGGTAACCCTGCCGTAAGTTTGGGCTCATCCTACTTTCCCATTATCCAGCTAACCGAGTACGAGTAGAACTTCCCTTACGCTACTATTGACCCGGAGGAATCCCGTGTCATAGTTCCAGATGAGCGATATGACTGGCTGTGCAATAAGTACAACCCTAAGTCGCGAGTTCCTGCTCACTTAACTATCTACGACATTGCTGGTCTGACGAGAGGTGCGTCAACCGGTGCAGGTCTGGGTAATGCTTTCTTGTCACACATTCGAGCCGTCGATGCTATCTTCCAAGTCGTACGATGCTTCGATGATGCCGAGATTATCCACGTCGAGGGAGACGTTAACCCCGTCAGAGATTTGGATATCATCGCAGAGGAGCTGCGACTGAAGGATATCGAGTTCGTTGAGAAAGCTCTAGAGAACTCCAAGAAGAAGACTCGCGTAGGCGGTCAAAGCTTGGAATTAAAGAAGGCCAAAGAGGAAGAAGCCACGATAGAAAAAGTCCTCGCATGGCTGAATGACGGAAAAGATGTGCGAAAAGGCACATGGACCCCGAAGGAGGTAAGAGCTTTTTTTTTTTTTTTTTTTTTTTTTTTCCCTTTCTCTCTTACCATGATGAACAAGGGCCATAGCGCCTGATCTAATCCCAGCTCTTCGAATGCCTCAATAATTCAACGCAGAGTGCATACTGTGATAAAAGATTATTCTGATAACCCATCTCTTTCCAAATTTCATCATTACACCTGCGAGAGAACGCAGCTGACATAAGTTAATAGGTCGAAACCATCAACACTCTTTTCCTCCTTTCCGCAAAGCCGGTGGTGTACTTGGTCAACTTGTCAGAGAAAGACTATACTCGCAAGAAGAACAAGCATCTCGCCAAGATTGCTGAGTGGATGAAGGAGAACGCAGCGGGTGATCCTATTCTACCCATCTCCGTATCATTCGAGGAGCGTCTCACGCACTTCGCCACTGATGAAGAAGCTGCTGAAGAATGCAAAAAGCTCGGGATCGAGTCAGCTCTACCTAAAATCATCACAACGATGCGAAAGGCATTACACCTTGGTAGTTTCTTCACAACCGGTACCGACGAGGTAAGGCAATGGACCATCCGGCTTGGTACCAAAGCACCACAAGCTGCTGGTGTTATCCACACGGATTTCGAAAAGACATTTATTCAAGCCGTAGTATACAATTTCAGTACGCTCAAGGAATTGGGTGACGAGGCCGAAGTCAAGGCTAAGGGTAAGGTTATGACCAAGGGCAAGGACTACGTAGTAGAAGACGGCGATATCTTATTGATCAAGGCCGGTGCTGCCAAAGGTTAGAGAGCGAATATACCGAGATATGTCCAATAAGTATAAAGTCTAGTTTACTGCCACCAAACAACGAATGCAAAAATAAAGAGCAGATGATACCATGTCTGAGATGATTACTTTGTTTTGCCTCTTTCCCCTAAATCTATTAAGCTAATAGGACAATCTTGAAAGTTACTACAACTTTTCTTAAGTAGCAAATCTAGCTACGCTCCCAAATACGAGCCTGTCTCGACTTCCACTAACTATCTTAAAGATTAATTCCTCGTGCTTCCAACTCGTCCCTAAATTCAGCGATATCATACGCGAGGGGCAAGAACTCGCGGAGCGGCATGTCGAACAAGCGCTCGACCATGGCCTCGGCACGGTCTGGCGCCTCCTCGGCCGAGGTGTGCCACGGCTTCTGCTGCTGATTCTCGTCCTCGGCGTACTTGCCCAGGGTCTCCCGGACCTGCTGCAGGTCCGTCGGGTCGATGTCGGCCCCCTGCACGTTGACGAGGAAGTTCAGCGTCACCCCGACCGTTTCCAGCAGTTCGACCATGTTGTCGATCATGCCGACGCGCGCGGCGGACTCGGAGGTCTCGCCTTCGTCTTTTGCTTCTTCTCCGTCTTGGTCATTTCCGTCCCCCGACGATTCTTCCGACAATGATACTATTTCGAGGTCATCACCATTGTTGTTGTTATTGCCGTTACTGGTCCCGTTGGCCATTCTGCTGTGCTTCCGCTTCAGCGCCGCGGCCGCCGGCGTCAGGTACGCGGCCGCAGACCGCACGCCCTCCTCCTCCATCCACTTGTAGGTGGCGGCGACCTTGGCGCGGAACTCGGCCTCCTCCTCGTCGTCGGAGAAGTCCGGGATCGAGTCGACGGGCTGGTTGGGGACGTACCGGGGCACCTTGAGGGGCGGGCTCCCGTGGTAGTAGTCGTAGTCGTCGTAGGGGTCGTAGTCGGGCGTGTATGCTCTCTCGTTGTCTTCTTCCAGCTGGGGAGGTGGTGGTGGTTGTGATGGCGGTTCGTCGTCGTCGGCTTCTTCGATCGACGGGACCGGGTTCCCGCTTGGTCCCCAGGCGCTTCTGGCCACGCCGTCGGCGCCGATGCGGATGCGCTTGTGGAATTTACGGGATAGGGACATGGTGGGCTCGTTGCTACAACTACAGGAGAGTAGTGACGACTAGGGATTAGATTTTTATTTATTTATTTATTTTCCCCTCCTGTCACGGCTAGAGTAGGAAGGGGAAGATGAGATGAGATGGGTCTAGGTTGTTGAGAGGGGGTAAAAACTGAATTTCTTTGTTACGACTTTCTAAAAAGTATACCTCTCAGTTGAGAGGTCCGGCACGGTGCTGATATATACGTGAGTGACAGCGTACAATTCTTTGTCTGAAAGCGGACATGTTCTTTGAGCATGCAGTGCTGCGATCTTCACCTAACGGTGGGGACTTTCCGTAGTCTTCCGTAGGCATTGTGATATACATATACTTAAAGGCACCTAAGGTAGATCACCGAACGATTTCCTTGTTCAGTCACGTTTGCTCTAGGAGCTACCTAAGGTATATGCAGAGTAGGAGACGCAATCAAAAGAACATGGGCCATGTTCTTATAGGAATGTGGCGGCGTCTTACGCATTGCTTTTGAAGATGGAATGTCTTGGTCTACATACCCCTTACCTCACTTCATTTGCTATTGGCTATGGTGCATTCTTTCTTTCTTCGAATTACGCAGATGGACCTATTTTTAGTGCATTCTAGTATCAAATATCGCGTGGTATATTAATCGAATCTCCATGTTTTCTGATTGATAAACTTTCCGTCGCCCCCTTTTTTAAAAACACCAAGGCGTCATCCCCTATCATGCCAAATTGCCATTATAGGAGCTATATTATTTTCAATGTAGGTAGATTACACATGTAATAATGCGTTGTTTTAGACTTCTACCTTATATTGTACAGTTTTCTTCGTCCTTAAAGTTTTCATCCCTATCATTGTTTAAGCTCGTTTGCGATTTTCTACCTTAAGACAGTTATGCCAATGAACAATGCTAAGCACAATCCACACAAAAGGCCCTTGTTAGGTGGTCATAGTATTATATAGTACCATATAGTCTTTATAGTAGCACTGTCTCATTATTTTTACTAGCAGAAAAGCAGTACTCAATCACAGAGCATATTAGGTGTAATTGTGCTATGTCTAAGGACCTAGTTGGATTATTAAAGAAAATTCAAACACATTAGAGCCATCTGACGCAACTCCAGACCACTTTATCATCATTAACGGTACTCTGAGTAGACCTTTATCACAACGCTCCCACTCACCTCCGGGAGTAGGTATCTTGGAACGGTAGACTTTTCTATTACATACCCGCAACCATTCCACCAGGCAGAGTTTCAACCCCTTAGACAAAGTTAGCTAGGTCAGATAGATTATTGAGCAGCCGCATCTAAAGCACTTACAGTCGTCAATGTTGTCTTCGGCAACAACCCTCTCCTTGCTACACGAGTTCATCGCCTGGATATTCTGGTACTTATGTCTCCCATTATCTGGTGAAGATGTGGTGAAGGAATGAGGCCAGGGTTCACCAACGGATCAAGACGGTCAACTACGAGTTAGGCACAAGGGAATCAGATGAGAGCATAGCTAAGCGCAAAGAGCGCCAGTGTGGTAAGAGAAAGCCACTTCATTTTAACGCTTCAACTAAGGAACTAAAGATGAGGTTTCTGTTGGTTGCAGGAAGGAGGTAGTCGAGGCAGCACGGGGATAGGCGTTGATCAAGCATCTTTTATAAGTGCTGAATAGAACCGGACGATGACAAGGCTATACAAGTGCCGAGTTCCATTTCCCTGAATTGGGCTTCCAGAGACTGGGTCATGAATGCCTAGCAATAACAAGTACCCTCTTTGGGGAGATAACCAAGGCTGTTGACATTTATGACTATGAAATCTGTCATCAGTGGCCCGAGTTATCACCTGCTACGATATACACTGAACTGCACGATATCAAGTTGAAAGTCTTAGATAATGCGCTGTCTCAGCCGCATATGGTATCCTTCCAGACTCCTGGTATAATCTACAATGATAATCAATCTAATTAATCTTTCACCATCGAAGGTTCTCCCAACTTCTGAGGCATGTGAAAATGGGAGCAAATCTTTTCCTCAGATGTCCAGAGAATTTTACGAACCTTGAATTGAGGCTTTCGACCTCGTGCAATTTTAGTAGACTCGTAATTACACACGGCAACAATCTATTAATAACACTATCATGGACCTTGGCTCTATATACGCCGGAAATATGACAACGGTTTACTGCGGCAAAAGTCGACAATATACCCAGCCAATGACAAATCCCCTTCGCGATAGGCACCGCATCCTGATTCGCTCGTTGAGGACAACAGTTTCCCAAAAGGGCTATCCGGTTCCAACGCCTAAACCGAGCCTAGCCATACCCACGAGATATTGTCGCCAACCAGTGTATATCATCTTGTCATGGTGAGCGTAGCAAGGGATCGAAAATGATTCCCATGGTATCTTGTAGAACAGAATAGACTGTCGAACGTGGCCAATTCGTATACCTATGTCTTGGTCTTGAGCACGTCGATCGCATAATCAGGGGACGGGGCCTGCTGTGTCCGGAATCGCAGTCTATCCGCTGGATTGCCTGGCAATACATGTATTTCCTCCGCAGACTCATCAAGAACATACACGATAAAAAAAACAATACCAGTTATATCCAAATCACTCTACCAACCATGAGGTTCTCTACTTCCAATACCCTCATCGCAGGTCTATTAGCCTCCACTACCTTTGCAGCCTTCGACCAAAACCGCGGAGGCGCCGTTCTCAAAGCCCCCGAGGGCCAATCTTTTACCTCCGCCACCGGGACCTTCACCGTTCCTAACCTGAGCGGCCCCAACAAGCTTTCCATATGGGTTGCGATCGGGGACACGCTCGCGCAAGACGTAGTGCTCAATGGCGGCATCACCTATTCCAACGGCCTGACGTCCTTCGCCGGGTGGTTCCCCGCCAACGAAACGGACATCACCAGCGCTGTGCCTATCAAGGCCGGCGACTCGATCATCGTCACGTTGTCCGTGTCCGTGTCCGAGACGGATAAGTCGACCGGCACCGTTGTCGTCGAGAACACGACGCAGAACGGGAAGTCGACCCAGACCCTTCCCCTTCCGGCCAAAGTGGGAGACCCGAGCAAGTTAACATCGCTCGCGGCGGACTGGTTCGTCCAGGCGTACCAGAATGCCGGGGAGCTCGTCCGCGTGCCGCGTTTCGGCACGATCGCTTTCACGAGGAGCAGCGCGACTCTCGCGGACGGGGCTACGGTGGGACCGGTGAGGGCGGGGACGTTCGAGATTCAGGGCACTAGCGGGCAGATACATATATTCCAGGCATCACGGTTCGCCAGCTACAGTGAAGAGACTTGGGGGTGTTGGGAAGTGGAACGGAAAACAGGCAGGGGATGTTTGGCTATCGCTACTACCTCGATAAAAGATATAATTAATGTATATAAGGTATATAGTCCACGGGTTCAGCTCAAGATTTATCGATGATTTCCCTGGGTAACATCTACTCAAAATACCTTAGGTTAGGCACCTACCTGACAAACCACATAGTGCCATTTACATAATCTCTAGGAGTGTGTATCAAACAACTATATACTATACCTCTTACTTAACTCCAATTCCAGACACTTTTCTTCTACGATAAAATCAAATACACAATCCTGTATCCATTGAGGTGTGCATCATGCGGCAGCAATATATCAAGATCAGAAGTCTAGACCCCTTCCGCCGCCTACCCCCAATACAACAAGCCCAACGGCTATTCCCAGAATGCCATGCGGCCCGGTAATCACCTTACCTGGATACCTTATTTATAGGTGACGAGAACCGGGTTATGGGACGCCAAGCTACCCCCGGAAGGGACCTTTTTTTTTTTTTTTTTTTTAAAAAAAAAGTGGGGGGTTGGGGGGTTGGTGGGGGCGCGAGGAGGTAGGAAAGGGGGGAGACGTCACATTACCAGACCAAAACGCTGACTGGATACTTATGTACAAAGCAACTCCTTTGTTCCCAAGGAGTCTCAAGCGAGACTCCTTGCAGATACCTGCCTTGGATACATAAGGCAGGTGTTAAACGCGGGTACGTGGTGCCGAGAGAACATAGTGTAAAGATGGAGAATGTTATCTACGACGAATGTGTGCGAGGGGGCGGGTGGGTGGCTGAGTGGGGGTGCCGGGTAATATAAAACAAGACATGCATGCCTACCTATACAAACCGGTGGATCACTCGAATATATTGCAGCTACAGGATTGTGCCCCGACTTCCGGGTCGGGGTCGACGATACCGTTGGGATGTATGTACTGTATTTGTCTTCTTCGTAAGGGATATGTGTCGAGAATTTCTGTCTGTCTATATTTCAAAGGCCGGTTTAAAAAGGCCGGTTTAAGTGGAATGTATCGTGGTCACTGGAATGGTTATACTGAGACCTGGGTCGTTGGCATACTATTATTTCCAAAATTCCCGGCGGTTTCATGTTATAAAAGTGAAAGTGGCCAATATTCAAGAGAAAATAGACTTCCGTGAGAAGTTGGTAACTAGGTGTAGTTTAACGACTTAACTACATATGTAGAGGGCATATTTAATGTGAAGATTTGGATTATATCCCCTATGAATCTGGATTGGCATGAGGTATATATCAACTAGTAGTTAGTTCATTATGTCTTCTATGTGCTGTCCCAATTCAAGTCCTGTCTCTAACTCAACGGTACCAACTTTGAGAATACGAGGAGCTGTCTTTTATGCCGATGTCATTGAAGCTGGACTAAAATCAGAGTCAATAACTTAGGAGACAAACTAGGAGATATCCTTCTCAGAAAATATTCTAATCGGACAAGAGGAAACAGAAACACCTGGCTTCTATACCAGACCAATCGCATCCCTCCTACCGACTTATCATCTTAACCATCAACCAACCATTACACTTTATACAGTATATAGATCATGGACAAATAATTTAACTTGTTTATAATTTAAATACTTGCTTCAATATTAGAAGTACTAATTCTCGTTTATCACCTGGATATCTAGTGAGACAGGCAAGATTGGTCATCTAACCAACCAACCAACCAAGGTATGTAGGCCGGCCCAGCCCAGCCCAGTCCCCAAGTCCAACCCGAATATGCCCCGCATAAATCCGAATCCGAATCCCAATCCCATATTTCGTTAATCATGCCTCATCTCTCATCACTTATACCCCGGTAGCTTAGGTAGGTAGTCTCCATAATACCCCAACAAGTTTCGGTAGGACCAGCCCAAAACCCGAACTTGCTCTTAATACATAGCCAAACCCCATTGGACAAACTACAACTTAGGTAGGTCGCTGAATTAACAACCGCCGTACCGCACCCCCCTCTTCCCAAGCTCCTTCCGCCCCACCGGCTCCTCGGGGAAAACCCAGCCCCGGGCGCGCTTCGCCTCCCGCTTCTCCGCCAGCTGCGGCTGCGGCATCCAGTCGTCCCTCGGCAGCGCCTTTCTCCTCGTGCCCTCCGCGGGGGCGCCTATCCCCGCCTTCCAGGGGACCACCGCCTGTCCGCTTTGGCCCTGGCCGTGCCCTTGCCCCAGTCCCAGACCCAATCCCAGGCCCAGGCCGTGCCCGTTGACGCCGTCGTCGCTAGCCATGACGCACAGGCCCCAGAGCGCAAGACACGCCGTCAGCGGCATCTCGTCGCCCTCGTCGCGGGGCGACGAATCGGCCGTCGCCGCGAGCTGCACGCTGGCGACCTCGAGGAAGCCGAAGTGCGGCGTCGCCTCGGCGCCGTTGCGGCACACGACGAGCTCGATCTCCGTGAGGATGAAGCCGTAGCGGGTGCCGTGCTCGCGCATCGCGTGGTGCAGGTGGGCGAGCCCGCGCAGGTACTCGACGCGCTTGATGTTGCCCTCGACGCGCATGCCCGTGTTGAAGCGGTCGAACGACTTGACGAGGCCGACGACGCGCGCCGTCGGCTTGCCGCCGAAGATGGCCGCCGCCGTGGAGGACTCGCCAGCGACGTTAGCCACGAACACGTGGTCGTTGGAAGACGACGAGCTGGTCGTCGCGGTGACCATGGTAGCTTTGGATGAGGGGACGGAGAGCTGCACGGGTCGCTGAGAGGAAAGCGCGAGAGCCGAGTTGAGCTTGGGAATGTAGTAAGAGGCGTAGATGGCGTGGAGCGCGGCCTCCGTCTCGGGGTGCCGCGCACCGGTCGGGGGCTGGGGGAGGAGTGGTTGTGGGACCGGGCAGTCTAGGAGTCCAGATGCACCGGGGAGAGAAAGAATGGTATTCAAGTTGAAGCTTGTCCAGGATCGGACTTGGCGAACATCCCACCAGAAGTGCTTGGTGTGAGGGTCTCGCATCGGGAACGAGATGGTCCGCACCAGTGACGGGGCAGGATTGGATGTTGTGAGGTAGTTCATGAGAGTGGTGGATGGGGTAGGATCAGGTGTGGGTGTGGAAGAGATGCTTAATGGAGAAGGGGCGCGAGGCGCGTAGCTGTAGAAGAACTGATCGTTCTGGGGTTGGGGAACAGCCGAGATGTACGACGGCATCTGACGGTAAGTGGGAAAGCCGAACTTCTCAAGCGTTGCACCGTCGAGGCTGACAGCTGAGGCGCGGCGAGGCTGGTTCATGTTATCTTGAGGGAAGGTAATGGGAGAGCATAGAAGCGATTGAGACAAAGTATTTTGATCCTCCTGGGACGTAAAGAATGCGTTTGAGAAGTGGTGCAGGGTCTCCGGGTTAGTGTAGCTCCGTGTGTGCGAAGGGCGGAAGCTTGCACGGCGGCTAGGCTTAGGTGTAGGAGCAGGCGACGTCTTGACGCGCTTGGCGGGCGAGTCGATGGCCTGGTCCTGAGAGCGGATCTTGGGCAGAAGAATGGGTCCATGTTGTCGGATTGGAGGTGGTGAGCAAGACGGGGTAGAAACCCGCGTGCTGACCGAGTCGGGGGGCGACGTCTCGGCAGTAGAGCAGAAGGATCCATACGAGCTTGAGCGAGCATGTCCGGGATGATATGAAAATTCAAGGAGAGACGGGTCAAAGTTGAAGCTCGGCGGCGTGACTGGCTCGCATGAAGGGAATGTGAAATCAAAAGACATGTCTGCTGCCAGACTGCGGGAGAGAGTATTAGTTATTACGTTTTCTATAATGAGAGAGAGCCAAGGGCTCCTTTAGACTCACGTAGCCATGTTGATAGTTGGATATGAGTGTTCTTATCTATTTAGACAAGAACTATATGATTATAGATTATGAAGTGAGAGTGGATAGGATAGGAGATCCGGCTCCTTGGTATTTGGTATAAGGCAAAAAAGCACTGGTGTGAATATCTCGCTGATGTTGCGAGGTTAAGAGGAAATATCAGGTCGGGTAGCCAGCGGCCTGCCTCGAGACAAAAGATCTAATGAAGAGGAGGATGAAAAAGAAAAGGCTGACCCTATTCGATCAGATAGTTTTTGATACTGAAGAACTAGAACAGAAAAGAGAACGGAATGAAGAGGAGGACCGGTCCTCTTATCCTCGAGTGAATGCGGCCGGGCCACGATGAACCGGGATACCAATCAGCTCGGCGGAGCTAGGCTTGGGCTAAATGATGATGTATTTTTTTTTCTCTTTCTGCAAATGCAAGAATGGCCAACCTGAAACATGGAGAAGGAAAAGAAAGATTCGGATGTAGGTAGTGCAGTTTGTTGGATGAATTGGGCGCTGCGTGTAAGTGGATTTGACTCGAGGTGAAGTTGGAGTGGTACGTACCGAAAAATAGAGAGAGGACGTTGTAAGGTACCCACTGCCCAGGTCCATCCATGTCTGCTGTGTGCTGTGTATCCAGATACAGTGGATACAATTAACGGGTGGGTCTCCGAGTAGTCCGCCCCGTCTTCTCTGTACCGCTGCGCAGCGCGTACAGGGTCGGAACAGGCTTAGCAAGTAACCATCTCAATATCTTTTTTAGCGCAGAGCAATAAAATAGCATATTATAATATTATACTGTAAAAACGTAATCCGATTTGCACGTTAGGATCAGCGTAGAATGGGCGGCTAAGTACAGTGCATTTTACATAGTATTCAAGTTTTCAGTTATTTTTTCTCTTCCCTTTCTATAATAAAATAATAAATAATAAAAAAAGAAAGCGCCAAGACTTCAATCGTGGCTACAGAAGAATGGGCCTATCAGATCTGACAGCCTGGGGTCTTATCCAGAGACTATACCTAGATCCTTAACTCTTTTCGGTCCTCCATATTACTTCATATGGCATGTATATGGTATGTATATGGTATGTAGTTAGTTTTGGTATCTTCTCTTCGCTTGCAACTCGCAGTTTAAAATGCAGGGCTATAGGTATCGGCATATCCAGAGCAAACCAACCCGAGAATCCCGACATCGTGACTCATAATAGTATCAGAGCTAGACACATGTCATATCGTGCATTAGTTCGGCTTGTGGTCCTCGAATTTGTGTGGAGCAAGATGCATCCCCGGGAACAGGCTTCTGCATGTATCTCTTGTATCTCATGTATCTGCAAGGCGATAGAACGCGTCTGCACGCTGCCATTCGACGCGTGGAGGGCGTCATGATCGTGAATGGACGTGGTTGTATGTCGACTGTTACATGCGACCGTGTCTTTCTGAGTTGCTATAGCGAACAATATCACAACGCACAGCCACTTGTTTCTTGCCCTGATACCAAGGTTGATAATTATCACTCTTCTGTACGGCTTAGAGCTCGCTTATTCATTTTCTATCTATCTACCTCTTATTTCCACCATACGTCCTCGTGATGCATGCATGCGTTTAGATTCTTGCTTCCAGTAGACGACGTCTTTGGAAATTCGTCTCAATGCGATACGGCGAAAAAAAGAGGCTGCGCGCATGATTTCTGCTACCTAATTTCACAACCGCGTACTCCGCCACTGGGATGTTGAAGATCCGAACTCCTCTTTTTTTTTTTTTAATCTTTTCTTCAATAAGAAGTACCTAGCAAGCAATACGGTATGTCATATTGTAGATCTGATGATGGGATCTTGGGTACCTACCTAACCCAGGGTATTTCCACTTCGCGCTTGCGCTTGATTGACGAGATTAACTATTTCTGTTTGCCGCTCGCTAAAGATTAACATTTTGCCGACATTGACAAAAATAGGTATCGAAATGTGGGAAATGAGAGAGCACAGACCGAAGAACAAGACCGATTATCGATCTTATCTGCTTTTCTTTTTTGGGTAAGAACTTAGAAGTGTGGGCGGCTATGGATGGTTGGGCGGCAGCTAGAAATTACTGCGGAGTTTTAATCCGGATTTGAAAAAACAAGGTGAGCTGAAAGTGGTGCAAGGTGACGATACGGGACGTGCGTTCGGTTTTCCTATGTTCCGTATAAGTAAGTGATAGGCAATGTGTGCGTTGTTGCAGTGCACCCAAATTCAAACCTTCAACGGGCAGAGATGGGGCGAGGCGACATGATGGCCGAAGATGGTCCTATTGGGCTTTAAACACCGGGGTTAGATAGACTTCATAGGTTCACTTAATTAAATAATACCGGTATTAGATGAAAGATGTACTACATCAATTGAAACGGCAGCTTCAAGAAGCGTTCCAGAACTTCAGCGAAGTATTAAGTTGTTCCCTATATTGCCTCGGCGGTTATAGACAACTGCCATGTCACTATTGTGTGTAAACTTCCATCAGGTACAATACGTGTGATTGTCCTCCTTCTTTATGCCTCTATCTTATTTGCCTTTCTATTTGCCTTACTTCCAAAAAAGATAACCTGTTCTTATCGATTAGTTATTTATTGATCAACCATGATCTTGAAATTCTTGAACGGCCGAGCGAACCCGCAAGCGCCAGACCTAAAATAAAAAAAAGTCGACGCGCGCCTAAACATCATCCGATATCGTCAGGCGTCAAGAAGCATCCATTGCGTGCAGCGTTAGTGTTCGGTACGAAGTTACACGAGCTTTGCACTTGCACAGCCCCTCTTCCGCCCCGGCGCGTAAATTGCCAGTGGCACGGGCTGCCACAAAACGACAAAGACTGGACTTTGGCTTTTTCCCCCTCCCCCCAAAAAACAATAAACTCCGGGACCATTCCCTCCAGCAAAATCGGCCCCGCCCCCGCGACTCGATTCGCGGCTCGGATGGGAAAAGAAAGCATGGCGCGCACAAAGCTACTTAATTCGCGGGTCATCAACGCGCTAGTGTTAGTTGCGACCAATCGGCTCACGACATCTTGTTACCCACAAGAAAGTACCTTTTCGAACCGCGTTGAAGACGGTTTATTGGCCAGGTCAGAAAGTAAAGTAAAGTAAGCAGCCGGGCAGCCCAAGTCAGGTAGTACAATGGTAAGGTACCTACCCAGGTACCTAACCTAAGGTAACCTAAGTTCCGTACCCAAACGGTAAGCTAGAAAGAACAAACCCAGAAAGAAGGGAAAGGGAGAAAAGGGAAGGAAGAAGAAAAAATGTTTCGTTTCAGATCTACACTGTCGGGACCGTTCTCGTTCGCTCGGAGCCTCTTCTTCCCCCTCCCTCTCTATCTATCTAGCTTATCTGCATCTGCACCTGCAACGTCAACGTTCACAGGTGAGTCGAGTTGAGTTGAGTTTGAGTGAGTCATCTTTCCTAGCCCTCGCATGCAGATATGGACCAATCCATTTGTGTTTTGTCCTATCCCGTCCTGTCTTCTCTAGCTGTTTAGCTGTCTAGCTTAGCTTTTCTGCACGATAAGAGGTAGATTGTATATTGTGACAGGTAGATATTCAAGATGATGAAGAAATTACTATGATGTTTGCGGCACGGCGATCTGGTCGGAGGAGGAACTTAAAAAATCAAGTGGCTGGGAGTGACCTGTCCTCGCGACCCTTTACGAAAGATGCGTTTGTCTTAGATATCGAGGCTCCCTAACCTAGGTAGGTAACTAACCCGCCGAGGTCTTAATTCTGCCGAATCTCGAATCTTCAGTGGTTGCTAGGTGAGACATTTAGAAACAGTATCAAGGCTATCATGACCTGTCACGTCTTCCGATTAATTGACTAATCAGGTAATTCGGCACTACAGCTCCTTACCTACGGTTAGGTTAGGTTAGGTTAAGTTAGGTATACATACCTTGTATGACTATATCAACACATATATAAGGTACTGTAGTATACGGCAATGCTAAACTTTGTTTCGTTTGCGCGGCTGACCGTTCTGCGGCCGCGGCTCTAGACCTTTCCTGATTCTTCTTCTCTAGGTAACTAGGCCTTAGGCCCCGTGCCTTATAAGCACATTCGTATATATATAAGATGGGATGTGCCGCCTCGGCCGCCAAGGCGAAGCGCTCGCTGGCTTCCTCGGTGGCCTGGTCCGTTTCAAGTAGCACGGCCGCCTTCAGGTAACTTAAATGGACGTCTGATGTCGTCGTAAGCTGTATATATTAGTTAGGTCGGTATATATAATTTCCATGGGCTGCCTCCCTTCTTTGTCCTGTCTGTCAGTTTACTATCCCATCGGGCACCACACCACTGCTGAACCGGTATCAGAGTTAACTAGGAGTATGTATGCGCACGGGTAGAAGAGTATCCGAATGGCATGCATGCATGGCCAACGTGGCTATGATAACTGCATTAAGTGCTTGCTTGGTTGCTTGATTTGCTATTCAAAGTCCACCCATCCGGGACGTCCCGGGTCAAAAGCTTCATGATCGTTGCCAAATACCTAGTCTACTCTATCCGCGAACGCCACGCCCATTGTACTAGATTCGTTACCTACGGTATCATCGCCTTCGCCATCGCCAACGCCAACGCCAACGCCGTTTTCCATTGCTGCGGCATTATTGAGATTAATTCCCGACCCATGAGACCGATCGTTAAAAGTCGAACCTAAATCTTGCAGTTTCCTTTGCGCCCTACGTAGACCATGTAGTCGCTCGCGCTCGAGGATGAGCATTCCTCTAGCAAACTCCTTTATAGCCCTGCGGCCCATACGCTCATGCATATCTTCCCACCCCGCTAGCTCGCTTGCTACGGTTTGTTGCGTATACCGGAGCTCCTTACTTAGAATATCTACCTCCGTTTGGGCCTGCCTTGCTTTTTCTTCTCTTTCTTCGTTCAGACGTTGGCGGGTTTCGTCAAGCAGCCCTAATGGCCATCTCGTCGAACGCGAAACATAATTATAATTGCGTTCGATTGCCTTGCGAGAGGATACTATTTGGGTTACGAGTTGTAGTGGCCGGGATAACGACGACAGCATAGCTTGAATAGTAGATTGGAGAGCTGAAAAAGAGTTGTGAAATATATACGATGGATTAGATTGAGGGGGGATAAGAGCTTGGACGTAAGCTTCGAAGGCAGAAATATGGCTTTGCGGTAAAAATGCCAGGTTCCTAACCTCTCGCGAAACCAAATTCGCTGCATCATAGAAATCTGTAGATGTATTAGTATCAGATCGTGATTTTGATAATATTATTTTTCATACCATTCGTAACGACGCCAATAGCATTAGTCCGCCGCGCAACGCTCTTAGTCGAGTAATTAACGCTGCGAACCATATCTCGGGCGTGTTCCACAAACTGTTCTACTTCGCGAATATCTTGAAGAGGTTCCAGCTCGTCTCGCACCTTCTCAGCTCTTGTCTCAGCTTTGAGCTTGCTCCGCTGTTCTATCATGTCCGGTTGTAGATCGGGCACTAAAAAGAATTCCCAGAGCATCTCGTGTGTCGCGAAGGTAGGATGGGCCAGGAGGATCTTAAGGAATGAGTCGGCTCGAACTTGCATGTCCTTCAAGACGGCTCTCGAAGGTTTCGATGGGATCTGAAATGGTGATCGTTGGCTCGTGACTTTTGGGATCCACGATGCAGGGTTCTCGATAGAAAGTAGGTGTGCTAAACGTTCAAAGTCTGCAAAAGAGCGACGACATGTGGTGACCGTATAGCTTTCGCTATCTGCGGGGGCTCCTGATTTGAGGACTAACCGAATGGTAGCGTCTTCCACGAAGAAAGATCTGACAACACCAGTGATACGGCCGTCCTCAGCAGGCGGCATCGTAAATAGTGTCAAATCGTCGATTCTATTTCGAATGTCGTCATCTTTTGCCAATTCAACTGCAGTAAGCCCACGCAGTTCCTTCGCGGCTACATCTACCCTCGGGTCCGAGTACATGACCCTAACCATCTCAAACCGACCGTACTTACTAGCTACCATCAGCGGAGTGAATTTCCTATCATTTGTGGCATTGACATCAACGTCACACTGTACAAGGATTTTCACTGCTAATTGGGGGTCATTGATGATATGCAAAAGGGTATTCCCCTTCAAGTCAACATGATCGTCTAGATGAAGTGCCTGGCCGTCGCCCTGTGCAAGTGTTGCAGCTTCGATACCGGCCTCGACCATATCGTGGTAATTCTGATGGTCATAGGACCGACAGAGCGCGAACAATGGTGTTTGTCCATTTCTATCTTTTTGCCGCCAAGGGAGTAGCTCGCCGATGCGACCGATTAAAGACGGCGCGTGGAATAGGTAATGTGCGACGCTTCGCCCCCTGACGTCCTGCAAGGATAAGTAATTTCGAATCTCCGGCTCTGACGCTGAAGCTACCACAAAGCCCAAAATAAAATCAATTAACTCGGCGTGACCTAGCTGAACGGCAGCACTCAGCAGACTAGTGCCTTCGTTATTGCAGTCGTCCAAAACGATACGAGCTGGGAAATAATCTTCGAGCGAAAGTAGGTATTTAAGCACTTCAGGCTGCCCGTTTTGAATCGCCATCATCAGGATAGACTCCCCACGAGAGTCTTCGGTTTGGCAGAGCCTTTCAATTGACGTATCGCCTTCGAGGCCACTTCCAAAAGTAGCAATGCTACCTGCCCTAGAATGATACGAAAACTCGGAGCTGCTTGACATACTCCTGGTGTCCAAAGCAACTCTCTTAACTTTCTTAATCGGAACCACTGGGGGATCTTCTCTCAACTGACTCTGAAATGGGAATACATGACTCAGCCCTGATCCTCGGGAATATGAGTCTGACGGTGTAAATGCTGTTGAAGACCTCCTGGAGGAGCCGTTGGCCATGCTCCAGCTGATTGACGGCGAGCGAGTCGAAACCGGAGATGCTACGGGTTCTTCGCCAAAGTCAAAATCAATAGCATCTGGATCTGGTTCCATCATCTTTTTGAGCTCAGACATATTACCTTTTGCAGCCGCATCCCAGAGACTTTTGTTTCGACGACTTGCTCTTCGCAGGCTACTTGAGTCCATGGAGAGATATGAAAGTACCGCTTCGAATGTGCTCAGGGCATAACCTAACTCGCCGCTGTCTACATCGTCAATAAACACGAAATGCTTTATGTAGAGTAACCTGGCTTGGAGGTGCTTTACACCAGCCCGGATAACAATAAAGAGGAGCAGCGACACCAGCGTATCAGCGTTGACAGTGAGGGACGCCTTTTCTACCGTAGTGGAGTCGGAACTTTGCTTAGGCTGCTCGGTCAATTGTGTGGCAGCTTTGATTGTTGATAGCAAGATTTCCATCATCTCCTGTGGGCACATTGCCAAGTTCATCCTGCGAAATTCTTCGACGGCGTGACCAAGTCTAACGGTAAGCGCATGTTTCGCCCTTGGGCCGCCTTCAATGAAAATGCCTAGTTGTGAGATATCAATGAATTCCATTTGTCGGATCTTCGCCTCGAGCTCGAGGTCCTCCGGTCGTCGCATCGCAGCAAGCCGAGGCCATATGAGATTATGGGCGTTCTCGGCCACGTACCGTTCTATTAAACGTTCGACCACAGGCCCAGTAAGATCGGTTGTTGCACCAAGCATAGAAAGTTGCTGCTTGTCAACACTTTGAAACAGATCGATAGCACTTGTGACTGCCGTCTCAAGCGAGGCTCTCATAGCGTCCTCGTCATCTTCAGTATAGAAACTATCAGTTATTCGGGCACTGTCATCGTCGTTTATGCTAGCTCTTCGTGCAGAAAGGCTATTAGAGCGCACCTGCTTCATAGCTGTCGCGATAGGGCCATCAGGGACGGGATCGGGAATGTGTAGTGCAGATGGCGGAGGGGGTAACGGCCTCTCAAAGACTGTCGTAAACTCTCGAAAGAGCTTTTCTAGGCCGGAGTGCATCTGCCTTGCAATCATGGGAAAATTGTTGAGAAGATCGTGAAAGCTCTTTATATCCTTCTTTCGTGGAGTACTCGGCTCGCCACTCTCGACGGCAGCAGTTCGCTTAGCTTCCGCAAGCTTGACTTTGGCCATGCCTTCGTAAAAAATAGCGCGGGGCACTTCTTTATCAACCCAGACGCCTACAAGAGGCCGCGAGATATAATATATTAACCATTGTCGCGGCTCGATGCTGTCGGCATACCAGAGGGTATCATTCAGCAGCTGAGCTTGGGCGAGCGTTTTGAACCCTGCCACGACGACGATTAGAAAGATGTTTAGGAAGAGCCGGTGCAGCTACTTGGAGTTTCGCCTACCCTTATTACTATAGATAAAAGCATCTTTGATAACAACGCTTCGCCCATTCAAAGTCGAGTATTGTTTCGCCTTGCCCCTCTGCTCACGCAAGTTTCCGACAGAGTCCTTCCCTCCCGCAGCGGTGGCCGGGCTGGGAATACGGAGTACATGGCTTCCCAGAAAATCTTCAGACCCAACAATGTCTGACAGAGATAGGCCGCTTTCGGTTTCGCGGGAGGTAAGGAAGAATTCGGTTGTCGGAACTAGGAGAATATGATGATGTACGGGACTGCACTGGGCGACAATGGGACTGCCGGGCTTGAAGAAGGCGGCTAGGAAAGGATTCAGGGGTTGCATTCAAGCAATCGTCTCGTCCACCAGAGTCTCTCAACCATGTCTCCTTCCCAGCCTTGCGCCAGGAGATAGATAAAGTTAGTTGTGGTATAGGAGACAAAGCGCGAAAGACACTTTGATGTTGATGTTGATGTTGATATTGATGCTGATGTTGATTCTCGCTTGGCGCAAGAGGCTTTCAATTCACGAAGCGGGCAAAAAGACTAAAAGCTCTCTTCGTATTACTACACATGAAATTGGCTCAAATTCAAAACGCGCGCGTTAAATTTTCATGTAAGGAAATATGCGAGAAGGATAGGTCGTTCGGATCGTTCAGGTCGTTGAGAGATGAAAGTTAAGAGAGTGTGGACAGACGTTGCGCATTAAGGGATGACGACAAGCGCAGGATAAGCTGTCAAGGGCTGGTGAGCTCCCCAAATGACCCCTGCAGCCCTGGCTAGCCCTGGCACTACTTACCTAAATACCTAACATGGCAGGTACCTCCGTTAGACAGATCGCCGCCTAAACTTCTCATTTAGGCGAGTGAACTTTAATATCGCCGATCTTTAACCGTTCCTCCCATTTGAATTACGGCTGACGTCACCTAATTACACTCCCCTCGGCCACCCATTGACAGCTGGCAGAGAAGAATGTTTCCATACCTGATATCCCAATATCCCCAAACAACAACAAATAAAGAAACCAAGCAGTCAACCCCGAGTGGTTAGCCAATTGGTTATTCATAGCCATCTAACAGCCATGACTTGCCGCCTGCTTCTTCATCTACTATAAATTTGGGTCTTGACGGCGCTGTATATATCGAATGCTCGATGGAGCATACCGTGCGCCCCGATGGCTTCAGCACGATGCCAATCTCCTTAATCAATCCAGCAATGTTCGCGGCATAGTGGAAGGCCAGTGAGCTAAAGACGAGGTCGTATTCATCGTCCCCCAATCTGAGTTCTTCCAAACCAGCTCTTTCGTATCTGATCTGGTCACCACTGGTCATTTCTCGAGCTCTTTCAAATATCTTCTGAGAGATATCAATCGCGCAGACGCACTATGAGCCGTTCTCTCTTGCAAATCGAGAGAATCGACCAAACCCGCAACCTAAGTCGAGGACAGTAAGACCGTCAAGATCTGGGAGCATCGTTTTCAGTTGCAACCATTCCGGGACACCTTCGAGCCCCTTAACTCGGCGGTCTAGCTTGATGTAGTTCTCGAAGAAATCCTGTTGGTCATAAATACTTTGAAGCATTTTTACCAAGGTATTATTCGACTTGATTATAATTCCTTAGCTGGATTCTACTTGACCTACCACATGTTAACATTTTGCTATGCCATATCATATCAGCCAAACAATGCCAAGGTCATACCTCGGTGCGTTCTATCAGAACATCATATTTCTCTTAAATGCTTCTATACTCGGTGACTTAGTTATACTGCTATCAGGTATTCTGACCTCTCCTTTTCCTAAATAAGCCTCCGAACCAGCACATTACGCCGACCCATTTTTTACTCCTTGGTCCCAATATATCAACCATATCGCTTTCTACCGCTCTCTCCCTAATACCCTCTTTTTCTTGTTCCCCAGTTTCTTCGATATCAAACCCATATTTGTCTGCCTCGGCAATAACGTCTGCTACAGTATGCACGTAGCTTGTCGGCCGTATCTTCTCCCCCGTACTAACGTCCACGAACCCAGCCTGGCTAATCGCGCCCATTTGATCGTGCATGTTAGTCAGGAGGAGAACACCGCCTGGCCTCAACATCTGCGAGATGTGAGAGAAGAATATTGATAGGGGTACGTGCTCAACGACCAGGGTAGATATTACTCCGTCTACTAGTTGGGCAAGGGCTGGTGAAGACGGAGAAGCTAGCATATCGAAGACTTCGAGATGCAACTTTGGAGGCGTCCGTGCTAGGTCTATACCGGTAGTAGCATCGTTCGACTTCTGGAGTCGTGATCTGGCTACCTCAAGCATCCCCTTGCTGGAGTCTAACGCGATTACCTCCGCAACATCGGAGACTCTGAGAAGCAAAGAAGTGTTTCGACCCGTCCCACATCCAAGGTCGACGACGCGCCATGGTTTGGGAGATGTGATTGAAAGGAGGAACTTCGGAAACAACGTCTTGAGCTCAGTAGTATCTAGCGCTTGTAAGAAATTGCCATCTGTGTCGTAGACTGCCGCCCATCGGTCGTACGCCTCGTTTGTAGGGAGATAGCGGACCGATTGGGAGGGCGGATTCTGAGAAGTAGACATTGTTATTAGGATGTTGATGGATGAACAGATGAATGTATTGGGTTAATAATAATCTCAACATTTATAAGTTCTACTAATTTATATCTCATCCACCGGTGAGTCATTCGCTTTGACCAAAGGGCGCGATGTTTAGTATACGGCATTTGGGTCATTTCACTAGCTACCTAGAACTACCTAGGTACCTACCTAGGTAGCATAAAATTGGCATGATATCGTTAACAACGGCGAACCATCTAGCATAAATAGACCTTCCTTCCGAGTCCCTATGCTAAGTTTGTAGTTACGAAGTAAATATTTACCTTATACGACTCGATATTGTTGTGTTTCTTCACCAGGATAGGTATCCACCCTTTCTACGACTCCATCTAGCACTAGGATTATAGCTCTAAATCTGCCTTAGCATCCCTCTTGAATTATATAATCACGCAAAAAAAGGCTAACCGTTTGCTGTTTGGCTATCCCCCAATAAAAAGTCGATGGGCATCAACGCATCGCATCACGGACATACTTTCCCCTCACTAACCGCTGGCTCTCTCCCTTTCCAATAATCATGGCAAGCAACGGCGCGCTAGTATGGATTGACTGTGAGGTAATATATTTTTGATCTCACTACATATGGGCTCATTTTTGAGGATATGGGGTCTAACGCACCGGTACTAGATGACGGGTCTTGACCCCGATCACGACGAAATCATTGAGATCTTTTGCATCGTTACAACTGGTACGCTGGATATTCTAGACGAGAACGGCTGGGGAACTGTTATCCATCAATCGCAGGAGAGAATGGACCAGATGGACGAATGGTGTACCCGGACGCATAGGGATAGCGGCTTGACTGCCGCTGTGGTAGCTTCCAAAGTCACCCCTGAACAAGCAGCCGATGAACTGTTGGCATACATTAAAAAGTATGTGCCCGAACGAGGTGCAGTGCTAGCCGGCAACAGCGTACATGCGGACCGGGCATTCCTTGGGAAAGAGCCGTACAAGAAGGTAGCCCGTTACCTGCACCACCGGATTCTGGATGTTAGCACTATAAAGGAGGCCGCACGGCGATGGTGTCCCAGAAGCATCATAAAGAACGCGCCGGTAAAAGAGGGACTACACCAAGCTAAAGAGGATATCCTCGAGAGCATTGCCGAAGCTCGATATTATAAGGAGGTGATTTTCGAACATGCCGTTGACCGTGTTGACAAAGCAAACGACGATACAAGTCAAGAGCAGGCTGCATCAGGTACCTAGGTAGTTTAATAGCGAATTACCTAAATGCCTCCTATTTTATTTTCAGCATGAAGTTCGCGATTGGCGTCTATCGCGCGCGGCATCGGAAAAGGGCGGGACGCGGTCACGCAGCGGAAATAGAAAGAAGATTGGGTGGAACTTCTGCGTGGCAAATCCTTTTGTTGATGATGCTTTTCATCCCCAACTGTATAATGGATTTTATTTATTTACTTATATTTTTGTTCTCAGAGGTGATTAATAATTACACCCTGATTTGTTGATACCTTGGGTTAAGTACCTAGGCAGGTAGCTTATTATCCCCCCAGCCCCCCTGTTAATTTTCCAGGCAGACAGCCCTGTACTTCATTTAAGTCCTTTGATACGTCGAATCATTATCCTAGGAATTGGTCTCTTTTCCTCTTATTTATCACATCTATTCATTGCCAGTACTGAATTCACTGCACACACAGTCTATCACTCATTTTACAAACCCCTCTTTTTAAAATGTCATCTTCACCGCAAATCAAGGATGTCAAGCCAGTACATCCATTAGTTGCCGTCACCACAAACTATATTAAGTACCTTCACGAAAATGGCAACAGCACCCCATACCTTGATGAAAACGACCTGGCTGCGCTTCAGATCGAGCGGTACAAGATTGACATCGACACTGGAAAACCTGAAGATGCAGGCCTTCAGTTTACCAAACCAAGGCCACTCGATGAGATGAGAGCTATCGCCGAAGCGACCAAAGTGTTTGAGAATCTTCCTCCAGGAGGTAGATATGGAAATTGGCATACTGCAAGAATGATAGGGACGTGCTACCGCACAGTTTAGGATGAGCTGTTGGAAGCCGACTTCCTGGGCCAGCCAATCGAAATTCCGGGCGAACAAATTCGATGGAAGTTATACAACCAGTAAGTGATACTCGAACGTATTTTCACAATCTGCAATGAATTACCAGCTAAAAGGGAAAACGTAAAACTTAGTCCTATTAATGTAGATTGTGACCGATGGAAGATCGACTGGTGAATTATATTCATTGCACGCGCTAGGGGTCCTCTGCCAGATACCATCAGTTACGTGGCAAACGAGGCACCCTTGGAGGAGGGCAAACTTCTTCGCAGTGAGATTTTCTGCATTTTACGAATGACCCGGGCAAAGTTGAAGCAGCCAAGATTCTGCAGTCATGAGATAGCTCCCGTGAGTTTCCAAATCCCACCTCCATATTCGGAACTCTTCATTTCGTATCTTATGCAATTCAAGGCCACCTTGGTGTCGTGTTCCCACAAAGACCTCCGAATTGTTCAAGGTTATGTTCACGGCGACGGCCGCGTCGTTGTGCGCACTTCACCTATTATCAATGTCGACGGGGAAGAGGCACAGAACTTGCACGACCTCTTGAGGATCGGTGCTTGGTTCTTCGGCAGTCCCTGCCGAGTTGAGAGTACCCTTAAGGACGGACATAACTGAGTTGGCTCCAGTGGTCCTCTTTTTTGTTGCTTTAATGTATTTTTGTCAGGCATATGAGAACAGGCGGATACAACAGGAGTCTATTGTCTATATAAAGGGTAGCCATCTCCCTCGAAGGACTTGAGAGGGCTAGGCGTTACTAGACTGGAAGATTCTGGGGTTGGTGGAACGGTTTACTCCATAGGTATTCATTGTCTTGCTGAGAAAAGGAGGTACATAACGATATACCTTGGACAGTACACGAGAACTGTTGGCGCCTATAATAAACATAGTAAGGGGGTGGGCGTATCAACGAAGGTAGGTACCCAGCATGCCTCTTAGGTATCTTAATAGATTGCTAATGGTACAATAACCGAATCACTAACGATCGAAGAGGATTTACAGTCGCCAATGACAGCAATAAAGTTACCTTAGGTATCTACCTAGGTAGGAGGTAGGTATAGGTACCTAAAGCAGTCACATCTTTCGTACCACCACTTCTGAGAAATCTGTAAGATATAAGACAAATAAGAAGTACGTGACAATTGAGTGAATACCTATATTTTTCCTATAGCTTTTGTCGATTAGTAATATCTAGCAAGTTGACAGAAATTTCTCCCGCGAAACTTGGCCATCATATCCAGAATTACACTTCAAGGTTTACCTTTAACCGGTGATGGTTGGTTTAAGGCAGCCATAGCATGTGGAATACTGAATCCTATGACTGCTTCCATCCACGACTTCGATTTCGACAAGGTGTCCGCCTCCAATGTGGGAAATGGAGTATTATGTCTCCTCCATATATATATTAGGTATATATGTATGTATGTATAAGGCACTAGCGGCTGCTTTTCACTCCAATGGCAAAGGAAATTCGGAAAATATCGTGGGCAAAAAGTGCCTAGAGGCTGCCACACCTATTGTAAAAAAACGATGAGAGTTGACGGGCGACTTCGAGTGGGTCAGAGAAAGGCCGAACGAGAGACCGGTAGGCCCAACCAAGTGTACGAGTATGGCTGTTACCCTCCAGGCGATTGGATCTTCTTGAAAGAGCTATTATATTAGCCATAGATGTAGCTTTGGCGCTTCCAGCGGCCGACCCGGAGGGGTCGTCTTGTGTTGTTTATAGTCTAACTGTAAATATATGAGGCTTTCCAGCCTCATGACCTAGGCATTTATAGTAGCTAAGACTGGTGAGCCTTGGCGATAGTAGCGATAGGTAGGGAGTTACAAGGGTAGGTTCCCAGCGGAGACCTCTGATTGGACAGAATGGCCGGCCCCACACGGGAGTTTCAATCGCCAGAGAGGTACCTAGGTACTAGGGGCAGCTTTTAAGGACTATTGAAGTTTTAGGTACCTACTAAGCTACCCCACTAACAAACAACAAACGTCGTCATATGTTTTTTTTATTAATAACCCCTCACCCCCTGAGGCCTGAACAAGTTTCCGTTTTATAACTTCACGATTTCCATAGTTCCCATACTCAACTAATCGACTTGATTCTATTCTACACTCATACATAAGCCTAATTTAGCGAAGAAATCACCATGAGCGTCAAAACCGTCGAATTCAAGCCTTTCACCGATCAGAAGCCTGGGACGTACGTAAATAGCTCCTTTTTAAGCTCTTTGAAGCTATCCCCGCTGTCGCTATCGTCACCATCATCGGCACTATTTCTCTACCCTCCACCCTCCACCTTAAATACAATAGAATGATGTCAGCTGCTAACGTACCTGTAGCTCAGGTCTTCGAAAGAAGGTAAAGGTCTTCCAACAGCCTCACTATAGCGAGTCCTTTATCACCAGTATCCTCCTCTCTATCCCTGAAGGTGCCGAGGGTAAGTATCAACTATTTCCAACCTACACTAGACACATATGATAACAAAAACTGACACTCAACACCTTAGGTGCATTCCTGGTTATCGGAGGTGATGGAAGATTTTGGAACCCTGAGGTTATCCAGCTAATCGCGAAGATTGGTGCTGCATACGGAGTGAAGAAGCTATTAATTGGTCAGGATGGCATTTTGTCTACTCCAGCTGCCAGCCACGTCATTCGAAAGCGAAAGGCTACGGGTGGCATCCTCTTGACAGCCAGTCACAATCCTGGTGGTAAGTTCAACCATCATGTTTAATCATAACTAGGTATATTCTTAATTTTTGCCTTTTGTAGGTCCCGACCAGGATTTCGGTATCAAGTACAACCTGTCCAATGGCGGTCCTGCCCCGGAGAGCGTCACAAACAAGATTTACGAAGCTTCAAAAACCCTTACTTCCTACAAAGTTGCCGATATTCCCGATATAGACATTACTACTATTGGAACCAAGACCTACGGTAACCTGGAAGTTGAAATTGTGGACGCCACGGCAGACTATGTTCAGATGCTTAAGGAGATCTTCGACTTCCCTCTAATTAAGAAGTTCTTCACCGAAAACCCCGACTTCAAGGTCCTCTTCGACGGTCTACATGGTGTCACAGGTCCATATGGAAAGGCAATCTTCGAGAAAGAGTTAGGACTTCCTAACTCGACCCAAAACTGCATTCCCAAGCCCGATTTCAACGGAGGACACCCGGACCCTAATCTCACCTACGCTCACTCCCTAGTGGAAGTTGTTGACAAGAATTCCATCCCCTTTGGCGCTGCATCTGACGGAGATGGTGACCGAAACATGATCTACGGTGCTGGAGCGTTTGTATCCCCCGGTGACAGTCTGGCAATCATCGCCCACCACGCACAGCTCATCCCCTACTTCAAGAAGCAGGGTGTGTATGGTTTGGCCCGTAGCATGCCTACATCCGGAGCTGTCGACCTTGTTGCTAAAGCTCAAGGTCTGAACTGCTACGAGGTCCCCACGGGTTGGAAATTCTTCTGCGCTCTTTTTGATGCAGATAAGTTGAGTATTTGTGGTGAGGAGAGTTTCGGTACTGGTAGCAACCATGTCCGTGAGAAGGATGGACTGTGGGCTGTTGTGGCATGGCTTAATATCATTGCCGGTTTAGGAGAGGCCCACCCTGAAACCAAGCCGAGCATCAAGCAGATTCAACAGGACTTCTGGAAGACCTACGGCCGAGTATTCTTTACCCGCTACGATTATGAGAATGTCGACTCGGATGGCGCAAATAAGGTTGTCGGAACGCTAAATGACCTTGTTGCTGATCCTAACTTTAAGGGCAGCAAGATCGGAGGTATGTAAACAAAGTCCCAAAATGTAGATGATCGTTTGGCTAACAATTCGCAGAACGCACTGTAACTGACGCTGGTAACTTCTCTTACACTGATCTGGATGGTTCTGTTGCATCAAACCAAGGCCTTTACGCCCGCTTCGACAGCGGTAGCCGAATCGTTGTCCGACTTTCGGGAACTGGTTCATCCGGTGCAACTATTCGTCTATACATCGAGAAGTACAGCAACGACCCCTCGACTTACAGCCTAGACGCACAAGACTTCCTCAAGGATGAGATCAAATTTGCCACAGATCTATTAAAGTTCAAGGAGTATGTGGGACGTGATGAGCCTGACGTGAAGACATAATCGGACGGACGGATTAGGTATGGGAGTTGGAATGCCGATGGCACGAAAAATAAAACAAAACCACTATAGTAATAACTATACGAGCTTACGTGATAACGAAATTATGTAACTGTCACTGTCATAGTCTTTGAAGGAAGCAAATATTTATGGTGATAGGTTCCTAACTATCGTAGCTGGAGAAATCACTTTTAATGTCATACCGTTCGAACGTTCTTGTTCAGTAGGCGGGGGCGTTTATAATACTTTTATGCCTTTAATATTCGCCTTTTAGAGTTGCACATGCCTTGATTGTATCTGGGCACCATACCTGACAACTGAAGTTTAGTAGATAAAACCGGTATAGAAATTACTAGTCTTAAGGATTATTTTTTTAATAGTTGAATGCTATCGTGGGGGTAAAAGAACTGTGTCGCGTTAATATTGTCACGAAGCGTAATGAAAAACCTGGAGATAATACTTGTTCAAAGAGAAACAGTTCTAGCAAAGATATAGTCAAACACCAAAATCAATTCATGAGTTAGAACTATAATTCTCCCCGCTAAGTTATAAATCTTGCAGCTAGTAACTCAATGCCTCTAACAGCATGGTGTGAATATATACGAAAGGTGGTTTGCTATAGGGTACACTTTAGACAATGGGGCAGGTTAGAAGTGCCGTTCAGCATGGAACAGTAAAATTATATATTAGTTAGGCGTAAGTTACGTAGCACCTTCGTGTAAAACAGGCGAGAAAAACGCAATCGTTTTGGCCCATAGGGCTACGTGTGATATTAGTTTAGTATAGTTGGTAACAGGTGCGTAGAGACGTATATACAGTCTCAAACGATACAAGGCGTCTAGTTTTGTTCTCTTTAACCAGACTATACCTGTCTACTAGGGTGTCGTTGGCTCACCTTGTAAGTAACTTCTACATGTATGTGCCTTAGGTACATTACCTCTACTACCGCCGCCACCTTCCTGAATACCTGTGGTTTCCACTTAAAAGCCAGGCATTCACTTGGTTTCCTAGGACGACGGCAAGGTTGACGGCGGGGAATAAGAGCCGTAAGGCTTCCTTGAAACAGAAGGGACCCTCCTACCTCTCTCCCTTTATCCATTCCTTTCCATGCAAACACTGTACAATCACCGCCTTCGACGCTGCCTAATAAACATATTCTCGCCGCCTTGATTCTTCCCCAACTCCAAACTCACCTTTAATTTATCTTCCTTTACCTCACACACTCTCTACCAAAACTTTTCTGACTACTTTCCTCACACTTTACAAACACCGGCTACAGCCATCGCAGCAATTCAATTCTCTAGAGTAAGTAAACATTTGCTTGTTCCTTCTCACACGCCCATCATCAACACCTCAACCCCATGCTTTCCAACTTTCTCTGCTTCGGGTCGCGAACAGTGCTTTTGATTTGTATCTTCCTACTACCCTCTCCTTCCCATATAGTCCTGTCATTCTCTGTAATTACGCAATGTATAGCACACACCGGATGGGTATATCGCAATCTGGATTTGCTTGCGTTCCCAAATCAGGGACCAGGCAACATCAGCAAACTTTCCAGAGATAGGACCATTGCCTAGAGAACGTTCATTGACTGAGAAACAGAATTCCAATAACTTTTATGAGAATGGCTACAACCAAGGGCAAGACGTGTCTAGGAGCTTATCTCTGCTTGTATGAGCCGTGCGAGTCGGTCAATGACCTCGACGTGGTGGAACATTACAACCAATCCAAGAGTCGTGAGGCGTTTGATGTGAGAGACATCGTGGATATCTTGCGTCATATGGACCACCAAACTCACATTGACATTCTCCGAGAATCCTTGGGTAAGTATCCCAATCGTTAAAGGCAAGCCAAAGTGCTTGACGAAAGTAAAGGCAGCTAGGAAGCTAGTTTTGATCTTAATCGCCACTCCTTCTCGCTGTTGCTATTTCTAAGTTACTCACTAAAAGCGATGCTAATGTGTCCATAGCCCAAGCTGAGGACAAGGACAGTCCCCAGCCAGATCGAGAAGCGTATCTCCGAACGAAGATACGCCAGGAGCTTCGAAAATACTTCTTTCCGGCTATTTATCGTCTTCACGGTGACACTGAATTCCACAGCCACAGCACGATCGAAGAGCTCGTGGAAGTCACCCTTCAGATATCTGCAGGGATTAACACGACGTGGTATCCTGATAACCGTTATCCCTTGGTTCTCAGGAAGTTTGGAAAGGCCCCAAGCCCACCTCATCTAGAGACCTTTCATCAGTTTACACAGCTTAGCGCCGAAGTCAGAGCTATGATCTGGGAGTATGCGGTGACAGGTCAGAATCGAGTCGTGGTATGTTACAATTCCCGTTCTTCTCCCTGGACTGCCCTGTCAGGCAAAGCTTCCCCTTCAGCTGGTCTAGGGAGTTCTACTCCTCATGATACTGCAAACCTTTTCATATCATTCACTCAAAAAATGGGAGTAGGTACATACTGACTATTATTATCATAGAGTACGTACCGTTTGCGCAAAGTTACTCGAGCCCCTTGTCCTGTCCTATTCCTTGTTTGCAAGGAGGCCTTGTTCTGGGCAATCAAGAAGTACAAGAGAGTCAGGAACGGAGATCTCCTCTATGGCAGTATCATGCCGGGCTATTTCAAGGCCACTGGACCGGTCATCTCGTTCGAGGACGACATTGTGAACATCGGCGACTGGGACGCCTGGAACAACAACAAGGGATCGAAATGCTATGTCACAGATATATACAATAGAAGAGCTGCAGGTCAGGGCCTCCAGCAGATCCACCAACGCATCGAGAAACTGAGCAAAATCGGCTTCCGCCGGGTTGTCGTTGACAAAAACACCCATGTGCACCCCGAGATGTTGTTCTACAAGAACTCACGCAAGATCCTCACGACCTTCAAAAACCTCAACAACCTACGGAGCGATTGGTGTTGGAAATGGACCGACAAGATTGAAGAGATTTGGCAATCGGATGAAATCCTCAATCGGGTCGACAGCACTTGCAGGACGCATTTTGTCCGGATCTTCCCCCCTCTCCCCGGTAATGAGTGCCAGTGCTCTCTCTGCCTCCGAGCCGATCTCAACATCGGGGTCAAAGTGCTGCCTTACAATAAGCCAGAGCCTGGTGACATTGAAGAGCACGAGAGAATCTTCAACAGGGTCGAGCCTCATCGGTTCTGGAATGGAACAGGCCGTAAGTGACGCGTCTTTTTCTTTTTACCTCTTGCTTCCCCTTCCGTGCAGACTTCTTAAGGTCAAACTGGGACCGAAGAAAAAGCTTCTGTTTAACCTCAACTATTTATTTGATGTGTCATTGGAAATAACTAACCCTATTATTATAGTTGGTAGAGACTCACCGTTCCACCACTTTCTTGCGCAGTGAAGCCTGGGTGTGCAAGATTTCCTTTGCATCGGCCGTGCGACGGGATGCGTAGATATCTATCCACTGGATAGCATATTAATAGTAGATGGGTTAAAAGCATCGGCTTATACCCGACAGGATTCTTTCCCTCGTATATTCTTGCTGCAGTTTTCGCAGCTTACTATTTTCTGTTCTTCGTTAAGAGTCACGACCTCCAGAACCAACGTCTTTGCAGTGGTTTTTACTAGTTTTCATTTACCGTTTATCGTTTCGTAAGAACGATCGCAGCACGAATTTCCGGCATAGTTTTTCCTTTCAGTATGGTTTTCGGCATCGTTTCTCAGTTCTTTCTTTCCAACAACAACTTTCAAGTATCATTTCTCATCCAGTCGGCGGTTACATTGATGCCTCTTTACGGCAACATTTCATGTTAACTCGGCATTTTACGCCCGTTACGACCCTCGCAACGTTTTTATTCAAGTCACGACCTACGATTCAATTTCCTTTGTCAACGGCTGCACTTTTTATTTCTTCCTCACCAACCAACTATGAAGATGCAACTTTCGTCCATGGACTCTATCTGCAACTCTTCTCACGCACCCACAATTACGACGTCCAGTTCTTATTCTTTAACAATTCATGTTTATGATACCTTGGCCATGATACCCGGCCAAAGCCTTCTACTCGGGACAACTTGAGTATGACCAACCCTACAAATGCGCCTTTCGGCAGCTTCGTCTATGGTCTCAATTATGGCATTTTGAGATCCTCGTTCGGAATTCCTTTCGCCGCTGTCCATTTATGGACTCTTTTTTTTCGGCCTCGTGCTGATCACTTACTTCTTGTAATGACTGCTCATCTTGAGCAAGCAACACTCACCTAGGTATTCACTCGAACCGAGAACTAGGTATAAGACTGCGTAGGCAGTCTTCCTGTGACGGGGTAACTTGATTCTTCATGAGTCTCTCTTCCCTGGTCTTCTTTTGCACCGTTCGCAGCCTTAGCTCTTCTCCTATTCGTCAAAAAAGCAGATCGAGTCTGCACTCTGTGTTGTATAGTTGTATGCTAGTTAGTTTACAGTTTCTGCACTTCGTGATGCAGTTGCTATAGGTAATTCAGATTGTCACATGGAAAACAATTGAAGGCTTGTCTCTTCAAAAACACTTTCGTTCTCACCCCCTTGCGTTATATGCTACCTCTGTGATAACTAACCTCTAGTAATCGTCCCCCTTATACAGCCTCGCAACTCTTGGTAGAAGATAACTTCGCGATTCCAAAATTGTTAGGTTTTTGACACAGCGATGGGCGATTAAGTGAATGTTGTCTGGTCTATGCGGAGTTTGACTCTTGTCTTGGAGTCCTTTCAGGATTATTCTATCAAATAACCTGAAAGACTCGTGCATCTTGTGCAAGCTCTATGTAGGTAGTTAAAGTCACAAACCAAGAATCACAGATACAGCCAAACGACAAGGGAGGATAGCTCTGAGCGGTTTAATTGGTCGCATCCCGTAGCTGTCGTACAAAGTGGGGAGCCGAGCTGGAATACCTATCGGGTTCTATTTCAGATGATGGCTTGAAATCTCCGTAGGAGATTCGGTACTTAAAGAGATGCCGTAACTGGTAGGATCCGAAAACAATGTAGCACCGCATAAGCCAGAGAGAGACGTTAGGGTGGAAACCGTTCAGTATTTACTTGGAGTGTTACTTAGAATGCTTTGATTTGGTTGGGATCCTTAGCGATGCGTTACTTGGCGTACGAAGTTAAGATGGAAAACGTCGACGATCATGTTGTCATGTTAACTGGGAATTCTAGAGCAATTCCACTACCTATCTTCACAGATGCTCTCGACCTTCTTTTAATTGTTTTCGATTGGTACAACTGGCACACCTTGAGAATGTCTGCAAATCCGTAAGCACTTGGACAAATGAGTAATAGCCTATCTAGCCTATCATTACCCTAGGTAGGTATGGATCGGTATTGTACCGTCACTTACGTTTACGCTGACGAAAGCATGGAGGCATTCTCAACAATTCAGCTCGCTGATCATTATCATCATCATCATCACTTATGAACTACATAGTAGGTAGCTAAATTGAGCATATTAGAGCACGAACAGCACTGGGTGAGAGTAAGTGGCTGAATGCGGTACTCCCTGTCATCTTTTTCGTCCGGAGACCTGACAAAGGGCTTGCCAAGATTGGTCTGGTCTGTTGGTTCCCGAACGGTGTGTGGCTCGGAAAAGCCGGTTGTTAACACTACAATCCCAAGGTCAATAAAGTCGGCTGCCCTGCTGCCCTACTATGTTAGACTAAGAATAGATTTACCCAAGGGGATGATGGAGCTGGGGGGCTGAGGATGGGCAAAAGTTGGGTATCCCCAGCTCTATCCATCGCCGTGCTGACGCTGAGCACCACCACTTTGTTCTAACTTATACAAACGCATTATCTTTCAACAATTTCTTTTGCAACTCATCAGAGAGAGAATAAAGTAAAAAAGATCAAAATAATCATCCACAATTTTGTTCTTTTTCCATCTTACCTTTACAATATCGGCTCCGGCTGTATATATTGGAGTGTGGTTCGGGATAATGCGCCACCTTTTTTAACGTCTTTTTGCTTGTTAACCATCCACGACCCTAGCAGGCTCTTGTACGAGCGTAAGCATGCCAACCTATCGTTTTCGCGGGCCGTGACATGGAATTGTGCCATCCGGCTAAGCACGCTTACGTGTAACAAGAAATTGAGGGAGGTTGTTCTTCTAAGAATCAACTTTTTACCTTCTTATTATTGTCTCAAGTTAACAACTAAGGAAATCGAAAAAAAGAGAGAGATATTAAAAAAATACATTAGATAGTTTTCTTTTTATTTGCCCGCGATGGTACTTAAAAAGAAAGAAGTCTATACGGTGATAACACCCATCCCTAGCTTCATACCCCGCCAGCTAGCAATCGACATTCTCCACAGCCACGGCGAAGTTATAACTCTGAATCCCCTCGTGCTCGAGTATAAGCAAATTAAGGCGCCTCGCGATGCCGTGTCCGACGAATTCTATTCGACATGGTACGAAATTCACGAGCGAATTCAATATGTTCCCGGTCTAGGAAGATTTGGGTCTGGGAAAATTACATTCAACGGTTGCTTTCACGATCTGCCATGGGGTCTGCAAACGCACATTTACGCGCCGATGGGAGTCGACCTCCGAAACAAATATCGCATCGGCGGAAACCAACCAGGGGTTGAACAACCCGAACAGCAAGAGATTGGACTCGCTGCGCTCGGCGCGCCGAAGGATGGATTGTACCTGAGAGAAGACATTGAGATACGATGTAATATCACCATGGTCGGCATAGTAAAAGCGCAGATGAAGGCGGCTAGCAAACAGATGGTAGAGAGGATCATCAAAAAGGCAGAACTACTTGACGCTGGAATATTGCAAGGAATGATCGAGGACGGCAAGATCAGAACGTATAATCCGCACAATAGCACTTACACTGGCGGGTTGAGCGTGGGCTCGGGGATGAAATCACCACCATTATCGCCAGCGAGCGCATATTATCCACCCACGTCGCCGTCGATACCATATCAAGTTCCGAGGCCAATGTCGCTACAGCCAGGGAGCAGGCCAGGAACAGCGAATTCGCTAAGCTACCCAGCGCATTGGCAGTCTCAATTACAGCAGCTCAACTCGAATGAGCAAAAGAACCAACAGCAATACGCCGAGCTGCCAAGTAACCAGGGAGCGCACGCCACCAGCCAGGGCGTGCTTATGGAACTCCCCGGGGACTTCCAGCACCCGCAGCCGTCGCCGCGCTTACTCCAACCGCCCTACCCGTCGCCAACGTACGCGCACTACCAAGGCCGAAACTCGCCATCCTCGACGCAATCCCACTCCCCCGAGCTCAAGTCCTGGGGGTGGTCGCAGGGCCAGCCGAGCCCATCCCTCACGAGCTCGCGGCCCACCTCGTACTCGTCGGATGCGGGCAGTGCCGGTTTCGCGTCGCCCGGACTGGACCACAAGGGCTTCGCGGCCGAGTTGCCGACGCATCAGGAGACTACGGAGGAACACCGTCACCAGGGCGCGCAGTCAAGGAGCTATGCGTATAATCCGGCCCATTACGCGCAGGTTCGGCGCTAACTGAAGAGAGAGGGAGAAGGAGAGATAGACAGAAGGGACGAGTACTAAAAAAAAGGGGAAGGGATGGATGGTTAGACGGGCTTGGTTGTGTATCACTTCTAGGTTGGGGGCCGGCGGTACCGTGAATGGGGTGGTTATTCTTTACTTTACTTTTTTTTTTCTGTTCTTACCTACCTCCTAAGGTAGGTATGATCCCCTCTACCTCGATATTGAGTGGGCAGGCGTTGTTGTTGTCTACATATGTGAGAGGTTTCTACAAACAACTCAGTATTCCCGAGCTGGGCTGGCAACGGTCTTTTAACTGCGCCTTGTTCTGGTTGCTTTTGGTTATGAGAGGACAATATGCCCATGTCGACGTTTTTGCTACGTTCATACCCTATGTTTAATATACACGATTGGTTACTTAAAACTTGAATGATTTATTTCTTATCTAACTGGTGATCATGACCTTGTGTAAGTGAGCTGCGATGGTTTGCATGTGAAGCTGCTTTGCCGAGGAGAATTAGGTACAGGTAACTTAGGTACCTCGTCCTCATAGGCTACCTAGGGTTGTACCATTGTACCTCAGGTTAGGTACGTACTTGGAAGTTAGTGCACGATACGAAGGTACTTAGTGGGGTAACCGCCCGGCAGAATCCCTTCACCGCCTGGCAGAATAATGAATAATGTTTCTCTGGGAACTTTTTTTTTTTTGCGCCGAACGAGATCTGAAGCTAATTCGTTCACGATTTTCGGTCTTAGAGAATCGCAGAGGACCAGGACGTCAAGATGGTGCGAAAGGCTGTGTAAGTGCTTTCATACAATATACTCCAGCTTCAATATATACTATAAATTCATAAAACTAATCAATCTTATCGTGTTCTAGAGATTCGCGCATTCCTACCCTAATTCGAAATGGCCTCGCCGAACACAAGCGCAGCTTCTTCATCGTCGTCGGTGACCGGTCGAAAGATGTCATCGTCCAGCTGCACTACATAATGTCCCAGTCGGACTTGCGCCAGAACAAATCCGTGCTCTGGGCTTACAAGAACAAGCTTCTCGGCTTTACCAGTCATCGGAAGAAGCGAGAAGCCAAGATTAAGAAGGAGATCAAGCGCGGTATACGAGAAGCCAATTCCGAAGATCCTTTCGAGCTCTTCGTCTCCCTACACGATGTGAGATATGTGTACTATAAGGAGACCGATAAAATTCTCGGTAGGACGTTTGGCATGGTAAGAGGTCGAAGCTATCACGACACGCCTTGTGCGAGAACTAATTCCTATTCCGTAGTGCATTTTACAAGATTTCGAGGCCCTTACCCCTAATACTCTAGCTCGTACCATCGAAACGGTCGAGGGAGGTGGCTTGGTCGTGCTATTATTAAAAGGAATGGATAGCTTAAGACAACTCTATACCCTCTCGATGGATGTACATTCCCGCTACAGGACCGAAGCCCACCACGATGTTGTCGCACGATTCAACGAACGATTCTTATTATCTTTAGGTCGATGCGAATCCTGCCTTGTCATTGACGATGAGCTTAATGTTCTGCCCATATCCGGCGGTAGAGGGGTGAAGCCGCTACCACCAAAAGAGGAGACCAAGTCCCCAGAGCAGATAGAATTAGAGCAAATCAAGGAGTCTCTTCGAGATACTCAGCCGATAGGATCTTTGGTCCAGCTTGCACGAACGAAAGACCAAGCAGATGCTTTGGTTACATTTGTTGATGCTATTGCTGCCAAGACGCTTCGCAATACCGTCTCATTAACCGCAGCCCGTGGTCGTGGTAAATCAGCAGCTTGTATGTTTCCTAGTCTTTTTCCTGGTCTACTCTCGAAGCAACTTGCTAACCAGAAATAGTGGGCGTCGCCATTGCTGCTGCTGTATCTTACGGCTATAGTAATATCTTTGTTACATCTCCCTCTCCGGAAAATTTGGGCACGTTATTTGAATTTGTATTCAAAGCATTTGACGCCCTGAACTACCAAGACCACACAGACTATTCCATCATCCAGTCTACTAATCCCGACTTCAAGAAGGCGATTGTGAGAGTCAATATTTTCCGAAATCACCGACAGACTATACAATATATCCGACCGCAAGATGCCCATGTCCTAGGCCAAGCAGAACTGGTTATCATTGATGAAGCCGCTGCCATCCCACTACGTAAGATATACCCTTTATAACTGGCTAGCATATGCTAACGTGAAAAAAAAGCACTGGTGCGGAAGCTCTTGGGACCCTACACGGTATTCATGGCCTCCACAATAAGTGGTTATGAAGGTACCGGACGTTCTCTGTCATTAAAATTAATAAAGCAGTTGAAGGAGCAGGCGGCAACCAGTGTGGCACAGGATGGCGAAACCAGAAGTCCGAGGTCCTTGAAAGAAGTCACTCTTGCCGAACCGATACGATACGGAAAAGGCGATGCAGTCGAGAAGTGGTTGAACGCACTTCTATGCTTAGATGTGACTCCTTCGAAACCGAAGAACAACATATTCCCAGATCCTTCACAATGCCAGCTATTACACGTCAACCGCGATACCCTTTTCTCTTTCCATCCAGTACCAGAAAGATTCCTTCGACAAATGGTCGCCCTCTTCGTCACAAGTCACTACAAGAATTCTCCGGATGATCTTCAACTTCTTAGCGACGCTCCAGCGCATGAGCTTTTCGTTTTAACCTCGACAACAATTCAAGAAAATGGCTTACCTGAGCCCCTGTGTGTCATTCAAATAGCGCTAGAAGGAAATATCAGCAAGAAGAGCGTTATGGCTGGTCTTGACCGAGGTCAGAGGCCTGCCGGAGACTTGATTCCTTGGCTTGTCAGTCAGCAATTCCAGGATGATTTTGCTTCCCTTTCCGGTGCTCGCATAGTTCGAATAGCAACCCACCCGGACTGTGTTTCGATGGGATACGGATCGAAAGCGCTCGAGCTTCTTATCGACTACTACGAAGGCAAATTCATAAACCTAGGAGAAGATAACGAAGCCACATCCAAGGGCAAGGATACGGGTGACAGCATGGTTATAGACTCGACACAAAACGAGAGTGGCGGTCTTCTTAATGAAGACATCAAGGTTCGGGATATTGAGAAGATGCAACCCTTGTTCTCAAGACTAGCAGAGCGCAAAGCAGAGGATCTCGAATATGTCGGTGTAAGCTATGGTTTAACTCAAGCGCTCCACAAGTTCTGGTCGCGCGCCCAGTTCATACCAGTGTACTTGGTAGGTCCCTTCGTTATGAAGTCATCCTTTCTATATGCTATACTTCGAAACTAACTCCTCTACAGAGACAAACAGCTAATGATTTAACCGGCGAGCACACCTGCGTTATGCTTAGGCCACTTAAGGATGAAAAAGAGTGGCTCGGAGCTTTCGCTGCTGACTTCCACCGCCGTTTCCTGACTCTGCTCTCATACAAATTCAGTGATTTCCCGTGTGTCCTCGCATTGAGCATAGATCAGTCTGCCACAGCTGGTGCTCAGCTAGATCCGACAAACCAGCTACCGGAGCTAACTAAACAAGATCTAGATAGAGTCTTCTCGCCTTTTGATTGCAAGAGATTGGAATCATACGCTAGGGGTGTGCTGGATCACCATGCCATTCTGGACCTTGTGCCCAAGTTGGCAGATCTCTACTTCACAGGTCCTCTAAAACCAAGTATTAAGCTTACAGGTGTGCAGCGAGCCCTTCTGCTCGGCATTGGCTTGCAGCGGAAGGATGTAGGTGCCATCTGCACAGAGCTATCCTTGGAATCATCGCAGGGCTTGGCTATGTTTATGAAAATCATACGAAAAATCACGTCACACTTCTCGACGCTAATCTCTTCTGCTGTCGAAGCCGATATGCCGAAATCGGATGCGATTGGCGTTAGCAGGGAGAACGCGTCCGGAGTGCACGACGACGAAATAGTAGATGACAAATTTGCACCGCTTGAAACAACTCTGGACGACGAGCTGGATGAGGCTGGGGATGAAGCATTGAAGGAATTGCGGGCGAAGCAGAGAGAGCTTATTGATTCTCTCCCCCTTGATCAGTAAGATAAATCCAACCCCCATTGGCTTAACCAGATTGTTTTACTTACATTGCATCATAGGTACGAGATTGAGGGCGACGCGCCCGGCTGGGAGGAAGCAGAGAAGCAAGTACTAAGGGCCACCCAGAAGGGCAAGGCAAACCCTGTGGTCAGCGTGAAGACGAAACAGTCGAAGAGGAAAGCCGGCATGACGGCAGCAGAGGTGTACGAGGAAGCGTTTGGCGAAAAGAAGCACAAGAAAGCCAAGAAATCCAAGAAGGGTACGACAGATTGAGAAGTTGTTGATGGTTAACGGCTTGACGGGGCAAAACAACTTTTGATGTTTCGCGTGCTTGGGGCGGCAAGTTTGTATGTGTGCCTAATGTATATATGTCAATATTAGAAGTGATACCAAGTCCATCTATGTTTGGGGCAATAGAGCCGCTCGTATATTCACTGCATGAAGATTGGTGCTCAAGCAGAAATTGCACTTTATAAATAAGATTGGTTCAAATTACTTTAGGTACTCAGGTAACCTATATTGGTTAGCCAATACTTATGAGACAGGAGATGTAAGTCGTCGATCATACAGTTTTCCTTTGGGCATTTCCTGTTTCTCTTATATGTACCAGGTAGCTAAAGACTTTGTACCTCATTATAATTAGAAAGATCATTAAATACCTAGTAGGTTGCTTGTTTAGATGGTTTATGTATACGTAGTTCAACTACGTAAACGCATGTAGCACCTTGACAAGCGATACTATAATTCATATCCATAGTATCTCGTTGAAATTCCTCCGCATCCGATCTGTTTACTCATGGCTTGAATGCCTCGACCGTTGCGTAGTATTGCCTCGGCGCTTTCCCTCCATTACTCATACTGCTGTCAAAGTCATCCAATTCCACCTTCACGGTCGTCTCCATCTTAATTCCGCCGGTGCCTCCGAAACCATTACTAGCGAGTATGCTGTCCGTGCTGCTCTGTCGCTGGAATCCCGCGTCCTTGGCGTGACTGCCGTCTTCAATACGAGTCGTCTGGCGACGGCCGTAAACATCCAATTCGTCAAATAGTAGAGCCCGTCGGGTAAAGGTGTAAAGCAGGGTATCGACCCAACCGGAACAAGTGAAGAGCGCACCGGCAAACAAATAATATTCGTCGGATAGTTCATTGTTCGACATGGCAGCCATACGTCCGGCACTAGAAATACGTCAGTCTCCAATAATAGAGTCTTATTTTAGATATTACTTACGCAAGCGGAAGACTCAGGAAAGTATAAACCATCGCGTATGCCAGCATAGCCGTTCGGGCTTTACGCATGGTTTCGGCGCTGCGTGCGGGAATTATAACCTTGTCCGAGCGTTTGGCATGGTAGAGATAATAGAAACCGGTGGCGTAAACGATGATAGAACCGAATTCAACGATGAAGATCCATATGTAATGGATAGAAAGACGTAGTCCTTTATTGCCTGTCGATATCCAGCACTAGAATTTTTATTAGACGACATGGCACGCATTCAGGGGTCCATGGTAGTAGTTGGATTTTATGTACTTACCCAGACGCCAGCTCTCAAAAACACAAAACGCCCGCCGATTATGGGAGCCAGAGAAGTAAGGACCACAGCAAGTCCCCAGATTCCGAATATGCAGCAAAGGAAGGTTTTGTATGACACGCTCCTGGACATGACGACTTGATACGTCGTGTGTATCGCGATGGCGAGGACGAAGAACGCGCTCGCGACGTCTCCAAGCTGAATGAGCCAACCCTGCGCGAAACAAGCTCCGTTCGGTCCAATAATCCGACGCTCCGCCGCCCAGTGGAACGATATCAAAAAGCCCAGCGATTGTAAGAAGTCCGCCAGAACCATTTGGTAAATCAGTACGATCGACTGGTTTCGACCGACGGCGCGGGAATAATGGGATTTCCACGTAATCATTCGCCATGAGATGAAGCTCAGGAGCACACTCGTAAATATTAGTGATATGGTAGCGAAAGTGCCGATCGCGAGAAGTCCGTGATAAATGCTATCCGGCATATCCAAGAGGCTGTTGGGCGGCTCGAAGTATTCCGACGCGATCCCATTGATGGTCGCCATGTTTGATGCTTCCTATTCGGGGCTGCTTGGGTGGTGTTGTTCCTGGTGTATGCTCCTACAAACACCCCGTTGATGGTATAAGAAGGGACACTGACGAACGACAAGAAACGAAGCAAGAGACCATAGGGAATACGACGGTCATAAGCTATAAACAGTCCACAACTCGGAGGATACCACTAACAGAAAGTTATGAGGCCCCACGCAAATCTCTTCCCCGTTCAGATCTATATCACAAAGAGGGAAGGTGAAATTAGATTACCAATTCCTAGGCCAAAGGTGTGCCTGGAAACTTTTCAATAGTACAACACTAAGAGAGAAGCCAGATGGTGCCTAACCCCAGATTTCGCACAGCGAAGGGAAGAAGGGGAGGAGTCAAGCAGTGAACTATGTGGACTTAAATGTAGTCTAAAGAAATAGGGCAAATAGGGCAGAACAGAAAGGCATGGGGTAAAGTAGTGATAGCTGGGGAGGCGATATTCCGGTGAAAAAAAAAACATCAAATACAACTGGAAATTCAACTCCACCGAGGAGCCCCAGATAGCGCTTGGAGAATTCTATAGGTCAGGTACAGTACAATACATATGTCTTGTATCTGTGTTTCGAGGGAGTCTAAGTACGAATAAGCCTTTTTTGCCTTCGAAAAGGCCGCCGTCGCATTTCATGGTTCACATGTTTTACATGTACATATGCATGTTTAAGGTTGCAGTCTTCGACGGAGTCGTCTCTGATATTGGTCGAGATCTTTGGTTTCATATCTCCTCCTCGTCACTTGACATCCTTGACATCCATAGAAGACCCCTTGAAGGCTGTTCCTGCACGAGGGTCCGCGCATAAAATGGTACGCCGTGTGGTGGAGAAGAGCGAGAATGCTACTCGAGCATGGCAAGGTTGTCGGTACTCAACCCCGGAATACAGCTATGAAAATCTAGTCACCATTTAAGATACATTACATGGGTATTAAGAGCTTTGTCATCTAGTCAACTAATCTAAAGTCCTTTAGCTTCATAGACCAGTCATGAAAACCGGGGCAAGCTAAAGCCTTTCTATAGTGTAGAGTAAAAGAGTAAAGCGCAGCTTCAAAAAGGGCCATAGCGTGGGCGAGATTTCAATTCCTATCAAGACCAACCTTGTCATGTTGTAGAGTATTAGGTAGGGTATTAGGTAAGGAAAACAACTTCGTTGTTCCGCGAGGAACTTCTATAACTGGGATAGCTTTGAAGCCAAAGCTATACACAAACGTCTCCGTTGTCCTCAAAGATTCTCTCAAGTGAGACTCCTGACAAACCCAGTTAGTTATTTGCCATGCTTACGTTTTTCTGCTACCTAATTCGGAAGAGACGTTGACCATTTTTTTTCTTCCATGTCTACCCCGGAAGCTCAGGGGGTAGACTTCCGGATGCATACAACCAAAGATAAGATCTTGATCCCTGAATGTTGTTTGGAAATTCCCGGCTGGGCGAGTCAGCTTTACTACTATACACCTATAATATAGCGATTATCACAACCATTACAAAACCCTGTCGTCAATGTGAGGTTATGATGAGGAAGATGTAGTATTATTACCTAACAAACTTTATGTGCTAGTTATCGCGATACTCCGCTTCCAAAAGCTCGTCAGTTCGAAAACCCTCTTGCGACTCTAAAGAAACTGTCTTACAGGGCAGGAAAGAGGTTTGTGGGTTTCAAGCAGATTCGTTTCGTTTTATATGTGATGATACGAGGGGCAAATATAGCCTACGAGTGAGAACTATTGGAGTCTAAGCAACACCCCCGGCAACACTAACGACGCATATTCCAGACAGACGGAACATTAGGTCCAGGATGATTATTACATGCTGACATGGTTTAGTAGTATGTGAAGACGGAGCAAAAGCCGGAGCACGATACTCTCACGATACTCTCACGATACCCCGACTGACGTCACTTTGGGCCCCAAATCGATCCAAGCAGCCTGACAGCGTCGAACATTAATAGAAGGGTCTTGGCATGTTCGTTTTGCTAACTTCCAAAGAAATAAACCGTATTCGAACTAAAATAGTAGTAAATCTAATGAAATGCATAGGCAATTATTTTAAACTCTTGAAGAGTTTCTCTATGTCGTTATTACTTTGTTTTATTTTTCAAAATTTTCGTAATTATTTTCGATATCCAATGCAGCAGTGCTCCCGAAAGTAAATGCCTTGCAAAACCCTCTTTACATATTGATCGACAACCTCGAGCTCTGATTAGCATGCGTACCTAGCTTCCCTTAACCCGGCGCCCCACACTGCTGAAGCTCTCGCTCAACAGTAGGCCTAGCTGCTTAACACACAGACTCCCAGACTTCCGCGTATGTAGATTGCTACACCGGAAGCACCTGAACTACTTCCCACATGTAGAGTATGCCACACATATGGCCACATATATGTACTATGTAAAGCGTCGCTCCGAACAATGTAGTAGTAAGGATGGAGCTTAACCCCTTTTTCCGAAGAGATGTTTCCGAATGCTGTACTTCGTAAGGTTCTTTAACTAATGCTGTAGTGTAACATATTCCATCCCTTGCTGCCCTATCATGCGGCTCAGATAGAGACCAATAGCAACCATACCTAACGTCGTGTATTAATAAGGCTGTTGAACTCGTAAGTTCAAGAATAATCTTGATACACATGAATAGCAGTGATTGAGACCACACTATGAGTGGAGAACTTTCTGGGGGTTCAAGGTCTAGGTAGATCGAGATTCGAAGATGTACATAATAACATATGCCCCTCTCAAAACTGCGCGCCCCTCAATGATACATTTACATCTTGTCAACGCCTTGTCGCTAACATGACGTTAGCGGGAGTCGGACATATTCTTGACGCAAGTCCTGTCACGCTACAGACGCACGGAATGTTATCCGCGAAAGTATTAATGAGCAACCTAAAGTCATAGCGTACCTATTGTATTATACAATCCTATACCATGATATATTACTGGGATATATTACTGGAGCGTTCGTCCAAGACCGGGGGGAGGGGCCCCTAGGGACCCCTTTTCGGACATTATTTTAACCCATATTGGTTAGAACAACCGATATACCACCGCAGATATGCCAGCTAATCGCGTAGACGAGCATGACAAGCCAGGACAAGCTTTTGATCTGCTGTGCCATTCATTGACGCTTTTCTCCTCCATTTCGAGAATAATGGGATATCCACCTGTTATGGTCGTTTAAGCATCAGGTACCTGGCTGACCATTTTCTTGGCCCCCCGGATGAAGCTTCATAGACTCGAATCGAATTAAGAAATATATTGGTACCAAGGACGCTAAGCTAATACATTCCGACTTACCCCAACTCTTTCTAACGCTCTTATTTCATTTATCTCCGAATTTCCGGAATTCCAAAAGCTTATTCGTAAGGCGAGTCGTTGGGTACACGACATACCCAACTAGATGGGAACGATAAGTATATCAAGATGTTTGCTTCGAAGTAGGCAGTTTAGGACTTGCTATATTTATTATCTCCTGGTATTCTCTCATGACTATCGTATGTTTAAACCGACTTACACAAGAGACAACATAATGAATGATAACTGGATAGTTGTTGGCTCGCAATATGGTCGAGAACTTCCATGTGTTGCTACACTATCATTATCCCATCGCGGTTGGAGCAAGATTGAATTAGGATAAGGCACATACGAGGTACCTAACCTAACCTAATAATGTATTTATCAGCAGAGCGCGCTGTTGATTTTAACTTTACTCTATCGAGTACGAGAACGAACCTAATTAGACTAAAACCCATATTTCCTTCCCCGAAGCGCGAACTAGCTAGGGACAGGCTGGGTACAGGTAAAATTTAAATTCAGCTTTGGTCCACATGGTCCAATGTATTGTGGTCGCTTAAACCAACTAGATCCTCTTTTTTGGTAATTCGAAACAAAGAAATGGAAGGATTATTATGAGGTACGAGGTAGCTAGGTAGCCCAGTTCTCACGGAGCAGAGGGTGACACGAAGTTCGAGTCGTTCAAATAATAGGGGGAACCACTCAAAACTTTATATATCGTCCACAGAACCCTTACTACCTTACTTGGTAGTTGCTACCGATGCCGCGGTACCGACCTATCACCTATCATATGCTACGTAAAGCATACCCGAAGGAAATATGACTGGCATTTGTAGGTGATACAGCATCTGCTGCCAGCAGCTTGTAAGGTAAAGAATGGTAAAAATAAAAATAAAAATAATTAGCTAATATGCCCAATACACGATATCACCTGTTAATTTGGGATGAGCGTCTGCTTGTTTTAACCGCGTACGTCTGTCTGTACAAACACACCATGCGTTACGATCGGTTCTCTCTAGAGATAGCCTCTCTGCATTTAGTTATCAAACTTAAATGGTGCTCCATATCGTGAATGAAATATCGAAAACGGAAGGTCTCTAGGGGCACAAACTTCAGTGAGATTTTAGGAATATTAGTCTGATTCATTGGTCAGGAACGGGTAAGACGTAACGCAAAGTTTCTATTTCTCGAAGGAAGACTTTTCTTAAGTGCTCGACTACCTCCTATACTCTACCTCCTAAAGCATGCTTCTAACATTATCAAGTATCTAGGTTTTGATCCATTATAACATATGACTACCTAGGCGCTAGGTAAAATTGTAACGATGAAACCAAGAATACATGAATACAATGCTTATTGAAAAGCGAAGATTTGAAGAGGCAAAAAGCTACCTACCTCATCGGCTAGGCACCTAAGGTTAGGTTAGGTAGGTAGGTACCTTTCAACAAAGTTACTGAATAGGTTATTTCAGGCATCAAGAAAACTTTTCGAGTAGGTAAGGTAGGTACCTAAAGTAAGCGTAGATGCCTGTTTTTTGAAACTAAATCAGATTTTAAGTCACCTCATCACTAAATGGAAAGCGCGATGCCTTTTGTTCTGCTACCTAGGTAGGTAGGTACTAATACCTAACATAAACTTTTATTTCAACGGGAAGGTGGGAAGGTCGAAGCGACTTTGTCAAAAAATTCCTTGCTTTTTTTTAAAAAAAAAAATAAATAAATAAATAGAGAAGCCTCAAACTTATATATTCTCAAGATTCAACACCCTATTATATAGGTATCTCCTAACCCATCAGCTCAAGGTCCCTTGCGAAAGACTAAAATTATTTCTATAC